TCTAAAAATTTTTCCCCCATTTTTACCAATTTAATTTTAGTAAAAATAAAAACATGTTTTTGATAGAAAAAGCATTTTTAAAAATTGTTAAAAAAATTTTTTTCCTCTCGGTCCATCCATTAAAATGGAGCTGCCCATTGGATCAAAATAAAATAGCCTTGCCCAAAATTTTATTTTTATTTATTTAGCTTTAAAAGAGAGGAAAAAAATATTTTTTTGTGGTGTTTATAATAAAAAGAAAAAATTTTTTACAAAATTACGAACGAATTGAAAAAATAAAAAATTTTCGCGGCAGGAATTTTAATATTTATATTGGTGTCGGGAATGGCTAATATTAAGGGGGGATATTTTAATTTAATTTTAATTTTAAAATTTAATTTTTTAATTTTATTAGCAGAGCGATTTTTCTCTGTTCTTGGAAACGGGAGACCGTTGAACAAGTAAGAAAACAAAAATGGAAGAGAAAAAATATTTTTGGAACTGCCACATGGAACCCGAAAATAGGGAAACGCTTGATTTTTTAAATCAGGAGTCTTGTTGGCCACTGGATAGGGGAGCGCCTAATCGGAACCTTTAAGTTTACGTACGGCTTTTATTTTAACACCTCATTTTTCCCATCGCGCAAAGGCATGTGTACAACAAGGAAGGGCCGGAAGATGGAAGTTAAAATTGTGGAAGATGGAAGTTAAAAGGCGGAAAAGAAAGACCATCCCCAAAGCCAAAGTTGGGGATCCAACCGATGCCGAGAAAAAAATATGTCGAAATTTGATCATATTTTTAAAAATAAAAATAAAATTTTGCTCAAAAAAAAAGATAACAAAAAACTTGCATTTCCTTTTTAAAATTTATGGAAATTTTCCTAAAAAATTTTACAATTTTTTTGTCGCGACATGTTTAAAAATAAATAAAAATGCACTCAAAATTCATAAAGTAAAAAAAAAGATTTAATTTTCGGCCTTTTCAAAAATAAAAAAAATTTTTTTAGTGCTTCTATGAACAAAGTGAAGTGAATAAAATTATAGAGAATATTGAATTGGACATTTTTTAAAAAATAATAGAAAAAATAACCGGACGAAAAAAAATGAATTTTTTAAAACGAGGAAAATGATGTTGTTATTGTTTTGTTTAAATGAGGAAAATTATTATTTTAGTGGAAAATTTAAAAATGAAAATTTTTTTCTAATTTCGATGCCCATAGATTAAAAAATTATTAAAAATATGGGCCATACCCAATTCATAGGTACAGCCCAAAACAACGCCATACCAACGCAAAGCCATAACTAACCGGCAAATTTCTGGCCCTTTTCAAGTTTGGTACCAATCTCTTTAGCTCGATTGGAGGAATCGTTTAATACAAAATTTGTTAAGATTTGGAAATTTTGAAGTTATGGTTTTGCGTTGTTATAGCCGTTCGGTGTTTTGCGCGTGTCCCCCAATTTATATAAGGTTCACAATAGGATCTGTCCCAGTTTCGTCTTTCGTCTAATATCGCCTTTTCTGGAGTTTCGCCTTTCGTATTTATATTTTTCAATTTTATAGAAATACGAAAGACAAAATACGAAATTTTTTGAAACACAAAATTTCGCTTTATTTCGGCTTTCGTTTTATTTCGTGTTTCGCCTTTGTATTTAAATTTCGTCTTTGATTTTTCGCCTTTCGTATTTCGCATTTTTACTTTCGCATTTCGCATTTTTACTTTAGAATTTCGTTTTTTAAAATTTTCGGCATGCCCTAATACGGGAGTATCAACAAATTTAGATATAAAATTGAATATTTAAAATTAATAAATTAAAAAAAATTGAAGAAGGATAAGAGAAGGAAAAATTAAAAAAAAAGTTTGGGAAGGTTAAAAAGGCGGCAAGTTAAAAAAGAATAAAATAAAGCCTCCAAAAGGCATATAAAAATGCCCTTGGTTTAAGGTAAAAATTATAAATGGAAATTAAAAAAAATTAATTTTTATTTAAAAAATATTTTGTCTGCCCTTTAGAAATTAAAAAATTGAAGAAAAAAAATTTTTTTTAATTAAAAAAAATTTATAAGAGAAGAAAATATTAAGAAAAAGACTAAAAAATAAAAATACTTAAAAAAGGATATTTTTGAGAGAAATAAAATTGAAAAAGTCAAAATTGCTTTGGGGATTAGATATAAAAATTAATATTTATATTAAAATTCAAAGAAGGGTTTAAATATATAAATAATAAAAAAAAATAAAAAAAATTTAAAGGAAAATAAATTGATTTTTTAAAATTTAAGAAGTAAAGCTATGGCAAAAAAATTAAAAAATAATATTTTGAGGTAAAAACAAAAATAAATTAATAAAATTAATTTTGGCTATCATAGCTAAAATTGTGTTTATCCCACATTCAGGGCCCGTAGAATAAATTCGGGGTTAGGTTACCCGAGTAACTTTTCCCCCACAAAACGAAGAAAAGAGAAAAATCCTTGCGCCGAAGAAATGAAGAAGAAAAGAAAGAGGAAAAGAATACGGTAGAGGTGGAGGGTAAAATTGTTACACTGCTAAGGGGCAGTGTAGACATTTTATTTAAAAAATCCTTAAAAATCGAGATCTCATGGAAAAATTATAAATTTAATATTTTTGGATAGTTTGAAATGTCCTCTATTTAATGATATAAATTTTGGAATTTTTTCTTGGAAAATCAATTTATGGCAATTTTTAGAAAAAAGTACCTCATTTTTTAGTCATTTTTTAAGGAAAAGTAGTACCTTGCTAGAAAATTCATAACTTTTAGATAGGTCGGTCAAAATTTTTGATTTTTTGGTAAAACATAGTTAACATTCCAATCTATGTTTTGGCATAAAAATAAAATTTTTATCGCCATTTAAAAAAAAGTTATGAATTTTCTCCTAAATAGGGAGAATAAGAAGCGGGTAGCGGCGCCAAACCCTTTGCTTAGGGTCAAGTCGGCGCTGCCGCTACCCGGGTAACCTTACCCTCGAATTTATTCTACGGGCCCAGGAGGATCTCTGTTTTATAAACACCCACCCATTAGGACAGAAAAGGTGTACTCTTATTATAAGGTGTATATTAATAGAAGATATAGTGCTCGAGTTGTTTCCCATAAGGATCAACATATAGAGGTCTAAAGCCAAAGCTCGATATAGCAACCCTTCGATATAGTGACCCCTCGATTTAATAGACACTCAAAAAATAAACTTTTAAAAGTGACTCTCGAAACCTACACTGGATCTCTACAATTTAACGACATTTTCCGTTGGTAATTCGAGTTTGCTATAACGAGATACGAGTGTATCATTTGTTTAAAACGAATTAAGATAACAAAATTAAAAGGTAAATGTCTGGTTGGGGTATCTTTTTTGGTGTCTAGGTTAGTGTCCGGTGGTTGGTTCGACCTCTCGATTTAGAAAAAGCTTGTCGAAACAGCCTAGTCTCTTAATGAGAGTTTTTTTTTCTCTAATAACTCGAGTTTATTACTGCTAGATTTCGACTGTATATATAAAATTAAATATATAATTAATTAAAATAAAAATTTAATTTTTAGTCTAAAATAGAGCAGAAAATATAAATCCAAAAATAGAGCAATAAAAATAAATATATAAAATTGCAAAAATGTTTTGACGGCTGCAAAAAAGCTGGCAAAACAATTATTATATTATTAATATAATTTTTAAAGCGCGCAGGGACACATTTTATTATTCGAGAAAATTTATATTAAATGAGAAAACAAATTAATAATAAAGTAAATTTGAAGTTTGGTTTTAGTACAAAACAGAGAATTGTTACAGATTGTTGGCTCGATGTTAATGAAAGGGTCCAATAGCCTTATTAAGGTCCATTAGCCTTAAGGGTCGGTCCCTTGCTTGTATTTAAATTTTATTTTTTAATTCAAAATTAAAATAAAGGGCAAAATACAGGCCTAAAAGTTGGAAGGATAATCCTCTATATAACCAATACTGCTTCGAAGGCTCAAAGCCTAATGTCAAAAAATTCCTTCCTAAAAAGGGTGTCCTTTGGCCTGATTTTTTAAAATCTTATTTTGCCCTCTCTTGTTTCTTGATTTTTTCTGATTGTCTAAAAAATATCAGAAAAATACCAAAAAAATAGAAAAACAAAGGAAGGGTTTCCCTTAATTATTATTAGAGCCAAAAATTTTTTTAACGAGAGAAAAACATTTTTAAGGCAAAGTACGGCTTGTTTCAAAATTTAATTTTACCGTATTTTTTAAAATTTTTTCGATTTTCAAAAAAATTTAAAAAGCGCCCCGTCTCTCCAATAAAGACAAAAAAAATTTTTTTTAATTTATTTCGATCAGTCAAAAACCGTATACATTGGTGATTATAAACTTGGAAAACTTTCTTCTCAACTTTTGCAAGGAGCTTTGCTAACACCTCAGTTTATATGCCCTATTTACTGAGCTTAATTTATTTTTATTAAAAAAAAATAAAAAGCCTAGCTAATAAAAATAAACAAAAACAATAATATTAAAATAAAATGAGTTTTTCATTTAAGCCAAGAAAATAAAAATATTCAATTAAAAAGACAAGCTACAAAAAGCCTTTTTTTATTTAAAAATAAAGTAAAAAAGACGGCTGTTTTTATTTTTAATTTTTGGACTTTGAGTGCCAAATTAAAGTTGCCTTTTTTAATTTTTATTTTTTTTTCATTTTGCGAAAGGGAGGAGGGAAACCTTTTTTAAAGACGCCCATTTAATCGCAGAATTTATTAAAAAATATTTTTCTAATAAAAAGGACAGTATTAGCCAATTATTTTTAAATGTTAGAGAAACTCTCTTCTATCCTTGTGCTAATTCTCCCGAAAAGATTTTAATGTTTAGGTAACAAATTGAGGTATAATTAAGATATACATCATTCTATCTTTAAGTTATTCCAGGTCCAGAACACTAGTTATTCCAAGCTTCAGGATATTCCTAATCCAAAGCTATCCCAATCTATCAGTTACCCCAGTATTCTAATTATGCTCTACCAGGTATCCCAATCTGCTATCAGGTATCCCAATCTTAATGTTTCCTAGTTATCCCAGTCTATCATTTGTTCCACTATCACAATCTTCCAATTATCCCAATCCTCCAGTTACCAGTTGTCCCAGTCTCGAGATATCCCAATCTTCTAGCGATCCCATACTTCAAGTTATCCCAGTCTCAGAGTTCTCCTAAATATCCCAGTCATCCATCTATACCAGTCTCACAATTATCCCACTCTCCCAATTATCCCAGCCTCTCAATTACCCCAAGTTTCAATCTCCCAGCTATCTAATCAATTTATTCCAAGTATCAGTTATCTCAGTCTCCTCTCTCTCTCTCTCCAAGCTTATCAGAGTCTACAGGTTATGCCAGACTCCTAGACATCACTTTTGCCCAGTTTTTTCAAGCATTATTCGCCCCAGTTATCCCCCAGTTATCTCAATCACAATCTCAGAATTATCCCACTCTTTCAATTATTCCAGCCTCTTCCATTATTCCAATTTTTGGTCTTCCAGACATCCCAAGTCTCAAGCCAACAGAGTCTCCAGGTTATGCCAGACTCCTAGACACCACTTTCGCCCAAATATCCCCCAGTTATCTCAATCACACTCTCCCTGTTATCCCAATCCCTTCCATTATCCCAAGTTTCAACCTCCCAGACATCCCAAGTCTCAATCCATTTATAAATATCTCGCGAATAAAAAGGTATAGGACACGCCTATTTTAATTGCAAAAGAATTACAAAGCATACTAAAAAAGATCAAAAAAGCAGCTTACTTATTAAATAAAAATAAGTAAATGAGAGAATACTTAAATATTTTATTTTTTCTTTTTTTACATCCAAAAATAGAAAATTTTATTAAAAATGTTTTTGTGTGTTTTGCTCTGCGCGACACACAAAGTTAATAAATGCCAAAACCAAAAATTAGAATACAAACACATTTCTTTTAATATAAAAATTTTTAAATGGCAAAAGCAACAATTTTTGCAATTAATATACATGTGAAAAGCACTATATAATATAGTAAAAAATAAAAGTTGAAAAATATTTAAAATTGGTCGGGTTATGGGGGTAGGGAATCGCCAATCTCGGCTTGCATTTTTTGCCGAATTTTGCTAGTTTTTAGTTTCCGTTTTACGTCTTTTGCCCTTTCATGATGACTAGGGTTGCCGTTTTCGAGTCGGGCCGACGTTTCGAGTCAATTTTTCGGGCCGGCCCAACCGAGTCTTTTTCAGGCCAAAATCGATGCCCGATTCGATCTTTCGGATCGGACCGGGCCGGCAACCATATTGTTGACTTTCATTTCGCCTTTCTCCAAGTTCGTTTCCCCAATGTTTCGCTTTTCGTGTTTCGCCAAATTTTGCCTCTTTTGTCGTTTCGCCTTTTTCTTTCGCATTTCGTGTTCCGCATTTTTATCGATTTTTGCTTTCGAATTTCGTATTTCGCTTATTTTTGACAAAATTCGCCTTCTTGCCTATCATCTGCGCAAATCAGTTTCGACACACCTCTTGTTATAGGTCGAAAATTTCAATTTGCCCTGAGGGTATATAGACAAAAACTTAAAATAATTTTACTAAAATGAAAGGATTTTACTTAAAAAATAATTTTAAAGTAAAAATTTAACAATTCAAAAAATTTAAAATGAAATGAATAAAAGAAAATTATTTTTGGAGAGAGAAAATAATTTCGCAAAGAATATTTTAAAGAAAAATCGGGGGCAAGAAGTAAAAAGAAGAAAGAAAATAGTGAAAGCGCGCTACCAAAATTTTCTAAAATTTGTGTGAGGGTGTGTGTGTTTTTGTCCTGATTTTTGTGCTAAAATTGGCGACGGATTTTGTACTTTTAATTTTAAAATCGAAAAAAAAATTTTTTTTTGATTGAAAAAAAAATTAAAAATAAAAGTGGGTAATTTTGAGGGGGAAATAAATTAAGGTGCTTTCTCAGTTAAAAAAATTTTTAAAGAGAAGAGGTCCCTAGGTTTGGGTTTTCTTTGGTCTTTATTTAATTTTAAAATTAATTTAGTAATTAATTGTGAAGGTTAGGTAGAGGGATAATGGAGATTGTTTCGAAAAACTAAATTTCGAATATATCAAAACACGAAATTTCGGGTTTCGAAAATTTCCGAGTTTCGCAGAATTTTGGGCTTCGTAGAATTCGAAACTCGAAAAACTTTCTAGTTTAGAGTTTTACGAAATTTCGGATTTCGTAAAATTTCGAGTTTCGAAAAAATTCGAGTTTAAGGAATCTTTCAGGTCATTAGACATTAAAGAAATTCAGAGAAACTAAGACAGAATAAAATTTAAAAATTTTTATCTTAACAAGATAAAATGTCTAAAATTAAACATTACGCTTTTTAGAATTAAAATTTAAAATAAAATAATTTAGTAAAAAAAATAAAAAATTAATCTATTAAAAATGGAGCTTTCTAAAATTTCAATTAATTAAATTAATTTAGAGGAAAAGATAAAATCTTTTTTATATTTAATTTTTGATTTAATTTAAAATTAAAAATAAAATCCCCCCCTCCCCTTTTTTTTCTCTCAATTAAAAAATAAAAATATTTCCTTCCCCATAAAAAATTTAAAAAAAATTAAAAATTAAAAATAGTAAATCCCCCCTTCAATTCATTAAAATACACCAATGTCCCCTCTTTAATTCATCACATTTTTTTATTTTTTTTTAAATTTTTTTTCTTCCTCTCTGGACCGATGATTCCTCGAAATTCTCCTCTAACAGATTTTCCCTTTCTTTCTTAAGGTGTGTAAATTTATTTTTTTTTATTTTTTTTTCATCGTCCGAAGAAATAAAATGAATTTATTTTTATTTTTATAAAATAGCGAGACCAAAATAAAAACACATCACAGTTGCACCAACAAACAAAAATTCGCTCAATGGCCGATGATTTTAATGGCCAAGAAATATTGGGCGTTAGAGTCTGGGGGTATTGAAGAGTTGAAAATTTTAGTTGAAGGTTTCTGGAGGTCGAAAAGACTTTGTAAAAGCTGCTAGAAATTTTCAAAAATCAAAATTTCGCAAAAAATGATAAAATGTCGAAATCGAAAAGCGAAATTTCTAAAATATATTACTTGAGAGAAGAAGCTGAGAGAAGGAGAGAATCGAAGAATTCGGAATTTCGGAATTCGGATTTCGGAAAAATTTTCGAACTTCGTGAAAAATTCTGAGTTTCGTGAGAGACTTCGAGTTTCGTAAAGGTTTCGAGTTTCGAGAAGAATTTTGAGTTTCGAAAAAAATCATTCTAGAAGAAGCCTAAGGATGACCAAGAAAAAATCCAAGACTCTAAAGTACGGAAAAACAATTTTTAAATTCCTCAAAAAATTCAAAACGTTAGTCCAGTCGAAGAAAAAACACTACACTTAATCGAGAGCAGAAACAGCTGTCCCTTTCTTCCAATAAAAATTAAATCCACCTCTCTCCTCGACTAACTAACTGCCCCCTTTCTACCCTCTCCTTTACATTTTTTGGATCTTAAAAATTAAAAAAAAATTTTTTTAGCAGAGTAACAACACCAAAAAACGGCAGGTGCTCCCTCTCACTCTTACCAACTTTTTAAAATTAACTGGACAAAAATAAAGACTTTTGTTTTTATTTATTTTTTAATTGAGAAAAGGAGGGGATATTGAGAAGGGGGGAAATAAATAAATTGGCCAAGCAGTCGCGAGAATTTTCAAAAAAAAATTAAAAAATTGAGGAAAAATTTTTTTTAATAAAATCCCCCCAGCATTTTATAAAGCTATTAAAAAGCTTAATAATAATTTTTCTTTAAATAGAAAATTTAAAAAAAAATATATTTATATGTTAACATAAATAAGCATTATATAGGGAAAATAAAAATAAATAATTTAAAAATTCCTTTAATTTTATATAAATATTTGTGACGTTAAAAAGGTTTATTATTTGTTTTAAAAAAAATAAAAATTTTATTTTTAAATTAAATAAAAAATAAAAAAAATTTTTAAATAAGCCCTCGATATAACGACACCCTTCGGAAACTCCAACAAAACAAAAAATTAAAAAAAAAGGTCTCGTCAGAAACAGGGGTGGGTTGGAACAGTCAGAAAAGCCAGAAATCGGAAGAGCCGGAAATCGGAACTGGCTCAAATGTCGGAACTCGGAAATCGGAATAAAATTTTTTTCGGAAATCGAAAGGAAAAAACGCCGGAAATCGGAATTCCGATCCATCTCTGGTCAGAAACAAAACGACACTTCTCGGGTGTCAATTAAGGCGATGTTTTAAGGGAAGTGAATTAGACTTGGAAAAAAAAAATTTTTTTTTTAAATTTAAAAATAAAATTTGAAAAATAATTCGAATTAAAAAAATAGTGTTAAAAGAAAAATAGTGTTAAAGGATACTATTTTCGAAAAAAAAATAAAATTTAAAAAAGGGAGGGAATTTTTAAAAATAAAAAAAATCGCTGTCCCTAGCACATTTTTGTTTTCCTTTTAAAAAATAAAAAAAATAGCCAGAGGCAAATTTCCAATAAAAAAATTATATATCTCGATGCTTTACTCTAGCTACCAACTATATCCCCTGTTAAATTCTCCCCTCTAGCTATGTCTACTAAATACTTGAATGTTGCCCTGAGTTAATTAAAGAGCGCAAATTGTTTATAAAAAATATGTAAGCACAAAAATATTTTTTTTAAAAATAAACAGGAAAAATAAAAAAGAAAACAAGCTAAAAAGGGGTATAAAAGGGGCAAATATACTGCTGCTGTTCTTAAAATGAGAAAAAATTTTTAAAATGAGAAAATATTAAATGCGCACGAAAATGCTTAAATAGTAGGGGAATATAAAATGCTGTAATATTAATAGCTTTTATAGTATGAATAAAATAAACTTGGAAAATAAATAAACTTGGGAAAAATACAGGGTATAAAATAGTAAAAAACATGTTGGAAATTAATTAAACTTTAATATAAACAAGTTTTTAGAAGAATTAAAAATTAAACTTGGATTTAAACAAGTTGGAAATAGACAAAGTGTTTGGGAAATAAGTAAACTTGAATTAAATATAAACAAATAAATAAACTTAAAAATAAACTTGAAACAAATAAAATTTAAAACTTGGAAAAATAAACTTGGAATAAAGTTGTAAAAAAGTTGAAGAAAAATAAACGAAATAAATAAACTTGTTTTAAAATAAATAAACTTGAATTAAATTTAAATAAACTTAAAATAATTAAACTTGAAAATAAACTTGATAAACTTGAAGCAAATAAAACTTGAAGCAAATAAATTAAAGTTTTAATAAATATACCTATTAGAGTCTCAACAAAAAATATAAAATTTAAAAAAGAATTAGCACTTTATTTTTTCTTAAATTCTTTTTTATTTTTACATCCGTTTTAAAAAATAAGGAAAAACGAAATTAATAAAAAGTAAAATGAATTAAACTAACTAGTAGTAGTTTAGTAAAAAAATATTTTGAAGCAAAATAAAACTAAATGATTGAATGAAATTCCTTGATGATTGAATGAATCCTTTTTTAAAGTAGTAAAAAAAGCTAAAAGGATTTTGAAAAAGATTTTGGAAGAAAGGGAAAATTAGCGGCAATTGGGGGCAAAAAGGAGGAGAAAAATTAAGCGATCAAAAGAAATGAAAGGGTCTTTAGGGCGCGGGAAAGGTTTAGGCGCGCGGTTAAAAAAGAGGTTGATCAAGAGAAATTGGAGAAGTGAAATTATTTTGTAAATTTTGTAAAAGTCTTAGCTATATTCTCTGAAAATTTCAGAATTTTTGGTTTAGTATCTCAAAAGTTATGGTAAAAAAATCACATAAAATGCTTGATTTTTAACAGTAACAGAGACACTTTCGACCAGAATTTCTGAAATAATAAACCAAAAATTCTGAAATTTTTAGAGGAGGAAAATAAAAGTATTAACTTTGTTCTCTGAAAATTTCAGAATTTTTGATTTAGTATAGTAAAAGTTATAGTGAAAAAATCACATAAAATGCGAATTTTTTAACATTAACAGAGACACTTTCGACCAGAATTTCTGAAATAATAAACCAGAAATTCTGAAATTTTTAGTGGTGAAATTTAAAAGGTATAAAAGACATCCTAGCAAAATTTCAGAATTTTAGACAACCAATTATCAATTTTATGATTTTTTGTTCCAAAGACGTCAGCGCCAAAACATCGCCCAATCCAGACGCAAAATATAAATTAAATTAAAAAATTTTTTTGAAAGAAAAATAAAAGCTATTATTAAAAAAAGAAAATAGAAAAAAGTATAATATATTTTATTTATAGAAGCTGACAGCGCCTGATTTTGGCGTAAGAGTGAAAAAATTTTTCAAAGAAAAAAATGTGTCATCTGTGAAGGAGTAGAAAAATTAGTGGATTTTTTAAATAGAAAAAAATAAAATGGCTAATTGAAGAAAGGAAATAAAATTGGGGAAGGGGTAATTAATACACTTTTTTTGCAATTGCTGATAAATAAATGGGGGGTTTTTTAGTAAAATTGGTTTTTATTTACTGTGGAGACGAGCTACCCCGAGGATTTGTTGAAATTGTTGAAATATTATTGAAATTCGAACTAAGTATGTATCAAGGATGATTAGAGAGACTAGGTATGTTCCATCAAAGTTTGAAATTACCACACGGACTGTGGACCCGAAACCCGATACCCGGATTTTTTTTTCGACCAGAAACCCGACCCGAGAAAAATTCCAAAACCGGACCCGACTTTTTTCTCACCCGTCCTCCCTGCTGTGGATGTTCCCTGAAGACCTGGAAGGTTCATCTCAAACTATAAATGTTCCAGACTTGAAATGTTCTTCAAGGACTAGGGATGTTCCAGTCGAACAAATAAAATGTAGTAATGAGTCTTCGGATTACCCTTATCTTGGGACTGAATTTAAGCTCATTTAAATTAGGAATTAATTAATGGAGTCACTTCAATCCCCTAGCTTTATTGTCTAAAAAGTCCATTTTTAATTTAAAAATAAATCTATTTAATTAATTAAATAGTCACATTTAATTCGAGTTTTTGACGTTTTTTAGTTTTTAATTTATTTTTATAATTTGGTTAATTTATCAAAAAGATGTGAGAGAATAAACAAAAAAAAACTGGGAATATAAATAAAATTAAAGGAAAAAGACAGCCGAAAAAAATTTTTTTTTCTATAAAAATTATTTTTAGGATTATTTTTTTAGCGGAATTTTTGTGAAGGAAGAAGCGAGAAATAAATTAATTAATTAAAAAAGATTGGGGGAGGGTGTGCTAAAATTAAAAGAAATTTTTTTTTATTTTTTTTGTGGGTGTGGATGGACGAGAAAAATTTTTTTGTTTTAATGCTTTGTTTTAGAGGGAAGTGGTTAATTGATGTGATTAGAATTTTATTTAAGATGTGATGACTTTTATTTTGTTAAAATTTTATTAAGAAATTGAAAATTAATGAAGGAGGGAAGAAGGTAGAGTCTGAAAAAAGAGCCGGAAATTGCTTCGACTAAAGGAGGTGTATTGTATTTCGAAAGAAGGTAGTCCGAAAAGAACACTGAAGAAAATACGTATAGGTCGGAGGGAACACCTTTAATTCCCGGTCAGAACTAAAGAAGGATCTCGGTCCGAAAGGAACATTCCTAGTCTGTACAGGAACATATCCAATATCTATAGGGAAATCCTAGTCGGAAGGGAACATCCATAGTTCTTATTTAAATTTTGTGGCGGTTTATCAAATCAAACATAAAAGAAAAATAATAAAATGATCAGAAAAATATTTTCAAAACCCCCAAAAATAAAAATATACAAATTTGAGAAATGTGAAGATTTGATGAATATTTTTCTTTTTACTTTTCGGAAAATTTTACAAATATTTATCTGTACTTTCCAATCATTTTATATTTTTACCAAGGTCAGAAATGAATTAAAAATGAAGGCAAAAATTCTTGTGCAAATAGAGCAAATAACTGTAGAATGTTAAAGGGTCACATAGAATTAAGAAGAAATTTTTTTAAATTAATGATAAATTAGTAGTTACAAAATTTTTATTTCAACCCCTTGCTCGAAAGGAAACATCCATAGTTTTAGGGATCATCTATAGTCCATTGATCGAAAGGATCCTGCTCGAGAGGAAGATACAATGTCTGAGGGGAACATTAGGTAAAGCCAAATGAACATCTAAAATCCGAAGGAGACCATCTATTATCCAGATGGGATGTCCATAATTCGAAGAGAGCATCCATAGCTTGAAGCAGACCTGGTCATGGAACGGATATGGATACAGATAATACCAAATGCCTGCGGATATCGCCTGTATCCGACGTAAATATTCGGATAAGGATACCGAAATCAGTATCCGTGACCGGGTCTGGTTTGAAGGAACACATCATAATACAGAGGTAACATCTACATATAATGTGAAGGGAACATCTATAGTCCGAAGGGGACGTCTAAGGTTCGAAGGGTACATTTAAAAAGTCGAAAGCGAACTCTAAATTTTGTAGTGGCCATCTAGCCCTAAAGAATATCACTTGTCTTAAAGAAACAAGCATATTCTGAAGGGGGACGTTGAAAAAAATATTCTTGGTTTAAATAAAAAATGGTTCCAGAAAGGAAAATTTGACTAAAATCGTGCACAAAAATAAGCATAAATCATAGACTAATTAAATAAAGTAGGATGAGAAAAAATTTTTTTTAAATAGTTTAATTGTAAAATTGATGGAGAGTGATTTATTAAAAAAATTTTTTTTGAGAAAAAGTAGACAGGCATTTTTCGGGTCACTTAGCCCTTTTTTCTCTCTTTTAAAATAAATTTTATTTTTTTACTATTCAGTTTTTCCCCCTAGTTTTTACTATGAATTTTACATCAATTTTTTCTGTTGACCTTCAAATGTCTGTCCACTCAAAGGGGGGATGTGTGGGGATGTGGGGGCTTTTTTTTTATAATTTTTCGGGGGGATTGAAAATGTGGTGGAGGGAGTGGACATTTGGAAAAGTGAAATGAGAGTGAAATGAAAGAAAAAATGTAAAATAAAAATTTTGTTGAGAGCGACGAAACGCTGCGGGGTGGGGGAGGGACAGGACGAACACTGAAGAAAGAAAAATGAAAAAAAGTGAAAATGAAGAAAAATGGGTGGGAGAGAATGAAATGACCAACTAGAAATGAGCTAAATGACCAAGAGAAATTTTATAGTAGAGGGGGAGGGGGGCCAAGAGTTTAAAATGGGGTGATCAATAGTCCGAAGGGATGATCTACATATAGTGTGAAGGAAACATTATATAGTTTGAAGGGAACATATCCAAGCTCGAAAAGGAGATCCCCAGTTTTAAAGTAAAAGCTATAGTCCGAAAGGAAAAGCATCATATGTAGTTCGAAGGGAACATCCCCATAGTCCGAAGGGAACATCCCCATAGTCCGAAGGGAACATCCCCATAGTCCGAAGGGAACATCCATAGTCCGAAGGGAACATCCCCATAGTCCGAAAAGAATTTATTCCCTTTTAGGTGGGTGATCGGTCTCGTAAAAGCTTCTAATTCAAGAAATGAAGTCGTTATTTTCGAGAGTAATGGAAGACATTTGATCGCAACTATAAAAAGACTCAAATGGTCCATATTGATCATCTAGCTTTCTCGCCGAATTTTATATTTTTTCATTGAAAGAAAAATGAAAACAAATAAAAAAAAATTAAAAAAAATTGAAGAGAGAAAATGAGAAGGGGGGACAGAGACATAAGGTTTTTTGACCACCATCGTTCTTAAGAGGATAACGCTTGGAGGAAAGGGCAAATGTTGAAAATAAAGAAAATTTTGAAAAAAAAATTGGGTCATTAAATGACCACCAAAAAATGAATATAAAGTTTTTTAGAGAAAAAAATAAAATAAATTTTATAGAGAAAGAGATGCTTATCTCAATGAGAAAAAATTTTATTTTTTATGTTGGCCATTTTTTGTATTTGTTTTTGATGTTCAATTAAAAGAGTAAAAATATTTTATTTAATTAGAAGAAAAATTAGAAAGAAAATAAATTAAGGGGTCATTTTAGAGTCCTATTAGAGAGTATTTTAAAAATTATGGAAAGCTTTGATACAGTGAGGGGGATAAGGTTTTTGACCACTCTCTCTGGGGAACTAGCCTAGCCTTTCTCTGGGAGCTGGCCTAGGAGTCGGCTGCGACGAGCCTGGAGCGGTCATTAATTTTTCCACTGAGCCCGGAGCCAACATAGAGCAGCTTCAAAAACCATTCGGCTCTGGTGTCAGAAGGTAAAAAACTCCGAAGTCGGAGCCAAAAATTTAAAAGAGAAAGGCGGTATCCTGAAACTAAGACTATGGAGGAGTTCAAGAAAAATTTTCACAATTTTCTCCCTTACCTTTGGAGAGGAAACCAGAAATTTTTTTTAGAGTGCACAAATTTACTAGTCTTAACAAAAAATCTAAAAATTTGCAAAAATAAATTGCTTATCTTTTTTTATCAATTTTAAACAAATTTTATTTTTAAGGTAAATAAAGTAGGTATAAAAATAATATTTTTTGGAGGGACCACCCTATTTATTTAATCTAGCGATAGTATATAAAATTAATTATTTTTAGAGATGAAAGTATTATATTTTTACAAAAAATAGTAAAATTAGGAGAAAAGTGAAGTAAAAATAATTTAATTAAGTAAAGGGACACATAGTAGAGACCAAGCGCAGGGTCAGTCTACCGCCGGGCCTATGACTAGACCTTGAAAGGTCGGATCTGGCCAAATTTGGTACCATTCGAAAGAGCTCCTCAAGCTGCGTCGAATGCTATCAAAATCGACTTTCTAAGTGAGTTTTTACTTTTTTTAGTAGATTAAATAAAGTGATACATACAGACCAAGCGCAGGGTCAGTCTACCGCAGGGCTTGTAACTAGACTTGTAAAAATCCTATCTAGCTACTTTTGGTACCTTTCGAAAGAGCTCCTCGAGCTGCGTCGAATGGTACCAAAATTATCTTTCTTAGTGCTCCCTTTAAGTAATAAAAAATTTGTTTTAAAGAGTCTAAGTGGTCAGTTTAACAAAAAATAAAATAAATAGAAAAAAAGGTTTGGCGTTCAACGAAAAACGAAAAAAAATTAGAAGAAAATATTTTTATCTACATATTTATTTATTTATTTATTTATTTATTTATTTATTTGACCTTTCCCAAAAATTTATTAAAAAATTGAGAGAGATGAATGGCTATTTTTTTAATATTAAAAAATGGAGAATAGAGAAGAGAGAAAAAACTAAAAAAATAAAATTGTAGAAATGACTAAAAAATTTTTTTCTAGAAAATAATGATGACCCTGAAAGTGGACGAGTGGTCAGCCCATACTAACGAGTGGTCATTTAATGAGAAAATTTTTTTATTTTAATTTGAAAAAGAGGGGGAATTAATTATAATTAAAATAAAATTATTTAGTAGATAAATAGTTTAATAAAGAAATTAATTAGGTTAATAGAAGGGAATTATTAAGAAATTTTTTTAGTTTTCTCAAAAATTAATATGTATCTTAGTGAAATATGAAAGAATAAAACTTGGAAATTTATAGGAAAAATTAATTTAAAAAATTATAAAACTAGTATAAGCAAATAAAAAAAATTTTTTAATTGGCAAAATGAGAAGGTTTAGGGAATTATTTTAGTTTAAAAAAAGAATTTTATGAAAAAAATTAAAAAAATATAGGTAGGTAAATGTCTGAACCTTCTCATCTTGCCAATTAAAAAAAATTTTTTTTTATTTGCTTATACTTTACCAAGTTTTTTAATTTTTAAAGAAACCTCATTTTCAATTCAATGTTTAAATATTTTTTACAAATATTTTCCAAGTTTATTTAAATTACAGGTTTATTTCCAAGTTAATTAATTAATTAAAAATGTTCTTATCTACCTCCAATTAAAAATAAATATTTAAATATTAAGTAAAACAAGCTGCTGAATAATCGTAAAATTAAAATATGTAGTCAAAAAATAATTTTGAAAAATTTAAAAATTAATTTTTAATTAAAAATAAAGTAAAAATAAATTTAAAAAATTAAATAAATTCAAATAATTAAATTTAAAAAATAGCGAGAAAAATGAATTAAATTAGCTATAATATTTTATTTTAATAATCAAGACCATCTGCAATAAGAAAAAAATTTTTTAGAGAAGAAAAAAAATTTTTGAGAGAAGAAAAAAATTTTTTTGTCCAAAAAAGCATTACATAATGAGTGACTAAATAGAAAAAAATTATTTTAATATGAAAAAAATAATAATTAGTGCCTATTAAATTTTGAATAAATATGTGTATATTTTTCAGTATATTTGAAGGAAATTAATTTAAAATTAGTTTATGGGCCAATGGAGATGGGGAGAAGGAAAAATATAATTAATTTAAATAAAGAAGGAATATTGTAATGGCTAATTTTTATTTTTAAAGTTGTGCCATAGTCTAAAAATGGTTAAAGAAGCAGTTAAAAATACAAACTAGACTGAAATGTTGTTGGTTTTTAGGGGGTTTTTTGGGGGTTATTGTGGGTTTTTTGCGGGTTTTTTGGGGGATTTTTGGGGGATTTCTTTGATTTTTCTCAAACTAGACTAAAAGGGTGTCTTTACAAAAATCAAGAACGATGCCACAAAAAATCTCGATATTCAAAAATCTAGAGTTCTGTTCGATTAGTCCTACCTCGAGTTAAATTCGGAACACAAAATAAACCGAAACCATGTAGAGAGTAGTTCCCTTTCAGCTTCTCACAGTCGATGTTCTTGTCTCTCTCCCAGTCTACTATCTAAGTATATTAATTAGGAAATCATGGATCTAGCTCATCATTCTTAGCAGGTTGATCTATTCAAATTATCCCAATAAAGGTTACAACCCATTTTGTCTCAATTTCTTATTGCCCTATCAAGATTTGCTTATACTTAAGTAAGGGTGACTGATCCGGATTCGAAAAAATACAGGATATCCGAAAATTTGGATATCCGAAAAATTTGGTCTAAGTTTAGTATATTCTATTTTAGATAAATTACTTCCAAAATCAAATTTAATTTTGTCATTTTTTTTGTAAAAAAACACCTTCCCACAACCTTGTAAATTTTATTTTTTTTCAAAATTATTTTTCTATTTATTCCGCGCATTTTTTAAAATTATATATTATTTTTTCTTCTATTTTTGCCCACAATTTTTTTCATTATCATTTTTTATATTTTATTTTTTTAAAATGATTTTTGCGGCTCTTTTTTCCAATTTTCTCTTTTTTTTTCAAAGAAAATTTCCTTTTTTTTACTTTTTAAAAAATAAAAAAAAGACAAAATCACACCATATGGCGGAATGTTGAAGGACATAAAAATAAAATTTTTATACAAAAAATTCGTTTGTTAAATGGCGGGGACAGAAAGAAAAAAAAAGTGAAAAGGGAAAATATAGAAATTATTTTTTAATAAGAAAAAAAATTAATTTTTCTATCCATTTTTTTCGGATTTGGCAAAAAAATTGGGGAAAATTAGTAAAAATGAGGAAAATAAAAAAAATTTTTTAATAAGTCAAATGTCCAAAATTAAAAATACAAATAATTAAGGGAGCAAAATTAAACAAAAAAAGGTCTGTAGGAAGGGTGCTCCCCACAATTTTTCAATCTAAAATACCCCATTTTACATATTTTAGGAACTCCTTGAATGACTGAAAATGGGAGCGGTAACTTAAAAAATAGGTAGTGGAGTACGATTACTTAGTAATGGTCTGTAGTAGGGATATCACTGCTTATTTGATCCGAAATCCTATCAGACTCTTTATGCTTGTATCCTCCTTGGTCTGAAGGAGGGTTGCTCCTCATCCCGGCCCGACTATGATTTTTAAATCATTTCCCGACCCATGTCCTCTTACAGTTCATAAGAGGATTGGGGGGGGGGAGGGGAGAGGGGGATCCAATCCACGAAAATGTTATCCCCGATGTATTTGGGGAACAATCGAAGTCTGTAGTCAATATTCAGTGAAGATATACCTTTCGGCACTTAATAATATTTATAGTAGTTGTTTAATTCTTAATTTTAAAATAGTAATAAATTTCCTCACAATTTTATTTTTAATTTTAATGAGAGTTAGAGAGGAAATATTTTTAATATTTTAGGATTTGGAAGCCTTAAAAAATTTATTTTATTTTATTATTTTAATAATAGTCGTTTAACACAAAAATTTATTTAAATTTGGCCAATTTGCAATAGCAGTTGCCCCAACTAAAAATAAAAATATAAAATGAGGAGTTGGTAAAGCCTATAATATTATTTTAATTTTTAATAGGGATACTAGAGGCGTTATTAAAATTTATTTTAAAAATTCTAAAAAAATTTTAAATAATCGAATAACGATTGAAAAGGAGAAGACAAATACTTAAAAATATAGGGGCTCAAATAAAAAAAATTTTTTTATGATAAGTGTAATAATTGATAAGAATAATTGGATCATTCTCACATTTAATAAAATATAAAAAAATAATTTTTAAAAAATTTTTGGAAATCTGAAAAAAAGGGTGGGGAAAACAATAGATGGGGAGCTTCACAAACACTGGAATCATTCTTGGAAAAATTTTTTTAACCCGAAATTTTTTATAAAGCATAAGCCCTCAGGGTACAATTTATTTTATTCGAAGTCTCTAGTCAAAAAATATAAAAATTAAAAAAAAGTGGGAAGAGAGGCTGAAAATCTCTGGAAACAATAGTAGAAGCTCAACAACTATCGTATCAATTAGAGACCAACTCAGAAAATTTTTAAAATTTTCCTAAGCCTGTAAGTTACAATTATCTTTCTACAATCCCCAGTAGTTTAGTCTAGTCTAAAATTATTTAAAAAATCCTAAAAAAGCTTCCTAATAATTTTTTTCTATTTTTAAAATCCATTTAAAAATACTACAATAATATAGTAGCTACGTCAAACAAAAATTCTTTTTAAAAAAAATTTTATTTTAATTTTGCCCCATTCTCTCATTGGGCGGTTTAAAAAGAAGAGGAAATGAAAAAAACTGTGGGCAGACGAGCACTCTGAAAATAAAAAAAAAATTTTTAAAAGAGAATGAAAAAAAGTGTGAAATTTGTGTGAATTTATTTTTAAGCCAAAAAGGTTTTTGAAAAATAAAAATTACGGTAAGTGGCGTGTGGAGAATTGAAAATGAGGAAGAAAATAAAAAAAAAGTTTTTTTTGACGGCATTTTAAGAAAAATGGAATATTTAATTGGAATATTAAAAAATTTAAAAAAATAATATTTTTTTATTACTTAAAGGATAGGAGGAAAATTTTTTGAATTTTTATTTAAATAATTCGAGAAATATTTATAAAAATAAAATTGGGCATTGGGCGTGCAAGGCAGAGTTAGACGCTTAAGATGGAGCTAGAGCTGAGCTATGACTTAGGAAAATTAATAAGCAAACTTTTCAAAATTCCCCCACCTCCTTGAGTTGCTTGAGAGCTACCCCTATCTCCTTGAGTTGCTGGAGCAGGAGAGGAGCCGAAAAACTGCTGAAGAGGAAACCCCGATCTAAAACCAGACTTGAATTTTTATATAGCTCTAGAAGAAGGCCCCAAACCTGAAGCCATCAGCTGGCTTGGCAAGGCCAGAGAGGCCCAAAGGCCCAGAGGCCCAGAGCTGAAGCCATCTAGTTTGGCCCCAGAGCTGAAGGGCCTAGATGGCCCAGAGCTGAAGCCATCTAGTTTGGCCCCAGAGCTGAAGGGCCTAGATGGCCCAGAGCTGAAGCCATCTGGTTTGGCCCCAGAGCTGAAGGGCCTAGATGGCCCAGAGCTGAAGCCATCTGGTTTGGCCCCAGAGCTGAAGGGCCTAGATGGCCCAGAGCTGAAGCCATCTGGTTTGGCCCCAGAGCTGAAGGGCCTAGATGGCCCAGAGCTGAAGCCATCTAGTCTGGTCTCTTCTAGAGCTCCGGAGCCGGATGGAGCAATGCTTTAGGGTCTTGGCTATTTAAATGAAATTTTTAAATATATTAAAAAATGTGTGATATTAAAATTTATTTATTTAAAGCTCCTCCTACTTTTTTTATTTTAAAAATGAAAGTGAGCCGTTTTAAATTTAAAAAATTTTTAAATTTAAGATAGGAATTAGGGCTGTGTGTGAATGAGGATTACGGACCATAGAGAAACTTCCGGTTCTTTTAAATTTTAGTTTATAAAATTGGGAGAAGACGGATGGTTGTTGAGTAAAATTTAATGGGAATTTGTGTTTTTTACTAAAAATTGGAAGAGAGAGAGAGTGTTGAACCTCACTGAATACTCTTATTTTCTGTGGTTGACGTTTTAGAATTACGGACCATAGAAGGTATACAACTTCAACTAAATCAAAAAATGATTTAAAAAATTAGGAGCGCAGTCGCTTCATCGAACATCGGTACATTATTAAGCATATTATTATTTAAGGCCTCCTCCAACCTCCATATAGCATATTAGTCATCAGTAGGGACAGCCAAAACATGCAAATGCATGTTTTGTATGCGGATATGTCTTGAAGTGGGAAGCCCAAAAATGGTGTTTTTACATAAGTACGGGCACTTTAGGACCCGGTTCTTAATGCATATATTTGCATATTTCGACCATTTCGTGCATATTTGCATATTTGTGCATATTTTGGCAAAATTTGCATATTTTGGTCCATATTTAGGCATTTTTTGTAAAATTTTGCCAAAAATTGACAAAAATTTTGAAATTTTTTGGTCAAAAAAATTTTTTTATAAAAATTTTTTGAAAAAATATTTTCGAAAATTTTTTGGGGAAAATTTTTTTCCCCAAAATTTTTGCAGAAATTTTAAATATATTAAATCCTTTAGAAGTGTTCATAAAATGTAAAATTAAAGGCTAAATTAGTGTTTTTAAATTAAAATATTGATTTTTAAAGCATATTTTAACTATTTTTTGGTGCATATTTCACTGCATATTTTGGCAAATTTTGCATATTTTGATGCATATTTTGGGCTTTTTCGGTGCATATATATGCGCATATTTGGCAATTTTCCGTGCATATTTTGGCTGTCCCTAGTCATCAGCCTGCAATCCTCCACAAAACTCTCCTTAAGAGTTTTTGGACTCCTTTATAAGGAGCCGTTTCCTCCCGGCCTCGAGTTCAACGTGAGAACACGTTGAACAGAAACTTTTTAATTACGTCGCTACAAGCAAGAGCTCCTATTCCACCGTAACCTCGCAATGAGGCTGAGTGAATAAATGCTTAGCTGTCCTATGTCCTCCACAACACTGCGCTCCACATTTTTGCCCAGGAAGCTTAGTGTAATATACCGGTTGAATATTTAGAAAAGAAATATTTTATGTGTTGCAAAAAGGTTTTTTTATAAAAGCATTTTCTATCTTCAATTTACTTCTTTGTCTTGTTTCTTCTATTTGAAAGATTTTTGGTCTGAAAATTTTATCCTATAATGAGTATTTTCTTACTTAGATTGAGAGTATAGCTTAGCTGATTTTTCATTAGGTGCCAAATAAATCTGCAAAACGTATCACCTAATATTGGTTTATGTAAACTCGAGGTCTGACAGAATAAAACCCTCGCTATTGTCGACAAGTCTCTCAATCATTTTAGGCATCTGCCCCGCTCGGTGGTATATCAATCTACTATTGGGTGTATGTAAACTAGAGGTCCCTATATTAAGGCATATAATACTGTATTGTCCGCATGTGTTTTCCGCAAGTTTTTAAAATTCTCCTGCCTATATTAAGCCATAAAAAAATTTTATTTATATTTTCCTTTCACACTTTCCCTCTCTCAAAATTAAAAATAAATAATGAATAAATAATATATAATTAATGGAGTGCCATTATTTTTTTAAAAGAAATGTGTAAAAGAGGAAAAAAGTTTTTGGGATAAAATGCCATTGAAAAATAAAAATTCAAATAAAAAAAATTTTTTTTCTCGCTTTAAATATTCTCCCCTTCCCCTCTTCCCTTTAAAAAGCTAAAAATGAATTTTATATTAAAAGTAATGAGAGAGCATAATAAACAAAAAGTCTAAATTATTAAAAAAGGGAAAAATATAAAAATTTGAAATGTAAATTGGGTGGACGTCTCCTCCTCCTATGCCATGGGAATTAATGGAAAAACTTTTTTTCTAGTGAAAAATATAAATAAATTAAAAATAAAAACTTTTTTGGTTCGCGCGAGAGGAGGAAATTTAAAGAAAAGTTGGGGGAGAGAAATGAATTTGGAAAATAAAATTAAAAATACGGGAAAAATACAAAAAAATACAGATAAAAATACAAGAAAATAGGCCTATACAATCAAACCCCTCGATTTAACGAACTTCTTGATATAAGGAACCTTATCTTCAGCCCCCTTAAGTTTGCCATATCGTGTCCAGAAATGTGACAGGCTGAGAAAAAGGTTGGGTCAAGGTTTCAAAATTTCTCCAGATCGGGTTTCGGATTGGAAAACAGGTCGGGTTGAAAATATCGTGTTTAAGGTAACCCAAGCTTCGACAATAATTAAAAATATATATCAAATATTAAATAAAAAATATAAAAATACAAAAAAGGAAAATTAAAAAATATACTAATTAAAAAATAAAAATAAAATTCCCATTTAAATAAATTTTATTAAAATAGCGTGAAATAACAACCTATTTAATTGTGTGTGAAAAACAAATGCAAAAATTAAAATAAAATAACAATATTAATAAACTTGTTATGAAAAATAAACTTTCTAAAAATAAACTTGAAAATAAACTTAAAAAATAATGCTATTAAAAATAAAACTTGAAAAAATAAACTTGTTTAAAAACAAAAAAAACTTGATTACAAACAAGTTGTTTTAAAAAGACTAAACTAGAACAAAAAACATAATTAAACCTGAAAAATTAAACTTGATTTAAAACAAACTTGTAAAAACAAACTTAAATAATAAACTTGAAAAAATGAACTTGTTTTCAAACAAGTTTATTTTTATAACTTAAATAAAACTTCAAATAAATAAACTTACATAAAATAAACTTTGCAGAGACAAGTTATACAAAAATAATAACAACAGAAAACTGGAATATTTTTATGAAATATAAAATCATCAAAAATTACCTCACAAAATTAATTTTAAAATTAATAATAACTTGTAGTCACTTTTATTAAAAAAAGTAAAGACATATTTAACAGACTTTATTATTTTTTTCATTTCCTCTCTAATTTTTAAATTAAATATTAAAAAAATAAAATAAAAGAATTGGCAAAATTAAAAAAAAAATTTTTAACAAACATTTAAAAGTAAAAAATTCATCAAAAGGAGTAAAAATAATTTAGAGGAAAGGGGAGACTTTGGGGAATAATATTTCCAGGCGACAAAAATTAAAAAAAGAAAAGCTTCTCTAAAACGTCAATCCTATAAAATAGACTTGTGTATGTTTTTAATTGGCAAAAATGGTAAGAATAAAATAAATAAATTTAAAAGTTATGGCGCGTTTCAAATTTCATTTTTTAAATGAATAAATTCTGCTGCTTTATTTTATTATTATTTTATTTTAGTATAAGAAAATAAACTCGAAAACGTTAGCAAAAAAAGTTGGAAAAAAGTTGGAAGAAAGTTGGAAATAAGTTGTAATAAAGTTGGGAAAAAGTTCGAAACAAGTTGGGAAAAAGTTCGAAACAGGTTAAAACAAAGTTGCAAACAAGTTGGAAATAAACTTAAAACGTGAGCACAAAACAAGTTGGAAACAGGTTACAAACAAGCTGTAAATAAGTTGGAAACAAGTTGAAAACATGCTACTAATAAGTTGAAAACAAGTTCTAAATAAGTTGTAACAAGTTTTAAGTGAATTTAACGAAAAAAGCTTTAAACAAGCTGTAACAAACAAGTTTTAAAATTAGTAATAAATTAAGAAAAAGAAAAGAATGTTTTACAAAATATGTTTTAATTAACTTAACAACAGAAACAATTAATAGTGATGTTTTCGATGTTTTATTGGAGCAAATGTTTATTGTTTATAAATTAATATTTTAAAAATTTAATTTAAATATTTACTAGAAAAAAATGGCAGGAAGGAAGAAAGAAAAGCTTATCTTTAAAAATTTTTGCTAAAAAAATAAGAAGATTATTAATTTGTTAAATTAAAAAAACTGATTTTTGAAATATAAATTTATTAAAAAAAATTTTTTTCCGAAGCAATTCAGAAAATTAAAATTTCTTTTTAAAATTATTTATATGAGCTAAAGAATTTGTACTGAGCAAAAAAGGATTTATTTGTAAAAATTCCTGACCTTTAAAAATTTTTTATTAAAATTATTTGTAGATTTTAACCAGACAATTAATTAAATTGAAGATTTTTAATAGTTTTTTGGAATAGTATTTATTTGCTTTTTTTAGGGGAAAGAAATTTAGAGACAGTAAAAGGAAGCTTCGATTAAATTAATTTTAAATAGATGGATCAAAAAGCTTTGATTTTGAAGTTTAGCTGGTTCTTTAGGAAAACAATTAGGGTAAATAAATAGTAAAAACTTCCAAGACCGAAATTTTTCAAAGACTCAAGACCAGGACACAAGCTGGTGATGACCAAAATGACGCAAATGACCAGAACCCAATGACCCATACCAACCAACCCAAAGACTCTTGATCAAGCCTCCAAAACCAAGACTACCCTAAGACTAAGACCAAGACCAAAAAAAACCCCCAAGAAAAGTCTTGATCAACCCAAGAGCCTTGGAGGTCCTAATAAAATCATAGTAAAAAATCATAAAGCCTCTTGTCTTCTCCTGCCTGTATTTTAATTTTACGAAATATCCATTAAACTTAGTAAAAACATAAAAAAAATTTTTGTATAAACAGCTAAGTCAAAAAAATGTTTTTAACATTCAAAATTAAATTTATTCTTCAATTTACCCGACAAAATAATAATTATATTTTAACTAACACTAACGTTTTCTACGTTTTTTAACATATTTTTAGTGTATACAAATGAAAATTAAATTAGCCAGAAATATTAGATGGATGAATATTAAATATATAAAAATATTTTTGGGAAGGGAAGGGCCTAAAAATGAGGGGGAAATGCCAAAAAATGCGCTATATACACGGGAAATTGAATTTCTTATTAAAAAATGTGTTAAAAACAAAAATATTTTTATGAAAAAATAACGGAGATTGGATTAAAATTTATTAAGTAAAAATTTGTTTAGTTAAACTGATGAAAATATAGTTAGTTTTATTTTTAATTATTTACAGAAATTTTTTAGACAGAAATTTTGAAGCAAAATAAATTTAGAAAGATACTTGAAGCTGCAAGATTTTTGAGTTGAACTTGGGTGGGTGGAAGAGGGGATATGGGAGAGAGAGAGAGAAGGGGCGGCTAAAAAGCCTGTATCTCCTGTGGCCAAAAAGCTCGTAAACTAAAATGAGTTTGTACACTAAAGTGGATGAGCCAATCAAACTGATTTTGAAAGACTGATTTTAAAAAACAAAAGGCTAAATGGCATATTTGTTTGTTTTATTCTAGATATAGTACAAGTGTCCCTCTTTAAAAAATAGAAACAAGTTGAGGGAAGTTGCGGAAGAAGAAAATATGTTCATTTATAGAACTCAACCTATATTTTTTTGGAATTTATTTACATTTCCTTCCTTGATCAGAAAAATAAGTAAATAAATAAAAACCCCTAAAAATTCTAACGAAAATAATAATCCAAAACCATCCAGTAGTCATGTATAGAATTCTTAATTTTACTAAATTTCTGATTATTCTAGCACTTATCCCAGAAATTAAATTTATTGCCCCCTTTATTCACCCAGAAATTAACAGAACCCAAGAGATTTTTAATATTAATCCAACTAATTTAGATATTTATTTTTTTCAAGTTGCAGTCTCTGCCTTATTTAAGGTTGGATTTTAATCTCAAAAAAATTTCAAAAAAATTTTTCAAAAAATTCCAGGCCAAAGCCAACTTTATTTTACGTTCATTGCCCCACACAGAACGTATTGTTTTCCGTCAATGTGTAATTAATACTCAAGGAAAATTAAATTTATTAGCAAAATGTATGGTTTCTCTATTTAATGTTCGGGATAATTTTAGGCATGTTCAAGAAAGGAAGAACACAAAATTTAGAGAGAATTTGAAAATTAATTATTTAAATAATCAAGAATGGCCTCTATGGACACAAATATTTAAATTTGAAGAATTGAATGAATTAGCTGACTTAACTTCAATTAAATCAAAAAATCCCTCGAAAATCTCCTCAAAAATTCATGAAAAAAATTTCTCTAAAATTCAACGGAATTTTGAAGTTTTTACAAATTTAAAAGAAGAAAATAATCGAAATAAATTTAATAATCAAGCAAAAATGAAGATATCGAGGAGTAAAAAAATATATAAAATAAATAAACGGATGAGAAGTAAACGAAAAATAAGCGGAAAAGAAAATTTTAGTTTAAAAAATATTGACGAGAAAAAACTTGAAAAATATCCAAATGTAAGGCAACTTTTGGAAATTGAACGATTTTATGATAAAGTGGAGCGTTGTAATAGGTTTATTAAATTGAAGGAGGAGCAGTTAAACAGGTGGTTATTTAAATTTAAAAATCAGAATTAAATCAGAAAATAAAGAAAAAAACAAAATCAGAAAGAAAGCCACCAGAAAATCAGAAGCCAGGAATCAGAAAATCAGAAAACCAGAACTATACAAAAACCAGTAAAAAACCAGAAGAAATCAGAACAAATAAAATCAGAAATCAGAACAAATAAAATCAGAAATCAGAACAAATAAAATCAGAAATCAGAACAAATAAAAAAAATCAGAACAAATAAAAAACCAGAAGAAATCAGAACAAATAACAAAATCAGAAATAAAAATCAGAACAAATAAAAAATCAGAAACAGGAAACCAGAAAAATAATAAAAACACAAAATTCAGAAAAAAACCAGAAAATCAGAAAAACCACTAAAAATACTAAAAACACAAATTAAGTTTACTTCAAAACATTGGATTGCCTGTTCATCTATCCTCAGAATCCTATCAACGAAATCCATTATTTAACACAGCAGAAACACAAATTCAAAATACCGTTCATTTTGACCAAGTGGAAATACTCTCTCCTAAATTATTGTCTATTATACCTGAAATTCCAAAAACGAGAAATTCAAGCAGTACACAACTAGAGGAAATGTTAATGTCACCAACTTTTCTATCTTTCCATGAAGAGGGGAATTTTTCTATACAATACTTGTTAAATGTAAGTTCTCTTCAAGAGGGGTACAATTGAATCTTCCCTTAGCTACCCCTCCCACTATAAAAATATTACCTATAGCCTAAGCTTCTACTAGCCAGGGATAGTTCGGCTTACACAAACTCCGATACACAGACTTTTTGACTCGAACCCCGATCCTAATTTTTTGTCAACTCACATGGTTTAAAAATCCCTCTCGTTTAAGCTCGTATTTACCAACAACAAACAAGAAACACTTCCATGGCTCGAATTACTTTTACAAATGAGTGGAGCTGCTGCCACCCTGAAGCGTTTACTAAACCAACTAGAAAATATAAAAAACGAAATTGAAACCAAAATTCTTCCAGCTGTTGAACGTTTGGAGGAAATTGATAGAAGATTTACTAAACTTTCAAAGTGGCATAATAAAAGGCAGAAGGATGAGCTTGAATTGAGGGGGTACACTTTTTTGAGTAGGAAGCAGTCTAAAATGATGATTAATGGAAAAGCATTAAATGAAGCAGGTAGTATCTCCCCACATCATCCAGTATCTCCCCACATTCATTATCTCTCCCCACATTCATAATCAATCACATTAAGTTTCACATTTGGGACAAAAAATGGTATCTTATAAAGAGCATAGATTAGGTGTGAGTATCGCTCCAATCATCCAGTATCTCCCCACATTCATTATCTCTCACTGTCATACAAAATCTTCCTCTCATCTCCACTGTATCTCTTTCCTCATCCATTATCTCTCCCCCTTAACCAGTCAACCAGTATCTCAATACCTCACTCAATATCTCTCTCTCTCTCTCTCATCTAATATCTTCCCCCGAATCCTACTAAATTATAGGAACGATCTTATAGCGAGGTTCGACTAAATAAAAATTTTCTTCCGTATTTTAAGACAAAATATTTCAAGAAATAAATGAGGAATTGAGTGATGATGAAAACGAAATAGATGCAATTCTAGAAGAAGATATTCGATTGATCTCAAAACTTGAAGATAATAGTCACAATCTTGGAGAGAAATTTAAAAAATATTTTTCCCCCAAAAACTACTCGAATAGAGCAAAACGTTTTATTAAAACAGAAAGTTTTGGACAAATGAGAATTTTAAATCCATTTCTGTTTGCTAATCAAGTGAAGGATGGAGCTGTATTGAGGAGGGTTGCGCTATCACCAAAGGCTTTTAGTGCACAGATTTTATCTCCAGATTTTGGGAGTGTAAGTAATCAACTTGTTGTTTTTGGGGCTATTGTCCGGGGCCGCCGAAAGCCTGGAATCCGGACCCTCAACCCCTCGAATGTCCAGAACCATCGAAAAAGTTCTGAAAAAAAACCCGAAACACCCAAAAATTATTTGAAATCATGTTATGAATCATCTCGACTCCCATGTGAAGAAAATCTTTTTCAGCTCTCCGTTCTGAGCCCTTCAGCATTTGTCCCCAGTGTATTATCCCCACGTGCAGCTATTGCAAATATATTATCACCAAATGCGTTTACTATGGAATTATTAACACCTCAAGCTTTTGCTACAGAAATACTCTCTCCACGCGCATTCAATGCGAAGGTAGACACAAAAAATTCAAAAATTATTTTAAAATTTTTATTAAAGGTCCTCTCCCCTCGAGCATTCTCTGCTTATGTTTTGTCACCAAGGATGTTAATTACAGAGATTTTATCCCCAAAGGCTCTTGAGATGCGTGTTCTTAGCCCTACATTTCTTTCATTTGTAGTGCTTAGTCCAGGTTATTTAATGTTACACAGAAAAGGCTTTGATGGGATTATTGGGAGAATAAATTCTGACTGAAGTTTGCCTCCTTAAATTTTAATTCTGTTGACTTGGAAGACTAAAAGATGATTAATAATGGTGTTAATCAGGGTTGTCTGTTCCTGGAAATCTTCGGATATTCTGTGGATATTCGGAAATAACCAAAAATTGGATAACCAGTTCCCGAAAAGTCCTCGGTTTGGGTTCAAAGCGAGTTGAGATATTTGAAAAAACTCAGTCCGGATTTGTGCCGTAAGAATGAACCGAAAATCCTCATCAAAATCAAAAATAAATTTTCAGCACTTTTACAAGTATCAATCGCTTCTTCACAAAACTATGCTCTACAAATTTTGAGCCCTAATATTCTCTCACCCGGATTTCTTAATGAAGGGATTTCTAACATTCGAGTAACATTTTTCTTCATATATTGTCCCCCAAAAATTTTTTCCTTTTCAGATATTGTCTCCAAGAATACTTAGCGGTCGCGCGAGAAGATGAACTTTGATGAAGTTCAATGGGGGATTTTTTTATTAATTTTATTAATTTTTTTTCTCGCTTTAAAATCTCGTTTTTAATCTCCTTCAATACTTGAGAAATTAATAATTCAATTATTTTTTAAATAAACTGTTTAGCGGTAATCTTCTTTTAATTAACCAGAATTTAATGAAATATAAGCGTTCACTCTAAAAAATATAAAAAATAACTGTTAGAGAGAAGTTGCGGAAGAAGTACAAAATAATTAATGAACAAATAACTAAACAAACTTGTATTTTTCTTAAAAAATTATAAAAAAAATTTTTTTAAATAAATCGGTTTTTTAAATCTTCATTTAAAGTATCTTCATTTTCGAAGGCAATAAAATTTTTAGATTAATTATGAATTTTTTCTGATTTTAATTATAAGTCGGTAAGGTAAAATCATATTTGCAGGATCCTGTATCAGGATCCATCAGGATTAATCCTGATGGATCTTGAAAACTGAAAAAAGGCATGATTTCGGACAGGATCCTGAAAATCCTGTGCAGGATCCGGACCTGCGCCGACCTCTAATTTTAATTTTTTTCTGATTCATTATTTTTAAATTATTCTAAGTAGAGATCGAATTTATGTAGATATGATATTGAACAAAAATCATGGTTATCGAAAACGAGATCTCCAAAAAAATTTTTCAAATCACCTTTCGGACTGAAAAAGTCAGGGTTTCGTGTAACTCGATCCCTTCCTAATTCTCATACGACCCTCCCCCGTTCGGCTTTTTTTTAATTTGGAATTTCAGAATTTTTATTTTCATATTCTTATATTAATTTTGAATTTCTTGCTTATTAAAATGCCTAAAATATTTATAATAATTCCAATTCTCTCCCTTCTCTCTCAATTATGGTACTGCAAGTTCGCCTTCGCCCTCAAAGCAGAAAATAATCAGAAAACAGAAATTCTCAGGATGGATCCAACTAACTTAGATATTTATTTTTTCCAAGTTGCAGTCTCTGCTTTATTTAAGGTCCGATTTTAAACTCAAAAAAATTTCAAAAAAATTTTTCGAAAAAATTCCAGGCCAAAGCCAACTTTATTTTACGTTCATTGCCCCACACAGAACGTATTGTTTTCCGTCAATGTGTAATTAATACTCAAGGAAAATTAAATTTATTAGCAAAATGTATGGTTTCTCTATTTAATGTTCGGGATAATTTTAGGCATGTTCAAGAAAGGAGGAACACAAAATTTAGAGAGAATTTGAAAATTAATTATTTAAATAATCAAGAATGGCCTTTTTGGACACAAATATTTAAATTTAATCAAAATTTAATTAAAAATCCGTCAAACATTTTTCAACCAAAATCCCCCAAACATAGAGGAAATTTTACTATTTTTAAAATTTTAATGCAAGAAAAAATAAATGGAAAGAAAATAAATGAGGCGAGGTTAATGAGGATGAAGCAACGTTCGAATAGAAAAAGGTAACTTTAAGAAATTAATTTTTATTATCAAATATGAAAGTATAGATATAGTCCAGGGATGTCGGCTAGAACCCTGGTGCAGTACTAATACATACAATTTTTACATACCCCTTGTTCAACAATAAGAACATTTAAAAAAAATTTTTTTGGTGGAACAATAGGTGGCTGGCGCTATTGTTCTCTGTCTAACTGAAATTAAAAAAACCCGGAAGGAAAATGAATAAAATTAAAAAAAAACAAAGGACTGAAGGATCCCTAATGCCTAAAAATAAATCAGTTTTTCTCGGTATCTTCAATTTAAAGACATGAAGATAACACTTATAAGGTTTTTGAGCTCTAAAGGGGTGATCCTAAAGGAGAGGTTGTATGACTGTATTTAAATTTTAAATTCAGATTTTTCGGCATAAAATTAAAAAAAGAAGTTAATAAAGAATCAAAGATAGAGATATTCAAAAGAAAAATGAAAATAATGAGAAGGGAAAAATTAAAAAATAGAAATAAACGAGAAGAAAAATTTTTAGAGGGTGTTAGAAAAAATTTAAACAATTTTAAAAATATTGATGAGAAAAAACTCGAAAAATATCCAAATGTAAAGCAACTTTTAGAGGTTGAACAATTTTATGATAAAGTGGAGCGTTGTAATAAGTTTATTAAATTGAAGGAAGAACAATTAAACAGGTGGTTATATAAATAAAAATCAGAAAAAAATCAGAATAATAAAGAAAAATCAGAAAACCCAGAACCCAGAAAATCAAAACCCAAAATGTTACAACCCTAAAAAATCAGAAAAAAACAGAAATTCAGAAGCCAATAGATCGGAAAATCATAAAATCGGAAATCGGAAAAATCAAAAACCAGATAATAAAAAGATCAAAAACCAGAATAATACAAAGCCAGAAAACTAAAAATCAAAAATCAGAACCCAGGAAATCAAAACCAGAATGATACAAACCCCAAAAACCCAGAAAAATCAGAACTTCAGAAGCCAGAACATCAAAAAACCAGAAAATAAGAAGAAACAGACAATAAGATCAGAAACCCAGAATAATACAAAACCATAAAACTAAAAATCTGAAAATGAAAATATAATTTGTTGTTATCAGAATCCCAGAAAATTTTGACAAAAATCAGAATACAAGAAAAAATATCAGATAAAAATCAGAATAACAAAAATCAGAATTATAATTCCAAAATTTCAGTTTAATGAAAAAATTCGGATTGCCTGTAAATTTAGCAACGGAATCAGTACAACCAGATCCCCTACTTAATACCGTCAAATCTCAATTACAAAATACCATGCATCTGGATAACATGGAAATACTCTCTCCTCGATTGTTGAATATTGTGCCTGAAAATCCGAAAAAGAGAAATCCCGAAATTGAAGAAATGTTGATGTCCCCAACATTTTTATCCTTCCACGAGGAAGGGAATTACTCTATACAATCTTTACTAGATGCAAGTTTTTTATTAATTTTATAAGACGTTTTAGTGGGGTTTTGAGGCTCTTAGTTAGGTTTCGACTTGGTTTCGACTATCTTGAGGTTTATGCGAAAATCTAAGCTTAAGGTAAAGTAAAAGTCAAAATTTATTGAGTGTTCAAGAATAAACATGTTCATGAATACAGATAATATCAGCTGATATTCGTTGATACGGACAGATATGGATATAAACTTTTCGAAAAAGGAGGCGGAATTTGTCAGGGGTTTCTTGGGTGTTCTAGGGACTACTAGGGTTTGAGCTACATTCCCGGCCTTATCTCCTGAAAAATTTTCGGTCCATAACATCTCTACTGAACTCATTAGAATCTCCCATTTAAGCTCGTCTTTACCAACAACAAACAAGAAACACTTCCTTGGCTCGAATTACTTTTACAAATGAGTGGAGCTGCTTCCACCTTGAAGCGTTTATTAAATCAACTAGAAAATATAAAAAACGAAATTGAAACCAAAATCCTTCCAGCTGTTGAACGGTTGGAGGAAATTGATAGAAGATTTACTAAACTTTCAAATTGGCATAATAAAAGGCAGAGGGATGAGCTTGAATTGAGGGGGTACACTTTTTTGAGTAGGGAGCAGTCTAAAATGATGCTTACTGGAGATAATGGGCAAAGTATTACTGACCCTTTTTAACGAATTTAATAGTCCATTCCAAAATTTAAGGCAAAATTCTCCAAAAAATAAATGAAGACGAATTAGGCGATGATGAAGATGAATTGGAAGCTGTACTTGAAGAAGACATTCAAAAATTATCAAAAATTAATGAGAACGACCCCAATTTAACCAGCAATGTTGGAGATGGATTTAAAAAATATTTGATTAAAAATAGAACGAAGCGTTTCATGGAAATTGAAAGTTTAGGACAGATGAGAATTCTTGATCCTTTTCTTTTTGTTAATCAAGTGAATGATGGGAAAGTAATGAGAAGGGTTGCGCTATCGCCGAGAGCTTTTAGCTTACAACTTTTGACGCCTGATTTTGGGGGTGTAAGTTTGTTTAAAATTTTTGTTATGATCAATAGGGAGTTATAACTCCGGAGCAGGAATCAAGAGTTGAAAAAATTGGAGCCGGAGCCAAAAAACGCTCAATACCCAACACTAAAGGAACGAACTTCATATGAGTAAGTCTAGTCCGAAGAGCTTTTTGAACGCTCACGGTTTACCGAGCCAAAATCCGAGGTTTGTCAACTTTTCTAAATACTTCTTACATGCCCCATAATAAAATTTTTTTCAAGGTCAACGTTCTCAGCCCGTTTGCATTCGTACCCAGCATACTATCGCCTCGCGCCGCAATGCTAAGCGTACTCTCGCCAAATGCTTTCACATTACAACTATTAGCACCCGAAGCTTTTCGTGTTGAAGTAATCAGTCCCCAAACTTTCAATGCTAAAGTAACTCCAAAAAACATTCTAAAATTAAATTTCAATTTCAAGATCCTCTCTCCTAGAGCTTTTATTGCCTATGTTCTTTCACCAAGACTAGTAGTTGCGGAAATTTTAAACCCAAAGGCTTTCGAAGTTCGTGTGCTCACACCAACTATTGTTTCGTTTACAGTGCTGAGTCCCGGTATTTATTTTGTAAAACAAAGAAAACTCTTCGGAAGACTGTAGGACGTCGAATTTATCATGTATAGTCGATAGATATAGGTGGACTAGCCCAAGCATAAATCAACTGTAACTCGAAGTCCCACAGACTCGAAGTCCAAAAGGCATCCAAGGAGGACCCCTTCCAACTAAAAACCGGGCTATAAGTGTAATATGAGAATCGGAACACCGATGATTCACCGGAACCTTCCAACAGGAACCAAACTATGTGTCATATAAGAATCTATATCTCGAAAAACCTCCATTCTCGATAACCGAGAAGTTTCGTCGGGAACTCGTCTTGGTCTAGTCTCCACTTGTAACCCTTATTTTTAATTTAAAAATTATTTTCTTCACAGCATTTGCTCAAATACCCATCGGCTCACCACAGTATTGCACCTTCACTGTTTTGACCCCAAGTATCTTATCACCAGGATTTTTGAGTGATGGAGGAGTGGGCAATATTAAGGTAATTTTAAACGCGAGAAAAATAAAAATTCTTATAAAAAATATTTTTAAGGTACTGTCTCCAAAAATACTTAGCGGAAGAACAAAAAGAAAAATTAAATATTAAGTAAAATACGGGTGTCTAAAATATGTAGAAAATTTGTAAAATTTATTTTTTTGTAAAAATTTATTTAAAATTAAAGGTAAAATAGAATAAAATAAATTAATATTTTTTTAAAATCTCAGTTTTGCAAATAAGTTATTTCTAGTGTAAATTCAATAAACCACAAAAACCAAAAAATAAGAGCTATAGATACACAAAATATTGAGATCCATTTACTTGAAAAAGAATTTTTTAAATGATATAGATGAGAGATTTTATAATGAGAGACCTATAACGGGCACAAGACGTGGTGGTTTTTTTTCCAGCAATGGTTTTTTAGGAAGACATGGGTTTTTACACACTTGAGGGAAGGAGGATCCTCCAAAGAAAAATACTTATTGTTAGCAGAAAAACAACAAACTTGATTTTGTGTAGTTTACCGCCCACCCCGTACTTGGAGGGTCCCTTCACCTTATTCTCACATAAAAAAGTCCGCGCATTAAAAATGTGACTGTAGGTTAAAAAGAAAAAGGAGGAGGGGGGAATCTACAGACCAATATAAAGGGGACATTGAGGAAATATCTCAAGGTGTTTAGGACGGTATTTTGTCCAGACTGCGTTTTGCCTCTTACGACACCTTCACTCAATGCGAAATCCACCCAAATTAAATAAATAACAGATCCATTACAGTTAATTTAAAAATTTTTTAATTAAATTTTAAACTCACAATTTTTTAAATAATGTAGAAGAGAAAGAAGATTTCTGTTGTTGTTGCTGTACATGTAAATTATTATAATCAGAAATAAATTGAGCTGCCTCTAATCTTTTTATTGTATTTTTGAGTTGAGAATTTTCTTCTAAAAAAATTTTTTAGAATATAAAAACCGTATAGGGTTCTAGGGAAATTTCTTTTAGTTAAAAAAATTTTTTTGTGTAGTTTACCCCCCATACTTGAGTAAAAGGGTCTTTCGTGGAGGTTTATCTTTATTCCACCCTTTTCTCACTTGAAAAAGTCTGCCCTTTAATGTGTGACCGTTTTGATTTGCTGACAGCTGTAGGAAGACACCAACCGGACACAGTCTTCTAGGGGGTGGGGGGTAAACTGCACAAAAGTAAATTTTTAACTAAAAATTAAAAAAATTATTATTTTTATCGCTCTCTAAAAGAAAGTCCCCCCTTTCTAGAAGAATTTCCCTCACAGGTATAGGGAGGACACTAACTGACTTCAAGTAAATGGTGGGGGGTAAACTACACAAAAGTAAATTTTAAACTAAAAATTAAAAAAAATTTTTTTATCACAGTCCTCCCTCCTTTCTAAAAGAATTTCCCCCAAAAAAATTTAAAAAAACCTTCAATATTTTTATTTTTTTCAATAAATAAAGCTTCTTTTTGTTGCATTTTTTTCAATTCATTTAAATTAAATTCACTTTCTTGTTTAAATCTTTCAATTTCTTTTGCTTTTTCCAAAATATTTTTTGATTGACAATTATTTAATTCTTCCAATTCTCTTTTTTCATATTCAATTAATTCTAAACGAGCCTTTAATTTTGCAAAATCATCAGCACTTTGGGAAGTCATTTGGTGGTCAAATAAAATGTTGTTAAAATTGCTGAATAAAAATTTTTAAAAATTAATCCCTTTAAAAGAGGTAATAGAGAAGAGCAATGGCGTAGCCAGGAGATCAATTCCGATGAGGTAAACGCCAAAAATTTTGTGTTCCAACGCCTGTTTTCTTTGTACGCATATTTTTACTTCTTAGCGCCACAGGCAAAAACCTTCAGAATTTGGAAAGCCAAGAGCCAAAATTTTTCAATTTTCAAAAATTTTGACAATTCTTGGGGGTGTATGCGAAAAGAATTAACTTTTTTGAGTATTTCCCTCCCAAAATTTTTTCATTATGTCCCCATTTCGAGGGAAGGAAGGAGAAGTCTTCAAATCCCCCTGACCACGCTCTATATAGTTCTCCCCCCAAATTATTTTTAACAAAAAAATTTTTAAAAATAAAACCTATGATTTTCTGCAATTTTACAAGAAGTTAAATCATCATGAAGAGAAATAGAATTATCTGAATCTGAAAAAAATAAAAAAAAAATTAAAACAAAAATTAAAAAAAAAACCATTTTGAAAAGTTGCGTTATTTTGTAGGTTAATAGAATTGTTGTGTAGTCCTTTATATTTAATTAATTCTTTTTCTGCCTAAATTAGTAAAAATTTATTTTTTTTTAATAATCGAAAAAAATTTTATCCGCATTTTTAAAAAATTGTCCGCAAAAGATTTGCGGATGTCCGCAAAAATTTTTGTCCGCAAAAAATTTGCGGACAAAAAAAATTGAAAATTTTAAATTTTTGGCTCTATTTCAATTTAAGAAATAAATTTTTCTTACAAAATTAGCTCTATCCAAAGCTTGTTCAAGACCACTCCTTAATTCCTCAATTGTCCCCTGTTGATTAGCTATTTGTTGTTCCATAAATTTCAATTTATTTTCAGAGGAGTCCTTTTCTGTTATTTGTTTAACTAAAGCATCTAATCTTTAAAAATAAGAAATTTTAATAAATTGAAATTTTTTAAAATTATTTGCGGACAAATTGAAATGACCGCAAAAAAGTTGCGGACAATATGAAATGTCCGCTAGAAATTTGCGGACAAAATTGAAAAGTAACTAGTATAAGGGTGAGATCAGTGTGAACAATGAAATAGGAAGCCCAGTGGGGATAGAAGACAGGAAGGAATGAACTAACTAGCCTTTGAGAAATTCCACAATTTAGCAACACTTGGCTAATTAAAAATTAAAAAAATAAAATTAAACCTAATATAAAGTAATCCAACTTCCTCTTCCTTCGATTTTAAATCATTTGCCGATTTTTGAACGGCACGAGAATGCCTTTCATTTAAAGATTTTAATTCTTTAAGTAATTCAGAATTTGTATAACGTAAAGTCTCCATTTCGTCTGTAATTTCTCTCAATTGAATATTTAAAAGTTCAATAGATCCTTGCTGAAAAAAATTTTTTAGTCCGCAAAAAATATGCGGACATATCCGCAAAAATATTTACGGAAAAAAAATAAAAATTTTTGTCTGCAAAAAATATGCGGACAATCCGCAAAATATTTGCGGACAAAAAAATTGCGGAAAAATAATTGAAAACCCACACAAAAACCCGACCCAATTCCCCACCCCTACTCATCTCTGTCACACAAACCTTTTCATTATCAGCCTGTTTTAACCTCTCAAATTTATTTTCCAAATCAGCAAATTCATTTTGAGCATTTCCAAGTTGTTCATTTAATTTTGAATTAATTGACTCAATTTGTTTATATTTAGCTTCCAATTCTGCCGATTTAATTTTATATTTAGATATTTCTTCCAAATTTTCTTTTTCGTGTTGTGAAGAAAATATTTGAATATTTGAGTTTTGCGAAGAAAATAAATTATTTGAAGAAGAATTGTTTAAAATTGAAGTAAAGGGTATTGGTGAAAGACGATCAAAATTATCAAAACGTTTTAACTAAAAAAATAAAAAGTTATTTTACAGTCGAGATAAAATAAGAATTAAAGTTTGTCCGCAAAAAAGATTCGGACAAAAATGTTGTCCGCACAAAAAATTGCGAATAAAAATCACGTCCGCAAAAAATTGCGGACAAATATGTTGTCCGCAAAAAAGTTGCGGATAGAAATTTTGTTTGGAAAAAAGTTGCGGATAACAAACTTTGTCCGCAAAAAAGTTGCGGACACAAATTTTGTCCTCAAAACAGTTGCGGACAAAAATGGTGTCCGCAAAAAAGTTACGGACAGAAATTTTGTTTGCAAAAAACTAAAAAAAAACATATCAATTAAATTTGCGGACAAAACTTGCGGATATTCAAAAATTAAAAAAATAAAAATCCGCAAGTTTTGCCCGCAAATGGATTTTTAAAATTCATGCAAAGTCCAAAAAAATCTTGGGAACGAAATTTGCGGACAAAACATGGACAAAAAAATTAAAAAATAAATTTAAAAATTAAAAATATACCAAATTTCTAATCCCAGCAGAATTTTTTCCATCCAATTTTTCACATATTTGATCAAATTTAGCCCTTTGATTTTTATACAAAATAAATAAGAGGGCAAATATAATATTAGCAATTTCTTGTTTATCTCCATTATCCGCATTTTCAGGCTTCAAAAGTTCCACAGACTTGCTTCCCAATTCTTTTTTAATAAATTCAACGGCATCTTTAAATTTAAAGTCAAAATCACTTTTGAAGGTTAATTCACCAGTTTGGCTAAAATTATAAAAAAAAAATTTTCTTTGGTTCTCGTCCGCAAGTTTTGTCCGCAAGTTTTGTCCGCAAATTTTATTTAATCCTGAAGAACATGATTTTTTAAAAATAGGTTTGTCAGATTGTCGGGAAGCGTATAATAAAGTTTGTAGGAATATAAAAAGCTAGGATTTTCAGATAAAAGAAATCATAAGACTTGCGGACAAAACTTGCGGACTTTTTAAAGGTAAAAGGGAAAAGAACCAAGTTCTGGGAATTTTATACAAAAATTGTGCTAGATGGCTGGGATACTTATAATATGGCTCAAAGGAGTAAAAGGGGCGAAAATCCCCTCCTGATAAGGCATTGTAAGACTTGCGGACGAAACTTGCGGACTTTTCAGAAAACTTGCGGATTTTGGATTTCCCAAAAAATCTTTCAAACCAAACTCACATCATTTTAATAAGAATAGGCAGCAAACATAGGATTTCATCAAAAGAAAAAATTTCCTCAATTTGTAATTCGGATGTGAGAAGATTTATCTATTCAAAATTGAAAAAGGAATTTTAAAAAAATTTGAAAAAATACAAATGCCAAAATAATTCCATCCGCATCATTCTCCATAATTTTTTTGTTGATTAATTTAAAGGGAAGGTTAAAATCTAAAAGAAAATTGGAAACGAAAATTAGGTAATCGAAAAATAAAAAATAAAAAAAATAAAAAGCGCGCCTAGTTAATAGAAATAACTAGAAAGAAAGAGACGGTTAGAGAAAAGAAAAATAAATAAACATTTCGCCAAATTAATTAAATAAAAGTTTGGCAATAATTTTTAAATTTGAAAATTAGTTTAATTTTAAATTGACTTTTATTTCTATTTAATCCATCTGAAAATTTTTGAAAAAATTTTTTTTCTTCGAAAATTTTTCCCAAGATTTGGAAATTTTTTTGGATGGGGAAAATGCCTGTTCCTGACAATAAATGTTGTTAAATAAATTTATACCCTTTAAAAATAAAAAAATACAAAGTTTTTAGAAAGTTTTCTTAAACTGAGGTATAAAGCAAGCTTCTCTAACTAAGCACCCCTTGGACCAATGAGGGAAAGATGGCAACTGAGATGGAGTTAATCGAGCTAAATACTAGTGATGCTCGGGTATCCCGACTCCAGACTTGGGAAATTTCCCGAGTTTTAGCCTCCCGATCCCAACTCCCGGAGTCATTTCCCGACCCGACCTCCGTTTCCCGGGTTCCGGGGTTTTTCTTCTCCCGAGCATCACCACTAAATATCCTACTGGCATCGAAATGAGTTGACGAATGAAGATAGGTTAATGTAAAAAGTGATATGTGAGGCGATATCCGAGGGAGGACATGTTAGAGAAGTGTAATTGTTAGGGAACTCAAATTGTTAGAGAAGTGTCAAATTTTAAAATAAAAATAAAAATGGAGTTGGGAGTTAAATGACGAACATATCCAAGTTGATAGGGTTAAAACTGAAGATAAGGGTAACACAGCAGACGGCGGCTTTTATCTTCAATGTTTTATCACTAATCAGGTTCTATGTACATAATGGTTAAAAATAAATTTCTCTCTTCTTCATCTTCTTTCTCTTTCTTCATCTTTAAAAGAAGATTTGTCTCATTCTTCTCCTCCTTCTGATCCTTCTTCTATTTTAAACGTGCCCAATTTTGAATTTAGATTTTCACTTTTAAGTAAAGGTTGTAAGGGCTTTGTTGGAGGTTTTTTCAAACAGTTCCAAATTGATTTTTTAGTACTTTTCTTTGCGCTAGCTTTCTTATCAGAATTTTCACCATCTTCGATCAACCAATCTTTTAATTTCAACGAATTCAACTTCGTTCCTCTAACAAAATCTTTGTCAATTTTGATTACAAAATTGTCATATCTGTAAGGTATCTCTGCTGAATTTAAGACTTCTCTTGCTTTGGGCAATATATCAAGTTTACAATACAAGTCCAAAACCTTTGAATCGCGTTTTATTTCTTGCTCCCGTTCTATTTTTTGTTCCTGCTCTTGTTTTTGCTGCTGATTCCGTTCTATATCTTCAAGAAATTTGTCTTTTATGGTTGCACAAAATCGAAGAACATGTAAAAATGCATAAATGTCGCCTAATCCTTCCTCCTTAAAAACAGTTATGTTTAAATCAGCTTAAATTTAAGGATAAATAAGAGTAAGGGAACCACATAGAGGTATCGGACGCCGCTGTTTTAATCAGACTAGGGCATGGATACGGATACAGACATTATAAAAATGCCTGCAGATATCCGTCTGTATCCGCCGTAAATATCCGGATACGAATATTAAAATCTCTGGTTTCTATCAAACTTTAAGATGGGGTTAATCGGGCTAATACTGGGTGAGAGGAACAATCTCTCTCTCATAATTTATAGTACTAATTAATTTGCAATTTTTCCTAAATTCAAAAATTCAAATTTAAAATTCAATTAACCAGTTCATCTTGGTTTATATGTGAGAGCTGGTCGTTAACACTGACGTTGTTAAATTGATTTAACAATGATGGTATTTTTTTGCTAGAATCATTCAATAATCCTTTAGATTCAATCAAAGTTCCTTCTAACTTCCTTTTTCGTTCCTTATCATCTAATAGAATCGAAGCTGTTTCGATATAATTTCGTGCTCCTTTTAAATTCTTTATGCAGATCTCATTTAATGCCGTAAAAAATTCGGGAATTATCTTCTTATCCGTATTCTTCAATAATTTAAGCAAGTGTGTCTTTTTTTCGTCAGGAATTTCTTAATAGTAATAATATTATTTTTTCTTGGATCGTTCTTAACTACTCCCCTTTGTGGACGAGACAAATAGCCTTAAAAATGAGGAGTATCTGAAAGTTGGCCTATCGGTTAGGGATTGTTCCTCTCACCCAATGGCCAAATAATTTAAAAATTATTTACTATTTATTGGGAGTGAGGGTTATGGGAAAGGAACTGGGAGGGTTATACGAGAGATTGAGATCGATATCTCAACAAATATACATCCCGATAATCCGGATTTTTGTTAATTTTGATTCCCGGTACGCTTGTGTTATCTCTCCCCATTTAAGTTCTTCCTTAAGTTTTTCCCCATTAAGTTCTTCCTTTCTCCATCACAAAAGTACGCATGGGTCAAAGTGAAGCTTTTGCAATTAGACAACGTTGGTGTGTACCGCATCATTTGTCTTAAAGAGCATCCATGTGTACATTCTGATCCATGTGTACATTTTTGTAGCAAGGAAAGAGAACGAATAAGTATAAAATAAAATGGGGGAGATAACACAAGAGTACCTCAATCACTATAACTTACTACATGCATTCTCTTCCTTATCTGGGATAGCATAATTGCCAAATTTGTAACTTATCCTTGCAGAATTTAACGCATTTCTTGCATTAGGCACTACATCATTGTTACAAAAAAAGTTCATTAAGTTTTTCAGTGTTTGTACGTCGAATTTAAATTTGACATCGACAGTTGCACAAAATTGAAGGACCAACAAAAATTTATAGACGATTTTAAATTCATCCATCTTTGAATAAATTTTTTTATATAAAAAATTAGGATACATAGTGGGTTCTAGATCAACTCGCTCTCGAAATGGGTGGACCAACCACTCTCAAAAAGCCGTATAAATTTTTATAGAAAATTCGAGCTCTTCTCTAGAAACGAGCTCCTCTCTAGAACGGACGTCCTTTAAAAGCGAAAGACTGAAGGTGGAGGAAGGTCCCTGATCCACATCTATTCCCCATTCTCAAATAGACTGGGCCCTCTTTATAACTCTAAAATATTTATCAGAATAACAATATATCTGCAAATAGTTAGGATGAAACACCGATTCAGACCATACTTACAGCCTTGTACTGGTATCCTGGCACTATGACCCATACTCGAAGACTAAATCCCCAAAAACATGTAGGTCCGTTGGCTTAACTTTTGATAAACCCTTACTATCTCATGTGTAAATTCCAACTTTAATTCTCCAGTTTTCCTCACTCCCCTCAAAATCTTCTTCGAACCTTCAAAAATTTCTCTCCATTTAATCAAAGTTTCAGCTAATTTAGTCTCTTTCGACAAAATTAAATAATCGTTCACAAAATCCCCCGTTCCATTTATATTTTTTTCACATAATACTTTAACTTGTCCAAAATGCTTTTTGCGTGCTTCAACACTTAGTTTTTTACGTATTTCATCAGTTTCGCCTTTAACAGGCAAATGTTCGAGTATTTTGCAGGCTTAATATTAAAAATATTATTTTAATGCTCCAAGTCTGAAGGTATATTTCAGTTCATTTTTAGAATATAGTTTAGATCGGAAGCAGAGATATTCCATTGACTGCGAATCAGGTCTATCAATCAGGTCGGGACTAAGGTTGCCGGATAGTTGGAACTCTTCGGATATCCGGATCCGGAACTGTAATTTTTGTAAAGTTGTAAAGTTTAGTCCCATTGGATGATATAAAAGGATTAAGATCAATTATGAATGGATTTGGGGAATTAACAGAGGTATTGAGAGAATTTAGGATGGCTTAGGCGAGCCACAGTGGCTTAGGCGATCCACAGTCAATGGACTTTCTCGGCTCGTCTAAGCTTTCATTTTTGGAAATTTTATCATTAAAAAATACTTACCACACGGATTCATTGTAATTAACTTGGGTGTACCTAAAATAAATAATGTTAATTAGTGATAGAGGTAGTTTCCTTTGGGTTTTAGAACAATTTTTAGGATCAATCAGGCTCAGGATTTGAAGATTAACTCGTATTCATAGCCCGTTTTCCCGAAAAGTGTCATTACCAATTAAATACTCACCACATGGATCAGTTATATCAATTATAACGGGGGGCGGTCTCTCTTCTTGAATTTCTTCCTCAATTATTTCAGGGGATGGTCTCGTTCTTCTAATTAAATTCTCTAATTCTTGAATCTCTTCTCCATTTCTATCAGGTGATGTTCTCGTTCCTCTAACTGAATCCGGAGACGACGAATCCGGAGACGTCTCTCCTTCAATTATATTAGGTGACGGTCTCGGTCCTCTAATTGAATCCGGAGACGGACTCGCTACTTGAATCTCTCCTTCATTTCTTTCAGGTGACGATCCCATTACTTGCATTGAATCGGAGGACGAGTTCCGTTCTTGAATTACTTCCTCAATATGATCGGTGGACGAATCTAAAAAATAATTACAAATCTCGGTATAAGCGACTATTGTCCCCAGCCAGTCGGTGTCAATAAAGGCTAACTAGGGCCGAGAAGATTTCAGCCTCTTATCAGCTTTTCATCCTTAAAAGGTGATTTTGATATTTGGAAGTCAGTACGATGGCCTGCCCAACTTTTTGATTACTTAAAGGGACTAGGAATGAGCACTACTATATAGGTATTATTCCAAAAATTATTTCAGCTTACCACTTCCCTGATCAAAAAGATCCTGTAATTTTGCTGACTTTGATGGGGTAATTAAAAGGGTATCAAATAATAAAAGTAATAAAAACGAATAAAGTTTCATTGAAACTTTCAGGGTTTCTCAAAAATAAAATTTAAAATAATAAATAAAAAATTTAATTTAATTCTAATGCCTTGCTTTAACGTCTCTCCTCTCGCCAAATTTTAATAAATGAAGCATTGACAATGAGAGGAAGGCATTAATTGACAGCCAAGGAGGGTAGCGGACAATACGAGGAGGGGGGAGGGGGTGAGGGAAGGGAGGAGAGGGAGGAGCGGGGAGGGAGGGAGAGGGAGTAGCGCTCTTGAGTAAGAACACGTGTAAGTTGTGGCATCTCCTGATTGTCCAAACTACATACATTTTTTATTGTTTTAAATTTAAATTTTTTCATTGAGTAACAAACAACAAACTACGCCTTGTTTTTTTTAAAAAATTTTTCTGGGGGTTTTTGGGGTTGGCCTTGCTCAATGCCATAGCTAAACAACCATAAACTTATTTTTTGTTTGATACATGTTCTTATTTTTTTTTTGCCATTTTTTCTAGTTTCTTATACATATTTTTTTAATATTATTTTTTCTTTCAAATTTTGTGCCGTCCTTGCTTCTTAATGTTCCTTTCAAAGATGGGGAAAATTATTTTGGGCGCATTTTTCATTTTTTATCTTGCTTTTTATCTTTTAGGGACGATATATTTAGCTATCTCTTAAATAGAAGGCTAGGATTGGAGGATCCTGGGAACCGGATCCAGATCCTATATGAAAAGCGGATATCCGGACATTTTTGGAATCCAGATATCCAGATCCGTCAACCCTATCCTAAGCAACCTCCACACTCCATGCTCAAAAAAGGCTCTAATAAACATATTGAGGGTATCTCAAATCGAGGTATCTCAAATCGAGGTATATTATATACAGGGTATTTTTTGTATTTTTAGACAATCTAACACAAATTTTGACCTCACAAATATGTTTTTAGACTATTTATTAAATCGTTTTTTCTCTCCCTTTCCGCCTCAATTGTATTTTTAAGCTCTCCTAGCGACTACATATAATACATAATTCATTTTTCATGCCGACATCGCCAATAACTCTAAACAGGTGCAATGACAAGGGCGCCCTATTGTCTTTTTAACCCCTTACCCAATAAAAACTACTTTGCATGATGATGGAGTGTAAAGAGAGCACATGCTTTCGGTCACTCTTTTCACTCATTCTCCTGGTCATTTGTTGAAAAAATGGACTCTTATTGAAACAATAGAGTCAATAAACCGTTGGGCTAATTTTTAAATATTGAGGAACTTCCTTGAATAACTTCCAACGAGTTAGCTGACCATTGGGATTTGACACCTCCTATAAGGGCAATAGGATCTATAATAATCCGGAACATCGATTTCCAGATCCCTACGAACTTCCTACGTAATAGCGGACCATTATGATTTGTCAACTCCTATTAGGGCACTAGGAAAGTGAGCTTTGAAACACCAGCTGCCAAGTCTTTATTACTTGTTTACCCTAAAATAGAGGTTAGGATAACTTGGTGACTCTCTATAACATCGTCTCCTCCCAAGTCACTTCCCCCTTACGCATGGGATGATAGCAAAATTCGGCCATAGAGGGTGACTGATAGATGGATCCCAATGCCTATCATTGCTTGACCTTATTGTCTTTTGATCACTAGAACCTCCAAAATTTAAAATCTTATACTCTTACAACACCAAAATTTTAATTTAAGGGCAATTTTCAAAAATGAATAAAGGTTAGGGTCACTCTCCCCGCTATTTTTCTACCTCCATTATTGACCGTTTATTCATCATGTCCCCATTATTTCCCATAATAATTTTCCATTGATTCATCTCTCCTATTCATTGTTGAATTGCAGGTTGTTTTGTTTGGTGGCCCTCCGCCATAAATGTTTGGGGGATAGAGGGGGATTTTGTTGCTTTGAATTGAGGAAGGGCGCTATTTTTGGTTGCCATTGGAGAGGGGAATTTTGTTTAAATCTCTCATTTGTTATGTGCCGCTAGGTGAGAGGCACAGAAATAATAATTTTGGATAGATCTAAGCAGAATACTGGGATGTAAGTCTGTGGACCAAACTATGAGCCTGAGACATGGGCAATAAGTAAATCTTATAGTTCGATGCAAACGTCAAGCCTTGAAAACCCGGGAAGACAGAAAAGATATGGACTCGGAGTACTAAAGGTTTGGAACCTGGACAAGGTCCTTTGGGTCCCGCGGAACCTGGGCAAGGTCCTTTGGGCCTGCGGAACCTGGACAAGGTCCTTTGGGTCCTGCCTAGGGGTGGAATTTGAGCAACCTCGACTAAGGAACAGCTCTATACCTATTGCGAATCAGACTGAGACCTCCTAAGGGTCATATCAATCATTGATAATCATGAAAATCAAGATCTTACACAATGATAGTGGCACGAGGCTTTATCAACTGGCTCAACTGAAGCTCTTCCCCTTCCTTCATCCCCCTAGATTTTTCAAAAAATATTGAACTTTTATTACTATTTCCCCTTTATTCTCCTTCAAATTTCCCTCTTTCAGTTCATTCCCCCATATTTTTTTGCCCTTTTTAACCTTTCACCGTCCTTTATAGCCTAACTTTCATATTAAAAATATTTTGCTTCTCCTCACTTCCGTCCACTAACACAAATTTTCTTCATTATTTACCTCCTCTTCATTCACCTAAAATAAACAAAAAAATCCAATTGACCTACGAGTGATGGCCCATCACTGAGGGTTGCGCAGTTTGATCAGCGGGCTTCTTCCTTATGACATTTTCCTTTTTTTGTTTGCTTAGCTGTTTAACCTAGCTTTTTAGTTAAAATTTAAAGTTGTGTATTTTGTTTTATTATTTATTTTTCTATGTTTTATTCTCTAGGGTTCTTAAGTTTTGTTTGTTTCTAAAAAATTTTTTTGTTTAATTGGCCTGTCCAAAAAACATTTTTTTACAATTTTATTACAATTTTTTTACATTTTTCGATACAAAGCTTCGAAGTTTAATTTTTGAGCCCGCAACTATGAGCTCAGACTTTCCCAGTCTCGACACCTTTGGAGCGATTGTTTTGGGGTTTTAAGGGGATATTGAGCCACTCGATATTGAGCCACTCGATATCCTCGATTGTTAAAGTGTTTGGATATTGAGGGAGTAAGTGATTCTAACAACCCTAGTTCGACGAATTTTGGCACTTTTTTAAAGTTTTATAGAAACCCTTCCAAGTTTAAGCTTTTTGTCTATGCTTTTTATGAGCAACGAAAGACCCTATGTTTACCTTATTTTTGTTTAGCATTTTAAAATATTTATTCCTCATCATTAAAAATTAAATTTTAATTATTTTCCATCTTATTTACTTCAAAACATCCATTTATTAATTCCTAATCCTTCAATTTATTTTATTTTTCTAATTTAATTTAAGACTTTCCATGTGAATTTTATCCTCGTAGCAACACTAAAGCTGTTAGACAAGCCTGTTTTATTCGCCCATAGTTTTGTTCAAAATCATCGAGCCAGGATGATCTTGGTCTCGTTTAATTTGGCTTGAAGAGCTCTTTCGAATGGTATATCATTCATATTTTCTAAAATTTCACTGAAGACAAAATAATTTTAGAAGTAGATTAAATCTCCCCATATTTACATATCTGCTCGCGCAGTTCCTTTGTTTTTTTTCAACCTTTAATGGAATTCCAAAAATTCTTTTTTTCATTTTTATATTTTAAATTCCTTCAAATTAAAAATTTCTTTTTTAATTTTTTACAAATTTATTTTTTTCTTTTGATCTCACACCGAAAAGTGCGTCAAATCAAATTACATGCTGAATTTTTAACCAAACAAATTTGTAAATTTTCACTGTTGGAAACATTCCTCCTCTTTTTTTATTTAATTTCCTCAATTTGCAACTTTTATTTGTTTGTTGATCAGCTTTTTTTATTCCTTAATTGCTATTCTTTATCCATTTTTTAATAGTTTTTGAGGTCTAAGTTTTTGTTCCCTTTGAGGATTTTTAACATCTTTTTATCAGTCCGTATTATTTTAAGAGGGACTGACCGTTGGATGGCCCTAATCGGTGTTTTACCTGGAGAGACCCCAACATTCAATCTGATCCGGGTATTTGATTAGGTCATGTCTAATGTTTATAATGTCATTAGAACCCTTAAACTTCAATTTTAAAAATAATAATCTCGATTCGTTCTCTTGTGAAAAATATTTTTTCCAAAAATGTAACACACTCCTTTACCGCAATCTAATTCTCCTTTCTTTTCTCCCCCCAAAAGATTTTTTTCGTCTAAAAATTAATTTTTCCCTCATTCCCAATTAGTCCAATTTCTTTTATTTTTTCTTCAATTCCTTCCAAAATTGCTTCAGTTCTCCGTCCACTAGTTTTGAGTTCCTTCCACCCACCCAACAGAACAAAAAAACTGCCCTCAATCACCCCTCTATTTTTCTCATTCATTTTCCTTGTCGATACATTTTTTTGAATACCTTTACGTAGAAAAACAACCCTCCCCTTCCCTCCCCCTCCAACAACCCTCCCTTCCCTCCCTTCCCTCCCTTTCAAATTTATTTTTTTTTCTTGCGCAGCGAACAATAATTAGAATAATTTTCATCAGTCAGCACAATCTGAATAAATTAATTTTTTGAAAAAAAATAAAAAAATAGGGTAGTTGAATCGAAAAAAATATTCTTTTCTTTATTTTCAATAATTAATTTTCTAAAATCATATGCGAGAACTTTAAAATATTTTTCTATTTTTAAATTTTATTTTGAGGGAATTTTAAGAATGTTTTTTGCTGCAGACTTGGGGGATTTTAGCTAATTGTTTCCGGAGCATTGGGAGCATTTTTGTTCCGGAGCATTTTTAATAACTTCACTTTGGGGTAGAATTGTGTTGACGTATTAATAGGGTGATGAGTCGAGTTAAGAAACAAGGGGATTCGGATCGAAAAGGTCGAAGTTTCGGCAAAAACACTCACGACCATCCTCTCCCCATCCCTAACGGAGTTTGATGCTAGTAAAATTTGATATAGGTATTTTAGATTTCCTTACTTCATGTAATTTATTTAATATATCCTTAAAAATTATTTAAGTTTCATGTAAAAATTTGGAAAAAAAATAAAATTTTTGTTTGAAAATTTTTGAAAAATTTCAAAAAAATTTTTCCTCAAAAAATATTTTTCATAAAAAATTCTCCCTCACAACCCCCCCCCCTCCCTCATTAATTTCCATCAAGCTTTTTTTTATTTTTTTTTCAGTCACACTTGTCCTCTCTTATTATTTTTTTATTTATCTAGTCTAATATATTAGTGCAACAAATGAGCTATAATTTGCTAACTCAGCGCAAGCTTGATTGCTCTGTCGCTCCGACTAGTAAATTACAAAACAAGAAAATTGCTTGGGCCCCAAGGGGTGTTTTTTATTTTTTTATCTTTTTTTTTGATTTGCCGATAACTTTAAAGGAGAAAATGGGGGAAAAATGAAGAAAAAAATTTTTTTGAAGGTATTAGCCTGTGGGTAATGAGGATTTTGTCATCTCACAAACTTCCCTTGAAGCGTTGAAAAAATAAATATAGTACAAAAATAATAATTGCAGGTGACACCTGTTATAGCTCCAATTTAAGTCAGGTACTGGTAGATGGAGGTAATCGTTGTGGGTTAATTTGTATTTCAAAATTAACGAGTTGGAATGTGAATTTTGTGAATTAAGTAAGGGAAAAGATCCTTCGAATAAACTTTTAGGAGGCTTGCGCAAGCTTCCAGTCCCAAAAATTATCCAGTTATTTTTTTATTACTGCCAAACATAAAAAATTAATTAAATTAAAAATTATCTGATTTTTTATATATTAAGTAGATTGGAATAAATTTAAAGTTGAATATCGATATACAATGAGAAGTTGGATATGTTTGTGGTTATAACGAGAGTTTTACTGTATATTTCAACAAAAAGGCTCTTAATTAGGAACACTAGAGTGAGGGACAGAAGTGGATCCCAGCTTGATTTTACGAGATCCCATTCAATATATCTCTAAGTTAACGATCCAGGATTTAAGGAATTTTAAGGGATTTTCACAATAATTTTAAGGGACTCCGTTCTTTAGAAGTGGAGTGATCTCGGAAGTCAGTTTGGTACCCCTTCCTTTTGCTTTTTAGAAGGTTGAGTGAGGGAAAGATGCCTCGGGATTACTCACTCCCTTTTGAAAATGCCGTGATCTAGGAAATCGGATTGCGTCTTGAAAATGACATTCATATGAAGGGGATCCACAATTTCTCGTGATACTTTCTCTCCTCTCTTTCCCTTAACAGACAGCGATTTTAATAGAGGCTTTAAACAACCCCTTCCTTTCCCTTAATTTTAAGAACAAAAAAAATTTTATGGCTCAACAAATTTTTGTTTTTATTCTCTTCCCTTTCCGCAAAACTTTTTGGTTAAAACTAGAAGAAAACAAAAACATTTTTTAACTGCGATGACCCAATCCCTTCCATTTTTTTATTTTAACCGCTTTATGTACATACATTGTAAAAGTTTTCGTAATCTATACGAAAATAAATGAATCAAAAAAATCTTCTCGAAAATAATACCTTCCCTTTATTTTATAAAATTTTTTGAATATAAGGGCATCTTTGGCTTGTCCTTATTTTTGTTTTAAGACATCTACTTTCTCTTAATCCTTTAAGAAATTTGAAATTCTCTCACATTTAGGCTTTAAACATGTTTGAATATTAAATTATCCTTTATAATACTGTCGAGATTTGTTGGAATTTTATATTAGTTTTTTCATCTTCTTACACTTTTTGCCCATTCTTTCATCCTTCCTTTTCTTCCTTTTATTCTTCCTATCTTCACTCTTTTCTCTCTTCTCTCAGCTTTATTCCTTCTATTCTTCTCCTCCTTTATCTCAATCCTCATCTCTTCCATTCCTTTTCCTCTTAATTGCTTATCTTCATTTATTCCCTATTTCTTCATCTTTTTTAAACTTTACTTCTTCATCTTTTCATTTCTTCCTTTCTCCATATTTCTCCCCTTTTCTTCCCTCATTTCTTTCCTTTACTTCCCCCCAAAACTCTTGATCTTTCATTAAAACGGCTGTCAACGGTTGTCACCAACAACTCACTTGACCTCTCATCTTTTGGGTTTATTCTCCTCCAGCCTTTTGTCCTCCTCCTTCTGCTTCTTCCTAGGCTTAAACAATTCTCGGCAAATTAGCAGTCCCTTTTTAAATTGCAACTGACACTTAACCAGTTCTCGTTTTTAAACTAATGCTTAAACTACCCCTTCCCTTCCCTTCCCTCCCCTTCCCCCCTCCCTTCCCTCCCTTTATTTATTCTTCCCATTCTTCTCCCCTATATTTGTTAATAATTCAGCAAATGTCCATCACTTGGACATTTATAAAACTTTTTTTTAAACTTTTTTTAAAGAGCTTTTTCCATTAAGCCTTTCCTTTCTTAAAAGATATCCATCCATTTATCTTATAATTAAAGCAAAATCCCACACAAAGCTTTGTTAGCTTCTTTTAAATGGCTAATACATTGTGTATTTAATTAATTATATATTTTTTCCAAACTTAAATTGGGATTGGACAAGTATTTTCTAATAGAGAGACCTATGGGATTGTCCAATAGACACCCTCGGAATCGTCTAATAGACACCATTAAGATCGGATCTCGCGACGTAGAAAGCCCAAACTCATGATTAGAATAGAGAGAACCTTTAAAGAAAGACCCTCTAATAGAGAGACCTACAGGATTGTCCAGACTTCATATAAATCAAAATTTAAGCTAGAAAATTGAAAATGAGGAAAGCTTATTACCTAAACCAAATTGGTCTATACTTTTATGTATTTTCTCAATATATATAAATTCAAATTATTTTTTTATAGGCGTATTCCAGATTTAATATCTTACATTGGTTTTTTCTCTTCTATCTAATTTTTGGGCCGGGAGGTTTGCGCAGACCTCCTAAAATGATATTTACAATGGAAACAGTTCAAAGCGAGATTATCCTCCAAAATCTCGGCTGACAAGATCGAGGTACTTCGATAACTCGATAACCTATCCAAGAAGACCTCAGTTCGCCTGATCTTTGGTTGTTTTGATTTGTTAGGGATGAGGGCCGTTGAAGACGATTCAACACCTTAATGTTTATTAAAACCCTAATCCTTCTCCCTTAATCTTGATTAAATGCTTATTTTTGTTAAAAATCCCTTTATTAATTCATACTTTTTTATATTTATTCCTCCAAAATTTTCAGATTTTTCCCCTATATTACATCAATCCCCCTTCCCCTCTCTTCCACTTTTCAACAAAATAATCCTCTCTCCCTCCAAATCCCTCCTCTCCCTCCAAATCCTTCTCCTCAATTTTAAACAATTTTTTTGGCCACCAAGTTGCCGATTTGTTTTTCGGATGTAAACAAATGTTGTTCTTCTCCCTTGTACTTTTTTTTCAATTTTCTTCTTAATATCCTCCCACATTTGTCAAATACTACCTTCCTTTCCCCGTTGCTTCTTCTTTGTCACTTGTTTTCTCGTCGGAAGAACAACAAGGGAGAAAAAGGCTCTCAATCTCGGCCTTAAACGTCCAACAAAGGATGGCGGTTATTCCGATATTTTTCGGGGGGTTTTGTTTAAATTTTTCGATTCATCATTGTTCTTTTGTTTCTGTCAAGGGTTGGAGAAATGCCAAGATTTATGTAAAGGCCAGATTGTTAAATATCGGTCTGAAAATTTAATTTAATGGACAGCGGTCACAAGAAAATTTTTATTCATAAGGGATTGATTGTGATTCGAAACCGAATGACCGGGAAGTTTCGGATAGGTTCTTTCTTGAGTTTCGGGTATCCGAAAAGTTTCGGTTATCTTAGAAACGAAAGTCATATTCCTAACGGATTAAGAGCTTGTTCCTTCACTCTGAACAAAATTCTCTCAATCCTAACTCACAAAAAGCCTCGGGAAAAGCCTCTTAAAAGCTGTTCTGATAAGCATCCTCCCCTACCTCATATCAGAATCCTCTCCTGAATTAGATCAATTCCCTCCCCTGAAGAACGAGGTATTTCGAACTTCCTAGATTTCCTCAATCAAACCTCTTTACAGATATCTTTTGAATACTCCCCCTCATTATCCCCTCCCTCAATTTAGTTTTTATTTAAAATTTTGTATATATTTTCCCCTCTTTTTTACGTAAATATATCTTCAGATTATCCTTCTTACTATATAGTTTATTTAACTTTAAATATCCCCACAACTAGTCAACATTTATTTATTTAATAATTGGTCAATCATTTATTTGTCTAATATTACTACTACTTTATTTTTACTTTTTTTTCTTTATTTGATCGGCAATGTTCCACTCAACACAACTACATTTTTGTGTATTTGTAATTCGGCTTTTACATTCTAAATTCCCCCGAAGCTCCCTCATCTTCGGCTCAGCTTTCGTCTTTCGCGAGTTAAACAACAACAAGCTTTTTCCTTCATTTGCGCACTTAATCTCTCCTCCTTCCTTCCTTTCCTATTAACTCTCCCTCTCACACATTTTGTTTTTTTCGATCAGTTTTCTATTTAATTTTAGAAATTCTCTCAAAACCTCTCTTTTATAAACCCCTCTATTATCAACATTTTTAAATCAAAATTTTAGATACAAATTTTGAACCTCTCACACACTCTCTCCTCTACTTCCTGATCTTCCTTCTCCTCCTTGCTTTCTTCATTCTCCTTCCTTTCTGCCATTAGTCTTCCAAAGCTCCCCAACTCATCTTTGGCTATTCCTACTCCATTTCCCTTCCATTCTCTTAATGTTGCTCCTCAATTTCTTTCTCTTCCTCATCCACTTCCCTTCCTCATCCTCTTCATTCTAACTTCAATTTTCTTCTTTTACTCCACTCTCTCTTCCCTCACTCTTCCCCCAATTTTCTTCATTTTCCCTTTATCTATTCCTCATCCTTCCCTTCATTACTCTTTACTATTTTAATCCTCTTCCTTTTAAAATTTCCTTCTTCCCCATTTCAACTTTGTCCAAAACTTGTCCCTCATTGTCTTCTTTTAGTCCCTCAAAACTAACAGCAAATAAAGCATTGCACTAGCTGCCACTTTACCTCAATTCGGAGGACTTTAAAACTAAAAAAAGTGAAGGAAGGCTTCCCTCGATCGAGGTAATTAGTCGTGGCCAACTGTGGCCAAGTGGGAGGACAATAAAGGTAGTTATGTACCTGACAAGTTTTTTTTGTTTGTAAAATTTATGTCCCTACATATTTTTTGTTTTGCGTTGCAAAAAATAAAGTTAACAATGAAAATATTTAATTAGGGGAAAATTGCAGATTTAAACAACAAAAAAAAACTTGAATTGTGGGGAAAGGAAACATTTTTAACTCTTCGAATTTTGATGTTTATTTAAAATTCTGATTTCATTTTTTTAGTATTCTAATTTAAGTTAAGCAAAATCTCAGCTTTGTTTCACTTATTCCAAGTTGCCTCCATGTTCGTTTAAAATTCTGATTTTTTAAAGTAAACTTCTGAATTTACTTAAACAACCTCTAAACATTGTTTACCTTGATTCTAAGTTGCTTCCATGTTCGTTTGAAATTCTGATTTTGATGTTTAATTAAAATTCTGATTTTAAGCTTGTCTAAACACTCAAATTCTGTTCTCCTCCAATGTTTATTTAAAATTCTGATTTTGTTTTTATTTAATGTTCCAATTGCATGTTCGTTTAACATTCTGGTTTTAATTGGACTTCAACTCCTTATTCCACTTTTAATTAAAATTCTGATTTCAACTTTTTTTTATTAAACAAAACATTGTTTAATACTTCTTTCCTTATATTTATCGTTCTACTCGGATGCTCAACATATTTCTGTCTCATGTTTGTTCCTGTTTTCTAAGAAAAGTTTCTTCAGTCCCCGTTTTAATTAAACTTTTCCTCTTCTGATTAATATTTTATTCCAAATTTTCCTTCCGTTAATTCATACAACCCTTCACATTAATAGTTCAATGAACTGACAACCTGAGGTAAAATGAGTGAAAATAATAAATAAATAATAATAATACTAGTAATTTTCTTTTGACCAGTGGATTTAGGGAACAACGGCATTGGGGGATTACCCCCTTACCTCTCTCTATTTTTCCCCTATTCACCTAAAATCCACTCATTTGTGGCCTCAATGCCATTGCAAATTGGTAGGTTTTGAATGCGCGGTGAGGTACCCAGGCAACGGAAATGACCGGAGAGAGGTGTGTAAAACATAAAAAAATAAAAATTTGTGTGCCGTTCCCTATACAAATTTTTATTTTTATTTTTTTGGTGATTCAAATTTATTTCTATTTTTTTTTCTAAAATAAAATAGACTATTGAGTGTCGGACCTGATACACCCTCCCTTATTTCCACAAACTTCTCAATTTAAGATACTCTCTAAAATGTCTGTTGCTCTTACGTTTTAAAATTAGAGATAGTTATGGATATAACTCTTCAGTGGTCCACCAACCTCCTTTTTTAATTTACTCATCATTATAAGATACGATTTTTCAGTCTCATGTCAGTAAGATAGGAACTAGCTCCCGAAGATGGGCACTGATAGATATATTCCGGTGTGCCTCGTCTGTAACAGAACAGTTTTTCTGAATACTTGCTTTGATTTTTAAAAATAATCTTCAATAAGTTCTGTTTTATTATCAGCTCATTTATCTATATCCTTAAATTCTTTCATTTTTCCTTTCTCTATTTTTTAAAGATTATTTTTTAAGCATTATTTAAACTCAATCAAAATTTAAATTAATTAAGTACCCATCACAATTAATAGTACAAAAAACTCTCTCTCTCTCCCTCCCCTCCATTTAACCAATTCCTACTTAACCCAATTCTTTTTTTAAACATTTTCCCCAATCATTTTTTGAATTCTTTCTTTTTTAAAAATATTTATTTTTAATTGTTTTTGTCTTCTAATTAGTATTTTTCGTTGTTTCTGGCCCTCTATCAATTTTTCAAAAAATTTTCTTTCAAAAATAAAAGTCACATAAAGGTTCCTGTTGACCACCTGCCAACATTTTCTTTCTAATAATTTTTATATAATAATTTTTATATAATAAAAGAAAGATTATTTGAGATTATTTTTGGGTAGATGGGACGAAAGTCTCATTTTTCTATTCTTTGTTCTTCTCCCCCCCCCCCCCCAATTTTTTAAAAATTATCTAAGGTGGTCAAAAATGGCATTTTGCTCGGGGAAATAAGGCCTAAATAGGGGAAAACGTTCAAAAAACTTTTTGAGGTGTTTGGCGGAAGGAAGATGTTAAAGGAGAGGTAAATGACTCGTCCGAGCAGTTCAAATTTTCCATCAACCGAAGGATTATTTGAGGAGACCCAACTTAGAACTTTGGTTTTTTATGAAGGAGAATGCTCTTTTAAAGTTTCCAATTTTAATTTGCCTCGAATAAGAGGGCTTAATCCAAGGAGAAATTCAAAAATTAGTTGGGTAAGAACTCCTCGAATAATCCTTCTGATACCATCGGCAAGGGAGACTCGAGGTTTTTTCGCCTAAAAGACAGGACTCTCTCCTGAAGTAATTCTTCCATCAATCAAAGGATTATTTGAGGAATTGCCCAACTAATTTTAAAAAATCAGCGGGATTCACCAAAATTTTTAACAAATATCTTTACATACTTGTTTACTCTCCCTCCCTTCTTACTCCCTCCCTCCCTCTCCTTCCCTCTTTGACCACCCCAAATACCTTTTTCTTTTTTCCAATTTATTCTCCAAATCGGTGTTGTTATTTCCATAAAAACATTTATTTTATTCTTCCCCTTTCCCCCTATCAATTACCGATCATGCATACGTCCATCATCGGCGATTGTCGCGCATCAACCGGCCGGCGCGAGTCATTCAGTCATCCCTCACTTGCGCTCATTTTTAACTCTTTCCCCTTCAAGTCAGTCTTTTCTTTCATTTATTTCCACGTTTTTAAACTGAAACAAGCCTTGTATTCGTGTGATATTGAAACATTAAATTTTATTTAATTTAAAATTATTTTTGGTCTAGTATGATGATAATTTTCCATATTCCTTATAGGGTCGGTGGACATATAGGAAAACCTTGAATAAGGAGTTAAAGACCCTCTTCGAAAGTGGGGATACTGGGAGTCCCCCCCCCCCTCGAAGTCTCACTTTCCCCGCTTTCAATGAGGGTCTTTAACAGGGCTGGGCGAAATCTAAAAATAAAAAGCGAAATACGGACTGCGAAGTTTTCGCGCTGAAAAATGTGAAAGCCCAGCCCGTCTAGCCCACCCCGTCTTTAACTCGCTATTGAAGATCTTTAACTCCTTATAGTTATCACTCAAATTATCCCTCAGATCCCTCAATTCTGAGAGACACATTTTCTCCCCTGCCTTTTTATCACCTTATCTCAGTTTATCCCCTCATTTACCTCTCCCACCCCCTTTTTTTATTGGACTGTACCCTTCCTCTATTTAGCTATCCTCGCGATTATTTGGATCATTCACATCTCCGCGCATCTCTCATTTATCAAAAAGTCTCGATCTTTCCCCTCTCTTTTTGCAGAAAAAAAGAAAAAGTGCGTGTTTCAACATCGGCTGACTATATTAACTAACAAATTTCTTTATTTGCCAGCACACACAATTTTTGTGTGTTGTTGTTTTTGGCTTGATTTCAATCAAGCAGAAGAGATAGATTGAATGACCGGCGTTTTTAAACACCTTTTCTCTCCCTCCCTTTTCTCCCTTCCATTTATTGCTATTTCATTGCCTTTGTAAATCCTCTCTCATTGGTGCTGATCTCTTCCCGATTTTATTTAAAAAGGTTTTGGATATCATGCTGCGATTTAATTTTATTTGGAAAATTGCAACCTGTTTTGGTTGAAAATCTCCTTTAAATTTGAAAAATAGATATCATTATTGATAAGGATTTTTAATTAATTAGAAGGGAAAAGGAGTGATTCTCTTGATCACCTTTTTTGATTTTTAATTAAGAATAAAAAAAATTTTTCTTTAGTTAATTTTTATTCGGATCTATTTGGTCTTTAATTCTCTTTCGAAGAAATTTTCTAAAAAATTTTGTTTCAATAGAACTGAATCCTTGATCATCTCCCTCAAGGTTAATTCCACTCTTTCAAAATCCCCCTCACAAAATACGCGGTCTCTCACAAATTACGGTATCCATGTTCCGCGGGTACACCTCATTTAACTAAAGCTCACTATAAGCGACTTTATATCTGTTCCCTTTCTGTCGTTACTAATGAGCTTTTAACGATGGCTAATTAACCAATAATGTTTTCTAAGCGAACACATGTGCGCGACTTTTCTATAAACAAATTAGCTTCTTTTATCATTATTTAGTGATCAATTTCATTTCCGTCTGATTTAATTTGCGTTCCCTTTTTTCCAGCCTATTTAATTAACTAAAAATATCAAGATATAAATTGTTTATTAGGTTCAAGTTGAAAATGTATTTAAAAGAAATTTTTTATTGAAAGCTTAGGCATTCCCTATCCTTTTTAAAGCTACATATATATGCCTCTCCAATTTAATATTTTCATACTCCCTCCCATATCACTCCCCTTTATAAGTCAGCATTAGTGTTGCGGTTCCTTATATTCGGAAAAGGTCGGATATCCGGAGATCTTCGGCTATCGGTTCCAGATATCCGGAAACGGTAGGATATCCAAAAATCTTCGGCTAGCTGTTATTGGATCCGGATATCCGAAGATTTTCCAGGAAACTCCATACATCAGCTCAAGTGTGACATTAGAAAAGTTCGACTCTCATCCTCAATATATTTATTTATTTATTTGTCATTTCTGAATTGATCCGGCACTGAAAACTTGGATATTTGGTGCCTCATGTTATAAGGTTATTTTAAATGTATTTTATATTTTTTTGAAATTTTTAAAAATTTCTTATAAATTTTTAAATAAACCCCCTTACCCTCTTAACTCTCTGAATAGAATCTCATCTCTACTCTTTCAAAAAACTTTTTCTTCTATATCCCCTCTCAGTTTTTGCAGCCTTAATGCCATTCAAAACATAATACTCCTTTATTTTAAATATATTTTTCCCCTTTTAATCCTTTGATCTCCCAAATTTCTCTCATCCCAATTTAAAAACACTTAATAACCCTTTTATTTAAATATGTCATATCCCTTTCCGTTCGTTTCTTTCGGCATTTAAAGTGTTCCTTTTTTGTCCTAAAATCATTTTCGCACTTTTACGAGCTTTTTATGAGTCTCTTTTTGTCTGTTTTGGATATAATTTTCTGAAATAAATTTATATATTTTTATTATTTATTATTTAAAGACGTCAAAAAGATTTATTTTTATGTCGGATAAACATTTAAAAATAAGTAAAATATACTCTCGTTAATAGCGATAAGGGTGGGATATATGTAATGTCTCGTATAACGGGGGTTATCTCTCCAACTTTGAGTCTCCTACTGAAAACCCGATTTTAATAGTCATTGAAAATCCAATTTTAATAGTCACCATGCTTCGTAGGAAGATAAGAGGAGGAAGATACCTAACTTTTTTGTAAGGGCTTCGGGTTAGACTGTGTGGTCTCATGAGGGTAGTCTCTCTCTCTATTATTGCCTCTCTTTCTTTTATTGGGTAATTATCTCTCTGGATATCCGAAGATTTTTTAAAACCCAACAACCCTAGTTTATATATTTAAGATAGAGTGAGAATTGATCAAGGCTCGAAATTGTTATCTCGAAAAATCTTTATCTTGAGATTTTTGAACTAGACTTATTTTATGCTTATCTTTAATTTAAAACTAATAAAATAAATATTTTAATTGCCTCAAAATTATTTTTTCAAATATTTATCAACGAACTTTTATCTAATTATTTTTGTAAAAATAGACTGAGCAATTTCTCATAGAAAAAATTTTTTTCGAATACCTAATTTAATCTAAAATATGACCGATTACCCTCCTAATATTTATTTTTATCTTTTATTTCCCTCAAGCATATTGAGGGAAATTTTTGAGGAAAATTTTTGTGTTAATTGGGAGAGGTTGAGTGAGGAGAGGTTAATTTTACCCTTGCTTCCTCAAGTTTCTAATCAGAAAATTTTTTTTCCAATTTTGATAACCATTGGGGACAAGGAAGGCATTTAAGGTGAAGTCCATTACCCCCCTCCATCAACCCCCCCCCTCTACTACCTTTCCCCCAAAATTTCTTTTCTGGTTTTATGATCCGCCCCCTTTATTATTTTTACTCTTCCATTGCTTTTCCCTTTCGCCTCTCAATTTTTAGCCGCCTCCAAATTATCTCATTTTTACGTCCTTACTTCATGTACCCTACCTCCTCCCTAAAGATTGGCAGTGTTCTGGTTTCTACCTCTTATTCGCAAAATTATAATCCGATTTCAAAACTATCTAGGTTACAACACCCAGACTCACCTCTACTTAGCTGGGGGCCGTCTGGAAAGGTCATGCTAGAAAAATCTCCTCTCTACTCTATCCTTGAATCCCTTCCTCTCTTTTCTCGAACCCCTCTACTTCTCAAAAGATCTCTATTCTCGGTAACCGAGGTTTTTGTTCGAAATCTAGTCTCAGTCTGATCTCAACTTATAGTTTGTATCAAAATAATAAATGATGGACTCAAATCCAGCTTATAATCCCTAATTTTCTCCCCAAATCCAGCCTATAATCCCCAATTTTCTCTTCAATCTTGTCATTTTATCTCCTCTATCGAGAGCTAATTTTCAATATTTTTAGCATTCACAAGATCAAAAAATTAATTATCTTTAATAAAAAATTTATTTTTTATAGACTTCAACTCATTTTATGCGTTCACCGATCCCATAAGTATTATAATAAACCCCTCTATACTTTTTTTCCCTCAAAATTGTGTAAATAATAAAAAATACTTCAAAAAGGAACCGCTCTCAATGTCCACAATTGCTTTATAATCGTTGATATTTTTCCCCTTTTTTGATTTTTGACCACTTTCTTATGTTGCCTTATCTAGGCATTTACTTCTATTTTTTTTTTATTTTAAGGAAATATGCCAAATTGAGTTTTTAGAATGGAAAGGGAATGAAGGGGGGATATAGTTTTTCAAAGGCACGGGTTTTAAGGAAGGGACTCTGATACAATTAAGGGTGATTTAGCGACAGAAAGAAAAAATTCGAAACTAGAACCCTTCCATATAAGAATAAAATAGCCTTAATTAATACCCATCCTCTTCAATTATCAAGCTGTCAATGTCCATAATTGCCTTATATAACGCGGTTTATTCTTTAAATTTCTGCATAAGGAGGAATATTTTTATGAATTCTTTCCCTTTTCCTGCAAATCCCTCTAATACACATATTTTTAACGTGTTTTTTGATTAATTTCTCTGTGTAATTATTCTTTAAATTTCTTCATGTGGAGGGTAATTAATTAAGAAAATAGGCTAAAAAGTTTACCCTTTTATTCAAATTAAAAATTTTAATTATAATTAATAAAATATATTTTTAAAATTTATTTTTTATGTGGGTCCGTTCATTCGTTAATATCCGTTTCTTATTTTTTGCCTGGTGGTATTTTACAGTTGCCAACTATATTTTTATCATTACAATTCTTGCAACATCTAAATTTTTATAGAATTAATTATGCTAATAAACAATTTGTTTATGATAGTGTAAAAGTTAATATCAACCTCAGGATGACACTAATAGCTCGACTAGTCCCTGATATATATCCTTTGTCTGCTCCAGCCCCAATTTTATCTTCGACCAATCCCAATCCCGTGTCAGGATCTGGAATCGGGATCATTATTCCAAAATCAGGATCCCGATTTTTTGTCAAAATCCCTCTCTATTTTTATTGAACGAAGGTTGTGTGCCGTAGAGACCGGCAAAATCGCAGATCCGGGATTCCGAGTCGGGATTTCTTTCTTGACTGATGCCGGGACGGGATCCCGAGGGATAAATCCCGAAAAAATCCCGGATCCCGGTTGATCCCGAAAATCAAAAAAATCCGGGATTTCGGGATCGGGATCCCGGAAAATCCCGTCGAGATCCCTTCCCGCGCCGGTCTCCAGTGTGCCGTACACAACTTTGTATGCCGTATGATATCCCCCTTCGTTTTTTTTTGACTTTCGCCTTTCATTTTTTAAAATCTGTTTCGACACACCCCGGGTACACAAACGATCAAATAAATATAAGTTTAGTTGGCACAATATGTAGTTTTGTATTTGTGTCCTATAAGAATTTGATTTTAGATTATCCTTTGTTATAATAGGTGTATATTGGATGTATTTTTTCAAAGATATCTTTGTGACTTGAAAATTTTAATTTTAAAATCCTTTTAAAAATTAACCGTATAGTAGGCTTTTCTTCATTATAACCCCCTTTTAAAGACAAATAATGGTTATAACAACAAGTATATCCTGGATCACAACCACAATTTGGTTTAATTTCGCCAAGAAGGCCTTCAATTTGATTAATTTGTAAATTAATACAATAGAAAACAAAAAAGGATAAAATTAAATATTTATTCATTTTCAGGGATTTTTTGGAAATTTTTAGAAATTTTTTAAGAATTTTATTTTAATTTTTAAAAATAATTTATTGAAGAGAGGGTATTGCTGCTGTGTTTATAAGCAAAAACTTTATTCAAAAAAAAATTTTTTTTGAATAAAAAAAATTGTAGTTTGGCAATTTCTGCATTTTTTGCCTTAATCTTTGACGCAAAACAAAATAATATTTAATTTAAGTTTTTAGTCGAGATCTATGCATTTTTATTTTTTTTTAAATTTTTTTGGGCAATTTAGTGAATTAATATTCTATAATGTATCCATCTATACAAATAAATAATTATTTAATTCATATAACCTGCCAAAAAAAATTTTTTTTATTACTAAAAAGAAATATTTTTTGCAAGTAAGAAAATTAAAAATTTTTTTTTAATTTTTTAAAATACAAAAAAAATTTTTTTGAATACCATTCTGCTTTATGCATTCGCATACATTGCTTTTACATACCTCCAGTTTTTCATATACCTGTTTATATAATTTTTTTAAATTTTTGGTTGGCCCTATGTAGGGAAGTGCCTTGAGTGATACCTCCAGTTTTCAAAAACCTCTGTTTTACGTACACTTTTTTAAATTTTTGTTGGCCCTATGCGGGAGAACTGCCTGAGTGATTTATTTTTAGCTCCAATTTTACGTGCAAAATTTTTTACACCCACAATACCCCCCCTCCCGCCCACATCAGAGATTCACGAAAATTCAACGAAAAGAAACGATGACTCCCATCTTCTCGTTTTTCCCTAACCATTTTTAGCTTCAGTAATTTATCTCATATAATTCGAAAGGAGTTCTTCTGATTTTGTTAAAATCCCCCTTAATTTTATTCCTTATTTAACCTATCATTTATGGCATTCTTTACAAATCCGCTTTCCTTATTTACATATTTGTTGCTTTATTTTATTTTAATTTTTAATCAAAAAATATGGTAATTAAATACATTGTTTTTGTAATTTTTTTAAAGAAATCTTTCCCCTTTTTTTTAATTTTTATTTAAATTTAATAGAGAATAAAAAGTCTGCCAGTCTTTCACAAAAAAAGCTCTCCCTTTCCAAGTCTTTCGGCTTTTTTATTTTTATTTTTGCTTCTGAACTAGAGGTGGAATAACAACAACAAAAAAATAAAAAAAAAAAGATTAAAACACATTCACCTTTATATTTTTATAAAAAATTCTGTGAAAAAAATTTTTAAAAATTAAAAATTAATTTGATCATCATTTTAAATGAATTTTAATTTTATTGGAAGAAAATTGCTATTATTATTTTTAATTTACAACATTATTTGTGGCAATTTGAAAGGTGGAAATTGACAAGAATTTTAATTTTGAATTAATAATTTTTATATATTAAATTCTCGTTATAAACCTACCCTTAAAGGACTGACTTTAAACAGGGTTATATCGTTATAGGGTTCGTTGGGATTTTAGTGGATGCTTTAATCTAGAGACCCACGTTGAAGAGACTATTCTTATTTGGAAAAGGGGTGTCTCTTAAATAGAGAGGATATATGTGCGGCTCTCCATACCCTATGGGCGAATCCATTTATCAAATTTATTTTTAAGCCAGTGAAATAAATTTAATAAAATTAACCCCTCGTTATAAGCCCACCTGTTAAGGAACCGACCTCGAGCGAGGTTTTAATCGTTGTCGGGTTAAATCCATTGGGTTTTTAGAGGGATACCCCATCGGAAGGATTCAATGGCTCTGTGAATGTGGCTTGAATGTGTAACTAATCTCAGCAAGGTTATAACGAGAGTCAGTACTCGTTGACATTTATGTCATTCAAAAATTAATTTTTTATAGTTTCCTCCTCAGAATCAGCAACATTTCCACTCCAAACTTCCAGACCTTTTACTATCGAGCCTGGAGAAGAAAATTTTTTAGCACGTGAAGGAGAACCTGGCCCCCTATTAAATTGTTCTGTAGCCGAACCCTTTAGAGATAGAAGTCGGTACGAGTTGGAATGGACTAAAGTTGTGGAGGATAGGCCAAAGTAAGGAGGAAAAATTTTTTGAAAAATTTTTTGAATTTTTTCCCTCTAGGCTAATATCTCGCAATGCACTCCTCTACACCCCCTCCGCCCCAGATGGCTACCAACTTTTTGACAACGTTGCTACTGATGGATCTTACAATCTACGCCTTCTAGGCGTCCAATTCGAACGTGACAATGGACGTTTCTTTTGCACATTGGTAGATTCTGGCACACAGACCCAATGGTTAAGTGAACCTGCTAGAGTGGTTGTGTTAGGTGGGGGAAATTTTTTGAAGAAAATTTTTTGGTCAGGCTAGGTCATGATTATGTAAACCTCGTTAAATTTAAAAAACAAAGAGTTTTTATTTGAAATTTAAAGTTTGAAACAAGGAAATTAAAAAAAAATTTTATTGCGAATGAGAGAAGTTGTGTTTTTAATCGTGGGAAATATTAAATTGGGGCAAGGAAAAAAATTAAAGTTCAGCGCGAAATTTGAAAATTTGAACTTTTTCTTCTCAAGGGACTGACTGAAGGACAGAGGATTTTAAGGGATCGGGTTAAGAACCTGGAAACCTTCTCTCTCTCTCTCTCTCTCTTTTACGACTTTCTTTCCTGCATCACCTTCCTTCCGGAAGGTTTTCCTGATTTGATTCACCTTCCATGGCTCTTTCCTATTTACATCAGAAGCCCGGGTTTCATACTTAGGTTAACCCGTCCTTGGCCTTCTACATACTTCTAGTTCCTCGAAAACCTCCAAAATTTAATTTTAATTTTTATTCAAATCTGATTTCAATCTCTATTTCAATTTTACTTTTATCTCTTTTAAATCGGCTTTCCTTTCCCCCATCTTTTCAAAAATTTTTTCAAAGAATCTTCCTCCTCTTAATTTTCATTTAAATCTTCTCTCTCTCAACTCCATTATCTCCCCTTTCTACTTAATAACCAGTCAGTCATCATTTCTCACAAGCAACCGGTCAGCGACTGTCATCAACTCACTCAATCAATTTTTCTTTTTTAAAATCACTCATCCGTTTTTTTTCTTTTTAAATCACTTTCCTTTGAAAAAAAATTTTTTATTCACTTTTCCATACCTTTTTCACACTTATTATAGTGTTAAGTGAACCGAAACTAAAATTATGATAATTTTTGAATAATCGAAATATGAAGTAAATAAAAATTAAAAAGGAAAGAAAGGGTCTAAATTTAGTTGAAAATTGAATTTAAAAAAAGATTTAGGGGGATTGAATGAATTTTAAAAATTAATTTTGAATGAATTTGAAGGGAGAAAATAATAAAAATGTAATGAAGAACTGTTCGTCGCTGGCTTATAAAATTGCCAAAATGGGACCTAGAGCAATGAAATTTTGCGGTGTTATTTTTAAGGGTGTCAGTTATGTTGTTGCAAAATTTGAAAATTTTTGATGAATTAGTTTTCGGGTTATGGTAGAAAATTTGGAGGTACTCAAAAATTATTTAAATTTGGAGAGAAAATAATTAAAATGCTAGGGAGACGTTTCTTCACGAGCCTATAAAATTGCCAAAAGTGAAGTTGGAGAAATGAAATTTTGCATGGATATTTTCGAGAGTGTCTTTTATAAGACTGCAAAATTTTAGAATTTTAGGTAGTGTAGTTTTTGATTTATGGTAGAAAATTTGGAGGTAACTCAAACATGGACACATACCTTCACTTGCCTTAGCATAACCTTCAAATTAATTAACCAAAAATTATTAAATTTTGAGAGGAGATAGAGACCCTCACGAGGGACTTTCATGCAAAATTTGGACAAGGAAAGTTTGTAAATTGAGGTGATTTAAAGACCCGTGCCAAGCCTAAAAAACGAAAAATTAATATTAAAAAAGAAGGAATTTTCGCGCACCATACATATGTTGTTCCAATAAATTTTTTGCCACAAGCAATAAACACTTTTTTTACTTAAAAAAACTTTCTATATTTTCTAAAGACAGGTGTTCTTTTATTTTATTATTTTTTGATCCATTGCGCGAACATTTTTGAAACCTGTTCCTTCACACTTTTTCTCTTTCAGCTAAATTAATTCTTTCTTTCTTGCAACATCTTTTTTTTATTAAAAAAATTTTTTAAGAGGGGATCTAGCAAATTAAATGATTAATGAAAGATAGTAAATTCCTGTGCGACTTTCAGATTTTATATTCAACACGGAATATTCCGGAAGAATATTCCGGATATCCTCAAATAGAAGCACATCTTCCAACAGAAGCATACTCTCTCTCTCTCCCTAATATACCATAAAATCTCTATTAGAATGCCATGGCATTCTACTATTTTTCAATCACCTTCCAAAGCGGCATTCTATTAGAGACTGGCATTCAATTGTGAGTAAAATTCTAACAGAGATTTTCATGTAAGCACATTTTACTTGAAGATCAAAAAATAAAAGCACAAGTGGTTCTGTTAAGAAATTTCCGGTATTCCGGATATCCTGACTTTCATTCTAACATAAGTTTTTCCCTGATAATCTGCTTTTAAATTTTTTTTTATTAAATAAAAATAATATTTAAAAAATTATTTCTCCTATTTTCACTTTCTCTCTCAATTAAAATCCATTAATCATCTCTTTAAATAAATATATATTTTCATTATCGTTGCGCATTCAAGATAAGATCAAAGCTCAAAGATTTTTTTTTTAAAAATATTCTGTGAGAAGATAAAAATAAAATAAAATTTATGAGCACAACCCTCCAAGGTTTCCTATTAAATAAATAAAAGAAAACTTGAAGACATTGATAAATTATTTAAGAAAAAAGTAAAATAATGGCACAAAAAATAATTATTTATTTAATAAATGTTGCAGTTTGAAAATACATAAATTAAGAGGGAAAGAAAATTTTTAAAAGATTAAAATTAAAATTAAGAATTTTTAGTTAGTAAAACGTTAGAGATGTACTTAACAGGGAGGAAGTACGGTAATAAATTATTATCTCCCCATTTCGGCAAATAAATTGTGGCATTCCACTAAGGCGGTATTCGATCTGATCTTTCTTGAAATTACTTGTTGAAGTCTATTCTTATGTTTTTTTCTTTGTTTTTTTTAAAAAAGATCAGATCGAATTTCATAGAAAAATTTTTTTGGAATGGAGAGAGTTTTAAGAGAAGGGGTTTTAAAAAAAAATCTCTCATTATCTCTATTCAAAAGCATTTTTCTTATCGTCCAAAGGTCCTAAATCGTTCTCGTACAACCCCTCCATGTTCGAGCATCTTGGACAGATCTTCTTCTCCTCCAATAAGTCCAGGCCTTCACGGACTTGTCTTAACTCTCTTCTCTCACTTCAAGTCGGCAAATTCCTATAAACTAACCAAAAATTTAAACAACCCAAACAAACAAACAAAAAAAAATAAAAAGAAAAACACTCAACAAAAACACTCAATTTTCATCTCATATTTTCTTTATTTGCCTAAAGAATTACTAGTTATTTTTTCTGAAACTCGGCAAGAATAAAGGCACAATAATAACGGCATTTATAAAAATAGGGGAAGAGGATAAGGGAATGGAGGGGTTTAAAAAATGTTTGGACAAGAAAGAAGGGGGAAGATCAGGTTTTAAGAAAAATTTTAAATTTATACAAAACGCCAAAAATTTCAAAATGGTCAAAATTAAAAATGGAAGGGTTCAGAATGCCCAAAATTAAATTGGAAGGGTTTAAAATGGTCAAAATTAAAAATTGAAGGGTTTAAATGGTCAAAAATTTAAATGAAAGGGTTCAAAATGGTCAAAAATTTAAAAACACCCAAAAATTAAAAATTTAAAAAATTTCAAAGTGTCGAATCTTCTAAATGAAACAAATATATTTTTACAGTACCTCCACAAACACCAAGTATAACTACACAACCTACCGAAGCTGTACGTGAGGGAGACTTGGCCACATTTCGATGTGAATCTACAGGAGGCAACCCTTCACCCCATTTCCAATGGCTTTTTGACAACAAAACGAAGGTCCCGGAAGGGTGGTATATCGAAAGGCCTGAGGCTAATGCTGGAAAGAGTATTTCAACGCTACAGTAAGTTTATAAGGGAGATGACATTTGATCTGATTTGAGTGATTTTTAAAAAATTTAAAGGATGCATGTAAAAAGTGAACATAATGGGGCTTATATGCTTTGCCAAATTTGGAATCGAGCATTGAAGGAAGGTGAAAGATTGCAAATACATACAGAACGATTGAATGTAAGTCTGTTTTTATGTTAAATAATGGAAAGTAAATGTAAATAGGGGGTAAAAAGGAGTTCCTATGACCCTTATGGATTAGCTACCATGGTACCATTGACTTGGTTAACAAGCATATACCGATTAGCTGTCATTGTCAGCCTCCAGATAGCTAGCATGACTATCCCCTCCTATTTAGAACTACTCAGCAAATCCACCCCACTACTCTCTCTCTCAATCTACCGTATCCTTAACCTTATAAGCATACTAACTATTCCACCTACTGTTCTTATCAGGGGATACAGATGGAACACAAATATAAATTTTTAAACTTAAAATTCTCTCAGGTTCTCTACGCTCCACGTGTCAAAATTCTGCCCTCTTCAGAACTCAATGTAGAGGAAGGTCAAGTCGTGCCTTTAATTTGTAAAGCGGATGCCAACCCCCAACCGACACAATTTCAATGGACACACATCCCTACTGGAGAACAACATCTCTCTCGTGAATGGCACCTAGCAATGAAGAGAATACACACAGGGGAATTTCGGTGTACAGCTACAAATTCAATTGACACTGGTGCTGGGACAATACGTTTAAATGTGCTTTATGGGCCGTCTGTCAGAATTAAGGTGGCTATTGGAACAGACAATCCTGTTGAAGGAGAACGTCTTGTATTGGAATGTGAAAGTGATGCGAACCCTAGAGTTGAGGCTGTCTCTTGGAGTGGACCTGGAGGAGTGAAACAGAACGGGTCTAAATTGGTTATTGACTCGATAAATCGGTAAAGGACGATTTTGGGATTTAAAAAGTGCCGGGGTGGGTTGGATAAGTAAATTGGAAATGTGATGTGTTATATCATAGGCCATAGGTTGAGATACCTATATCGTAGGCTGAGATATAGGCTAGAAGAATGGAACAATAAAGATCGATCGGAAATTCAGATTCCTGATAGTTCCAGCCACCTTTAGCAGTTCCTAAGGACCTCTTGAACCCAATAACATTGATATATTAAATATAAGGGATTTAATGTATATAGGAGTGCTTAATAGGAGAGGCTGAGTGCTTGATAGGAGAGTGCTTGATAGGAAAGACGCTTCCTACCTTTATCCTTCCTTCTAATCCCCCCTCTTATCACTTTCAGTGTCCATGCCGGCAACTTTACTTGTACTTCTTGGAACACTTTACCTCTCACTTCTACCCAATCATCAGTACGTACAGGATCCTCTTCTATTTTCATTGATGTTCGGAGACGTCCAGGCCCTGCAGTAATCTCTGCAAAACGTCTGGTTGTAAATATTGGAGAGCCCATCATTCTGAGTTGCTCTACTGACGGGGATAATGGCAATCCTCCAGCAAAGTTTAAATGGGGAGGGCCAGGAATGAATAATGACCAATTTGGGAAGGAACAACAATGGAATAAGGCTATACTAAAAATACCAGAAGCTAAACTTGGAGATAATGGATTGTATAGATGTTTGCCTTATAATGATATTGGACAGGCTGAAGAGAGTAGTGTAAGGATTATGGTGGGTTTTCGGAAGGAAATGAGTATACTTTACAGAATATTTTAATAAAGGTTGTGGAACCAGCTCGTCTTATACGTCCTTTACTCCCTACAAGAACTTTGTCTTCTAATTCTGTTGATGTTCAGATTGAATGTGAAGCTCGGGGCTTTCCCAGGCCACGAATTTTTTGGTTGAAAGATGGGCAAGCTTTGCCACTTGATTCTTCTAGACTTTGGGCTGTTCAGGAGCATAGAGAGGCTACAGTACCTGGGTAAAGTTAAAAATATTGTGAATAGACATTCAGGACCCCTTACGCTCAGATTTCATTATAAGCTTCTGGAGCGGATTTGTTAAGCTTCATAGTAGGCTGCGATCCGACTTCAATAGAAAATCACAATCCCAGTCATAATCCCTCTACCTAGGGCGCATGTCATATAGTCTACTATATCGAGGCCTAATATGTTTATTCCAATGTTGGGTCATTCTGAACACCCTTCAATAGGTCACCTCTATTTAATAAACTCTTTTAAGTTGTAATCAACAAAGAGAGCCTTGCCCAGTGACTGTTAAAAGTTCCCTTCAACTAGTACACCCAACAAGTTGGACAGATAAAGGAAATTATGCCTGTATAGCGGAGAATTCTCCTACAGCTGAGGCTGCATCTTCAATTATGGCCATAAGTGTTGTGCATGAACCGATAATTTTGAATCAAAAATTGTGTGAGGGTATGGCTATGGCTTCTGCTGATATAGGAGAAAAGGTAGAGGGCTTATTTTAGAAGTAATATTCGCACCCCGATTCCCTCAATTATTTGACTATGTTCATCAACAGCACAATCCTCCTCTGAGCCTTGGATTAGTTACTTGAATCCCTTCTCATCTCCCGTTATTCTAAAGTTTGATTTACATAGTCCACAAGGGAGTTTAATGTCAAAAGTCTCTAGTATCGGAAACTCTGGAGTTTACGGTATCGGAATCCCGATACCAATTTTTGCTGTTAACGCTACCGAGGAAATCCTAACACCTATCAACACCTTTATCACTTTAAGCATGATTAGCCTCCAGTCATCCTCAGAGAGAGACTCTCTATCTTCCCCTATCCGTTTATAAATCTCCTTTTCATATTCAGGCAAAGATTGCATGCCTAGTCTCAGCACGACCCGAACCTCGCATTATTTGGACCCGTGATGGTGTTGAAATTGCAGGGGGAAATACTGCAACATTTAAAAGGGATATAGAACAACAACATCGCTACAAATTGAGTTTGAACAGAGTTTCTGGTCAGTCTACTTTTTCCCTTCAATTAAAGCTTCAATCCCTTCCTATAGGTGCTATAGACGAGTTTGAATCAGTTCTAAGTCTGGACAGTGTTGAGGAACACGATTACGGCATTTTTGTTTGTGAAGCTAGCAATGGGGCCGGAAGAAGGAAGAGTTCTGTGGAAATTAGGTTTCAACCTAAAGGTGAATTTTTGGGAATTTCTTGAGAATTTCCTTTGGACTTTCTGTTGAAATTTTTCTAAAATCCTTCCAGGCCTTCCACAAACCCCTATCTTTGCGAAACAACCTCAATCGGGAATTGACTGGATTTTGTTGGGATGGCGTCCAGGTTTTGATGGAGGGGAGAAGCAAACGTTGGAATTGGAACTTAGGGCTGTAGACCCTTTTACTGGAAGGCCTTCGAGTGAGAATGAGCCTGAACATATTGTGTTTGGATCTGGAAATTGGACAACACTTTCTTTGTTTTTGGTAATTTTTGAGGGGATTTTTGAAGGGGTTTTGGAAGCTTTAGGGACCTTTCTGAAAAACATATAAAACCATAAGAGCTTAGAAACCAGAATTTTAAGTCACAATTTCAGAAAACCAGAATGTTGATTTTATTAGAAATCAGAATTCAGACTCCATGGGGACCAGAATTCTGAGAAGTTCATTACACCAGAATTCTGATTTTTTGGGAACCAGGGTTCTGATTTTTTATGATTCCTCATTTTGGAATCAAAATTTCCTAAACCAGAATTTTGCGACCACATTTTAGAAAACCAGAATTCTGGAATCAAAAGTTAAATAGACCAGAGTTCTGATATTTTTTAAAAACCAGAAACAAATTCTCCCTCTTCAGAACGACGATACTGCCCTAACCGAAACCTTCCTTGTCTACAACATAACCAAACTACGCCCAGCTTCAAGTGTCTGGTACCGTGTGAGGGCTAGGAATACTCGTGGAACTTCTGATTGGACAGCTATAAGTACAGCAAGTAGTGAGGATGTAAATGAAAGTGGGGGTGATATCCAAGCACCTGAAAGTGTTGTTTATCTGACTAAAGAACGGAAGCTTGTAGTACAACCACTTAAATATTCGGCTGGACATTGTGCATTGGTTTATGCAGCTTCGAGTGAGGATGGACAGATGAGGAGTGTTAAGTGAGGGTTTTGGATAGATTTTAAAAGAATCAGAATATTGTAAAAATCAGAATCTTGAGGATCAGAATTTTTTGAAGATCAGAATTTTAAATATCAGAACTTTAAAAATCACAAGTTCTGAAATTAAATATCAGAATTTTGGAATATCAGAATTTTCAGGATCAGAATTTTAAAAAATCAGAATTATGATAAGCAGAATTTAAAAAAACCAGAATTATAAAAATCAGAATCTTAAGGACTGGAATTATAGGAATCAGAATATTTTAAGGCTCTAATTTAAATATCTGAATCTTGAAAAATCAGAATTTTAAGAAATCTCGATTTTAAAAATCAGAACTTTAAGAACCCCTCCTATAATAAATTCTGATCAGAATAATAGAAAAATTAAAATTTTTAATTTAAAATTCAGAATCTAATCAACCCTTTAACCCTTTCAGCTGTTTTCCATTAACCGATTCTGACGGTTCTTTCTCCGACATAATGCCTTCAGAACGTTTTAAAGTGCGTTACTGTAGTGTTGATGATCTTCGACATTGTTCTGCTTCAATGAAAATTTTTGGTAGGGCGAAAAAAAATTTTTTTTGGAATTTTTAAAAAATTTTCTGAATATTCCTTACCCCAATATTCTCTCAAAAAAATTTATTTTCCCCCCAATTTCCCTCAAATATTTTCTCAATTTCAAGGTCATTTTACTTTTTCCCAACGAGGCCATCTGTTCCAGAAAAATATATTTAACACTTTCATCTCCACTACTCTTTCCCATCCCTCCAAAAATATATATTATTTACACATTCCCCCCTCATTCATTTGCAATTTTGTGCAAATTGTAGGGTATATTTTTAAATAAGGGAGGAGGGACTGAGGGAACTGAGGGAGGGGAAGGACCAGAAAAGATGACACTAATCCTTTGGGGAATGCTTAATAAATATTGGGCATTTTCCTTCTCATTTTAATGTTATTTTAATAAAAACAAAAATTTTTATTTGAAAATTTAGAAGAGCTGATTAACTAAAAACCGGAATTGATTTTCTGGATCCACTAAATTCCAATTATTCCAAAGTTGATTTTGTCGGGTTTTGAAATTTCCCCGAATTCTGATCTTTCGTTTATAGTCATAAGTAATTTTTAGATTGGCTAGTGTTAACCTTACTATGTTCTAGGACGGCAAACATGAGTCCGTTCAGGGCCAAGACGTCCTAAATTTCGTCCTAATCCGTCTTGGTCTAGGTTAATCTCAAGAATATCACAGATCCAGAATTTATAGGAAAATAAATTTTTTTTGACTAACCATATGTTTCTTGAATATTATTTTGTCTGGGAGACGGGGAAGTGAAGGGAAGAGAGTTGTCCTTAAAGGATTCCTACCCAACTATACCTTCAAAAAATGAAAATTTTCTAGTGGACGATTATTCCTCGGCCAATTCTTTTTGGATGCTTACACTCATTATTGTTGCCGTTTGTATTATCAGCGCTTCAATCTTGATTGTATTAATTTGTACAAGACAGCGTTTACGAAAAGCAGCAAATGCTCAATTAAGAGCTAGAGGTCCAGCGGCTAAAGGGGCTATGAAGAGAATTACTTTGAATGGAGCTGCTATAGAAAGGTGTGTATTTAAAATGAAAAAAATTTAGAGGGAAAAAACTCATAACGAAAAATTTGGACTGAACCAGATCCTGAATTTCAACCCGGAACTAAAACACTCCCCTAAAAGTCGTGTGACTTTCTTTCGAACAAATAACCATAGGGGTTTTCTTAAAAACACGGTTAATCTGAACTAAATGACAGACTGTAAGGATTATACGAGGATCATAAATCTGAATAAAATCGATTCTAAATATACGATATCTTTGTTCGAGATTCGACCTTATCTCTAACTAGACTATCCATTGACTCAATGTCCTGGCTTTTGATGACCCTCTTATTTTAGGATCAGCTCTATACTATCCTTAATATAGCTCAGATGTGCCTTACTGATTTAAATAAAAATTTATGTGAATAAACTAGCTAAATACAACTCTTTAGATGTGTAATACCCTCCAAAAACTCCATCTAAATCCCCAAGGATTTCAAATCATTTTAATCATTTTTATTAACTTTCAGAATCAACGGGAAAAAACAAAATGGTTACAATACAAATTCATCTTCAAAGAACACTCCAGTAAATGGATCTCAATCAGATAGTGGTGTATTTACTTTGGGTGGGAATAATAATTCGTCTTCGGCTATTGCTTCTGCTGTTATTGCATTAAATGGGGGGATTAATAGTAAATCTTGTGAACGTGATGTGGTTGATTCCAGGTAGGTTTTTTGGGAAATTTAGAAGACAACCCCTCTTAAAAGACAAGAAAATTGAACACAAGACAAAAGACTTTGTGAGACCGTAAAGAGACTTTGAGTGACCGTAAAGAGACTGACTTCCTTCATTGAGAGGGCCCTATTTTTAAATTTTTATCTCTCAGAGATAGCTACAATATTGAGGGGCATAACTGACAGTGGCAGAGGTGGGTCGGAATTCTGAGTTCCGACTTCCGATTTCTGATGTTTTTTCCTTCCTATTTCTGAATGTTCCGACCCACTTCTGCTTAGTAGTAAACATAGCTCTTTATCCTATATTCATATATGAGATATTGCCCTCCCGACTTCTGAAAACGGGACGAGTCCAGAACATGATTCCATTTGGTCCAAGACGTCTTGGGTTCACTCTTGATCTGTCTTGGTCTATGTTAGTAACCTCCATAATTCCCGAAATCGTGAATTTTATGCCGGCAGCATCTCTATATGGGGTAATTCAGTATTCAATTTCTTGTTCCACAAAGGATCCTTTGTACCATTAATTGTACCTTTATTTGTAAAATTATCCTCTTCCTTTAAGCGACCCCACTGAATGGAAAGAACAACAACAAGGAGAACATCAGCAACAACAACATTCTTTTGACGACCCTTCAGCTTCCCAACATCAATTATCCCCTAACCAAATAGAGCCTTCTTTTGACGAATATTCCAATGATCCTTTCCTTCTACAAGAATTTACTAATGCAAATTCTTTAGGTGGAATAGTTTGTGTAGAAAATAGTTTACATCAAAACAGTTCTGCTGAGAGTACCCCTGGGGGTATTAGACAATTTGGACAACAGAGGCCTTTAAATCCGTACTCGAAGTTTTTTAATGAATTTTCTTCTGCATTTTTGGGTGGAAATGGTGAGAATTTTGGTATTTTTAATGTTAGAATTTGAGTCGAATATTTATTAAATACTGTAGAATGAACCATCCTTGATCTCACCAACAAAATCCCTTAACCTAGAAATCAGATTTTTGTAAGAATAGGGAAGATATAGAGCTAATCTCCGTCCACTACCCCTGTCTCTTCTAAATTCCTCCCTGACATTTTACAAGCCTCCTTTCCTTAATTTAGAGCCGTGTCCCAAACCCATTCCTATCTTTACTTCAAGAAATCGAAGTTGAATTTCTTCACCATGTTCCAATTCCTCGGCTAGAGCTTTGACGCCTTCCTAGGACTCCAGAAAAAAGATTTATAGAATTTAGAAACTTTGATTAAGCCAAGGAATAAAAAAATAAATTTTTAAAATTTCAAAATAAAATTATTTTAAAGCAAAATCATCTATAATGAGGAGAAGTAATGGATTGGATACAAGTTTAGATAGAAAACAACAAATAAATAATGAAGGGTATAATCAACAACAACAACAGCTCCAACAGAACGAATTAAACAACCCTTCGAGTAGTAATGAACAATTATTGCAGAGTAATAATGGAAGTTGTTCTTCGAATAATTCGAGTATATCCCCATATGGAAATAATGGAAGGGATTTAACAACAAAAATAAATAATTCTAATAATAATGGAGTAGGAGGAGGGAGGGCAAGTGGTAGAGTTATGAGAGAAATTATTGTTTAAATTTTGTGTTATTAATAATTTTTTGTTAAGAGAGAAATTGAAGATACAGGAAAACAGGAATAAATAAAAAATACAGGAAAAAAATACAAAAACAGGAAAAAAATACAGGAAAACGAAGGATTCCATAGTTCCTCCGGTTCCTGAAGATAATTATGAGGGGATACATGAGAGGATACAGGAAATCGAAGGATTCCATAGTTCCTCAGGTTCCTGAAGATAATTATGAGGGGATACATGAGAGGATACAGGAAATCGAAGGGTTCCATAGTTCCTCAGGTTCCTGAAGATAATTATGAGGGGATACATGAGAGGATACAGGAAATCGAAGGGTTCCATAGTTCCTCAGGTTCCTGAAGATAATTATGAGGGGATACATGAGAGGATACAGGAAATCGAAGGGTTCCATAGTTCCTCCGGTTCCTGAAGATAATTATGAGGGGATACATGAGAGGATACAGGAAATCGAAGGGTTCCATAGTTCCTCAGGTTCCTGAAGATAATTGTAAGGGAATACTGGAGGGGATACAGGAAATTGAAGGGTTACATAGTTCCTCCGGTTCTTGAAGATAATTGTAAGGGGATACAGGAGGGGATATAGGAAATCGAAGGGTCTATAATTCCTCTGGTTCCTGAAGAAATTGTAAAGGGATACAGGAGGGAATAAGTAAATCGAAGGGTTCCATAGTTTTTCCGGTTCTTGACATCTCCAAAATCCTGATAGCTTCACACTTCCATGAATCAGACCAGAACCTCGGTTCTCTTATCGGCTGGGTTTAACGCGTATTAATGACCATACCGATAATGGTCGGTATTTTAACATAACAGCAACTATCTCAAATTTTCTTACGCTTCAAAATTAATCCAGCTTACTCTTATACATGCCACCGTCCCTCTCTAATGGACATTCCCAAAACTTAGTTTCATTAAAATATCAACCCAAACCTATACCCAACTATAAGATTAGCTCAATTTCTCTCTAGTATCATCCTTTATTAATTAATATCAGTTTAATAACTATTTTTGTCTAATTTTCAATTATATTTTTCCTTACGGGTTAATCCAAGTCATTAGAGATATGTACTTTATTTTATATCTTCTATTATATATCACTGCCGTTTGTAAACCTCATTAAACCTCCCTCCTTTATAAATTTATTTTTGCCATATTTAATAAATTTAAAAACCTCTATATAATCGACAATGAGGTGGGAGATTTCAGATATCCGGAATCGAAGAAAGAAAGGATATCTAAAAATTTTAATGCGGATATCGTTGGGATTTTCCGGATATTCGGAGTTTTCCCAGGAATCGTCACCCTAGGCACCTCTATTTAATAAATTTTTAGTTCAAGTAAAGTCGCTTATAATGAGTTTTTAAATAAATATTTAACACAACTATTTTTTTATTTTTAGGAATCGAAGCAAATGATTATGTAGATTAATATTTAATATATTTTCATGATTTAGATTTTGTTAATAAATATTTTTTTATTATTTTAAATTTTAAAAAGATTATATCAAAAAAAAACTCAAATTCGAGAAAATTTCAAAAAATTTTAACATGCAAATTCGGGTTCTATCTGAAATGAGGTGCGTAATCATATTTTTTTCTCCTTCCTTTCACAAGGTAAAAAGGGTCATTTTTTCCTTAGTATTTAATTTGTGTTGATTTTGCCTTAAGGAAAAATAATGCAGGAGGATTATTTTCCTTAAGGCAAAATCCTGCATTATTTTTCCTTAAGGCAAAATCATCACAAATTAAATACTAAGGAAAAAATGACCCTTTTTACCTTTTGAAAAGAAGGAGAAAAAATATGATTACGCACCTCATTTCAGATAGGGCCCAAATTCGAATTGAATTCATCAAGACACACGACTTTTAACTATCTCATATAAAAAATACTTATTTAAGGCATTGAATTTTTAGAACTACAATCGAGATCTCTGAACAACTTTTTGACATAAATGTCACAAAAATAACTGTTCCAATTTTAATAAATTCAAAAATTTTTATTAAATAATAACATAATATTACAGAATTTTTGTAATAAAATTTAAACACTCTAATAACTAGAAATGTACCCAAAAAATTTAAAAATTGTCTAACTAAAATTCCAAAATATTTTATTCATTTATGAGCACCAAACGAGTCTCCCAAAATTTGTATAGCCTGTTGAAGAGTCTCATCTTTCTAAAAATAAATTAAAATTTAAAAAATATTTTTTAAATTTCACACCTTAAAAAAGCAAAGTCGAATATAATGATCATTTCCTTGTCTATTTTGAGGAGAATAAAATGCTGATGGAGGTATTCCTGCCAATTTCTATTTAAAAATAAAAATAATTTAAAAATTTAAATTTTTAAAAAACACCTTTTCTCTGCATAACCATCTACAAAAATCATAATCTATTCCTTCCCCATTTTCTGATTTTCTATTAGCAAGAAATGAAGAAGAACCATCTTTAAATAAATTTTTTAAATTATAATTAAGCAGGCATATATTTTAATTAAAAATAAATTATTAGATTTTGTCTCTCTTAAAAATTATATAGAAATATGCGCTCTCTCGCTTTGTATGTATCCGGAAATCTATCAGGAAAATACATGTTCGTTATGCACTTTATAACTGAAAAACACATTCCGGAAAACATAAAACACATTCGAGAAAATACATATAATACTATTCCGGAAATAATATACACATTCCGGAAACTATAAATATAAAAATATATTCCGGAAATAATATAACACTCCAGAAAATATGAAATACATAAAACATTCCGGAAAAAAGAATATAAAACCCCGTTCCGGAAACTAATATAGGTAAAAACACCGTTAACTATAAAATAATATTCACATTCCGGAAAATACAATTGTATAGACACGTTCCGGAATTTATTTTTACAGAAATTGTGGTTAGACAAAGAACGACATAGTGTATCCAACTTGCTACTTATATAAGAGAGACAATGTCTAATTAATTAAATTAATTTAAATTTATATTTTCCCCTTACCCAAATGACTAAAATCAGCAATCATAAAATATCCAGCATCCGGAATTATTGGTCTAAACCCAGCAGACTTTAAATATTTTGCCAACAGGTCGCGTTTAGGTAAAAGTTCAGCAATTATTCCATTTTTTAAATAACTTTGGTTAAATTTGCCTTCCTTCCATAACAGCAATTCTTCTTCAAATGAACGGGCTAAAGCTTCTTGTATTGGGGTAGGGCAAGCAAATACTTTAGAAAAAAATTTTTTTTAATTTTTAAAAAATCTTTTTAATTTATACCACAATTTTCATGAATTTTTTTCATAGGTTCAAGCAGCCATTTTGGTCCTATGGACCATCCAGTTTTCCACCCAGTTGCAGAAAATACCTTTCCAGCACTTCCAATAGTTATTGTACGTTCATACATTCCTGGCAGGCTTGCTGAAAAAATTTTTTTAATTTTTAAAAAAAATTTCCAAACCAAATCTAATCATTTCCCCTCCAGGATAAACCATCCATTCATAAACTTCATCAGTCAAAACAATTAAATCATTTTCAATTGCAATTTTAGCCAATTGTTCCAATTCAGAGCGTGTATATAATTTTCCCGTTGGGTTATTTGGACTTGAAAATAAGAAAAAAAATTCAAAAAAATTCAGAAAAAATAACTAGGGTTAGAGGTCCGGTCCGAAAGATCAAGTCGGGTTTGGCCCGAAAAAGACTCAGCTGGGCCGTTCCGGTAAAAATAACTCGAACATCGGCCCGTCTCGAAAACCCCAACCCTAAAAATAACTAAAAAAAGAAAAGTCTATCACAACCCCAAAATGTCAGAGTGAGTTAATTTTGATATAAATGATACAGTCCAACCAAACTAGTCAAAATATACCAAAATTGGCTAGCGCCAACTCTCACAAGCAGACCGAAATAGACCGGGAAATGTACTCCAAGGATAAGGTAAGAATGGGGGAAAAAATAAGTAGCCCGATCAATCCCCAATTCCTGCCTGACAATCCCCAGAACCCCCTAAAAATCTAAATAAAAAAAATTCATACTTATTCAACACAATCATTTTTGTTTTTGGAGTAATTTTGCTTTTAACAACATTTATATTCAAAACATAACCAGCACTACTAGTTGCATTTGGATCCAATTCTAAAACAACAGGGATTGGAATAGCCCCAGCCATTTTGATTTGAGAAACATAAGAGTCATAGGCTGGTTCAAAAACTGAAAGAAAATAAAAAAAATTTAATAAAAAAAAATAAAGACAAAAAATAAATTCTCAAAAGAAATTTTAAGACGAAAAATCAAATTTAAAAAAATTTCAAAAATTTGGAAAAAATTAGGGGACCGTAAAAAAGATTTTTTTAATCATTAAAATTAGTCCTCCTCAAGTGATATAGCCTATCAGAAAAATTTCCCAAGTCTCTCCCTGAACATGATTTCCAAAAATCTTAAGACTTGTTGACTTGAGGCCAATAAAATTTCCAAAAAAAAAATCCATAGACTCTCCCTAGTCACCCTCACTATTTTAAATACTCCCAAGTATTCGCCCATATTACCCTCCGTAGGAGCTCACCCCCGCCCCCTTCCTTAAAATAAATTCAAAAAGCTTACTAATAACTTCATCTCCCGGATTTAACCATCCAATAAATGCATAATATAAAGACAAATAAGCTCCAACAGTAATTAATATATCCGTTTGGGAATTTATTTCAACACCGAGAAGTTGAGAATATAATTGAGATAAGACATTGACTAGACGTTGGTGGCCATAACCTCTTGTGTACTGTTGAAAAAAAGAAAAAATTAATTTTTATCTGTAAATATAGGTCTGGATTTTCTCGAAAGCAAGATCCAGGCCCTCTAGAGCCTTTTGGGGATTCCTAAAAAATTTTGAGCTTGGCTATGTCCAGCCTTTAAAGCCTCAAAATGAATTAACAATAAAGTCTTTTTGGGAAAAACTTTTAAAAACTAAGGTCCATCATTTTAGGATTAATGAAACAAAAAAAATTTCGAGTAGAAGAAAGATTAAAAAGCTGGGATTGGGGTTTCTCGCGAGCAGAATGCAAGCATTCTCTACCCAAAAAAATTTTTTATTTAATTAATCGAAAAATGGACCTTAATTTTAAAAAGTTCTTCTCCCATGGATGGCTCTCCCAGGTGCCACTACCGAAAATCCTATAACTAGTTCTAGAAAAAATTCAGGAAAATTCCCCAAAAAGGCTAGAAAATGTTTTATTCTGCTTACAAAAAACCCCAATTCCAGCTAAATTCCTTACAGAGGATAGTCAAAAAATAAATTTTTAACTAACCACTCCCTAAGCTAATAAAAATTTAAAATTAATCAAAATATATACTTGGTGGTTGTCAATCCTTTCAGGAGACTTGGCCACATCCTGTAAGTGTTTAGAAAGCAGCGGTGGGATTGCATCATTAGTGAATCCCTAAAAAAATCTTTTTAAACCTTCAAAAGGTTAAGAACAAAAAAACCTGTCCCAAATTGACTGCTTTCGTTTCTGTTGCTAAAGTAACAAATTCTACCCTTTAAAAAATTTTTTTCAATTAAAATTTACTTAAAAATTAACCAAATACTGTCTCCAGCCTCTCTTGCAATTTTTGAAGGAATGTGTTTTGATGGGTCCGGGGACATTGAATTTAACCTTCTTTGACTTGTTTTGTTGAGTAAATAAGTAGAGAATTGAAGAGGAAATTGAAGAGGAAGACGTTGAAATTTTGTTGATAACGATGGAAAGAAAGAACGATTAAAAATAATCATAAAAATTCCTAAAGAAAATTCTCCTAATTTAATTTTAATGGAATTTAAAGAGGAAAGGAAAATATGGTTCGAGGACATTTTGCCAGTAAGAGTAAAAAGTCACATTTTGCCAATAAGGCTGTGTTGACAAAATGTCAATTTTTAGCCTTATTGGCAAAATGTGGTATTGGCAGAATATTGGGAAAAGAAAAACATAAAAAGAAAGACAAAGAGACGAAATAGTATGGAAGAGAAGAAGAGAGAAGATTAAAAAAATCCAAAAATGACATTTTATCCCAAATTGGCATAAAATGATGAATTTGAATATAGGTGGGGAAAATGCTTTTTAGGTCATAACTTTTTTCATTCTTAACCGATTTGAATAAATTATATATCAATCGAAAGCTCTGGATGTGGGGATTATTTTAGCTAACAGGACTGATTTGATCAGAATATTCTACTTAAAGGTAAAGGCGAACAAGTACGCGCAATCGGGATTTTTGATATTTAGTAGGCTATAGCTTTAGGTAGGATGATCTGATCAATTCAATTACGTTAGATAAAATAATCCTCACATCGAGACTTATATCTTGAGAGTATGAGACCTTAAATTCCCATTGTCTATGCCAATAAAATCTACCTATATTAAATTTACACCATTTTCTAACGGAACTACATTAATTTAAAAATATTGCGGCATTTCCCCTGTCTATTACAAATTCAATGCACTTTCTCGAGACTATTTCCCCTTTACGTCTTTATTTCCTGTGACTTCTTTTTTAAATTAATTTTAAAATTTAATGATTGCCTTTTTAAATTAATTTTTAATTAAATTAAATAATGGCATTTTTTCTTATTTTAATAATTCTCAATTCCCTTTCCGTTTTAATATTCTCTGAAATATTTTCTTATGAAAAGTTGGTAAAATTTCAAGAATTATCTCCATTTAACCCAACAACAACAAATATCAATCCCCGCCCAAAACGATTTATAGAAGCTTTATTGCTTGGAGGTGCCGCTTCCTATGTGTTTCATAAAGCGGCTAAGGCTATTAAGAAGAGGAGAGACAGAAAGGTGTATTTTGGGTACTTTTAATCTCTAACTTATCACACCTTTAGATTCCTATCTCTATTAGAAGATTTCCCTTGTCCCGAGCTTCAGTTTTTAGTTCCGAGTTTTCGATTCTTTCCGCTCCGAGTTTTTGAGCTTCTTCTCTCAAGAAGTTAACCTCAAGAAACTTCCTCAGGAATGAGATATGATAGAGATCTCATTTTTATAAATAATTAGCTTTAACATTATTTAGAAGTATCGACATCATCCTCACCACAACATTCACCATCACCTTCCCCATCCTACACTTCATTACGACAATGATCATTCCGAAGAGATTTATAGTTCAGAGGATTATTCATCTAATCAACACCATAATCATCAAAATTATCATCATCCTCCTTCACATCATCACTCTCCCAAGCATCACTCTCCGAATCACTCTGATCATTCCACTCATCACCCACCCAATCACTCTTGTAATTACTCACATGAGCATTCCCCTCATCACTCTCCTCGTCACTCTCCCAATCACTCCCCTAAACATCATTCTCATCACTCTGCTACTCATCCTACTCATCGTTCACATTCTCCTCACTCCCCTAATCATTCTTCTTCCCACCCACATTCACCACCTTCTCATCACCACGTTAATCATTCTGAAGAATCACTGAATTCTGAGGATTACTCTTCAAACAAACTCCATAATAATACACACAACAAACATGACGACAAACATGATCAGCATCATTCAAAGCATAACCAAAGGGATAATTTGATATCTGAGGAGAACAGTAGTGGAGAGAATGGTGAGTTGGTCAAGCTTTTAAATCATCTGAAGGGGAATATTAAAACTTCTAAAATTCTTATAACCTTTTGATGGACTGGGAATGATGTTAGCTATATTTGAAGGGATATTGAGAAGAGGTATGAAGATAAGGAATAAGCAGGGGAACTGGAATCAGTAGGGGAACCGGAGGCAGCTGTAAGGTGTCTTAAGTCGGAAGTCAAAGCAACTCAAAAGTCGTAGATAGGATTCACGACCAGTCACTCTCTTAAATAAGGACGAAGTCAAGGCAACTCTAAAGCCGTAGATCGGATCTCTGACCATTCTCTATCTTACATGTGTACCTTTAAGCCTTTATTAACTAGATAATGAAGCCGCTAGCAAGCACAAACATAGCCATAACGCAACGGAAGAAAAAAATTCAAGTGAAGAGGAGGAGGAGGATAATGAACACGATGAGCATGAATAATGCTTTCAAAAAATTTTTTTTAATTTTTAATGCTTTACGAAAAATAGTTGATTAAAAATCATCTCTCTCTCTTTTTTTTTAAATTAAATAGTTCCAGTTTTTCCCTTTATTTATTATATCCCCATATTTTTATTCATCCACAAAGCACTTTTCTCTATCAATAAAAAATATTATTCAATAAAAAAAATTTTTTATTTGTAATAAATCTCTAGCATTTATTGGACATTAAATATATCCTCACGGGAATTTTTTGCATATGAGAAGCATGGAAAACTAGTTGAAACATTTATTTATTTTTTGGTTACGCTTCTCTAAGCTGATCTATTTTTGCTTATTTTAATATTTATTGACTTTAATTTTTAAATTATTAATTGTTATGTTGTTGCTATCTGCTTTAATTTTGGCATTTTTATCAATTGAAATTTATGCTCAAAATTGTAAAAAAACGAAAAAAAATTTTTTAATTAAAAATTATTTAAAGCAGCTTATGTACCAGCCCCTCCAGCCTACCCCAACCCTCAACCTACTCAACCTCCATATGCTCCCGTTCAAAACCCTTATGTCACAACCCCTCCAGCTGCTCCTGAAACTGGATATGGTGGAGAAGCAGAAATTGGTCGGTGAACTATAGAAGCTTTAGAATTAATCGAAGCAGAATATTAAATGAAACTTGAAGCAAAACTTGAAATGGGCTAAATTAAATTACAAACCTAAATCGCAAACTTGAAAAATAAGTTTGAAAATAAACCTTAAATAAACTTGAAACAATAAGATTTATTTAATAAAACTTGAAGCAAAACTTGAAAATGGACTTACCTAGATTGAATTACAAACTTAAATCGCAAACTTAAGTTGCAGACTTAAAAAATAAACTTTGCAAACTTGAAACATTAAAAATAAGCATTTATTTATTAAACTTGAAGCAAAGTTTTTATTTATTTTAATAGGTCCGGCTGGCTATCCCCTTCCTACTTGTTACACTAATGCTGATGGATTTATGTGTTGTAATAAAGAATTGGAGAATTTAATGGTTAATTATTTTCATTTTTTGTTTATTTTTTAAATTTTTCTAAAGGATAATACATATCGGAATTTAAGTCGTTCACGTGACGGCAAATGGAAACCTTGCAATTTCCACCAAGTTAGTTTTTTAATAAAACATGAAGCAAAGCCATAAAGAAAACTTGAAACAAATTTACAATTGTTTTTCAAGTTTACAAATGATTGAGAGAAGTTTTATAAAATTTGTAATATAAAAATAAACGAAATTAAAACTTGGCTTGAAACAAGTTTTTAAACAAAACTTGAAGCAAAACCTGAAAAGTAACAGAGAAAAAATAAACTTATTACAAATTGTAAATCTCTTTTACAATTCTATTTTAAATAAACTTGGAATTAAACCTTGATTAAAAAAATAAACTTTTTTTACAATTTGTAAAAATAAATTACAATTACAAATCAGAATAAAATTTTAATTAAAAAAGGTTGCTGTAGCCACCCAACGCAATGCACAAAAACATTTTGGAATTAATTTCGAAATTGTTGTGGGTGCTGGAGATTATGCTTCCAAAAATTATTTTATTAAGGATATGGTAATTTTAATTTTTTAATTATTTAATAAAATGTTTATAGATTTGTAAAATCAAAAGGGAAAGTTCGTAAGTCGAAAAAAAAATTTTTTTTAGAAAATTTTTTTATTTTTTTCAGAATTATCCTCGCTTTTGCAACACCCAATTTTTAAAAATTTTTACTAAATTTATTTTTTTAAATTTATTATTTTTGTGATAAAAATAAATTATTGTTGAAAAATTTAATTTTAAAAATTTAATTTTAAAAATTTAATTAAATAAATAGCCATTAAAAAAGGGCAATAAAGCTTTTTACTCAATCATTAAAATTGATTTATTATTTTTTGATTGATTTTGCCGCTATATGTATTTATTTATTAAATTTCTTAATATTTTTTAAAATAATTTTCTTAATAATTTTCAAAATTTTAATTGAGTTTTCTGGTTTTAAAATTCTGATTTTATGTATCAGAAAAATGTCCTGTCCAACCAAAATCAAAATTAATTTACATCAGAATTAATTAAAATCAGCATTAAAAATCAGCATCAGAATTAGTTTAAAAATCAGAATTATATTTTTAGTTGTTCTGATAAATATATAAAATATACAAATTCTGATTTTTACCCAACCATAAAGAAAATATACAAAAATCAGAATTATTAAATCAGAATTTTCTAAAAATCAGAATTATTGTATCAGAATTTAATCAGAATTATAAAATCTGAATTGTTAAATCAGAATTATTTTAAAAATCAGAATTATATTTTTAGTTGTTCTGATAAATATATAAATACACGAATTCTGATTTTTAAAAATTAATATAATCAGAAAAATAATGTATACTTCTCCCACCAAAATCAGAATTATTCTTCAAAATTTAATAATAATTAAAATATTCATTTTAATTTTATTTTTAATATTAATTAATTCAACAAAAATTCAACAAATATATAAAATACCCGGATTAACCCTAAATAAATTACCCGGAACTACAACTGTGTATAGAGCTAGAAGGGTAATAATCGAGGAAACGAGGAACGGGAAAAATTCAAAAAAGCCTGTAATTGTTCGAAAATTGAAGAGAAAATATTCTGAGAGAATAAAAGGGGGAAAGAGGCCTGTAATTATTGGGTAAATTAATTAAATTTTTGAAGAAAAAATAAAAAAAAAATTTTTAATTAAAGAAAGAAAAGAATAATACCCCCAAAGAGGAGAAGAATAAGAGTGAAACATTTAAGAGAACCTTCAGGGAAACAGAAAAAACCTCAAAACAAAAAACAACCAACAAAACATGAGCAGAAACATGGGGAAAATGAAAAGAAAAACAAAAATTCTGTTGGAGGTAGTTATTAACTAGGGATTGAATTTATTTTTCTTCGAACCAGAGTCATGATTAAGGGGCATTTAAAAAATAAATCCTGATTTATTTAGCTAATAAAATAGAAATTCTGATTTAATAGTGAGGTAACTCGAGCCAAGCCAGGTAGACTGCGACTTTCTAGCAAGTAATGCCCAGGCGTTTTCGCTCGTCACGTAAAGACAAGGTCCTCTTTCTGAGCTACCCGAGGCGTTGCTTTCACATTTTCTTTTTACTAATGATCTTAATAAATCCTTACTACTAGTAAGCGTTTTGAATGCTAGGCAGCTAGATATTTTTAATTTTATTTTAGTTCCCAGAAAAAAGAATAGAATTCATGAAATTGTCCCTCAAAAAATAGGTGAAATTCATGGAAATAATCAAACAACCAAAGAAAGATTAAAAAATACAGGAAAGGACGAACCAGGAGAAAAACGTGAAGAACACGCCATGAAGAATAAAAACAAAGATAAGCAAAAATTACCAACACATAATCATCAAAAACAAAAATATTTTAATAGAAAAAACCCAAAATTGTTTGGGAAAAAAATTCAAAAAAATTTTAAAAATCATCCAAAAAGAGTTTCTTCTGTTAAAGACCACATTCACAATTTTTTGAGAAAAATAAAAAATAATTTTGGGGAAAAAGGAAAAATGGGAAGGCCAAAAATAATGAATCCTACACCTATCAGGCCTGTAAAATACACCAGAAAAGGCTCCAGAAATCCACAAATAATTAAAAATAAAAATCAGAATCCTCAACTAAAAAAGAAAATAAATCGGAAAAATAGCAAAGAAATTGACCAAAATGATTTTAAAAATTATAAAAATTGGCCAAATTATTGGCCTAGCAAAGATTGGCCAAGCAGAAGACAACAACCTATTCAGAATAAACAAAAAGAGAAAACTTCAAAAATTAAAAAATTAAATCCAAAAATTAATTTACAAGGGAGAGAACCTAGTAAAGATGAAAAAACCAAAAATTTCCCTAAAACACCTAGTTGGCATTGGCCAAAGTTTGGTGGGGGACATGACAAATCCTCTGAAACAAACACGGAAACAAACAAATCTGAGGCAACATCGGAACCCAATTCTTCTGTTATTTCAGAAGATGAGCCAAAAAGTAAGGCAAAAAGGGTTACAATTAAGCCTAAAAATCATTTTGAAGATAAAAATGAGCATAAGAAAAATATTGAAAATAAGCAAAAAGGAAGAGGAGAGAAGGAAGGGAAGAAAAAATTAAAGCCTTTAAAGAAGGTAGCAACAACTTCAATAGATTCCTCGGAAGCTTCTTCAAAAGCCATGGAAGGAAGTGATGATTCTATTAAAAATTATTCAAAATCTTCAGAAGGAACGGAAGATTCCATTGAAAATTCTTCTTCAACCTCAAGTTTTGAACGAACAATAGAAAACGGAAACTCTTCCGAAAATAAATCAGAAAAAAGCAATAATAAATTAAAACCAAGAACCCCAAATAAACTTCATCGTGAAGAGAAAAAGAAGAAAAATAATAGGGAAAATAATTCGAAGAATACCAAGTTTAAGCCTTCTAAAAATCCCTTAAACTCTGTAGATGCTTCAGAAGATTCTTCCAATGCTTCTCAAGGAAAGGAAGATTCTATTGAATCAATTTCAAGCCTTTCAAGTTTAGAATCAGTAAACGAAAAGGAAGATTTATTAAAAAAGAAGTTCAATATACCCAGAAAAAACAGGAAGAAGAAGAATCCAAAGGAAGAGTTTAATAAGTTAAGAGACTTGAAAGACTTGGAAAATGAAGAAGAAAGACATCCTTCTTTATCAAATGAAAGTGTTGATGATAGAAGTATTAATAGAAGACGCCCTCATTGGAGACTTCCTAAAATGAATTGGCCAAGAAATTGGGGAAAGGATAACAATGGAAGAAAGAAGGTGGAAGAAAAGAATAGAGGAACCAAAACTTTAGTCGAAAGTGATGAAGATAAGAGAAAAGGGAAGAATTGGGGGAGATCAACAAGACATCCACATACTCCAAGAAGATATCCACATACCCCAAGAAGACATCCTCATACTCCAAGAAGGCATCTTCATATCCCAGGATGGCATCCTTATACTCCAAGAGGACATCCACATAATGATGCAAGGATGAATAGCTCTGAAGAAACGATTTCCGATGAAGATGATAAAAGATGGAAGAATAAAAAATGGAAGAATGGCATGAGAAGAAGGAAGATTAAACAAAATCGTATTCCGTCAGATGTTCCAAACTGGGAGGGATATTCAGAGGAAAAAGATAGGAGAAGGAAGAATTTGAAAGAATTAGTAGATTCTGATGTAAATGATGAGGATGATGAGAGTGAAGGAAGGAGTTGGGAGGAAAATAAATCTGAAGAAGATGATAAAGTAAACGATTGGAAGGAAGATTCTGAAGAAACTGAAGATTATTCTGAAGAAGATTATGAAGTTAGGAGGAGAAAAATAAAGAGGAAGGGTAACAAAAATGGTGAAGGTGAGAGAAAAGGGAAGAAGTTGGAAGGAAAAAATTCTGAGGAGAGAAAGACTAATAAAAATAAGAGGGCAAAAGCTTCTGATAAGGAAGCTGAAGGAAGTAAATATTTCGAAGGAGAATCTTCTGAGGAGGAGATTGATGACTATAACAATCACTTAGGGAAAGATTCTGTAACAGTAAATAAGAAGAGATTAAAAAAGATAAAGGGGGAAAAAGATCGAAAATTGGTGGGGAAGGAAGAAAAACAGGATCCTTCAGAAAATAAAGTAAGAAGTGAAGGTGTACATAGTACGGAAGATTCAAAAAGGAAGGAAAAGGAAAGCAAAAATGATGAATTAAACAATGCTCCAACAAATTTGAAGAAATATTTGAAGAGAGGAGACAATTCAATGAGGGATAATGGTGTAGTTTCGAAAGAGAATCTTTTGAAGACTCCTTCAAAACCTGCACCCTTAAAAAAGGCCTTAAACTCTTTAGATGTTTCAGAAGATTCTTCCCATGCTTCTGAAAGGAATGATGATTCTATTGAGTCAATTCCAAGCCTTTCAAGTTTAGAATCAGTACAAAATGATCCTCCACAAGGGATGGAGGATATTCATGAGAAGAAGATAAGAGAAGAGGAGAATAATTTGGAAAAAAAATCTGAAGAAGACGGAAGGAAAGGAAAGAATTTAAAAGCAAAAGACTCTAAAAAAGAAGGAAAGAATTTGGAGGATAAAATGGAAGATAATAAGGAAAGGTTGAGTTTGGATGGAAGAAATTTAGAAGAGAAAAAGCCTGAAAATAAAGAGAGAAGAAATACGAATAAAAATACAAAAAATTATTCAAAAAAGGAAGGAGGTGATTCTGAAGGTAGAAAGGATAGTGAGGAAGATGAGGGGGGATTAGGAGCAAAAGTAAAGGATTCGAAGGAAATTTATCTGAAGAAGAAAGGGGAGACTGGAAATCATTCGAAAAAGGAAGAAAGAGGAGGGGAAGATCGGGAAGAAAGCAAGGAAGGTAAAGGAGGAATAGGAGGCAAAGTAAAAGATTCGAAAGAAGTTTATTTGAAGAAAAAATTAAAGAAGAATTTAGATAAAAATAAAAATAGGATTAATAGACCTACTAATCCAAAAGAAGATCATTCAGCGTTAGAAGATTCTGAGGAAGAAGGTTCAGAGGAGAAGGATACTTTAAAGAAGGTGGGTGGAGGTATTAAAAAGAAGAAAAATAAAAACAAGTATTTGGAAGAGGATCATTCCAAGTGGTTTGAAGGAAGTGAAGAAGAGGAAGGGAGTGAAGAAGAGGAAGAAGACGAGTCTGTGGAAGAGGAAGACGAGTTTGGGGAAGATAAAAGTGATGATAACAAGATGAATAAGAAGAGTTATTTGGAGGAAGACCACTCAAAATGGTTTGAAAGAAGTGAAGAAGAGGAAGATGAAGAAAGCGAAGAAAGCGAAGAAGACGATGAGGAAGATGAGGTGAATCACAAGAAATTTAATAGTGATAAATCTTTTCTAGAATCTTTAGGAGAGAAATCATTGGAGGCGGTAATGAAGTTAAGAAGAAGTTTTACAAATTGGGTAAAGGAAATGAACAAAGTCGCGAAAAATATGAACAATAATAAAATAAATTAATGACAAACAAATGTTTTGATAATTTTAATAGATCCAAAACTTAAATATTATTTGGTAAATTAAGTTAGTTTATACGCTAGCTGCTTTAAATGTTTTCCGGAAAATGTTTTTCCTTTATTATTAATGTTTTTCCGGATAATGTTTCTCATAAAAAGTCTTCCGGAATGTGTTTTCTTTTATTATTTATGTTTTTCCGGATTATGTTTCTCATAAAATGTTTTCCGGAAAGTGTTTTTCCTTTATTATTGATGTTTTTCCGGATAATGTTTCTCGTGGAATGTTTTCCGGAAAATGTTTTTCCTTTATTATTGATGTTTTTCCGGATAATGTTTCTCTTAAAATATTTCCCGGAAAGTGTTTTCTCATTTTATGTTTCCGGAAGATGTTTGTGTTTTTCATACTTCCTCTCAAATATGTTCTTCAGGAAAAACATTTTATTTCCGGAAAACATTTATTATTAAACATTTAAACATTTTAATAAACATTTTATTTTTCCAGTTAATGTTTAATGAACTCTTTTATAAATGTAATCCTATAGATAAATAATAAGAATTTGTTTTAAAATTCATGTATAGCGACATTTCTCTCACTAATACTATTATCTATAAATAAATTTATTTTCCCAAAAATTAAATATTAAAACATCAATAGATAAAAATAAAATTAATTTTAATCATTTTATTTTTATTATCTTTACTATAATTTATTTAAAAACCCCCAATTATTTATTTTGTTAATAATTATTGTTAGTTTTTTAATTTAAATTAAAAGCAAAACATGGCACAAACAAGAAGGATTCATGCATCAGAAATATTACAAGATTCAGATAATTCAAACAAAACTAATTACGAAAGCATTAACATAAACAATAATATAACATTAAATAATGTTGAAGAAATAGTAAAGGCAAGAACAAAACAGAGTGAGAAAGGTGTGTTTAAAACATAAAATTTTGTGCTTTTATTTGTTTTTGCATGTTTCCGGAATGTTTTTGTATTTTTCTTGTTTTTGTTCATTTGTCTTTCCAGAATGTTTAATATGTTTATTTGTTTTTCAGAATGTTTTCCGGAATGTTTTTATATTTTATTTGTTTTTTCCGGAATGTTTTAGATGCAATTCCGGAATGCTTAATGGGAGTTATTGTTCTGAGAATGTTTTCCGGAATGTTTTTGCATTTTATTTGTTTTTCAGATTGTTTTCCGGAATGTTTTTATATTTTATTTGTTTTTTCCGGAATGTTTAATATGTTTATTTGTTTTTCAGAATGTTTTCCGGAATGTTTTTATATTTTATTTGTTTTTTCCGGAATGTTTAATATGTTTATTTGTTTTTCAGAATGTTTTCCGGAATGTTTTTATATTTTATTTGTTTTTTCCGGAATGTTTTAGATGCAATTCCGGAATGCTTAATGGGAGTTATTGTTCTGAGAATGTTTTCCGGAATGTTTTTGTATTTTATTTGTTTTTCAGATTGTTTTCCGGAATGTTTCTATATTTTATTTGTTATTTCCGGAATGTTTAATATTATTTTCCGGAATGTTTTTATATTTTATTTGTTTTTTTCTAAATGCTCTTAGATGAAATTCCGGAGTGTTTGATATTTTCCCAAAATATATGACATACTCTATTATTTTTATAAAAATAATTGCTAGTAAAACAGAAAATAATAATGGAATTAATTATTTTAGTAGTTCCAGCACCCTTAACTAGACAGCAAATAATTGTTATGGCCCTGCTCGCAATATCAAATGTCTCATCAACAATAACTTTTTCCTGTATTGTACCTTTCCTTCCAACAGAAGCTACTAAACGGAAAGGCTTAAGTACAACACAAGTTGGATTTGTTATTGGCTATTACCAACTTATTCAATCTATTGCTTCCCCTGTTATTGGAAAATATGTTTGTGTCTTTTAATTATTAAAATTATTTTAAAAACAAGAAAAATGTTGGGAAGATTTTGTTCATGTTTTTAGGAATGTTTTGATCTCAAACACGTTTTCCGGAAAATGTTTTGCTCCCAAACATGTTTTTAATTTTGTGTTTTCCGGAATGTTTTTGTGTTTTCCTGAAATACATATACTATTTTTAATTAATTATAAAATTAAATGAACATGCGTTTTCTGGAAAATGTTTTTAACATTATTTTAATGATTGTTTACCCCATTTTTAAAAATTCAAATATAGATAGGGAAATTACACGCAAATAGGACATTTGCTGCTGGAGGTATACTTTGTGGTATCAGTTCAATAGCTTTTGGTTTTGCCGATTATTTACCTTCTGGCCCAATGTTTTTCTTTGGATTACTAGTTTGCAGGACAACTCAAGCCATTGGGGGAAGTTGTTTCAACACTGCCACTTGGACAATTATTGGGAGAATATTTACGCACAGAATAAGTTTGGCAATGGTGAATACTTATTTAATTTTGAGGCAAAAAATTCCATTAAAGGGTATTAATGAAGTTGCATTAGGGCTTGGATACACTTTAGGACCAGCAATAGGAAGTGCTTTGTATGAAGTCGGTGGATATGTTTTGCCTTTATTTGTTGTTGGATCTGTGCAGGTGCTGATTGTTTTGGGTGCTCTTCCATTTTATCGTGGCCTTTTATCTGAGGGTTTGTATTAATGTTTTTCCGGAATAGTATTCATCTAAAAATGCTGAATATGTTTTCCGGAAAGTGTTTTTACAACATTTCTCTAATAAATATGTTTGTGAGTGTTTTCCTAATGTTTTCGGAAGATTTCTTTTAAACATGTTTTATTTATATGTTTTCCGGAATTTATATTTCACGGCTAATCTCTCTAATATGTTTGTGGATGTTTTTCCTGAAGTTTCCATAAAGTTTCTTTTAAACATTTTAATTATGTTTTCCGGAAAAAATATTTTAATGTGTTTAAAACAAACATAGGTATGTTTGTTTCTAAGCATTCATTTTTATTTCTAGGCTCAGATACCTTAAATGTCAAACAACAAGAAGAAAAATCTCCAGGCATCATAAAAATGATTTTAATTCCCGATGTTTTCATGGCAATGCTTTCTTCATTTGTTATTTGTATTGCTTGGGTGTTTTATCAGCCTGCCTTAACTGAACATCTTTCCACAGTAGGGATACTATTCTAAATATTCTATTTATTCTAATAGGCGCCTGACCCTAAAATCAGTCACTAGGGCGACTATTAGAATAATTTAAAAATAATAGAAAAATCTCCAAGTTCAAAGGGAGGCCTTCCGTCATGGTTGGGATTATGATGATGATATTGGCTTGTTTTTATTTATTTTCTTCGCCATTATGGGGCTGGATATTTGATCGTTATATTGTCCAACGCTTTTCACCTTCGCTTGTCAGATTTATTGGAGGAGCATTAATTGCTATTTCTCCTATATTAATGGGTCCAGTACCGTTTCTGGGATTGGAAAAGTAAGACTTTTAAAATTAGAATTTAAAAAAAATCAGAATTTGTTGAAAATCAGAATTTTTTTAAAAACCAGAATTTGTTAGAAATCAGAATTTTTCATAAAAATCAGAATTATTTTAAAATCAGAATTTGTTTGAAAATCAGAATTTTCCAAAAATCAGAATTAAAATCAGAATTTATACTTTTTTCCCCTTAAGAAATTTAATTCTGATTGGAATCTCATTTGCAATTCTGGGAATAGCTTTTGCTATACTTTATGTTCCTGTATTTAAATGGTGTTTGGATGCTGTGAAGTAAATTAATTTTTGAAAAAAAAATATTTTAAATTCTTTAAGAAATGAAGGATATTCGGAAAAATCGGCAACTACTTCTGGGCAAATTTCTGGATTTTTTCTATCATTCACGGCACTTGGGTTAATTGCTCTTTGTGTTACCTTATAATATAAAAATTTTTATTTTACATAGTTCATTTATTGGCACTTCATTAGGCGGTTTTAGTGCCGAACATTTAGGATTTCAATGGACAGCTACTGCTGTAACTGGAATACAAATAATTAATGTTGGTGTTTTAAATAATGATAAAATATGGGTATTTCTCATTTAAACAGACTTTGCTTCAATTTACTCACTGGGTTTTAAAGAAATATTTAAATGAACGAAAACTAAAATTAAATAGAATTGTAATTACCTAACAATAATGTGTAAAAATAAATTAATAAATAATTTAAATAAAAATTTTAAAAATATTGCCCCTTTGTTTTTTATAATTTTTCAAATTATTTTTAAATTTATTTTCCCAAAAATTAAATAAGAAAACATCATTAGTTAGCATTTAAAATGTCCATCATTATGAAATTAAGAAATGGAGACAAATTTAATTATTGTTTGCCTTAAAAATGAACGTGACATTGTCCCAAAAATTGTGTTCGGTGCATATCAGTTAACTAATTAATGTCTTAATTACATAAATAATCATAATCACTTATTTGTTGGAATAAAAATATTTAAAATGAGATAAAAATACATTGTTGATGTTTTTCCGGAAACATTTTTGTTGTTCAGACATTTGTGTTTGTGTTTCAGAATGTTTTGTTTAAATGTTTTTCCGGAATGTTTTGTTCGTGTTTTCATGTTTTCCGGAATATTTAAATAAATATAGGTATGATTAATTTTTCCGGAACATGTTTTCAGGAAATTTGTTTGGTTTGTTTGTCTTTTGCTTCCGGAATTTAAATTGTTAAATTGTATTTTATTTTTTCCGGAAAACACAAAAACATGTTACCGGAAAACACAAAAACATGTTATTTTTAATTAAAAACAATTAAAAACATGTTACTTTATTTGGTAGTTACCTATCAATTCTTTTGTATTTTAGTCTATCAAAAAAAATTTTTTATCAATGATCATAATTTTAATTTCCTTATCAAACACATCATAAGGAGAGGATTAATTTTGACCGTTCGTATTTTTAATTTAAAATATTAAAAAAAATAAAACGAAGAAAAAGGCGTGTTTTCAGTGCAATCAAAAACATAACAAGCAGCAACCGATAAGTAAAAATGAATAAAAATAATTAAATTTCATCATTTTATTTTTATTATCTTTACTATACTTTATTTAAAAACCCCCAACTATTTATTTGGTTAACGATTATTGTTGATTTTTTAATTTTAATTAAAATCAAAACATGACACAAACAAGAAGGATTCACGCATCAGAAATATTACAAGGTTCAGATAATTCAAACAAAACACTTGGCAATGAAAACAACAGCATAAACAATAGAACATTAAATAACGTTGAAGAAATAGTAAAGGCAGATACAAAACAGAGTGAAAAAGGTGTGTTTAAAACATTAATAAAAACAATGTTTTGTGTTTTCCGGAATGTATAGATGATTTGTTTTTCAAAATGTTTTCCGGAATGTTTCTATGTTTTATTTGTTTTTGATGTTTTTGTTGATGTTTTTCCGGAAGCATTTGTGTTGTCTATATTTTATTTGTTTTTGCATGTTTCCGGAATGTTTTTGTATTTTATTTGTTTTTGTTCGTCTTTCTTTCCGGAATGTTTAATATGTTTATTTGTTTCCCAAAATGTTTTCCGGAAAGTCAATATATTTTATTTGTTCGTGCTTCCAGAATGTTTTAATGTATTTTTTTATTGTTCCCGGAGTTTTTAAATAAAATTCCGGAATGTTTTATACTTAGTGTTTTCCTGATTTCCATTATTCTTTATAAAATAAAAATACTGAGAAATACAAAAGTCTCAGTGCAAAATTAATTACATATATTTTAGTAGTTCCAGCCCCTCTAACTAGGCAGCAGATAATTGTTATGGCCCTACTCGCAATTTCAAATGTCTCATCAACAATAACTTTTTCCTGTATTGTACCCTTTCTTCCAACAGAAGCTACTAAACGGAAAGGCTTAAGTACAACACAAGTTGGATTTGTTATTGGGTATTATCAACTTATTCAATTTATTGCTTCACCTGTTATTGGAAAATATGTTTGTGTTTTTAGATTTTCTAAAAACTAGAAACATGTTGAGGGAGTTAAATATGTTTTGTTCATGTTTTCCGGAAAATGTTTTCCCAAACATGTTTTCCGGAATTTTTTCTTTTACCAATAGAATGAACATGTTTTTAATTCTATGCTTTCCGGAATGTTTTAATTTGTGTTTTCCTTAAAACACAAATAAAATTAAATAAACATGTGTTTTCCGGAAAATGTTTTGAACAATGTTTTAAAGAATGTTTACCCTATTTTTAAAACATTCAAAACATAGATGGCTGTTTTACGAGCCAACCGAACATTTACTGGAGGAATTATACTTTGTGGTATGAGTTCAATAGCTTTTGGTTTTGCCGATTATTTGCCTTCTGGCCCAATGTTTTTCTTTGGATTACTAGTTTGCAGGACAACTCAAGCTCTTGGCGGAGTTGGTTTTAACACCGCTTCTTGGACAATTGTTGGGAGACTATTTCCTGATAGAATAAGCCTGGCAACTGTGAATACTTTTTTTAATTCTGAGGCAAAAAATTTCATTAAAGGGCATTAATGAAGTTGCATTTGGTCTTGGATACACTTTAGGGCCAGCAATCGGTAGTGGATTATATGAAGTCGGTGGATATATTTTACCTTTATTTGTTGTTGGATCTGCGCAGTTGTTGCTTGTTTTGGGTGTTTTACCATTTTATCGTGGCCTTTTATCTGAGGGTCTGTTTTAGTATTTCATAAAATGTTTTTCCTGAATATGTTTTCCGGAATGTGTTTTTTAAAATATTTCTCTAGTAAATATGTTTGTGGGTGTTTTAACATGTTTTATTTATGTTTTCCGGAAAAAAATATTTGTTTGTTCTAAACATTGTTTCTAAGAACATTCTAAACATGTTTCTAGGTGCATTCTAAACATTGTTTCTAAGAACATTCTAAACATGTTTCTAAGTACATTCTAAACATTGTTTCTAAGAACATTCTAAACATGTTTCTAAGTACATTCTAGACATTGTTTCTAAACATTTATCTAAACATGTTTTTGAACATTCTAAACATTCATCCAAAACAAATTCTGAATTGAGCATTCATCTCTATTTCTAGGCTCAGAAACCTCAAATATCAAACAACAAGAAGAAAAATCTCCAGGCATAGTAAAAATGATTTTAATCCCTGATGTCTTCATGGCAATGCTTTCTTCATTTGTTATTTGTATTGCTTGGGTGTTTTTACGAACCTGCAATAACTGAACATCTTTCCACAGTAGGGATACTATTCTAAATATTCTATTTATTCTAATAGGCGCCTGACCCTAAAATCAGTCACTAAGGCGACTATTAGAATAATTTAAAAATAATAAAAAAATTCCAAGTTCAAAGGAAGACCTTCCGTCATGGTTGGAATTATGATGATGATATTAGCGTGTTTTTATTTAATTTCCTCGCCAATATGGGGCTGGATATTTGATCGTTATATTGTGCAACGCTTTTCACCTTCATTTGTCAGATTTATTGGAGGAGCATTAATTGCTGTTTCTCCTATATTAATGGGTCCAGTACCGTTTCTGGGATTGGAAAAGTAGGACTTTGAAATCAGAATTATTTTAAAAAATCAGAATTTGTCCAAAAATCAGAATTAATTTAAAAATCAGAATTATTTATGAAGCGGAATTAAAATCAGAATTCATCCGAAAATCAGAATTATTTTAAAAATCAGAATTATTTTAAAAAATCAGAATTATTTTAAAAAATCAGAATTATTTTAAAAAATCAGAATTATTTATGAAGCGGAATTAAAATCAGAATTCATCCGAAAATCAGAATTATTTTAAAAAATCAGAATTATTATAAAAATCAGAATTTAAAAAAAATCAGAATTGTTTATAAGACAGAATTAAAATCAGAATTTATACAGAATCAGAATTATTAAAAAAACAGAATTATTTTTTAAAATCAGAATTACTTTAAAAATCAGAATTTATATATTTTTCCCTTCAAAAGAAATTTAATTCTGATTGGAATCTCATTTGCAATTCTTGGAATAGCTTGTGCTATACTTTATGTTCCTGTATTTAAATGGTGTTTGGATGCCGTAAAGTACATCAAATAATTTTTTTAAATATTTAAAAAATTCTTTAAGAAATGAAGGATATTCAGAAAAATCATCAACTACATGTGGGCAAATTTCTGGGTTTTTTCTTTCGTCCTTGGCACTTGGGTATTCTTTCTGAAAATATTGAAAGAAACATTTTTAAATACATAGTTCGTTTATTGGCACAGCTTTAGGTGGTTTAAGTGCTGAACATTTAGGATTTCAATGGACAGCTACTGCTGTGGCTGGAATACAAATAACTAATGTAGGTGTTTTTAAAGAATGACAAAATATGGGTAATACTTATTTAACAGACTTTGCTTCAGTTTACTCACTGGGTCTTAAAGAAATATTTAAATGAACGGAAGCAAAAATTAAATAGAATTGCAATTATTAAAATTAACAATAATGTGTAAAAAATAAATTAACAAATAATTTAAATTTTTGTATATTTTATTTGTTTGTTTCCGGAATGTTTGTATATATTTTGTGTTTTTGTTTTAGTTTCCGGAATGTTTTATATAATTTTTCCGGAATGTTTGTATATATTTTGTGTTTTTGTTTTAGTTTCCGGAATGTTTTATATAATTTTTCCGGAATGTTTGTATATATTTTGTGTTTTTGTTTTAGTTTCCGGAATGTTTTATATAATTTTTCCGGAATGTTTGTATATATTTTGTGTTTTTGTTTTAGTTTCCGGAATGTTTTATATAATTTTTCCGGAATGTTTGTATATATTTTGTGTTTTTGTTTTAGTTTCCGGAATGTTTTATATAATTTTTCCGGAATGTTTGTATATATTTTGTGTTTTTGTTTTAGTTTCCGGAATGTTTTATATAATTTTTCCGGAATGTTTGTATATATTTTGTGTTTTTGTTTTAGTTTCCGGAATGTTTTATATAATTTTTCCGGAATGTTTGTATATATTTTGTGTTTTTGTTTTAGTTTCCGGAATGTTTTGTATAATTTTTCCGGAATGTTTGTATATATTTTGTGTTTTTGTTTTAGTTTCCGGAATGTTTTATATAATTTTTCCGGAATGTTTGTATATATTTTGTGTTTTTGTTTTAGTTTCCGGAATGTTTAGATAATTTGGTTTTCAAAATGTTTTCCGGAATGTTTTTAGATTTTATTTGTTTTTGTTTGTTTTTTGTAGTGTTTGTTCGTGCCATCCTTTAATAAAATCAAAAATCACTATGACATTTCCAATAATTATTATCCTAAACTAAAAAATTTTGACAATGGTGGCAGGTGGCAATGAAGAGAAAACAATTCTAAAAAATTGTCATATTAATCAGTGTTAAAAATGTAAATCTTATTGGAGATGGAAATATTTTTTTATTTTACATTTGCAAAAATTACCACACATTATGGTGTAAAATGTTTTAACACATTTTTGTTATATAAAGCTATAGTTATCTTTGCTATAATTTATTTAAAATTATTGTCATTTTTTAATTTTAATTAAAATAAGAAACATGACTCAAACAAAGATCTATGCATCAGAAATACTACAAGGTTCAGACAAAACACATGGCAATGAAAACAACAGCATAAACAATAATATAACACTAAATAGTGTAGAGGAAATTGTAAAGGTAGATACAAAACAGAATGAAAAAGGCAAGTTTAAAACATGAATAAAAACATGAATTTTGTGTTTCCGGAATGTTTAGATGATTTGTTTTTCGAAATATTTTCCGGAATGTTTTTATATATTTTATTTGTTTTTGGTGTGTTTCCGGAATGTTTAGATTATTTGTTTTTCGAAATGTTTTCCGGAATGTTTTTATATATTTTATTTGTTTCTGTGTGTTTCCGGAATGTTTTAACATAAGTATTTTCCTGAATATACTACTTCTATAAAAATTACTGAAAAACACAGAAGTCTCAGTATAAAATTAATTATATATTTTAGTAGTTCCAGCACCCTTGACTAGGCAGCAAATAATTGTTATGGTCCTGATTACAATTTTAACTGTCTCATCTACAATAACTTTTTCTTGTATTGTACCTTTCCTTCCAACAGAAGCTACTAAACGGAAAGGTTTAAGTACAACACAAGTTGGATTTGTTATTGGCTATTATCAACTTATTCAATTTATTGCTTCCCCTATTATTGGAAAATATGTTTGTGTTTTTTAACTAAGTAAAAACTAGTCGAAACATATTGGGAAGGTTTATAGATGGCTGTTTTACAAGCAAATCGAACATTTGTTGGTGGAGTTATACTTTGCGGTACCAGTTCAATAGCATTTGGTTTTGCCGATTATTTGCCTTCTGGCCCAATGTTTTTCTTTGGATTGTTAGTTTGCAGGACGACACAGGCTCTTGGAGGCGTTGCTTTGAACATTGCTTCTTGGACAATTGTTGGCAGATTATTTCCTGACAGAATAAGTTTAGCGACGGTGAATACTTCTTTTTAATCTTCAACGTAAAATTCCATAAAGGGTATTATTGAAGTTGCATTTGGCCTCGGCAGTACTATAGGACCAGCTATTGGTAGTGGCTTATATGAAGTCGGTGGATATATGCTGCCTTTATTTGTTGTTGGATCTGCACAGTTGTTGCTTGCTTTGTCTGCTCTACCATTTTATCGTGGCCTTTTATCTGAGGGTTTGTATTAATGTTTTTCCGGAATAGTATATTTCCGGAAAACTTTATTTATTTTGAGGAATCGACTAAAATTGTTTTTCCGGAATGTGTTTTCTGGAATGTGTTTTTACAACATTTCTCTAATAAATGTTTGTGGGTGTTTCCTAAGGTTTCCGGAAGATTTCTTTTAAATATGTTTTATTTATGTTTTCCGGAAAAAATATTTGTTCGCTGTTTCTAAGAACATTCTAAATATTCATTCTAAACAAACATTGAATTGAACATTCATCTCTATTTCTAGGCTCAGAGACCTCAAATATCAAACAACAAGAAGAAAATTCTCCGGGGATGTTAAAAATGATTTTAATCCCTGATGTTTTCATGGCAATGCTTTCTACTTTTGTTATTTCTATTGCTTTTGTGTTTTTCGAGCCTGCCTTAACTGAACATCTTTCCACAGTAGGGATAATATTAAAAATATTTTATTCTATCGCAATAGGCGACTATTAGAATAAATTTAAAAATAAAATTTTCAAGTTCAAAGGGAGACCTTCAGTCTTAGTTGGGATTATGTTGATGATATTGGCTTGTTTCTATTTAATTTCTACACCAATATGGGGCTGGATATACGATCGCATTGCGCAACGATTCTCGCCTTCATTTGTTAGAATTATTGGTGGAGTATTAGTTGCTATTTCTCCTTTATTAATGGGTCCAGCACCGTTTCTGGGATTGGAAAAGTAGGACTTTTAAAATCAGAATTTGTTTGAAAATCAGAATTACCTATTTTTAAATCAGAATTTAACTTTTTCCCCTTAAAAGAAATTTAATTCTGATTGGAATCTCATTTGCAATACTTGGAATATCCTGCGCTGCACTTTTTGTTCCTGTATTTAAATGGTGTTTGGACGCTGTAAAGTAAACTAATTTTGAAAAAAAATATATTTTAAAATATTTTTTAAGAAATGAAGGATATTCGGAAAAATCGTCAACTACTTGTGGGCAAATTTCAGGATATTTTATATCATTTTTTGCACTTGGGTACTTTTTTGTGAAGTTAAAAAAATTATTCCTAAATATCTATAGTTGTTTTATTGGCACAGCTGTAGGTGGTTTTAGTGCTGAACATTTAGGATTTCAGTGGACAGCTACTGCTGTAGCTGGTATACAAATAATTAATGTAGGTGTTTTTACTGAATGATGAAAGATGGGTGTTTTAGAGAGTTGACCTCACCATAAAAAATCCTATACAGCTCAATTAAAGGTATGCTATTTGAAATCTGGTTGGCTAGAGGATGGGGGTAGATGGCGTCTAATAGATGACCTCTATTTAATGTACTCCTCATTATAAGAAATAATCCTTGTCCTAAGGGGTTTATATTATGAGAGACTCAACTTATAATACTAAAACTCTCCAAAACCTCTTACTTTCAAAAAAAATATTTTTAATTAAAATCTCTTCTCATTTAACAGATCATGATTCAATTTACTCACTGGGTTTTAAAGAAATATATAAATGAACGAAAACAAAAATTGAATAAACTTTCAATTATTAAAATTAACAAATAAATTGTAAAAATAAATTAGCGAAAAAATCTAAATAAAATTTAAAAATATTGCCCCTATGTTTTTTATAATTTTTCGATTATTTTCGGGAGAAAAGTGATGGCGGTCCCTCTCTAGCTATTTGACCATTGCTCATTTCTTTAAACAAAAATATTTTTTTCAATAAAAAAATATATCCCTACCAATAACCCAATCATAATGTTCATCTAGACCAGTAAGACGATGAACTATTGCAATTAATGTACATCCCATACTTGATATTAATCTGCTCATTAATAAATGTGTTTGTTCATCCATATGGGCTGTTGCTTCATCAATTAGAATTATCTTTAGAAGAAAAAGTTTTTTTGATAGAAAAAATTTTTTAAAAATAAATATCGACCATTAGATATCCTCTAGTCCCCTGTATTTGTAAAAATCGAATCTCTCTCTTAAAATGAGGTTGGTCCTATAAAAAGGGTGTCAAATGTTAGACAGCTCCTCTCTCTCCCTCCACCCCATCTCAAACAAATTTTAAAAAAAAGTCTCCAAACGGGGACCACCTAGTATTGGGTGTATCCTATAGAGAGGTCAAAGACAAAAAAAATTTCCAAACCTTCGGCTTTGTCAAAGACAATCTTAAAAGTGATATTAACTGTCGTTCTCCAAAAGAAAGATTATTTCCTCCTTCACAAATTATTTTGTTTAATCCTCCAAATTGTTCCAACCATTGAGATAGACCTCGTTCAGAAATACAAGCTTCAATTTGTGTGTTGTTTAAATTTGTATTGGCAATTAAAAGATTATCAAAAAGAGTTCCCGAGAAGATAAAAGGGTGTTGAGAGACATAGCCAAACTAAAAAGAAAATTTTTTTAAATTATTTTTGAAAAAATCCTTCAGAGATATGTGTCAAATCTTTTAGATTTGAATATTTTTTAATTATTAACCTTTGGCCGAAATTTTTGTCCATATCTTTAAAATAGTTGCCCGCTCAAAAAAAAATGTTAATTATGGCGGGCCAAAAGGCCTTTTTTGAACCTTGCATCCCTGCTCTTTTTCTCCCCATTCTTTTAAATCTCTAGCCCGCTCAATTTAACTAGGAAAAGCTCCTTTGTATTTTTTGTGTATTTTGATCCTGTCTGAAAAATGTCCTTTCTCTTCCCTATCGTTCTATCTTTGCAACCCTTTGCACGGGTTATTTTGGCCAACTAATTTTGGATTAAAATGTGCAAACATCTCCTTCTTTTTGCACATATCAACCCGAATATATAAATGGAATTTTGAGCAGTTTGGCTCAGTTTCTGAACTATTCCTTCCCCTCGATTAAAGTTAAAGTTTTAAAGTAAAGTTTTTTGAACTACATTTTTCCTCCCCCTGAAGATTTGTTATTGAAGTTTTTTATCCGTTCCTTCCCCAGTCAGATTTGAAGTTTCTCCCCCTTTTGATTTTCCTGATATATGTTTGTTAAAAGATTTGGGCCCATTTTGAAAGGAGAATATTTACTTGTTAAATTGTTAATTTTGATAATTGGAAAATAAAAGTTGTTAAAGAATTTAGTTAATTTTTGGATTTATTTAATTTAATGTATTTTCCCTCCCCTTTTATTAAAATTCTGTTTAGAATTTTACAGCTCAGCCGGTGAAGATCCGAGATCTATTTCTAATCCACCCTTTTCATAAATATTTTTTTTTAAGTTTTGTTGTCCCGTTATTCATTAAAAGTTTATATTTTGTTTGATTTTAAAAGTCCAAATTATTTATTGCTTTTTAAATAAAAATGTCACTAGTTTATAGAAATCAATTGTCCCAGCTTTGTTCCATTACTAAAGAGATACTTCTCCCTAGCCCTTTCTCTCTCCTAATAGAAGATTATGATAATTTTAAAAATCAATCTCCCGAATCTACTCAGGCCCTAATTGATGAAATAGACCTTACCACCCAAGAGATCACCAAAATCCTTAATGATTTAAAAATGGCCCACGATTCATGGCAAAACTTAAGAATTTCAATGACAGAAACTGAAAGGGCAACCGACAGCCAAATCCTAGAGAAATTCCTTCAAGAAACAGATTATATAAAAATTATGTATGACCTTAAACGGTATCTGAGAAAGCTTCGGAATTCCCGACATGAAGTAGAAAGTAACTTACCTAAAACTAAACCTCAATTTGACCATTCACATCTCCTTCCTGAACTTCCTCTTTTAAACCCTTCCCAGAACAGACCTTTTAATGGAAATACTCAAGACTCGTTAAAACCAGTTTATACAAATACTAGTGATAAATCTTATCGAAACCGGACCCTCTCTAATTTTTGCTCGTATCCAAATCCTTCGATTACAGAAGAATCCGATGAGAAACTAGCTAATATTCCGACCCCCTCCATTAAAAGTTATATTAAAGACATGAATAAATTAGATCCAATCCCTATCCCTCCTGGCTTTTCCCCTCTAGAAGAAATAAATGTTGTAGAGAACCCTAACGATTTAAACAATCAGATGAGTGAAGAAATTGTATTGGATAAAAGAATTACAAATGAAATTATTAATAAAAGACCCATTAGTCCCCCTCCCGGCTTTACTCCTATTGATGAAGTTTGTATTATTAGAAATATTTGTAAAGAATTCACCCCCTTAAAAGAGACTATAAATGAAGATAATGAAGCTAAAGCTTATAATTATTCAAAAGAAATGCCCCTTGTTTTAACAAATAACTCAATTCCCGATTTATTCCCAGAACGTCCCCTTATATCTCTTGAAAATCTACAACAGTCTATTTCACCTGTTAATTTTAATTTTTCATTTGGAACTACTAATATTAATTCATCAGAAACTGATTATATTCTTACATCAGAAGAGATATTGGAAGAAAATAAACCATTACCCCCCACGCTTAATTATCTGGAAATTTTTTGTATAGAAAAAGGAAAAGAAAGCCCAATACCTCGTAAAAGACAAAGGAAAAAATTACCCAAACAATTAAACCGAGAACCAACGATTATAAACAATTCCCGATCCGATGTTATTGCCTGTCAAATACATCTTAAGAGATTGAAAATAAGCCCTCGGAATAACCGTAAATACTGTATTAACCCCTTTAAGTTTAATGCTATTTTAAATGGTTTTAAACAAATCCATGATCAGAATCCTTGCTCTCCCCTACCTTCATTAAAAATGTCCCGAATAAAAGGAAATGAAAGTCTTACTCCTAAAAACCTGTTTTCTACTTTGGCTAATCTTAATTTGTCTGAAATACAATGTGTTCATCATTCTGTGATTAATTGGAAGGAGATTCTTTCGAAAATTAAACAACACGATACGTTGATGCATATTATTTATTAGGCCACGACATGGATGAGGAACATGACCGAGAATAAACTTACCGTCAACAAAAATTGGTAAAATTAAATTTAAATATAAAGAAAATAATTTCCCCAAAATTTTACCCTCTTCTTAATGGACCAACAATGCTTATACCGAGAATATGAATATGACCCCTCTAATCTTACAACATGCCGATAAATGAAAATAAAAAAGGACGAGAAGAGCTGATCATCCAACCTGGGACAGAAATTTGGAAGAATTGAAAGAAAAATGGATAACCAATTATTTTGAAATTTTGTTATACTTACCCGGACCCCCTCCACCCGTCCCTGCACCTAAACCCTTATACCCACATCTCCTCTACGCCTTCATCTAAATTTTTTGGGTTTCTCCCGAATGTCAAATCTTTTAGATTTGAATATTTTTTAATTATTAACCTTTGGCCGAAATTTTTGTCCATATCTTTAAAATAGTTGCCCGCTCAAAAAAAAATGTTAATTATGGCGGGCCAAAAGGCCTTTTTTGAACCTTGCATCCCTGCTCTTTTTCTCCCCATTCTTTTAAATCTCTAGCCCGCTCAATTTAACTAGGAAAAGCTCCTTTGTATTTTTTGTGTATTTTGATCCTGTCTGAAAAATGTCCTTTCTCTTCCCTATCGTTCTATCTTTGCAACCCTTTGCACGGGTTATTTTGGCCAACTAATTTTGGATTAAAATGTGCAAACATCTCCTTCTTTTTGCACATATCAACCCGAATATATAAATGGAATTTTGAGCAGTTTGGCTCAGTTTCTGAACTATTCCTTCCCCTCGATTAAAGTTAAAGTTTTAAAGTAAAGTTTTTTGAACTACATTTTTCCTCCCCCTGAAGATTTGTTATTGAAGTTTTTTATCCGTTCCTTCCCCAGTCAGATTTGAAGTTTCTCCCCCTTTTGATTTTCCTGATATATGTTTGTTAAAAGATTTGGGCCCATTTTGAAAGGAGAATATTTACTTGTTAAATTGTTAATTTTGATAATTGGAAAATAAAAGTTGTTAAAGAATTTAGTTAATTTTTGGATTTATTTAATTTAATGTATTTTCCCTCCCCTTTTATTAAAATTCTGTTTAGAATTTTACATATGATTGAGGGAAATATGTATCAATCCTCTCTCTAAACCCTCCCCTTCCCCTCATAATTTTATTTAAATATAAATTCAATTTAAAAAAACCTCATACCAAAGAACGAGCACATTTAAATCCTAAATTAGCCAAATCAACATTTTCATCAATCAGAATTCTGCCAGTCTCAATAGGGTGTGCTCGAAGTAATGCCTCAAAACAAATAATTAAACCTTCTCTAAAATATAATTTAAAAAACCTGTAAGATAGTACTCTTGCCAGCTCCAGTTCTTCCAATAATTGCTGTTCTAGTACCCGCTTTTAAATGGAAACTAATGTTGTTAATAGCTAAAGGCAATTCTGGAGAATAACGGAGAGAAACATTTTCAAAGCAAATATGCCCTTCTATTGGAGTTGGAATATCATCATTGTTTATTAGACTAGATTCTTTTTCTCCTTCCATAGGAACATTATCAATATAATCACATATTCGTTCAACAGAAACTAATTCTAAAATAAAAAATAAAGTTTGTAGACTAATTTACAATTGAAAAGATTCTTAATTTTTACAATTTGTAAAAAAAAGTTTTAAATGAAGTATGCAAAATAAGCTGTAAAATAAGTTTACAAATTGTAAAATAAAGTTTAATTAAGTTTACAATTTGTAAAACAATTTCTGATAATTTTACAATTTGTAGATTAAGTTTTACTAAGTTTACAATTTGTAATACGAATTTACAAATTATTTTACAATTTGTAAAACAAAGTTTTATTAAAATTTACAATATGTAAAATAAGTTCAATTAAGTTTACAAATTTGTAAAAACAAGTTTAATTAATTTCACAATTTGTAAAACTTATTTTCAAACAAATTAACAATTTGTAAAAAAAATTCAACCTTTTTCAGTCTCAATAAAAGACGTAAGAAGACCATTCAAAACATTAGTTATTGACAAAGCATAAGTTATAGCTAATCCAATAAGTCCAGGATGGCTTAATTTAAAAATAGTAACGTCCAAAATACTTGCAAATAAAATAATTGTAAGCACAAAAAGTCCAAGCATTTGAATACGTACAGAAAGCCATGTAGCAGCAGCTAAAGAAGAGAATGAAGAACGGAGATTGTAACCCAAAAGTGTTCTCATTTTTGAAGAAAAACTGAAGAAAAAAGAATTATTTTTATTAAAGAAATTAAATTTTTACAATTCACTAATTCGAAGAGAACGTATTGTAATTAGTCCCGATACTGTTTCTGAAAGGTGGCTGTACAATGGAGATAAAGTAATGGCACATATTCGTTTCTGAAAAAAAAAATAAAAATTAATTAAAAATCAAATAACATTAAATTATAATATTACCAATTCAACGTTTGTTCGACGATAATATTTCTATAAAGAAAAAATTTTAATCTTAGTTAAAAGAGAAAGGTAAAGTATAGCCCGAGGCAGGTCTCGAAAAAAAACCTTCGACATCCTTTGGCGGTCATTCCTAGGCCATTCCCCATCCAAAAAAAAGTTTTTAGGATATTGAAAATAATATTCTGAAACAAACATTTCCATCTTCAAAAATTTTTACCTGAATATAATAATAAATAATGAATAGAGGTAACAACAAAAGTGAGAGCAATGGAAGTGCCACTAGCGTCAGGATTAAAGTTCTTATTTTATTAAAAAAAATGTTTTGAAAATTTTCACACAACAAAAATTTCATACCTATAAGAGAGAAAAAACTAGCCAAACAAATATTTAATTGAAAAGGTAAAGAAGTATCCACAATGCTAACATCCGTTGATAAACGATTAGTAACACGCCCACAAGGCGTTTTATCCCACCAATTTATATTTGCCTTTAAAATTCGACTCAATAAGCGTTGATGTAAATATTTGGCGGCATAAATACAAGCAATTGCAAAAAGGAAAGCGCGGGTTAAAGTTGAAATGGAATTGAGACCAACAATTGCAATATAAATGCGTAAATAAAACATTTGTTGATTTTGTTCATTAATTGAAGTGAGCGGAATAATATAACGTGGAGCAAAAGGATAACTAAAATAAAATATTTTTACAATTGTAATATATGGGAATAAATTTTATTTTAAATCTTTACAATTCATAAAATGCTTAATTAAGTAGAATTTGTAAAAAAAAGGTTTTGTATCCCTATATTCAGCATTTTACAATTTGTAAAAAAAATATATTCAACATTTTACAAATTGTAAAAAATATATCCAGCGTTTTACAATTTGTAAAAAAAATATATTCAGCATTTTACAAATTGTAAAATTTTAATTTAAACTTAAATTGTAAAAATGCTTAACTATAACATTTTACAATTTGTAACAAGTTTATTTATCCATAAATTCAACGTTTTACAAATTGTATTTATAAATTGTAAAACACTATTACAAATACTGATTTATTTTTTTAATTTTCATAAAAATAAAATTACCCCCAATCTTGTTGAAGAAACAACTTTGAATTATTATGTTCTGAATTGTTTGCTGAACTCCATTTACTCAACCAAACATCTGTAGCGTTTCTAGTTGCTTGCAAAGCTGAAATACTTAATTAATTTTTATTTTAATTTTTTACAAACCAATTAAAGAAAGCAATACCAGCACTGACAACCACAAACCTATAGCTTTAATATAAGTTTTATAAATTCTTATTTTGACTGTTCCTTCTTCTTTTTCTTCATTGTCCATAACAGAGACATATTCTGCTGCTTCCATAGGTTGAGATAAATCACCGTCGTTTTCTTCCTCGAAACTTTCTGTTTGTTTTACAATTTGATTTTCAACAATATTAGGTAAAATGACTTCTGAGGGACCTTGATAAATGAAAAAAAATTTTTCGAAAAATTTAAAAAAATTCAGAGGCTTACCAGCTCTCAAAACATTTCCTTCCCCATCCAATTGTACAATTAAATCAGCACGCCCCAAGAATCGTTCATGATGTGTACACAATATTACCAATTTTCCTTTAGATCTAAGTTGCTTTTCAATACAATTTTCATAAACAAAAGAAGCAACTGTTCCATCCAATGCTGCAAAAGGGTCATCGAGTAGATAAATAAGTTTGTCAGCATAAACAGCACGGGCTAATGCAAGACGGACTTTCTGACCTTTTTAAAAAAATTTATTTTAATTTTTATAAATCGGACCTTATCTTTAGAAAAACTCATAAGAATAAGAAAGTTGTATTTTATAATGAGAGGTATCTTAAATTGGTGGTAATGCTTGAGCAGTTCCCCAGCCAGTAGCTAACCAAAGTTAAACGGACATATCTTAAATTAGGATGTATCGAGTATTGGGGGTATGGATAAATTGGAAAGAAGTTTAGGCTTCGAGTATCAGTTATCGAATAAATCGACACATTTCTAATTGGTGATATCCAAAACGAAGTCAAATTAATAACCAAAAAAATAAAATAAACCTCCACTCAAAGTAACTCCTTCCCCTCCAATTCGATAATTCTCCTTTCCAGGCATATTCTCAATATCCATAGTCAATGCACACACATCTATTGCACTTCGAAAACGTTCAGGAGAATAGGGAAGCTCGCAAAGAATATTTTCTTTAACAGAACCAGTTCTAAGCCAAACATCTTGTCCAACATAAGCAAATCCTTCAGATAATACCCTCTCATCAAGTAAAATTGGAGGGCCTTCAATTATTGTTTCTGCAAGAATTCCAACAAGTAAAGTTGATTTTCCACTTCCAACAGGCCCAATTATTCCAATTAACATACACTTTAGTTAACCAAATTTAATTTTAAATAAATAAAAATTAACTTTTTCTCCTTTAAATTGAACACTTCGAACAACATTTTCTTTAGTCTTCCATCCAAAAGAATTTTTTTCAAGTTCAATAAGTGTTGTTGAGTTAGAAATTGGAGAATAAAATTGTTTCAAGTCTTTAGCTGATTTGATAGAGAAAAATGAATCAAATCGGCGTTTGCTAACTAATCCGGTTATCATAGAGCCGAGAACCCATGGGAAGGCATTTACTTTAATTTTAAAAATAAATTTAAAATTTTTTAAATATAAAAAAATTACACGGCATTATCAAAATGTTTATCAACGCCAGTGTAGTAAAAACTTTAGCAGCAGTCAATTGTTCATGTAAAATCAAGGTAAATGTAGCTAATATCATCATTGTAATGAGAATGGGTGCAGAAGCCTATTAAAATTTTTTAATTAAAAAAACTAATTAAAAAAAATACCCATAAGTAAACACATATAGCATCCAGAAACTTTATATAACGTAAATATTTTAATTCTTTTTGTCTAATTAAATTAATTTTTGTTTCAAAAAAATTTTCCCAACTATTTAATTTAATTGTTCTCATTGAATGGCTCAATTCACTAACTAAAAAATTATATTAAAATTATTTTTAATTTTAAAATTAACCCAGCTTTAATCTAGCATCTTTAACAGACATCATTTCATTTGAATATTTTCCAATTTTTGAAGCTATTAATTTATTTAAAGGTATAAGTATTACAGAAGCTAGAACACCAGCCAGAAATGCTAAACCCATCTTAAAATGATTTTTTAATTTTTCAAAAAAAATTTTTTTTTAATTTTTAAACGAAAATCTCTGACTTTCCCACTATCAATTCATCAAAAAAAATTTTTTTGAAATACTAACCTCTTTATAAATTAAATATAATGCAATAATAAAATCCATTGGCATGCCCCAAAAAGCTGTTTTAAAAAATAAAAATATTTTTTTATTTTTTTAAATTACCATGAAAGGAACAAATAAATTCACCAATTCTATCAATATCTGTACACATTAAATTTATTAATTTGCCAGAAGAAAAATCATCAGTAATTTTATAAGCTGGAATTCGTAAGAGTTTTTCATAAACAGCTAGTAGGAGAGCGCTCTGAAAAATGGAAATCGGAATTAAAATCAGAAATGACAAAAATATCAGAAAAATCCGAAAAATCAGAAATGTCAGAAAAATCAGAAAATCCGAAAAAATCAGATGTATCAGAATGATCAGAATAATCAGAAAACTCAGTCTTACTTTTGCTTTCATTGATAAAAGTTGAATCCTGTATCCAAAATGCACATCACAGAGGGAAGCAAACAACATTGTAATAAACATAAGTCCACAACAAATATAACTTGTATTGTCTATTTTGCTTTGTAATGAAGAAATAAGCATATGAAGGAGAATTGGGCCTAACAAAAATTAAAAAAAAAATTTTATAAAAAAAATTTAAAAAAATTACCTGCAAATTTTAAAATATCTCCAATAAATCTAAGAATGCCTAGAAGAAAGAATTGACGTCCATAAACCCGTAGAAGAATAGGTGCAAAAGTGGAAGTTTCATTTTCAAGAGGATGACTGAGAACAGAGCCAAGAGTAGTTAGGTTTAAACTATTGGGTAAATCAAAAACATCATCTACCTGAAATTGTGAAAATAATTTTAAAAAATTTACAAAATGTAAAAAATTTTTATTTTAATTTACAACTTCGAAAAAGCAAGTTTGTCTAATTCACAAATTCCGGAAAAATAAACTTATTAAATTTACAATTTGTAAAAAATTAAGTTTAATTAATTTACAATTTGTGAAAAGAATATTTATTTAATTTACAATTTGTAAAAATTAAGTTTATTTTGATTTACAAATTGCAAATAAACAAACTTGTTCAATTACAATTTGTAAAACACAAGTTTATTTGATTTACAATTTGTAAAAACAAGTTTATTTATTATACATATTGTAAGTTTAATTTACAATTTGTAATAAGTTTATTTATAATTAACCTGTTTAAGCTCTCCCTTATAGCCTTTTCTCATCAATTTGCCGGTCCATAGAAAGAATAGCTCAGAAAATCTAAAAATTAAATTTTTATAATTTTAAAAAATATAAAAATTACATACAAAAAAGGGATCAGTCTCCTCTGTGTACGTTCTTGATAAATTAAAGGAGTTGTAAGACCATTACTTATAAATCCATTCTCAGCGATTTCTGTTGTTGACTGATTTTCCTCTAACATTTTTGACTCACAAAATAAATTTAATTTAAAAATTGAAGATAATTTTTTTAATTATTTTGAATTTTTCTCTCAAATAAAAAAATCTAATTGTTACTTTCCAAGCAATATTTAAAAAATATCAAGTCAAATATATTTTTGAAATTTTTATTTTTTTTTTGTTTTAAATTTGCGGCTTTGAATTTACATAGTAATTAAATATATATTTTTTTTGAAAAAATTATATAACGAAGCGACAAGAAAAAAATTGAATAATATATAAATGAAGATAGTGTGTGGTGGAAGAGAAGAATGAATCACTGATACAGGCATTAATTTAGAAAAATTTTTTAAATTTTTATTATTGGGAAGACCCAAAGACATCAATGCCATACAAAAAAAATTAAATTGTTCAATAAACTTAAGTAGAAAAAATTTTCTTAATTTTATGGCAATGATGCAATTTATAGAGTGATAGATAGACAGAAAATTTTTTCTATTATTTTTTTAAAACAACACGGACTAAAATAATTTTTTGGGTAAAATTTTGAAAAGTAAGGTGGGAAGGTGGAAGAAGTAAAGGGAATTAAAAAAAGAAAATTTTTTTTAAATGATCAAGAAAAAAAAGGAAGAACGAGGGGAGAATATAAGGGGAGGAGAATATTTTTCTAGTGCAAATATTTTTGAACAGATACATACATAGTTATATAGAAGTGAGAAAAGAAGAAAAAAAGAAGGGAAAACAAAAAAGGAAAAAACAGATAAAAGCTAAACCTTCATAAATTTTAATATCACTCGGAAGAGTTAAGAATGTGGTCCGGTGGAAGTCCTGAAAGAAAAAAAATTTATTTAAATTAAATTTAAAGAATATGTTTGTTACCATCTTCGTAGCGTTTCCAAATCCTATACAACAAATTTTCAAAATCGGTGCAATATTGTTTTACATCGAACAGAGTACTGGTAGTTCGTGCCTTCCAAACTTTTGCTCGAGTTTGATTTAGACTAAAAAAATTTTTTTTTGAATTTCAAAAAATTTTTAAAAATTACAAAAAATTCAAGAAAAATGTTTCACAAATTTTTTTGAAAATTAAAAAAAATCTTCTTACAATTCTCTATCATTCCCAAGCCTTGTAGCAATTCTAATATAATCATCTCTATCACGAGCAACCAATTCAGGGCATCCTAGGGCATGAAGTTGACTTGAAGCTACTCTCGATGCGAGGGTTTCCACTTAAAAAAATTTTTTTAATTAAAAAAATTTTCAAAATATACGTGGCATTGTAACCATTGGTGTACCAGTCCAAAGTATATCCATTCCTGTTGTATGACCATTACATAATGGAGTGTCCAAACAAACATCGGCTAGTTGACCTCTTCGTACATGTTCCTCTTAAAATAATGAAATTAATAGTTTAATTGTAAGCATTAAAAATTCAAAAAAAAATTTCAAAAATTTTTCCAAAATTCTCAAAAAAATCTTTTAGTTCAAAAATATAAGAGGAAACCTTTAGCAGCAACATTTGAAAAAATAATTTTCTTTGTATTAATTCCTCTTTGGGCACAAAACCTGATAACGTGTTGTTCACCATGATAAGGGAAGCGTAGAAGCCAGAGGACCGAATTTGGTACCTAATTTTGAAAATTTTTATTTTTAAAAAATAAAAAAACCTGTTTAAGTATTTCAACCCACATTTCAAGCGTTGGCGGGTCAATTTTATAAAGTTGATTAAAATTACAAAAAATAATTGCATCATCAGGTAGTCCATATTGTTGACGGCTTGTAACCTGTTGAATTAAAATTAAATTTTAGAAATCAAAATTTATCGAAATAAATTCTCTAAACTAGCAAAAAATCATAATCGGATCAGAATAACCATAAAAATCAGAAAAAATCAGAACAGAAAAATCAGAATCAGAAAAAATATGAGAAATGCCGTAACTAATTCTGATGCTTTTTTAAGGTGTACTTCAACTCTGTCTCTTTTAAAATCATACCAAAATTGTTTGAGGAATTTCCTCTCCAGTAGCAGCTTTTACATGTGTATTTAATGTAGTTAATCCATTTTGTATAGGGACACCGCTAACATTTGCAGCAATTAAACCATTTCCAATCATTTGTGACAAAGGTTCTGTTGACGTAACTTCAACTACAGGTACGACCACTTCTGTCATTTTGAATTCTCTTTCTGGTCCATGTTGAACTTCAGCCTCACGGACAAATGTCTTTGAAAAAATTTTTTATAATAAAAATAAGTTCCAAGTTCCAAATGGGAAAGGAGCCAAAAAGTGGAGAATCGTAGTCTTTTTCAGATTCCCCACCCAAAAGTAACCTTTCACGTGTCAGCTTCAGAGCCATTTAAAACCTATTAAATCGCTCACCTTAACTTCACAAGCAGAACTAGAAAGTAATGGTTGAAGGGCATTTTGTGTTGCATTTACAACTGTAAGACAGTCACGTTCAGGGAGTTGACCATCTTTATCTTTTACAATTACTCTTTCAGTTAAATGTGCCAACATATGAACATGATCTATAAAATGGTCAAAAGAAATTTTTTTTTGAAGAATAAATTCATACCTCCAATAAAAAATGTATGAGGCATATATGCCAATTTCTCGCTGTATGCATGGGCTAGTTCAATTGGGGAAGCTATAAAAAAACAAATTTTAAGAGAGAAAAAATAATTTTATACTAATAGCATCAGTAATAATGTAGTCCATAAAAGGTGCTCCAGAAGTTCCGGGATAGCCTAGCCACATAACCTGAAGAAAAATAAATTTGAAAAATAAAACTTAAAAAATTTTTCAAGTGACCTGAATCGGTGCCGGTCTCAACGCAAAAATTTCATTACGTGCACCTTTTGTGTATCCATTCATATTCTAAAAATAAATTTTAATTACAAAAATCAAAAAAAAATTTTTCTTACTATAAGAACATGAATTCCATCTTTATTTATTCTATCTGCAGCTGTTCCATTACAAGGCATCTATCAAAAAAAAAATAATTTTTAATTAAAAAACTCAAAACAAACCGAAGATAGATCAATAAAATGTTCACTTTCTTGCATTATTTTTTGACGAAAATTTGTGTTGTCATTTGGAGACAAAGCATAACAAAAAACTTCAACACGTGAACGATCATGCATACCAGGAATTGATTGCATTAAATGACTTGTTGGATGATTTCCTTTAAAGGAAAAGAACTTTTCTGAAATTAAAAAAAAAAATAAACCAAAATCAGAAGAAACATATCCAATTTTAAGACGACAATTTTTTCCCATACGAATATTGAAACGATCAGAAAAGTTGTATGGAGGTTTGTGAAGTACTTGAATTTTTTCTATACACAATTGTGCATGACGACTTGCAATTGCCTAAAAATTTTTGAAAAATTAAAAAAAAAATTTTTAATTTTAAAACCTTTCTCTGCTCATGGGAGAGTGGGTATAACATGGAATGATGGGGATGAACAGAAGGAAGACGCCTAATTAGAAAAAATTTTTAATCTGACAAAAATTCAAAAGAACTTTTTTTGAAGTTGATCCTCAACAATAGTAACCAATTTTTTCATTCGAGAATTGTAATCAGTCCTAGAAAAAAGAAAATTAATGAAAATATTTTATAAAAATTATAAAAATACCAATCACAAATAATTTGTAGACAATGAGCTAAATTGCAAAAAGCATCTGGGAAATCACTTTTAAGTTTCAATGCTGTAGAGTAACTGAAAAAAAAATAATAAAATAAATTTTAAAGAATAAAAATTTTATATGCAAAATAACTCTTGTTTTCACTCGGATATAAGAAAGTCAAGTGAGAAAAGAGTATAAAATGTCGTGGGAAATTTAAAAAAGGAAAAAATATTTATTATTTTTGTTTGTTAGATAAACAATGACATTTATCATTTTAAAGGACAAAATAAAAACTTTCGTTCTAACCATTTCCAGATCCAACAACAATCGGGACACACCCTATAAATTCCAATTTTTCACCAATTTTAACTCTCACGTCTTTTATGTATACGCTCATTTTTTAAACCAAAGACACACAGAAAATCCCCAAATTAAAAAATACCCTACCTTTGAATCGCCTCAGGTATATTTCCAGCATCTTTATGAATACTAGCCAAATTACTTTGTGCATCAGCAAATGCTGGATTAATTTGAATTGCACGAGTATAACATTGTAATGCTCCATTAACATCACCCATTTCTTTTAAAGTATTTCCCATATTTGAATAAGCATCCGCAAATGTTGGTGAAATTCTTATTGCTTCCTTGTAATGTTCAATTGCATCTTGCAAACGACCTATACAAAATTATTTTGTAAAAAAGAAAATTATAAAAATTTAGAATAAAGTATCAAGGTTCGGGCCGGTCAGGAAACATATCAGATCAGGTTTAGGGCCGGGGTTTTCAAAGTTTCTCTTGATTCTAGTTTAGCCAGGAAAGAATCTTGAATAAGGTACCAAGGTTCGGACTGGCCAGGAAAGATATCGGATCAGGTCGGGTTTTCAAAGTTTCGATCGATTTTGGTTTAGCCGAAAAAAAAAGGGCTTTTGGTTAGCCGTTCGAATCATGAGAAAGAACCAATAAATCAAGAAAGAAAATTCTACGGTATAAAAAATCACCATAAAACAAAAACAAACCTTGCTGTTGTAAAATTGAAGCCAAATTGCTATGTGCAGCTGCAAATTCAGGATAAATCTAAAATAACAAAATTAAATGTTTCAATAAAAAATTAATAAACCTTCAAAGCTTCCAAATAAAGTCGAGTTGCTTCTTCAATCTTTCCTTGCTCACGTTTTATATTTGCCAAATTGTTTAAAGAATCAGCATGATTTGGGCACAGAGTTAATGCTGAAACATGAAAATTAATTTTAAAAACTAAAAAATTTTCTGACGCTCCAAGAAAATCTAGGAGACAGAATAAATCTATGAGGACCCGTATCCTTGCCCAAATGCCCAACCACATTCAAAAAACAATCAAAAAAACCAACCAGTATTATAAGCTTGTTCCGCTTCAATAACCAATCCCTTCTCTTTCAATGCATTAGCCAGATTGCAATAAGCATCCGGGAAATTTTGTTGTAGTTCAATTGCCCTTTTGTAAGTTTCTATCGCCAAATCCAAATGTCCTTGCTCATAATAAACACAAGCTAGATTTCCATGGACAACTGCGTGGTTGGGATTTAGAGCTAATGCACGTAGATAACAAGAGACAGCTCTAAAAAATTGAAAAATATAAAAAATGAAACGAGGTTGGGAAAAATGAGTCATGGGTTCATTCTTGGTGAGATAACCAAAGTTGAGCGCTATTATCAAAAATCCCGCTCAGTGACACGTTCAATAATACGTTAGAAATAGAAAAGATCGGTTAACAAGGTTTCAACAGTTTTTGTCGGCAGACTTTTCGCCGATTCTCCCTGTGTGGGCGAGCCAGAACTCAATGCCCCCAACCGGTTAACACGGGAAAAATAAACAATCGAACCTATCAAATATTCGTGCTTCCTTCAACACATTTCCCATATTAATTAGAGCATCAATAAAATTGGGATCAAGCGTAATTGCCTTCTCAAAGTGGTGCAATGCTAACCAGAGTTCTCCTAAAGATTGATTCAACTTAAAAATAAAAAGGCAAAATACCTTGCGCATTAAAAACACAGCCCATATTTGACCAAGCAACCTGAACGAAAGATTGAAATTAAAAATTTGACAAAAAATAAAACTCACAGCAAAATGGGGTTGCATTTCAATAGCTTTAAGGTAACAGACCTAAAAATAAAAGAGTAAAAAATCGGGAGAAATTTAAAAAAATTAAGATATTTGTCGACGCCTTTAGCATCTCGCTCTTTATGCCTTTTGTCATTCTCTATTGAATTTTAACAAGTAAAATAGGTAAAAATAAACCTTTGCTTCTTCAAAACGATTCATTGCCTGGAAAACATTTTAAATTAAAAAAATTTTCTTAAATAAATTTTTACCTTGAAAAGATTGCCTAAATCGCTTCGGACACAGTACAGATCCTAAATTAGGTAAAAGGAAAGATAAAAAAAATTTTGTTAAAAAACAAACCGGATTGTATTGAAGAGCAGTCAAATATGCTTGAATTGCCTGTTCAAGATCGCCAACATACACCAGAGCAGATGCCAAATTTATGTATCCATCGATAAAATCAGGTTTTAAACGCACAGCAATATGGTAATTTTTTAGAGCTTCAGTCAAATCACCCTTCTCTTTGTATGCATTGCCCAAGTTGCTGTAAGCTTCAGCACATTCTGGATTTACTCTTATAGCAAGATTGGAGTATTGCATCGATCTAAAAATAGGGGAAGTATGGTTTATTTTTTCACGCGGATAGGAGAGTAAGAGCCTAACAATAAGTCTAAATTCCCCCTAAATTTTCTATTAGATTTCAGCAAGGTATTTAGGAGGGCCATATCTTGGCCAGATCAAAAAAAGAGCAAAAACGGCACAAAATCCTTGCTAGAAAGGGCACATTCTCTATCGAATGAGCCCGGTCTTGACTATTTTTAGGTCGGACACCTCGCAACCTTTCCTTGTAGGTCTGAAGTCCCCCTGAATTTTCTATTAGCTTTTAACAAGAAGTCCAAAAAAAACAAAAGGAAGCCCAAATGTCAAGTTTGGTAAACAAAAATGTCGTGTCTTTTAACCAGACTGACTCATCAAAAAATTTATCATAACGAACGTAAAACTATTTAAAAATTAAAAATTGCAAATATTAAAAATACCTTTCATAATTTTTCTGTTGAAAAGCAATAGAAGACAGTAATAGAAGCACACCAATATTGTGTGAATTTTGTTGAAGTAGAGCTAAACAATGTTGTTCAGCCTTTGCGTAGTTTCCAGCTTGGTATTCTTTATGAGCAATACTGAGCAAGGCTGTTAGAAAAAAGGGAATAATTTTGAAAAACGGGTCAGCCCCGTTAACCTACAGACTTTTCGTCGAATTTTCAGGTGTATTACCCCAAAAGGAAAGGTCGGTTAACAAGGTTTTGCTGACAATGAGCAGAGGGGACCCCACTCTACTAGCTGTTAAAAAAGAAGGGAATAATTTAAAAACAGTCTCGATCAACGACAGACTTTTGGTAGAATTTCAGGTGTTCCACAAAAGGAAAAGTCAGTCAACAAGGTTCTGCTGACATGAGCAGAGGGAACATCACTCTACTGGTCTACTTATAAAAACTTTTAAAAACCTGAAGCATCAACAGCTCCAACAGTATTTGATGAGACGACTATAATGTTTTGTGGGTTCAAAATTTGTCCTTGCGTTAAAATTGCCGAACTCGTTCCTTGTTGTATTTGGAGTTGGGGGATTATTTTATGGGAGCCTGATGTTGTGTTTTGGAGTACCTTAAAGAAAATTTTGTTAAAATTGAAGTAATCCTCAAAATTCCATACCTTATCGAATGTACTCGTTGAAAAATTGTAGAGTTGTTTAGAAGAATTGGAATCCATTATCCATCAAATCATACGAAAATCTATTAAAATTGGGTAAAATTAATTAAAAGAAAGGCTTAAAAACAGGTAGTCAAGCATTAAAAATCAAACACCAAAATGAACGGGAATGTGACAGACTTTTTAGAATACGAGAGGGAGGGTGGTACTAATTTATTGAATTTCCAATCGATAAATTAAGAGACAGACGAATATGTAAACACACAAAGAGCAAATTGAAAGAACAAAGAATATGTACGCATGAGAGAGAGTATGTGTTTGAGTTAATTTTGTCTGTTCAAATTTTATTTGTTTTGTCTAACCTATGTAGGATTATAGAAAGATAACTAGTAAAATAGTTATAGATAGAGAATTAGAGAAAAGAATTAAAATGTGAGAAGCAATTTTTGCATTATGAGCAGAGAAAAAGAATTTTATAGTCACGATGTAACTTCTGAGAAATTGTACACCTTTTTGTCTGCGCTTTGCGCCTTTCTCCATCTTTTGCCAAAACACATTTTGCCAGGAAGGCTAAAATCCTACTTTTTGTCAATAAGTTTGATGTCAAAATGTTTATTTTTACCCTTATTGGCAAAATGTGGTTTGACAAAATGTTGCGTCTGGCAGAAAGACGTTCCAACCTTTCGTTTGGAATTTGTCCAATCCATTCCAAGAAAACTTATGGAACTTGCCATGTATTCGTGTCTTTTTTTGCTAATTTTCCACGAACAAATTAATAATACTTCCCTTCTTTTTCATGTTTTTGCGACAACTAATTTTTCCCTTATTTACTTCTTATGCCTTTTTTGCTTTTATTAATTTTTGATTAACCCAAGTTCATCCTCCAATTTATTTGATTCTTCCTTATTTTTAATTCTCCCCACAAAACAGATTTTCATTTTTAATTCACATTGACTTTCCATTTTCTTTTTTATTTACTTCTTCTACCTATTCCTGTTTAATAATCAATCGTTGACTAAGCTTGTCTCCTAACTAAGTTCGATCCCCTTGATTCTTCATTAACCTTAATTCCCCCCACAAAACCGACTTTCCATTTTCTTTTTTGTAATTGTCTTCCTCCTACCTTCTCGTTTAATAATCAATCATTAACTAAGCTCGTTCCCTTAATATGATACCTTTGGTCGGGGTCCACCAGGGTCCAATGACCTTCAGTCAGGGTCCAATGACCTTTGTCCTAGGGTTTTGTCCTTAGTCCATCTTGTAAGCCATGGTCCACTACCATTGGCCTTTGGCTTTAATTCTCCCCAAAATTGGACCTCCTACATCATCCATTTCATATTTACTTACTCCCACCTTTTATCTTTTAATGATCTTTGATCAACTAATTTCATCATTCCCTAATTTATAGATCTTATTTGAAAGATGACAGAACCAGTTCCATCATCTAGCAAACTGGGAAAGAAACCAAAATGGTATTTCGCGGACGATGAGCTTGCGAGGCTTCCATCTAGAATGTCAATGGATTCGGCTGCTGAACTCAAATATAGAAGAGAGGCTGCAGAGTTCATTCAGGTTTTTTGTTTGTTTGTTTGGATGAAATGAAATTTTGTTTTTTTAGGAGATGGCTGAGCGGTTGAACCACAACATTCCGCAACACAGAGGACAAATGTTTGTGTTTATCTTTGAGTAATACAAAACGTTTCTTGTTGGGGTATTAATTGTTTTAGCGGTCCAAGGACCTTCGGCATTTAGCCTTGTCTCATGGACCTTGCCTTTGTTCACCTTAGAGGTTGGGGTCTCCCAATGACCTTTGGATTAGTTTCTTGTCCTTAATCAATATTGGTGGCCAGTGTCCACCAATTCCTTTTGGCTTTGTGTCTTGTCCCAGGGACCTTACCTTGGGTCTGACCTGGGAGGTCATGGATCTGACCTGGGAGTCTAGTCCACATCGGATGTCCACCTTAGAGGCCAGTGTCCACCAAATCCCTTTGGCATAGAGTCTTGTCCCAGGGACCTTACCCTGGGTCTGACCTGTGAGGTCATGGTTCATAGGACCTTTGGCCTAGGGTCTTGTTCTCAGTCCACCTTGGAAGCTATGGTCCCAAGGACCTTGGTCATCGAACCAATGGCCTTTGGTCTTGTCCTCAGTCCACCTTGGAAAATATGGTCCCAAGGACCTTGGTCATCGAACCAATGGCCTTTGGTCTTGTCCTCAGTCCACCTTGGAAGCTATGGTCCCAAGGACCTTGGTCATCGAACCATTGGCCTTTGGTCTTATCCTCAGTCCACCTTGGAAGCTATGGTCCCAAGGACCTTGGTCATCGAACCAATGGCCTTTGGTCTTGTCCTCAGTCCACCTTGGAAAATATGGTCCCAAGGACCTTGGTCATCGAACCAATGGCCTTTGGTCTTGTCCTCAGTCCACCTTGGAAGCTATGGTCCCAAGGACCTTGGTCATCGAACCATTGGCCTTTGGTCTTATCCTCAGTCCACCTTGGAAGCTATGGTCCCAAGGACCTTGGTCATCGAACCATTGGCCTTTGGTCTTATCCTCAGTCCACCTTGGAAGCTATGGTCCCAAGGACCTTGGTCATCGAACCAATGGCCTTTGGTCTTGTCCTCAGTCCACCTTGGAAGCTATGGTTCCAAGGACCTTGGTCATCGAACCATTGGCCTTTGGTCTTGTCCTCAGTCCACCTTGGAAGCTATGGTTCCAAGGACCTTGGTCATCGAACCATTGGCCTTTGGTCTTGCCCTCAGTCCACCTTGGAAGCTATGGTCCCAAGGATCTTGGTCATCGAACCAATGGCCTTTGGCCCGAGTTCCTATGTCACCTTCCAATTATTTAGCATTCAATTCAGAGATCTGTTGCTTTAGTTACTTCCTCTTTTCATCATTTAAGATTAGCCGAGTACCTTGTCCTCGGGTCAAAGGATACGTTGTCCTTGTCTAGGAATGTTGTCTTTGCTTTGCCTTGGAGCCAAGGTCCACCAGGCCTTGACCAAAGATCCAAGGTCTTTTGGACATTTTGCATCGGTTTCTCTTTCCATCACTGAAGGCTTGCCCTTATGAACTTCTTGTCCCTCCTTACCTTGGGTCGATGATCAATATTGTTTTAGACTCATTGACTTGTTTAAATCCTTTATTCTTTAACACTTCAACTTTTCATTTTTTTTAGCAATCAGAATTGCATCTGCATTGCAATGATCCACATGCACAGATTCTTCACCGTTCATGCATTTGCCTTCTTCAATATGTACAAAGTATGCTTTTCCTTTACAAATTTTTTTCTTCAAAGAAATTTTTTTCAGGAGGTTGCCGCAGCGTGTCTCTTTTTGGCCAGCAAAAGCGAAGAATGCCCCAGGAAGCTTGAGCACGTGGTGGAAGTTTGGTTCAGGTTGAAGTTCAGGAAAGCAGAAGTGCAGCCGCCATTTAACGAAGCAGTCAGTTATTTGATGAAAAAAAAATTTGGCTTACACACTTCATTTGTTCTATGCGAGGAACAAAATTTTTTTAGGCGAGAAAGAACGGCGCGCAACTACTAGTCTACCTGGAAGGCATTCTGTTGCAGACGATTGGTTTGTAAATTTCTTTAAATGATCAAAGATGGATTGGGTTTTAAACGATAGGGAAACTCCTGACTTTGTCCCTTGTCTTGGTTTTCTTTAGTTGCCCAGACAGACTTGTTCAGTGTATTTATGACTTCGAGGTCTGGATTGATTTCCAATCCATTAACTTGGGTCTAGTCCTTGTCTTTGGACAATAAGAGAAATTTAGGCACCTGTGCATAACTAACTTTATCCCTGCAAGCCAACATTAAGATTCATACATGAGCTATCTCTGTTGATATGTGTTGACATGTTCCTAGTTCTTGAATCCACTGACTTGAGCAGTGGTCTAGGATTGGCTTAACCCTAACTCGATTTCTACAAGCCAACATTAGGATTCATATCGAAGCTATTTATGTTGAATGTCTAATATGTTTTGACCCTGTTTTTAGTTCTTGAATCCACTGACCTGACATGAGCTGGGTCCCTGAGTCTATATTTTAGGAAAATCTGGGCATTGGCCCAACCCTAACTCAATCTTTACGCGCCAACATTAAGACCCATATCGAAGCAATCTATGTTGCTATATAACTAACCAAACTTTTTTTCTAGGCTTTGAGCTCCATGTTGATCTTCCTCATCCTATTATTATTATAAATATGAAGAAATTTAAGCAAGGTTTTTTTGATGTTTTGTTATGTTTTTAATTTGCAATTTTTTAGAAAGCCAAAAATTGACCGAGTGTGCTTATTGGTTCGCAACAGATATGTGAGTTTTTTTAAACCATATATTTGTTTTGGATTGGGCTCTTTTAATAATCTTGAAGCATTCAACTGACAAATTGGTGCATTCGCTTCAATGAGAGGACAATTGCTTGTGTTTGCATTTATTTGGCTTGTAGCTGGGCAGATTATGAGGTTCGAAAGATTTTTTAAATATGGTTTTAGGGTTTTGAGTTTAATCTTAAAGACAAGGGGTAGATCACAAAGTCTCTTAAATTTGTTCTGATTTTAATTGACCTCGGGGGAAGAAGTTCAATTCTCTCTTTCTGTTTTTGATCAGGGATATCTGTAGCTACGGATTTCGATTGTACTGATATGTATGAGCTTCGAGTTGTTGTTTCTTTCTTCGCGATGCGTTCAAGTATTGACCACGAAGAGTCATTACTTGACCGACACAGTCATTACTAAATGATTGACTAAAGAAAAAATGCACTTTTAAGAAGTTGGGATTGGTTTTGGGGTAGGGGATTGACCCTGAAGTTTGTTCCTCCACCTATTGCTTTGAATTTAATATCTGACAATGAGCATAGTATGTAGAATGAATGAGTTTTAATGAGACTTTGTTTGTTGTTAGATAGCTAACTTGCAGTCTATGAATTTTAAATTTTTTTATTAATCTGTTATCTTTCAGATCCCTCAGACCGATGACTGCCCTTGGTTCAACTCTATAGACCCAGACATGACTGTTGAACTTTTAAATAGTTTGTTACTCTTTTAATTTTTTAAATTTAATTTTTTCAATTTTTTTTTCAGAATTAACTGATGAATTTACACGCGTCTACAAAGAATGCAAAGACTGCCATGCCCGAAGATTTATTCAAAAATCGAAGAATGGACCAATAATGGCTAAATCTATAGCACAATTGCCTCCACCTCCTTCACCACCGGTGCTTCAAATTAAAAAAGAAAACGGGATAAATAATTCTACAACAACAACACATAAATCACAGTCATCAACAGCAGCAACAACAACAACAAAAAATCATCCAATTAAATCTTCACCTATTTGTTAGATCAAGAGAAATTTATACAATTACACACAAACATGCCTCATCTTGAAGATTTTTATGTTGAAGTTTAATTGATGATGATGATGATAAGGAGCTTTGCTGTTGGAAATGTTGTGGATGGTCATGGTTTCTTTAAATTTAAATTTATTGTCTTTAACTGAATTGTTTACTGTTTTGGGACTTTTACATACCTCCTTGGATCTGAAAAAATTTTTGAAGGGTCTTTTGAGGAAGGATTTTGAGGTTTTGGGAGTAGCCCGTAGCCAAGGGAGCCTCAATGACCAACCAAATTTAAAAAATTTTTTAAATTCAAATTGAGTTGAATTTTGGGGATTATGTAAAAGTGAGAGAGGTCTGTCTGTTAAGATTAACCTTGTGTATCCAATTTGGATTTATCCAAAAAAAGCAAGTCCCTTTTCATTAAAAGATTTTTTTGTGACATTTCTCTCTCTCTATTAAAATCTTCTCTCTCTTTGATTATTTTTTGTTGAGTAATTGTTATATATCTATTTTTTACTCTTGTCTTGCTCTCCCTAATTTTACCCTCAGAAAATATAAAAAAAATTTGTTATTTTTACTATTAAAAAAGATCTCTCTTTTTTTAATATTTTTATTGTTATTTGTTTATTTTAACAGATTATATATTTTTTTTTCTTTTTATTTTAAAGTAATCCTCAATCCCCAAAGATTTTTAAAGATTTTTTAAAGTTTTTTAAAATTCAAAATGTCTACCTGCTACAACTGCGGTAAATTGGAAAAGGATTTGAAGGCAATGACTGCTCGGGCTCTCAAGGCTGAAAAGGAACGAGATGAATTGAAACTGTTTGCTAAGAATGCAGTTCGCGCATTGGATATGGTGGAGCCCTATTTCGACACAATTGACCATTTTTTTGAAAAGTACTAGTCTTCCTTTTTTACTCACTTTATCCTTTTCTTTTAGTTTTGGACAGCATTTTGAAACATTCTGTAATGGATTCAACACGCCTCTAATTCAGTCTCTAATGCAGCAGCAAGAGGAGAAGGAAGAAGAAATTAATGATGGAGAAGGAGGTGATGAAAAGGAAGAGGGTGAGCTGGAGACAAGCCTGGAAGAGGTTAATTAAGTTTAAATTGGAGGAGAGGAAAATAATTGGGATTTATCTAAAAAGCAAGACCCTTTTCATCAAAACTTTTTGTGGCATTTCTCTCTATTAAAATTCAATTTTTGTTAATTCATCTTCTCTCTCTTTGATTATTTTTTGTTGAGTAATTGTTATATATCTATTTTTTACTCTTGTCTTGCTCTTCCTAATTTTATCCTCAGAAAATATTTAAAAAAATTGTTATTTTGCCTATAAAAATATATCCTTTTTTTTTAATATTTTGATTGTTATCTGTTTATTTTAACAAATTATATATATTTTTTTAATCTTAATTATAGTGCTCAATCCCCAAAGATTTTTAAAGATTTTTTAAATTTTTTTTAAAATTAAAAATGGATACCTGCAACAACTGTGCTAAATTGGAAGAAGAATTGACTGCTCGGGCTCTCAAGGCTGAAAAGGAACGAGATGAATTGAAACTGTTTATTCAGGAAACATTTCACGAAATGTTTGATATAAAGCCCGACTTCAACACACTTACCCATGCACTTAAAGGGTACTAATTTTCCTTTTTTCTTAACTTTATCCTTTTCTTTTAGTACTCGACACAAATATCGAATGCTTTATGAAAGATCCAAGTCGCCTCTAGTTCGGTCTCTATTCCCGCAAATTCCGTCCCTGCCCCCGCAAGAGGAGGAGGAGGAAGAAGAAATTAATAATGAGGAAGAAGAAGGAGGTGATGGTTCAATGGAAGAGGGGGAGTTGGAAACTACACAAGTAGAGGAGAATGGAGGAGAGGAGAATGGGGAAAATAACCAAGTCATTGAGGTTGATTTATTTTTTTAATTGGGGGATTTCTAGATTGAAAAATACTTTCTGAATAAAGTCATTACTAATGACTGTAAAAGACTAATAAAGGAAAAATGCGTTTTTAAGGGGATCGGATTATTTTGGTGGGAAGGATGTTTTTTCCACCCTAGGGGTACCCAGAGGTGATTTCAGGGTGAGCTAAACTACGGGGAAGGGTTTTCCACGACCGAAACGCTTTCCTCTTGAAACAAAATCTTCCCCATTGTTGGAACAAAAACATTTAAATATTTGATTTTTTTTATTCAGCCACATCTTCAGCCGTCTACTCCTACTTCCATTACACAACAAGAACAACAACAAATTTCTTCATCTTCTGCATCTGCCACTCAAACTGATGAGGTTTTTGAATTTTTTTTTAATTGGGGTTTTTTGTATTGAAAAATGTTTTCGGAATAAAGTCGTTACTAAAGACATTAAAAGACTAAAGGAAAAATGTATTTTTAAGGGGATGGGTTTGTTTTTGGAGGGAGGGAATGTTTTTTTGCTACCCAAGGTCGTAATCTGGAGGATTTCAGGGGAAGCTAAAGCTTCAACGACAGAGAATTCCCTCTGTTGAAACAATATCCTCCCTTGTTGGGACAACAAACCCGTTGCTGAAGCAACACTTGTTGAAACAAAGAAATATTTTTTTTCTTTCAGCCAGCACTTCAATCGTCTACAATGATTCAAGAAGAACAACAACCTCCAACTTCTCAAATTACTAATGTGGTTGAGGGACAAAATGCTAATGATGAGGTTTTTTCAAAAAATTTTTCTTTCAATTTATTTTCCCTTTTATTTTCAGTGTTTTTGGGGTAGGGGATGTTTTTTGCTACCAAAGGCATAACCAGGGGGTGATTTCAGGGGAAGCTAAAACAACGGGGAAGATTTTTCCAAACGCTGTCCTCTTTGTTGAAACAACATCCTCCCTTGTTGGGACAACCTTCACCCCTCCTCGTTGTTGAAACTAAAATTCTTTTTTTCTCTTTCAGCCTGCACTTCAAACGTCTACAATTCAAACGTCTACAATGCTGCAAGAAGAAGAACAACAACCTTCAACTTCTCAAATTAATAATAATGTGGTTGAAGGACAAAATGCTAATGATGAGGTTTTTAAACAAATTTTTGTTTCATTTATTATTTTTCCCTTTTATTTTCAGCCACCAGAACGTAAACGACGACTCCCACAACGGAAGAGGAAGCTGTTCAAGAAGGAGGAGGCAAAGAAGGCAAAAGAAGCACAAAATGAAACCACCCAAAATGATGGTTGAAGGATGTTTTTTAAGATTTTTTAGAAGTTGTTGTTGGTTATTTTTAAATTATTTTTAATTAATTTGTTAATTTTCTAAATTATTTGTATTAGAGACCGGATCGAGGCGAGATCTTAAACAAAAATCTTGATTATTTGGGTCGGGGTTTTTCGATTCTTTTAAAGTTTCATTCCTCTTATTTTTTAATCTCAATTATTGGGATCGAAATTTTTCGAGATATCTTGTACGAGTTCGGCCTCTATTTTTGTTGTTAAAAAATTATTACATATTTTTTTATTATTAATTTTATAAAAATTGTTATTTCCCTATAATTTTTTTTGCTTTTACAACTGTTTTTTAACAGATTATTTTTTTTTGTTTTTATGGGTGTGAGTAGTGGGGATGGCACAGGTTGAGGAAAGAATTGGGATTTTCTAAACTCTCTTAGGATCGGGAAAAGTTCGGCTTCAGATGACTTCCCTGATACGTACTCTGCCCAAAATTTACATATTTCGGTCATTTTTAGTCTTCAATCCCGACAAACAAAACTTCGGGAAAGTATTCACTAGGCTTGTCTTATCATTAGATCTAGAGTTGCCGGTCCGGTTTGGTTCGAAAGATCGAATTCGGCTTCGATTTCTTTCCCGGAAAAAATAAGGCCCGAAAAAATGACTCGAACGTCGGCCCGATTCGAAACGGCCGGCCTAATTACAACGGCAACCCCACTTGTCCCTTTAGGGGAGAGAGTATCAATTTATCGCCCATCTCTTGTTTTTCCTCTCTCTCTTCTGTTATTGATTTTTGGTGAACTTTGCTCAGCGAAGCTAAGACGCGTAGTGGGTAGAGAAGAGAAATTTATTTTTCACTCACGCAAGAGTGAGGAAATTGCAGTCTTTTTCTCTAACCACCACGCGTTTTACATGTCTGAGCAAAGTCCGCTGAGAAAATCAATAATCAATAACCACTGTGAAGCAACAACAAAGAGTTAATTGGTTGGGGGTTGGGTAGTCTTGGTTGGGGGTTGGGTAGTCTTTCCTCACGCCTTTCTTCCACTTTTGTTTTTGTCACAACAAGACAAACAATTTTTTTTATTCTAGGCAAAGAACATTATTTATTCAAAGAACAACAATTAATTGTCCATGCTCAACAATTTATTCAAAACATTTTCAATCGCCTCAACCTATTCCAATCTTCTAAACAACTCTACAATTTTCAACCAGTCCATTTGATAAGGTTTGGATTTTGTGAAATGATTCAATTTTAACAACATTTTCTTTCAGGTACTTCAAAACTCCACGTCAGGCTCCCATAAAATCATCCCCCAACTTCAAATTCAACAAGGAACGAGCTCGGCCATTTTAACGCAAGGACAAAGCCTGAACCCGCAAAACAATTGTCGTCTCTTCAAATACTGTTGGAGCTGTTGATCATCAGGTTTGTAAAAGTTTTTATGAGTAGACTGGTAGAGTGGGGTTCCCTCAGCTTCACGAAGCTTTGTTAACCGACTTTTCCTTTTGGAGCGACACACCTGAGAATTCGATCGAAATTCTGTCGGTGGATGGGGCTGATCTGTGTTCTTTAAATTATTCCCTTCTTTTTTAACAGTTTTGCTCAGTATTGCCCATAAAGAATACCAAGCAGGAAACTACGCAAAGGCTGAACAACGTTGTTTAGCTCTACTTCAACAAAATTCACACAATATTGGTGTTCTTCTTTTACTGTCTTCTATTGCTTTTCAACAGAAAAATTATTAAAGGTAATTTTAATATTTGAATTTTCAATTCTTAAGTGGTTCCACTTTCATTATGATAATTTTTCGATAAGTCATAGCCTGTCAAAAAACAAGGCATTTTTATTTTATGCCCGGGTATTTGGGCTTCTTGTTGAAAGCTAATAGAAATTTCAGTGAGAATTCAGACCTAGGCTTTTGCCTGAAATCGGTTCCTGCTCATATATTTCACTTTTCTAACAAATCGGGTGAGAGAGTACATTATTACCTCCCCTATTTTCAGATCGATGCAATACTCTAACCTTGCTATAAGAGTAAATCCAGAGTGCGCAACTTGGGCAATGCTTACAAAGAGAAGGGTGATTTGACTGAAGCTCTCAAAAATTACCATATTGCTGTCCGATTAAAACCTGATTTTATCGATGGATACATTAATTTGGCATCTGCTCTAGTTTATGTTGGCGATCTTGAACAGGCAATTCAAGCATATTTGACTGCTCTTCAATACAATCTGGTTAATTTTTAATAAAATTTTTATTTTTCATTTTACCTAATTTAGGATCTGTACTGTGTTCGAAGCGATTTAGGACTTTGGTTAGCATTGCATCACTTTGAGAATGCAATTACTCTTGATCCAAATTTTATTGATGCTTTGATCAATATGGGAAATGTCTTGATGGAAGCAGGAATTATTGAGTTTGAACAAGTTAGTTTTTTTTTAAATTTGGTTAGATTATATTGGGGATTTTTTACCCTTTATCTTTGTAAGTTAGCAGGGGCACGCACTTAACTGAAACTTTAAAAGGGCATATCTAGTGCTCAAAGCTCCCCCTCTCTCTTGCGTACGAGAAAAATTTTTGATTATTGCTTTGGTTTTCCGTTGGAGTTCGAACCCACTTTTTTAACAAGTGAGCCTAACGCTCTACCAGTTACGCTACGGATGAAAAATGCCCTAAATTTTTATTCAACTAATTAATTTGCCTCATGTTTATTTTTCTTTTTAGAACTGTTCGATGACCGATGATGATGGTGGTCTCTTCAAACACAATTGGCTTGTTTTTGGCACAATCTCAGTTGCCCTTCACTCCCCCCTCTCTCTCTTTTCCCATTTTGTGGACAAAACTTGCTGTGTTGTAATCCAACAACATTCTTTATTTTTTTCATTCAGTGCTTTGTATGCTTTGCAACCAAAGAAGCTGCTGCATCTGGACTTCTTCAATCTGGTTTTGTTTCAAAACGTTAGTTTCAGTTTTCTTTAACTTTGAAATGAAATCATATTTTTAGCAGTAGAGGCGGATGTGGAGCTCTCTTCTCCAACATCATAAGCACAAGTCCTTGCGTGCGTCCTTTAGGCGTGTTGCGCGGGTTTTAGTTTTGTGGAGGAATGTTCCGGCAATGTTCGGGGGAATAACCCAGCATCTGTGCGAAAGAACTGTGACAATGTACGGATGTTCCGTCAGATGTTGGGGGAATGTTCTAGCATTTGCTTCGGCATTTGTAGGAGTTCTTCTGGCATTTGTTTGGAGTCTGGCTTTGTTGCAGTTCTAACGGCTGGTGTATGGAATTCTCCTGGCAGTGTTTGGAGTTCTTCATCTGTTTATGTGGGGGAATGTTCCGGCAATGTTCGGGGGAATAACCCAGCATCTGTGCGAAAGAACTGCGACAATGTAAGGATGTTCCGTCAGATGTTGGGGGAATGTTCTAGCATTTGCTTCGGCATTTGTAGGAGTTCTTCTGGCATTTGTTTGGAGTCTGGCTTTGTTGGAGTTCTAACGGCTGGTGTATGGAATTCTCCTGGCAGTGTTTGGAGTTCTTCATCTGTTTATGTGGGGGAATGTTCCGGCAATGTTCGGGGGAATAACCCAGCATCTGTGCGAAAGAACTGCGACAATGTAAGGATGTTCCGTCAGATGTTGGGGGAATGTTCTAGCATTTGCTTCGGCATTTGTAGGAGTTCTTCTGGCATTTGTTTGGAGTCTGGCTTTGTTTCAGTTCTAACGGCTGTTGTATGGAATTCTCCTGGCAGTGTTTGGAGTTCTTCCTTCTGTGTGGGGTCGCGCGGTCTGTTTGGCATTCTCATGGGACTTGTTGCTTTTATGGTACTTTGATAACTGCTCATCAGCTTTATAGTTAGTTTATAACTCTGCCTAAACAAACTCATTTAACTTATTTAGTGCCATGCCTCTAAGAATTGTCCAGCAGCAACAAACAAAGAAGAAACACAAAAAAAAAGAAGAAACTCAAAAATCAACAAAAAGAAGAACAAAAAATCAAAAAGAACAAAGAAGAAATCAGCAAAAAGAAGAAATCAGCAAAAAGAAGAACCAAAACTCAACAGAAGAAGAACAAAAAAAACAAAAAAATCAACAAAAAGAAGAACAAGAACAAAGAAGAAGCAAAAAAATCAGCAAAGCACTTTTGGACGTCCATGGAATCTTTTTAAAAATTAAAAGGTTTGTTTTTGCCCTTTTTTACACAAGCAAGTTTTGTCCACAAACAATCCCTGATTTCATCCGTGATTAATCCTCTTCCAAATTCGATTAGAAATTGTGTTTAGCAATTGTCTGGTAGAGGGAAGGGGTTTTAAACATTTTTAGAGTTTTCAGTATGGATCTTGAAAGATGACAGAACCAGTTCCATCATCTAGCAAACTTGGAAAGAAACCAAAATGGTATTTTGCGGAAGATGAGCTTGCTATGCTTCCATCAAGAATGTCAATCGATTCAGCTGCTAAACTTAAGTATAGAAGAGAGGCTGCAGAGTTCGTTCAGGTTTTTCTTTTTTGTCTGGATGAAATAAAATTTGTTTTTTTAGGAAATGGCTGAACGTTTGAATTACAACATTCCACAACACGGATGACAAATGGCAAAGTGCATCGCTTCAACAAGAAGATAATTGTTTGGTTGCATGTGCTTGCCTTGGAGATGTGCAGTTTATGAAGTTTGAAAGGTTTTTAGTTCTTTTTCGGGATTTTTGAGTTTAATAACTAGAATTAGATCCCCCAAATTCAAAATTCACATTTGTGTATAGAGAAAAAAATTTGAAGACCGTTCGTAATGACAGTTGGTTAAGTTGGTAGCGTTGCCGATTATATGAGAGTGGGCACGGGTTCAATACTCTGAGGGGTTTCCTTTTTTATTTTTCATCAAACAATTATTTTCTTTTAGATTTGAGCCCAATTGATGTCGACAACCCCTTGGACAATTTTTGCTGTTGCTATGGCCTACAAATGCTCCTGAAAACTTGGCTTGAAAGGTTATTTAAGAATTTTAAGAATTCTTTTTAAAAAATTTTTTAACATGTTCAACTGCGGATGAACAACACTCCTTGGTTGGACGTTCCTGGCCGAGACAAACGTCATTGGGCAGCTTTTGGTTGTGAATTTTTGGAAGGGAAGGAAGTCGTGATTGAGACAATGTTAGTTTATTTATTTTTAGTTGAGGGGGTTTTTGGGTGGATTTCTGAATAATTTGGGACTTTCAGATTACTGATACAATTGAGTTTATCCGTTTTTTATTTTCGTTGTCCCAACATCGTCTAAATTCCTCGGGAACATACTCGTTTTCCACAAAGAACATTTAAAACTTTGTTCTATTTATAACAGACTGATTTCTTTGGACTTTGTAGGATGCCTCTTTATACTTTAGGTAAAAGTATGGTGGATAATTTGTGTAATCCCCCCCCCCCCCCATCTACCCCTATGATCATAAATTTACTGAGATTTTGAGCTTGAAATGGGGTCCAAAATCACGCAAAATTCTTTTTTTTTCTTTCAGACTTGAACAATTCCCAGCAAAACAACATCAACAGGAAAAGCAACAACAAGATAGACATTTGATGGAGAGGTGGTGCTTCTACAACAATTCTTTTTTTCTTTTTTTTTAATTTTTTTTTGTTTTTTTTTCTTTTTTTTTTCTTTTTTATATAAAATGTTTTGGCTTTGTTTTTATTGTGTTCTATAGAAATTTAGACAAGAAATTTAGTCAGGACTCAACCGTCCTGTCTTAACTGTGATGCTCTTTAATAAGAATCTCGATTAATTGATTCCCTGTAGTTTAGAGAAATTAAAAAAATGAAATAGTGTAATTAGAGAAAAAAGTAAATATAAGTAACTATGGCCGGTTCGGTGCTCATTTTGAGAGCGGAATGGCAAAAATTAAAAATTGAGAAATTATAAAAGAGAAATAGTGTAGTTAGAGAAAAAAATAAATATTAACTGTTATGGCCAGTTCGGTGCTTATTTTGAGAGCGGAATGGCAAAAATCAAAAACCTATTTTTGTGAAAATTAAGAATTCCTTCAAATAAATTATCGATTAGTATTGATTTTATTGATCTTTGGAAATTGTAAATATTTTTAAAAATAATTATCGATCGATATCGATTTTATCGATTTTTTTGGAAAATATAAAATTTCTCTAAGTAATTTATGGATTTGTATCGATTTTATCGATTGATATCGATTTTTTGAAAATACAAATATTTAAGAACTATTCTTAAAAATAATTATCGATTAATATCGATTTTATTGATTGATATCGATTTTTTTTTTAATAAAAAATTTTTAAAAATTTCCCTCATCACACTCAACTGCCACACCCAACCGACCTATATAATTACTTCAATTTTCAGACTTCAGACTCAAGTGTCCACTTCTCAAAAGAATTAATTTTTGGGATAAACTGTCATTTATTTGGCGCAAGAGACATTACGCCAAATTTTGGCAAATTTTTAAATTAAATAAAATTTCAAATTTCACACAAAAAAATTCTTTTTTTTTTGGAAATTTTTTGTGATTACCACAAACAATTTTTTTGATGTTTATCATGACTTTGAACAGTAAAATTTTATAAACTAAAAAATTATAAAGTATTTATCGTGATTTAAAAAAACTGAAAATTTTACAAAATAACAAAATTAAAATTATCAACTGAAGTAGGCTCTAGGATTACTTAATCTTCGTAAATGTGTGGTTGTTGTTGATGTTCCTGAAGTTGATGAAGAACCTAGAAGTGAAGTATTTGAAGAATTATTGGAAGATGATGAAGTAACGAAAGAAGGCAGTATTGTTGCTAATGAACTTCTTTTACCACGAGGGAAATGCAATGAAGAGCGATATTCTGATACTGACTTAAAAAATAGAATATATTTATTTAAAATGATCATTCTGATTTATTAATTCTGATTTTTAAATTAATTCTGATTTATTATTCTGATTTTTAAATTCTGAAAATTGTGTTTCCCCCTTCAGGTACAGTAACCTTTTCGCTCTGTACTGTGGCACTGAACCGGCCGCAAACAACCGCATTTATTTATGTTCTCTAACCACTATTTTTACTATTTAATTTTGTTGTCTAACACACTATTTTTTCCTTTATTCTTTCTCTATCTTTGTAGACGTTATTTACTTTCAATCTCGTAAAACGGGTAGAGGGGACGTTTGAGTATCGTCAACGGAATAGCGTTTTATGGCCATAACTTTTTGTTACATTAATATAGGAAAAAAATTTATACATCATTCGAAAGGTCTCGTGATGGCGCATCTTTTTTATAATTAGACTAATCCGATCTAACCATCTCACAAAAAGTTATAGCTGATATACCATATTTTATGAGCGTGCTGCTGCACGGCTACAACTTAGGGAGTAATCCCTTCATTCTTCAGAAATTTTAAAATTAATTCCGATTGTTTTTGTATTTTTCTTTTAATAAAACACAACTCTCAAAATCCACCTGTAATACTCTAAATCGTTGTTTATATTTTTGTGCCCTCACATGATCATTCATTAATTGTTGAACATAAGATGATGGAAACCACCCCCCACGTTTATCTCGAATTCTTTCTCCATAATACCAACCATCCGCCAATTTTCTTAAAACGTTGACTACATCACCAGGTGAAAGTCCTAACTGGTCTTCTTCAGTAGGCACATAATTGTGTACAGCTACAGCTTGAGGGCAGTCCCATTCTTCATAAATTTTCTCGTCGGGGTTAGCGCACTGAAAAAAAATATTTTTTTTTTAATTAAATATACAGGCAAGCCTGTTTTTAGGTACCTCTAGAAGGCTAAAAAGCTTGTTTCCTTATAATACGGTTTAGCTTAAATAGAGGAAGGAAGCTCTCACCAACCAACTTTTAAAAAAATCTCAAATCGATCAGCTTTGATCGACCATAACTTTTTTTTTGTCTTGATCCAATCCAAGTATGCCTTGTATCTTTCGAAAGCCCTTGAGTAGCGCTATCTTTCTTCCAATAGGATGGATCATGTCTCATTACTCACTAAAGAGTTATAGCCCTATAACAACGAAAAACACCGAATAATTGTACTTAAAGACCTCTAACTTTTTAATGAGTGACCAGACTTGATCTACCCCATTGGGAAAATAATAGCGCTAATCAAGGGCTATCGAAAGATACAAAGTTTGTTCAGATCGGAACAGGTTTAAAAAAGTTGTGGTTGATTAAAAATTCTTAGTTGGCCTGTTTTCGATAGAGCGGGCTGCACTTAAAGACCTCTAACTTTTTAATGAGTGATTGGATTTGATCCACCCTATTAGGAAAAAGATAGCGCTAATCAAGGGCTTTTGAATAATATAAGGTTTGTTTAAATTGAATCATGTATAAAAAAGTTGTGGTCGATCAAAGCTGCCTGGTTCGAACAATAGGGTATCCAGTTTAAGGGAGTCTTTAAGCGAAATCCAACAATTTTTTAAAACTCACAGTAGGTGGCCTCATAGCAGTTAACCAACGTTCTCGATCACTTTCATTTTCAGCACTTAAGAGTAGTTCAACTTGTCTCCCTCTCGCATTTTGAAATAAAACACAAGAAAGTAAATGAGCATTTCTTCCACTTCCTAATGCTGAAGTTACCCGTGGAGGAACGCGCAAATTGTTTAATTCTAAAGGTTCAAAAACAACAAAACGACGATAAGCATAATCTTTACAAACAAATTGTCCATTTAGACGACGTTTTGTAATTAATAGGAGATCATTGAAGAGAAAAAACGCGAGGGGGCGAGCCTTAAAATAAAAAAATAATTATTTTGAGGGAGGAGGGGGCCATATTTTGGACCATAACTTTTTTGATTCTCAACCGATTTAAATGAATATTAAACCAATCGAAAGCTCTGAATGTGAGGATTCTTTTTCCCAATGGGACTTATAAGATCCAATTATTCCTTATGAAGTTATCATCTGATAAGTGCGGAGAATCGTGATTTTCGATATTTATTGGGACATAACTTATTTTAAATTTAATATTTTCTTGTGTTTTATATATCAACTAAAAGCTCTGGATGTGTGGATTATTTTATCTAACAGGAATGTTTTGATTGGATCATTCTGCTCAAAGTTAAAGCCTAATAAATATCAAAAATCACGAAAAAGCACGATTGCGCGCACTTACATATTTGGCTCTATCTTTGTGTTGGATGGTCTGATCAAATCTACCCTGTTAGACATAATAATCCTTACATCCATAGCTTTCGAATAGTATAATATTTATTCAAATCGGTTAGGGCTCAAAAAAATTATGGCCCGAAATATAGCCTCGAGACTGGCTAAAACAGCCATTAACGTGTATTTCTGATTTTAAAAATTCTGATTTTACTAAAATTCTGATTTTTAATTAATTAATTTATTGTTTACCTTCATTCCACCACTTCTAGCAGCCAAAGCCAATTTTGTTTTAGACTCTCCATTTCTTTTTTCGGCCAACTGAATTAATTGTCCACTCTTCACCACATACCTTCCACTTGTTACTAAAGCAATTCTTTTCAAATCTTTACATTTATAAATTAAACGGGATTCAATGTCCAACATCTTCTCTGTATGTTCCATTCTTCTAGCACCTTCATTACAATTATGTACTGCTTGATTTGCTAGTGTTAAAGCTCGAGTTGCTAACTTTAATAGAGAAAAATAAATAAAATTAATTCTGATTTTTGTATTTCATTTAATTTTCATAATTCTGATTTTTGTATTTTTAATTTAATTCTGGTTTCTGTGTTTTGTATATTTTTCTGATTTATAATTCTGATTTTTGTATTTCTTTCTAGTTCTGGTTTCTGTATTTTAATTTTTGTATTTTTTTTAATTCTGATTTAATTTTAATTTATAGTTTTCCGGAAAAAGTTTAACTCTCCGTAAAAAATATAACATTCCGGAAAGAATATAATTTTCCGGAAGAAGTATAATTTTAATTAACAGAAATACAGAATTAATATTTTTCCGGAAAATACAAATTCATATTTTATAAATTCTGATTCGTTCTGACTTCTGTATTTCTCTTTTTTATTTATTTTTTACCGAGTGTTGATGCTGGTCTTGATGTAACCATTGCAATATTGCATCAATTAATAACGGATAACGAGTAATTCTTTGCATTGGCAACATCAAAAATGAACGAATATCCAACCCATGACATTCCCGGTCCTTCTCTAATCGTTGAATACAAGAATTAAATAATCCATTTTCTGTTCTTAATTTTTTAAGTGTTCTGTCTTGATATTCTTGATTGGAACAGTAATTAATATAAGGTTCAAATTGTGTTTCAAAATGAGCACAGAGAATATCACATATATCGGGTAATACTAATCCTTGTTTTAAACGAGTTTCCAATTCCACGAGTAAGTGTTCGCTGCAATCACGAATTGCCAAAATATTGCTATAGAAAAAAAAAAAGAAATATTTTAATTATCAGAAAAATGAAGAATTTATATTTCTTCCGGAACAATAAACTTTTTCCGGAAAAATAAAGATTCTTTATTTTCATGAAAAAATAAACATTTTCCGGAATATAAACTTTAAAATAAATAGAATATTCACCTAAATAATTGTTTCCTTTCAGAACTCTGAAAAAAAAAAAATTAAAATTCATAAAAAATTTATTTTACCGTTATCACAGATTGTGTATTTTTGCTTCCCATTAATTCTGGTGCTGACATAAAATGTGAAATCAGGAAAGAAATCTGTAGAAAAAAATTAAAAATATTTTAAATAAAATTAAGAAACGAACAGAGCGCAAATAGGAAGCTTCTGATGTAATTACCTAAAAGAATTTTTTTTAAAAATTAAAAATAATTTTTCTAACTTCAAAGTATGCTTCTTGTAGCTTTCTTTGATCCTCGTTCAGTTGTTCTAGAATACCAGATTCCTTCACTTCTAAAAAAATTCTGATTATATATTTTATAGTTATATTTTAAGAATAAATATACATATTTAATTTTTCCGGAAGAAATATAATTCTTCCGGAAAATTATGTTTAATTATTCCGGAAAAAGTTAACCTTCCGGAAGAAATATAATTACCAGAAATAGAAAACTTAGATTTTCCGGAAAATTATAAATTTATATTCTTCCGGAAATAAAAAAGATTTTCCGGAAAATACAACTTTATATTTTATAAATTCTGATTCCGGAAGGTTTTATATTACATTTCCGGAAATATAAATTCTGATTTTTCCGAAAACAACTAATTTATTTTTTCCCGGAAATATAAAATTCTGATTTTTCTATAAACATCTGTTTACCTGGCAATTCACACCATAGTGAGCGCTGTGAAGCAAAAATACTCTGACCAAGAAGGCGTTCACGTTTTAAAGGTCGAATAATAAGTGAATCAGCTAAAATTAATTTAATTTTTGTAAAAAAATTAAATTTTTAGAGATGTGCGAGACTCTTGGTCTTGGTCTTGGAACCAAGACTTTTCTTGGTTTTTTTTCGGTCTTGGTCTTGGTCTTGGGGTGTTTGTCTTGGTCTTGTCTTGGTTTTATTTTTTGGTCTTGATTTTTTGGCCTCTTTGGATCTACTGATTGGCCTTCCAAAATCCTCAAAATTTTCGCCTGCGGCGCTGAAAAAGTGAATTTTTTTGGCCTACCGCCTTCTAAAATTCATAAAATTTTCGCCTGCGGCGCAGGAAAAGGAAGATTTTTGGCTTCTTGGCCTTAATAATTCCCAAAATTTTCGCCTGCGGCGCTAGAAAAGGAAGAATTCTGGCTTCTTAACCTTCCAACATTTTCGAAATTTTCGCCTGCTAATATCCCCCTTAACTAAATAATCCACCCAAATCCTCTTAAATAATATATCTCATTGATTTTCCACCCGGATAAATTCACCAAAATTCTTTGAATTTCGGATAAATTCTTTGAATTTCGCATAGATTTTTCGAAATTATAGGTGATTGTGCTGAAGTTGACTGTGATCGTGTCAAAATAACAAAAAATAAACCAAAAATTTGACCTATGGCACCTAAAAATTGTCTCGAGTTTTGTATTATTTTTGGTCTTGAGTCTTGGAGTTTTGGTCTTGGTCTTGAGTCTTGATCTTGGAAAAATTTTTGTCTTGGGTCTTGTGTCTTGAGTCTTGGAAAAATTTCGGTCTCGCACATCTCTATAAATTTTTTACCCCTTCCCGAATCTGTTGTAGAAGAGGAATGTCTTCGAATAACTGCTGAGGAATTACTGGCAGAACAACTTCTACTAATACTAGTTGGATCTGAAGGGTGTTGTTGTTGTTCATCCGATTCTGGACAACCACTAAAAAAATTTTTTTAGAAGAAAAACTTTTTGCTTAATCAAAAAAGTTAACTTTCCATGTAAATCCTGATTTATCCGAAAAAATTAAATTTTTTTATTCCGAAAAATATAAATTCTGATTCTTCCAGAAATATAAATTCTGATTTTTCAGGAAATGATTTTTCGAAATTCTGATTTTTCCAAACTCACCTATCTATTTCATCCTTTTCTTCTTCACCTTCTTCACTCTTCTTTTCACCTTCTCCATCCTCTTCATCAATTTCCTCTTCCCTTTCTTCTCCTTCTTCCCTTCCTTTCCTTTTTAACAACGTTTTTTTCTTTCCAATATTTAAAATTTCTTCAATAGGTTCCAAAGAATCATTAATTCTTTGTTGTTCTTGTAATAAATAAATTTGATAAAGAGGTTGTTGATCGGGTAATTTAGAATATAATGAAGCAAATTTTGAAGAAAGTTGTTGCTCTTCAAAATCATCCTCTTTTAATTTTTTTAAATAATTATTTGTTGTTGTATGTTCGTCTAGTACAAGTTGATAATTATTTTCTTCTGTTTTTGAAGTTTTGTTGTTTTCCATAACTGAAATAAAGAATACCTAATTAATATTTTTCCGGAAAATAATTATATAATTTCCGGAATGCATAAATTCTGATTTTCCGTAGTTATATTTTTTCCGGAAACAATAATGCATTTTTCTTCAGGAAAGCAAATTTGCGGTTTCCGGAAATGTTTATTTTTATTCCGGAAAATATTTAGTATAAATTCTGATTTTTTATAGCTAAACTTTTTCCGGAATGTAAATTCTGGTTTTTTACATATAAATAGTTATATTTTTGTTCCGGAAATACAAATTCTGATTCTTTTAGAGTTATCTCCCCACACCCCTTGAGTTAGTTAAAGAAACAAAAATAATGTTTTGATAAATAAAAATAGAGGGAAAATTAAAGTTAATTATTTAAAACAACCCATAAAAATTTTTTTAATTTAACAAAATTTTTTTTATAAAATATTTTTCCTCCCTACCTTCTTGAGATTCATCCACCACCAATACTTTTTCTTCCTCTTTCATAAATGATGGTTCACCTCCGTGTTTTAATCGTTCTAATGCAAGTTGTATTTCTTCTTGTAAAGAAGGACGGTGGTGGTGAGCAGCTGGAGATGAATCTGAAAAAAGAGAGGAAAAAATGAAAGAAAAAAATGATTAAATGTTGCAATTTTTAAAGAAGGAAAAAAAAAATTTTCGGATAATTTATTAACGAATAAATTTAATTTTTAGAGTAATAGACATGCATTACACCAAAAATCATAATTTTTGAACCAATTAATTTTTTTCAAATATTTTGGTTCAATAAATAAAGGAGAAAATTTGCTACAAAATAAATAACATTTTTAAATTTTAAATAAAAAACAAAAAATGTTCTGGACAAAAATCGTTAAATATTGCGTAAGATGACAATTTTTAGCTTTAAATCTGTTGTATTTTGAGGTAATTTTTTGGAGGATTTTGTAGCAAATTCATCCTCTATCAATGATATCAAAAACAATCCAAAATTTTATTTTTCTTCCGGAAACGAAAATAAAATTTTGTTATTTTTGTTTCTATCAAAAGTTATATAGAAGTTGGTGTCCTAGTGGTTTAGAATAATTAATAAAGAAAAAAATAAAAAAATAAAACAGAAAAATCATTTTAAAATCAGAATAAGAAACGAAGATGTTTGAATGAACAGAGCAAAAGAGTTTATTATAAAAATTCTGAAACACAAGTTGTAATTATTTCAGAATAACTATATTTTATATTTGCTTTATAAGTACTAGTCCTTCCCTTTAACAAAATACAAAAATCCGTAAAATTGTTGTTAGATAGCCTTTACTGCTTTTAGAGGGTGTTTTGTTTTAGTTTGAATATTTATTTATGATTCATTTTGGCCTTTCGCGCCTTCCTTATATTTTATTTCAAAATAAATAAAAGCATTGCCAATCCAATCCTTCCCTTTAACAAAATACAAAAATAGTACAATTTTTAAAAAGCTGTGTCTCATCGAAAAACATTTTCCGATTTTTTTTTCTCGCTTTAGCAAATAACAACAAAAATTTTAGTAAAAACCTTTCTAGAAATTATATAAAACAAAAAGAAAATTTTGTTAAATATTAGAAAAAAGTAAAAAAAAATAATTTTTTAAGAAAGGTGATAGTTAGAAAAAAAATTAAAAGAGATAAAAAAAAGGTGAGAATATTTTAGAAAAAATAGGAAGTAGACAGAAGATTAGAAAAAAAATTTTTAAACCCTAAAGCTGATTTTTGATTTAAAAGAAAATTGTGGGAAAACGCAAGTTTAGAAGACAGTTTTAAAGTAATTCTGAAAATAAATAATTCTGAAAATGAGAAATTCTGAAAATGAAATTCTGAAAAGGAATTCTGAAAATAAAAGAATTCTGAAATAATTCAGAAATAATTCTGGAAATGAAAGATTCTGAAATAACTCAGAAATATAATTCTGAAAATAAGAAAATTCTGAAATAATTCAGAAATAATTCCGGAAAATAAAAATTCTGAAAATAAACATTAAAAACAGAAACAAAAATTAAAAACAAGTTTTAAACAAATCAGAATTTTTTAAATTAGAAGCATATTTTTAAATATTAAGAAGCAAGCAAGAAATGAAACTAGCTTCTAACAAATCTCGTTTTTCAAAAAAATTAGAATTTAAAATTTTTAACTTAAAAAATCAACCAAAAATAAATTTTTTTCTAATGTCTAAAATAAATTTTTAAAAAAAATTTCCCCTACCTTCAAACGAAAATGTTGTTGCTTCAGCCATATATTCTTCTTCGTCTTCCTCTATTTGTTCCTTTTCCAAATTTGAGGTATTAGTATCTGTGCTGCTTGACCAATCATCATCAAAATAGTCATTTTCTTCTAAAAATTGTTCTTCCTCTTCCTCCTCATTTTCCTGCTGTGAAATATTGTTTTTGTTGTTGTTATTTTTGTTGTTTCCTTCTTCTTCTTCATTTTCATCCAAATAAAAAGTTGAATTTCTTTTAAATTGCTTTTGTTTTTTGTTGCTATTAGATTGATTAGAGAAGGTTTGGTGTCTATCCAGTGTCATTGTACTAGAAATTTTTAAAGTTAGAAGCAAGTTTTAATTAAATGTTTAGAAGCAAGTTTAATTAAAGAAGCAAGTTTAGAAGCAAGTTTTAATTAAATTCTGAAAGAAGTTTTAATTCAATTCTGAAATGTTTTAATTTAATTCTGATAGTGTTTTGAATTAATTCTGAAAATGGTTGGTATAAATTCTGAGATGTTCTAATTAAATTCTGACATGTTTTAATTAAATTTTGATAATGTATATTTAAATCTTTAAATAAATTCCGAAAAAAATGTTTAAATTCTGAAAAAGGTTGTATATTCCAGTTTTAATAAAAATAAATATAATTCTGAAAAAAATTCTAAAGCAAGTTTTTTTATTCACATTTAAATTACCTAAAATCACTTCTCTTATTCCCCAAGTTTTTAAAAGAAGGCGAAGGAGAAGAGGAAGCAGAAGAAAGGTAAGACATTCTTGAACGGATTTTACACATCTTAAAAAATTTTTAAAAATATTTTTTCATTATTTATTTACCCCTTTTGCCAAATTTTGTTTTATTCCAACACCAAACCGTCCAAAATCCTGAGCTCTAGACATTCTTTGATTATTAGCACAAGAGGGAAGGACATGTATGGAGTTAGTTAATGCTGTGGATACATTTTCACATTTATAATCGGTAGTTGATGAGCGTGGGATGTGGGAGAAACGAGAAGATTTTGAATTTTTTAACTAAAAAAATAAAGAGGTTAGAGAATAAATAAATTTGCCGACCCCTCCAAATTTTTAAATATAAAAATCTTAAAAATTTTTCTAGGATATTCTAAAATTCTAATTAAATAGAGGCTAAAATTGGCTACAAAAAATAACTAAAACTAAAATTTTTTGAAGAAAGTAAAGGAAAAATATGGTCAAAAAACACTCAAAAATAAGACATTTCTGTTAGGTTTTCGTTCATAACTTTTTTGTATAATTAAATAAAATTTTTGCTTTTTGCTCTATTTTGCAGCTAATTTAAAGCTCTATCAATTGATATAAAAATAATTTCGAAAAGTTAATTAGTTCTAAAGTTAATGAAGTTGAAGCAAAGGTACGTTAGCAAACTCACTTTCCCTCTTTAAAAATTTTTTTAAAAATTCACCGTTAAATCCGAAGCATTATTCTCAATGTCATTATAATTTTCATCATCTTCATTTTGTTTTTTAACAATTTTGCCTTCATTAAAAAGCTCAAATTGAGTAGTTCTTCGCCTTTCATTGCTTCTTCTTCTCAAATTTTTATTTATTTCCAAAGATATTTTTTGTTGTAATTTTTGTGGTTTATTTGTAGATTGTTCATTATTTGCTTCAATTTCAGTATAAATTTCAGAATTATTGTTGTTTATTTGTAGTTGTTGCTGTTGGTAAACAAATTGTTTTGGTGGTGGAGGTGGTGGGTTGTCTGGCAATCTAAAAATAAGAAGAAGCAAGTTTTATAATTAATTCTGAAACAAGTTTTAATAAAAAAATTCTGAAATTAATTCTGATTTTAAAAACAAGTTTTGATTAAGTTTGAAATTCTGAAAAAGTTGTAATTATAATTCTGAAACAATTAATTCTGAAATTTAATAAATTTAATAAGTTTTAATAAAAAATTCTGAAAATGTTTTAATTTAATTCTAATTCTGAAATAAGTTTTAATAAAAAATTCTGGTTTTAATTAAAAATAGAAAGTTTAATTATTTTCTGAAATTTAAATAAATCAGAAGTTTGTATAATTCTGAAACTAATTTTAATAAATAATTCTGATTTATACCTCGGCCTTTGTTCAATTAATTCTGATTTAATTGCTTTAGGAGGTGGAGGCGGCGGTCTAGCAGAAGGTTTAATTATAGTTGTTGTTGATGTTGAAGGTAAAGTTGTAGGTTTAAAAGGTTCTGATTTTGGTAGTCTAACAGAATTTGCTCGTTTGAATAATTCTGATTTAATATTACTAATATTATTTTCTTCTTTTATTTTTTCTTCTAAAGTTGCTTGTTGTTGCTGTTGTTGTTGTTGTTTATTTTCCAACCTTTCTCTTGGCTTAAATTTTTTTTTTAATTTTTTAAAATTTATTTATTTATTTCTCACCGGTTTAGGTGGAACTTTAGGCTTTGGTGGCACTTTTGGTGGTGGCCGTTGTTGTTGTTGTTGTTGAGAGGTCAATATATCCAATTGTTCAGGCATTGTTGTATTTTGTCAATTTTGAAAGACTTGGATTTTAACTAAAATTTAAAAATTGAGTTAAAGGTAAACTATCTAGCTCAATTTCCAAGTGGACAGAAAAAAATTACAGAAAAAAATATAGTTTTCTTCTCGTTTTGACGCGTTTACTGATCTACTTACTCTCTATATAAAACCACTTAAAATTACTTAAAAAAATATTTATTTATTTACAAAATAAAAAAAATAAACAAAAAAAATAAATAAAGTTTTTTTGTTTATTTTCGCGCAAAACAATAGAGAGAGAAAAAAAGAAAGGAAAGAATAAGGGATATAAAATATTACAAACAAAAAAAGATGAGACAATAAAAGAATTAAGGGATTTATTTCGGATTTTTAAATAAAACCAGAAAATTAAAGTTTTAATAAAATCAGAAACAATTTTAATAAAATACTTAAAATTCTGATTTTAAAAATTCTGATTTTGAAAATTCTGAAAATAAACTTTTTCCGGAAATTAAATAAAAATTAATTATAACTTTCCGAAGAAATAAGTCAGAAAAATAGGTAAATTTAATTAAATCAGAATTTTTATAAAATCAGAACAAGCTTAATATAATGAATTCTTTCCGGAAATTAATTTAATAATTCTGATTCTAAAAAATTCTGAAAATAAACTTTTTCCGGAAATATAAATAAAAATTAATTATAACTTTACGGAAAAATAAAAACCAGAATACAAATAAAATTGAAATAAAAAATTCTGATTTAAATTTTTTTCAGAATTTTTTTATAAAATCAGAAACAAGTTCAATTAAAATTCTGAAATCTTAATTAATCAGAAAAAAGTTTTTAAATAATTCTGAAAAGTTTAAAATAAAAGGTTGAAACTTTTTTAAAAATGTTTCTGAAGAAAATGAATAAACATTTTTAATCCGCAATTTTTAATCAAGTTTATTATGGTTGTTATAAAGTTTGCGAGAATTAAAAAAAATAAGAGGGGGAAGAATATAAAATAAATGACCTTGGCCGTTTATTTTTCTGCTGTTCCCGTGTTCACACAAAAATAAATTTTATTTTTTTAGTTATTTATTTAAAATATTACTAAATTAGGGTAAAACTCTTCAATCTTAATTTATTATATTTTTAAAAATGAAAAAAAAAATAAATAAAATATATTTTTGGAAATTGAGAAGATAATTATTTTATTTTTTAAAATTTTTAAAAATTATTTAGAAAAAATAAAAAAATAAAAAAGTGGCCCCAACAGATCCCTAATTTCCCCAAAAAATATTTAAAAAAATAAAAGAAAAAGTGAAAGCCCCCTCAGGGCATTTCTTCATTAATTTCCCTAACTATCACTAAAATTCAACAAAAAAAATTTTTTAATAAAGTAAAGAATTTAAGTATAGAGGGGGATGGATGAGTGCTTTTGTTGTTGTGCTACTACAAGTTGCGCGAATTGTGTGTTTATTTATTTTGGAGTGAACGAATTATTGAAGGGGAAAATAGGAGGAAACGTTTAATAAAAATAATAATTTTCAGGCTTAACAAAAAAATTTTTTATTTTTTTCTAGTAAATAATACTATTAAAATTATGTGCTATAAAGTAAAAAGAAAATCAAAAATTCAAAAATCAAAATTCAAAAAAGTACCAAAATGGTCAAGAACGTAATATACCCCTGTACTTGCTAAAGGTGATAAACACTTAAATCAGGATATTTCTCCGGTATTTTTCACTTGCCAAGATGTTCAAGAAAAAATTAAAAAATTGACCAGAATGTCTTAAAAGTCTTAATTAAAGCCCGAAATTTTAATATAAAATAAGATGGACAGATATCCCAAAAATCAAAAATAAAGGCTTTTAAACAAATAATTTAAGAATATTAATAAAGAATTAAATTGCATAATGACTAAACAATAGAGAAAATTAAATACTGAACAGTTTAAAAATATTAAGTAGAAGAAAATGGAGGAAGAATGGGGGTGGTTGGTAGGGAGAGCTCATTTATTGTCTCCAAAAAACATTTTTCACAGATTACTAATATTTTTATTTTTGCACAGATAGAATTTCAAAGTGTTATTTATTTTAAATAAACTAGCTAGAGCTATCTCCTATTCAGTAATAAACTTTCTTTTTTCATTCTTCAAAAAAAATTGATTTTAAATAGAAAAAAATAAATAAAATATGCTGCAACGATGAGTAACCCTCAAATTTTCGTTTATAACTGGGGACATACTGAACCAAAAAAGTTAAAATTTTGTATTTTATTACTTAACACTTTAGAGATTGTATCTACAAAATTATAGAATTTTAGCTCTTAATTGGGATTTGTAATAAAAAATTTAAAAGTGCATAAAGCAGTGTAGGGGAGAGGACGGGTTGACCTAATATTAATTATCACAACTTGGAGTATACTAAACCTAAAATTCTGAAACTTTGTAATAAAATAGAAGACATATAAAGCTTTAAAATAAACAATAGAAAATAATTTTGAAATCCGAAAATAAATTTTTAAAAAATTAAAAATATATTTTTTAAGAAAGGAGAGAAGACAACTAATGGAAAAGACCCCTTAAAAGTCAATTAAAAATTCTACCAAAATTTTAAAAATAAAAATAAAAATTTGAGGTTTATTTCAATAGATAGAGCTTGAAATTTGCTACAAAATTAATAAAAACTAATTTCTGTAACTTAAAGTTAGACGACAAAAAAAAATTTTTTGAAGAAGCTTAATCAAGTCCTTAAAGTGATTTTTTCTTCCAACACTCCCATTTATTTGACAAATTTTTTTTCAGTTTTCTAATTAAGATTTATAACAAATTAATCTAAAGATCGATGGATTTTACTCTACAAAGAATAAAAAAAATGAGAGAAAAGTGGCCAATGGCACATGGCTATTTTTATAAGAGTGCGGGTAGAGTAGGCACTAACTAACCCTTTGCTTCTCCCCCTTATTGCTTTGGCTACTTTGAAATAGTGCAGAAACTGGACGTTGGAAAGGGTGACTATTTGAGGAATGTTTTCGAGGAAAAAAAAGTTTTTTTTAGCTAAGGGTTAAAAATTGAGATTAATTGAGATTAACAAGAGGAGAAGGAAAAGGAGGTAATGTGATAATAAAAAATCCTATGAAAAAAAATAATAGAGAATGGAGCTTCAAGAAGAATTTTCCTTAATATCCCCAAAAATAAAAACCGATTCTCCTCTTATAAATTTTTTAAATGAAATTAAATATCTCAAAATCTGTAGGGGATATAAACAAAATAATATTTAATAATTCCTCAGTCAATAAAAAATACTCTAATTTCAACTAACTATTCACACACAAACACTAATTGAAGCTAGAAAAAGCAGCCGGCGGAAATGATGGACACAAGGCACTAACTAACAATTGAAAGATTGAAAAGGGGAAATATAAGGAAATAATTGAAGGAAATGCTTTGTAAAATAAGCACCAACAAAGCTTAAAAAGGAGAGTGGACGGCCGGCATAAAAAATGGACTAAAATATAGAGCTAAAAAGCCAAGGCATTTTCATGTGGCCAAAAACGTACTAGAATCGTCTATTTGGAAAAATAGAAAAAAAAATTAATTTTGCCAAGATTAAAAATATTGAAATTTTATTTCGTCAAATTCTCCCAATATCAATTTATTTCTAAGTTAAATTCATTTTAATCGTGAATTTTGATTTAAAAAATATCCCTGGAATAAATAAACGCGCAACCACCTCACGAACAACCTAACTCTCTTTAAAAATTCACAACTTTTCGGAAAATTTATCAAATAATTCAATCTTTTACTATTTTGTAGCTCACATTCTCCTCTATCTTTTAACATATAAACCAATCCTTTAGCTCAAATTATACAAAAGTTATATTTCAAAAACATTCAAAAAACATACATCCAAAAATCGACAGCAAACTTAATTTTAAAAATTAAAAACTTTTCAGAAGCACAAAATTATTTCCCCATTTTTTATATTTTATTAACCCACATTATTCCCTATCATATGACACATAAAACATAATTTAATTTTATCAAAAAGTTATAGGCCTTAAAACAATTTTTTCTGCTTACTAAACCAATTAAAAAAATTTTTTTATTTTATTTTCCAACCTTTTTTTCTTCCCTATTAATTCAAATCCTTTTTTTCATTTATTTTTAATCTTCTCTTTTTAAATAAATATTTTTTTCCTTAAAACATTGTGCCTAAATTAGCTTTTTTTGCTATAAAAGCTCCCTCGAGATTTTTTTTAGAAATTTATTTATTTTTTTCCTTTTTTGTGCTTTGACCGTAAAGATAAAAGAGAAAGAGAGGAAAGGATAAATTGAAAGCAAGTTTTAAAAATAAATAAAAAAAATATAGCAAAAGACAATATTGCCTAAATTGAGTTAAGGATTTTATTTGAAGCTTTAAAAGCAAAACTTTTGTTTATTTAAAAACAGAATATAATAAAAACAAAAAAAGAAGATAGTAATTTTAGATGTTGCTGCAACATTAAGAAGACTCTTAAATATTAATTCTGATTTTTGTGTTTTGTAAAAATAATATTCTGAAAAAAAATAACTCTGAAAAAAATTCTGGAAAAGAAATTCTGAAAATAATTCTGGAAATAAGAAAATCTAAAAAAAAATCTGAAAATAATTCGAAAAAAATAATTCTGAAAATAAAAAATTCTGAAAACCAATTCTGAAAATAATTCTGATAAATTAAAAAATTTAAAAACACATTACGATCTAATAAAATTCTGATTTCGTTTTTTGTATTTTTGCTTAATGTATTTATTTAATTCTGATTTTTAAATTCTGATTTTAAATTATTGTTCTGATCTATCTAGTTTTAAAAATTCTGATATTTTTTAAAAATAAATTATTCATTTATTCTGATTTTTATATATTTAATTATGTATATTCTGTTTTTATTTATAAAAAATTTAACAACCTATGATATTTATAGGTTCACACGCAAACATTAACGCACCCAACCGTTAATTTAATAAAAAATTATTTTTGCCATTCTTACAATTTTTTCAAATAAATTTATTTTTAAACTAAAAATATAAATCCAAACCCTTTTTTGCTTTTACAAAAAAATTTTTTTTATTCTTTTCTAAATTTCAATTTTTCTGATGATTGAATTTCGCGCGTCCGGATGTTTATTTCCCCTTGTTTGATATTGAAAAAATTAAAAAAATACTCAACTAAAAATTTTTGCTTTTTCTAAAAAAGAGAGGGTTGTCACGCACTAAAAAAGCGTTCTCCTTTCCTTTTTATTTTTTCAAAAAAAGATTTTTTTTCTATTTTCCCTCCAACATCCTTTGTCTTCTTCCTGTCGTCCAAATTTTTATGGCTTTGTTATTTTATTTGGGTTTTAAAGTTAATTTTAAAAAATAAAATTTTATTATCTCTCAAAAGCTCTTTTGTTTTATTTGCCTCCTAATTAGTAGAAGAAAGAATTTTGGTTTTTGAAATAAATTTATTGAGAATAATAATTTGATTTTTAAAAAATAAATAAAATTAAAAAGAAAATTTAATTTTCCAACAAAAGAGTAAAAGAATAAGTTACTAAAATAAAACACTAAAAATAAATTAAATTACCTATTAAGTATTAAAAATTAAACAACTCTCGCTTGTTGCTAACGCAAATTCGCTCCCTCGTAAAAATGTCAAATTAAAACCTTTAATTATGAAATTTTAAACAGATCTACCTTACATCTTTAACTAGCTCTTCTAAAAATTTCAGAATTTTTGGTTGGGTAATTCAAAAGTTATGATAGAAAAACTCGCATAAATTAGAAAATTTTTGTTATTTTAAACAGTACCATTGATATTCATAACTAAAAATTATGAAATTTTCAGACTTGTTAAACAAAACCATCAACAATAAACTCACAAAATTTCATCTCTCTAAGTTTTCTTTTAACTATTTTATAAACACTCGCGCAACCCCTAACGGCCTTCATTAACTCAAAGCAATTATTCATCCATAACTTGTAAAATACAAAACTAAAAATTCTGAAATTTTCAGACATGTCAAATAACACCATCAGCAATATATTCACAAAATTTCACCTCCCTATGTTCTCGTTTAATTATTTTACAAACACTAATAAGCCCCTTCCGTCCTCCATGCTTCTCTCTCTTCTAATTTCAGAGTAGCATCTCCCCCATAATTTAAATTTAAAAACTTTTTTTACTCACGTTTTTATTTTTCATTTTACTTTAAAAACATTTTTTTATTCAGTCTAAAAACCAAGGCAACATTGAAAAAAAATAATTGAAAAAAAATAAAAAGAATTTCCCATAATTTTAAATTTTAAGTGACATAATTGTTTGCTTTTTTCCTCTATAAACATTTTCCTTTTACCTTGTCCATTTCTGAAGTGTTTTTAGTTGGACTTTAAAAAAATGTGTGAAAAAAATTCTTTTTTAAAATTTACATTTTGTCATCACTTTTAATATTTTTAATATATTTTCGTATTAAAAAAGGAAAAACACTATTTATAACCATAAAATGTATTTTCCCTTGAAAAACAGAATTTTACGGCCAAATACGTATTTTATTAAAAGTAAATGTTATAATATAAAAATCAGAATTTAGTATTTGTAATTATTATTTCAGAATTTAATTTATTCATAATTCTCTTTAAGCTAAAAAATCAGAAAAACATAACAGAATTGTAAAAAGAATTGTTTAAAATCAGAATTTGAAAAAACTGAATTTTATTCGAACAAAACACTAAAAGAAAATCAGAACCTTTTCCAAACAAAACAAAACCTTTCCTGAAATAAAATCAGAACTTAATTAAAACAAAACTTCTCCACAACTAATTTCTTCATATTACCAAAACTAAAAACTATCTTACATTTTCTCCTATCAATTCCCCTCCTTCTAAATTAATCTTCTTCCACCTTTTCCAAAAAAATACTTTTCATTAATTCATATTTTTATCTTCTTCCACCTGGAACATTTTATAAATCCATTAAAACTAAAATTTTCCCCGTCAATTTATGAATTATACACCAGAATTTATATAAAGTGCCATCGTTAATATTCCATTTTTTAAACAATTTTTCTTCTTTTTTTTTCGTCATTTTCTCGATTTTATGGTTCCATGGATATTTATTAAAAGGAAATTTATTCAATAAGTTTTTTAATGTATTCAAACCCATTAAGGAAAATAAAAGGAAGGAACGTCTGGAGATGGAGGACGTTAAGGCGCAGATTTATAAAATGTTCAAAAGAAAAGATATAGCTATAAAATCTTGTATGGTTATCCTTAATGATATTAACTAACATTTCTAAAAATTTCAGAATTTTTAGTTTTGAATTTAAAAAGTTATAGTCGAAAATGTTCAAAAAATTAAGCAAAATAAGCGTTTTAATCTACATTTTCAACCAGAATTTCTGAAATACAAAACCAAAAATTCTGAAATTTTCAGAATTGTTAGGCAACATTATTGAGGACATTTATTCAAAATTTTTATTACTCCAAGTATTTATCCGACAATTTTATAAAGCTGCGCGCACACACGACTTGTTGCGCCAGGGCATCTCTTTCCAAATGCTTTATGAAGGAGGAATAAAAATTTTAAAAAAAAAGAAAATATTTTATTGAAGACCATTTTAGATTCTAGACATATGTAATATTTATAAATGAATAGATTAATAAATTAGTGAACTAGGATGACCTTAAAAGGTGGAATATATAAATCCTCTTCCTTTTAGTCCATGCTTTATGCAGAAAAAAAATTTCTTCAAAAAATTTTCTTAAAAATTTTTTCAGATTTTTCCTTCCAAAAACCAAGCTAGTTAAAAATAACCCTCTTAATATTTTTAGTTAAAAACCTCCTCTTAAAAATCCCCTTAATAAAAATAATGGCAAAAGATAGATAAGAAACACAACAAAAAATATTCATTTGCACACAACAAACCTTTCCCTCCTCACCTCTAATTTAAAGCAAAAAAAGCCTTAAGATATATATAAGCTCGTTAGCGCCCTCTACACAAAAATACAAACAAAACAAACAAAAAAATGTCTAAAAAGCGGCAGAATATAATTTTTACACATATTTTTCTTCTTCTATTATCTTATACCCCTTTAAATATTTTTTTAATATTTTTTACCCTTTATCCTTTTTTTATTAAAACAAATTTTAATTAAAAATATTCTTTCATCTTTCATCTTATTGGAATGCGTATTTTATCTTTTATTTAAAATCAGAATTCTAAATAACAGAGGAAAATAACACACAAACATTTTTAAACTTAGACTTAATAATCATAATTATTATTTTTTGATTTAAAATTGCCGTGGTTTAATATATCAGAATTTTATTTTTATTAAAACCAGAATTTGTATTCTTGAGAAAATAAAAGAAAACAAAAAGTCAGAATTAAATATTGATAATTATTTCAGAATTAATTTTCAGAATTAACTATTTCAGAATTAATTTTCAGAATTATTTCAGAATTAATTATTTCAGAATTTTTTTCAGAATTAAATATTCAGAATTAAGATTTCAGAATTAAATATTAAAAAAAGTATTTTATAAATAAAAATCAGAATTAAATATTTCAGAATTAATTATTTCAGAATTAATTTCAGAATTTTTCAAGAGAAAAATATTAAGAGAAAAAATAATAATTATTAAAATGCCTGCTAGCTCAACAATGGCTGCAATAAAGAACGGAGGACCTTTTTCAAATTTTCGGCGAACACAATCTTTACGATTTCCACGTGCTACTACTACAGGTTCACCTCTTGGAAACAATCACCACCATCCAGCCATTTCTTCTCCCTCTTCTTGTGGGGTACAATCAGCCAATGGTGGAAGTGGAAGTTTATCACGTAAAGGATCTCGCAATTTTAGAAGCAAGTCTTCTCGTCATAGACATGGTAAAAAATCCAAAAAAATTTTTTTTTAATTTTCTATACAATTTGAAGGATCAACAGAAGCCCTCTCTTTATTAGGCAGAATGTCCAACAGTCAGAAAATTGCATTGTGTACAACATGGCGACAAATGCGCCAACAACAAGGACAATTATTCTCTTTAATGAGAAAAATATTTATGGAGTTGGCACAGACAGAGCCTGCAGTTAAAGAAGTAGGGAAGGATTGGGAAAATATATTTAGAACAGAAAAATATGTGTAGGAGTAAAGAATATTTGATATAAATCAGAATATATAAAAATAGAATGATCAGAATATGTATTTTAGAGAAAATACAAAAATCAGAATTATCAGAATTTGTAACTTAAGTATTATTAAAAAGAAGAGTTGTATCTTTCAGAATTAATTCAGAATTTAAAAATCAGAATTTAGTATAATTCTGAATTTAACAATATCAGAATTTATTTAAGAAAAAGTAGAACAACTGCTTTGTTAATTAAAAAATTCTAAATTGTTTTTCAGAAAAAAATTAATTTTTAAAGATTTTCTGCAAAGCAGATTATGTTGATTGTTGGGAAAAGGCTTCAGGTGGAGGACCTAACCCCGCATCAATGGAAGAACATATTCGGATGCTTATAAAGTTTATTGATGATTTGGTTCAGTTTGTAGAAGGGGATTCAGAAACTCAACAAATAATTAATTCGAGTAGCAAATGTATTGGACAACAACACGCGGTAAATTGAGGAAAAAATCTTTCAAAAAATAACCGCTTTTCTTCTAGTTTCTTTCTCGAACATCTCAACTATCAGCCAATGTATGGGACAAACTTGGGGAGATAGTTATGGAAAAAGTCTGCTCAGTAGAATGTGTTCAGGTACGAGGAGGGGATTATTAGAGGGATGATCTAAGAAGAAAAAATCCCAATAAAAAATTTTTTTTCTTCCTTAGAAAACACGTGAAGCTGGAAGAGCATGGCGTACATTAATAGCTTTTTGGACTGATGAAGTAAATTAATTTCCCTAGAAACCTTTAAATTAAAAATTTTTTTAAAGATACGCTGTGGATTTGAAGGGGAAGTCAAAGCTTTTTCAAGGCAAGACTTTTTCTCGAAAAAAATTTAAAAATCCTCTCTTATAGACGCCCATCAACAGAAGCAGCACAAACCCCAGTAGACTGTCAATGTGAAGAATTAGCACAAAAATTACAACGATTGAGAGCTACGGAAGAATATTTAGATGAATTAGTGTATGGAAGAGAATAGATACAGAAAAAACGAAAAATGAAAAAAATATTTTTAAAGAATTTATATAAAATATTTTAAAGGTAGAGAGAGAGTAAAAAATTGAAAAAATTCCCCAATAATGGAGGAAAAATCCCACCAAGAAATTCCCTCAATATTCCCCAAAAATAGAGGAAAATTCACCCAAAAAGTAAAAGAAAATTACTCAAATATTCCCTGAAAATTAAGAAAAATCACCTCTCCCCTCCCAAAAAAATTTTTAAAAAATTTAAAAAAAATTTCAAGTAGAAAAAACAACTACGCTATTTTTGTCCCTTTTTCATGATAGTCCAATGATTCAGCTCCATTTTCCCTATCCCCTACAAAAATTTTTCTAAAATAAACTTCATTTTTAACCACAAAAATACTCCATTCATCAAAACAAAAACTCAAACCTCAATCAAAAAAAAATATTTTCAAACAAAAAAGTGTTTCTTATAATATATCAATTCATCAATCGACTCCTTAATATCATCCATCGCCAAATGATTTAATTTCTTTGGAGGCATATTAACCAATTTTTCCGAATCACTATACCAACGCTTAACAAGTTCTTTAACTGTAGAAACATCAATTATACGATAATGTAAATGTTCAACAAATTTGGGCATATAACGCTTAATAAATTGAAGGTCATAATGAACACTATTTCCAGCTAATTGACACGTTTTTGGTGGAGTATGAACAAGTAAGAATTCCATAAGCTTAAGAAAAAGGGAATTTTTTGTCTTATATTATTTTGGAAATATTGAGGAAATTAAAAATAAATTTTTAAAAACTTTCTGGATCTCATATGGAAAAAAATAAAACAGCTAACCTAAACAACTATTAAATATCACCAAAAACACCCAGCTCTACCTACAAAAAATCTTTTTCCCGAAATAAAAAAATTCAGTCATTGTCCCTTATTTTTCCCCGTCATCTTTTCCCCCATCCCTTAATCTGCCTTAACCCACACCCCTACACAAAAATTATTACCAAAATTTAAAAAAAATTCCATCATTTTCCTATCATCTTTTCCCCCGTCCTCCTTCCTCTAATTTCTTAAATAACTATCAATTTATAATTTTTAATTCTTAAATTTAATTTTCACCTTATTCTCAACTTCACTTTCTTCAATCCCTTCATTTTCCACACGTTTTAAAAGCCCATTTTTTTCATGCATTTGCCTAACAAAATCATTCATTCCCTCCAAAATATTTGTTGGTTGTTTAATTGCGAAAGGACCAAATTCTGCCACTATCTTTATTTTTTTAATAAATTAGATTTAAGAAAAATTAATTAATCATTTTAAATAATTTTTAAAAACGCTCCGCCTATTTCAATGTTACTTTACCCTCTTTCATTTATTAAAATTTTTGCGAAACTTTTCTTACAAGAATTAAAAATGTCAGAAATTATTTTTATTGCTATGCTTATTCTGGTTTGTTATTTAAAAATGAATTTGAATTTAAAATAACGATACTAATGATTAAAAAAGTCTTTTATATATGCTCAAAAACAAACAACAACAAAACCCCCACACCTAATAAACATTCTCGAAAAACCTCAAATAAATTCTCGACCATATAAAAATTTCAAATACATAACCAAATACACAATTAAAAAATCACAATAAACAAAAATTTTAAAATAAGAAATTACACAAGACATTATTGAAGTATTCACTATATGAAATTTAACAAATCAAGCTACTTTATTCTGATAATTTAATACCCCACTATTTTACCTGTCAGATTTCAAGAATAAAAATTAACAAAATCAGAATTTTAAAAATCAGAAATTTCAAAAAATCAGAATTTTAAAATCAGAAATTTCAAAAAATCAGAATTTTAAAAATCAGAAATTTCAAAAAATCAGAATTTTAAAATCAGAAATTTCAAAAAATCAGAATTTTAAAAATCAGAAATTTCAAAAAATCAGAATTTTAAAATCAGAAATTTCAAAAAATCAGAATTTTAAAAATCAGAAATTTCAAAAAATCAGAATTTTAAAATCAGAAATTTCAAACCCTCAGAATTTAAAAAATCAGAATTTAAACATAAAATTTTTTCCCTCTAGTTATTTATCAATAACGTAAAGTCAACAGAACAACAACAACAACAAAACCAATCCTCACCATTAACAGAACAATTTAACAAAATATTTCAAAAAATAGATGAAAACAATGATGGTTATATATCCTTAGAAGAAGCTATAAAATATTGGAAAGAATTGGCAAAAGAAATGGACCTAAAAGAATTGAGAGAAAAATTGGAAAAAGCAAATGCAAAAACAATAGAAGAAGCAGTAGAGAAAGGGTTTAATAAAAAAGTTGATAAAAATGGTGATGGAAAAATTAGTAAAGAAGAATTTTTTGAATATATGAAGGAATAATTAATTGATAGAAAATTCTGATTAGTATAGAAATTAATTTGTTTAAAAAATATTTTAAATTTTCAATTATTAAATTACAAATAAAAATTGTTAATTGAAAAAATAAAAGAAAAAATTTAAAAAATAGTAATTCCTTAAAAATTGTTAACAAGAAAAAGGAAAAGCTTAAGAGAAATTTAACTCAAAAAGCAATTTAAAGCTAATTGTAAGTCTTAAACTACGCGCTGACTTCACAAAAGATTTATTGGGTTAAAATTTTCCCAAATAGTTGAACCCCATTTTTAGATACCTCCCTTTAATTTGAAAAATAGTTCCTCATAAAAGTATATTAAATAGGAGGTATCCTGCCAAATAAATTTTGAAAGAATGTACTTTTGAGCAACACACCCAATGAAGGTCTACATATTAAATAGAGAGGGTATCGCCTGGCCAGCTTTCCACCCCAACGGCCTACAAAATTTCGAAAGAATTCTCTTAAATTGAGTACCCCACCCAATGGAGGTGTCCAAAAATGAGGTTCAACTCAAACACAAAATTTAAAAAAAAACTCCCCCACCTTCAAATCACCTTCAGTAACAACACAAGCAATTTCCACCAATCTGTCTTTAACTGGATCCAACCCAGTCATTTCACAATCAATCCAAATAAGACGTTGTTCATTTAATGATGGATTAATAATTTTGTTGTTGTCTGTTGTTGCCATTCTTTTAAAAATTTTTGTTGAAGAAAGAAAAATATTTTTGAATAATTTGTTGACTGAAATTTTGACTGGAAATTAGCTGAAAAAATAAAAAAAATTTTTTTAATTAAAAAAAATTTTGAAAACATAAAAGTATTTAAAATAATTTATTAAATTATTTTTTAAATTGAAAATTATTGTTGGACACGACCAGTTAATTTCCACATCACAGGGGCCACACGGGGGAAAATTAACCAGCCGTTTCCAATACTATCCAAAATTTAAATAAATTTATATATTTTTATTATCAAACAGAATCAAAAAATTCAAGAAAATGTTGTCAATTGATTAGAATAATATTATTTAAATACTAGGGTAATTTTAAACATGACAAACTGGAAGTTGTAAAATTAAACAATAAAATGAATAAAAGTAAACCCCTAAAATTCTGATTTTATTTTGTATTTTAGTCAAAATTCTGATTTTTTATTCTGATTTTTGTGTTTTACAAACTTTACAACTTTAAATTCTGATTTCTAAAAGTAAAATCAGAATAATTTTTATCTAAACAAAATTATAGGAGAATTTTAGGGAAAAATTTTTTAAGGGGAGAATATCAGGCAAAAATAAGTCAAAATTCTTTAAAATTATAATTTTAAAATTAAAATATATTTTTATTTATTGTAATAATTCCCTTAAATTGGTAGCCAAAGAGTAATAGTCTGGAAAAAGTTTTGAAGTCTTTGCTTTCATCATAGGCATCAATATAGCACGGTTATCCTTTAAAATAGTGTTATTAAGTGAACAAAAAATTTTAAAAAATAGGGAGAGGAATTTGGGTTGTTTTTTAATAGTATGAAAGGAAATTTCTACATATTGCCCTTACATAAGGAAATAAGAAATTCAAAGAGATGGGGAAGGTTGAGGGGAAGATGAGAGGTGACTTTTGGAGGAGGGTTGAGGGAACTTAGGCGCTTGGTAAGTTAATGAAAGGAGGAGGATGCTGAGGAGAAGAAGAGAGAGATTGAGGAACACAAAAAAAAACCCCTAAAAAACCCCCTCTTTCAAAAACCCCCTAACTTTTTAAATTATGAAGAAACCTTTAAAAGTGAATAATTTCCTCCATGCTTCGATTCAATATGTTCTTTAGTCCTAGCAGACAATGAATACCATTTTTTATCACAACCTTCACCAGTACATTCAAAAATTGGTTGATCACAGTGGTGAGTACTTGTGTGAATAAGCATTGAATTTCGATATTTTCCAACTTTGCGTTTACAATCAATACATTCAACCATTGTCTAAAAATTTTAAAAAATTAAAATAAAATGGGAAAGTAAGAAAGGCTCGAATATTTCGGTTTGTGAGAGGATTCACAAATGTCCAGGACTAGCCTAGGTAATCAGGACTGAATGTGATGTCTTTCCGCCAATGTGATGGGACCAAATGTCTTACTACCAAAATTTTTAAGGGACCATTTTTCAACCATAAATCAAAAAAATTAAAACAGAAACATTTTGAAGAATCCGCCTTGAAAAACTCCTAAATCAAATAAATTATATACCACTTTCTCTTCCTCAATCACTCCATTCATTTCCATTTTTGGTTCAATACTTCCATCGCTATTAATTTTACGCCTAACACGCTTTTTAGACCCATTTTGTTTTGCTTAAAAAATTTATAAAATAAAATTTTAAAAAATTAAAAAAACTAAACCAATTGTAGAATTAATAAAATTGTCCTCAGAACCATTCATTGAACCAACACAAATAAGTTCATTTTGAGTCAAATGGCCAAAAAGTGGTTTTGGATCGTGTAAAAACCTTTAAATTTTTTTAAAAATAATTTTTAAAAACTATTTTGTAGCCAAAAATCTGCTCTATCATTTGATATAAAAATCAAATTTCTAGCCATATGCTAACTAAAGTTACGAGCTTTTAAATAAAAACAATTCGCTTCAAAATTAGGCCAAAAATATTGGAAACATTTTTGTAGTTTAGTCGGAAAAGTTTAGTCCCCAACACAAAAAAGGTCGATGGTTCGAACCCTATCGGTGGTAAATCATTTTTAAAAAGTCAATTTACACTTCTAACATCCAAAAATTAAAAAATAATAATTAAAAAAATTACAAACTGTTTTTGATTTTCATTTAGAACACTGCTACTATCACTAGTTGACGGTCCAAAATGATTATTTAAAATATTAGCAGGTTCAGGCTAAAAAATACAAAATTAAAAAAAATTAAAATTAAAAATAAACCGAAAAATAATCCTCAATTTTAAAATCATCCCTCAATCCTTGTCTTTGATTAACAAATAATTCAGTTTTAGTTAATTGTTCACGCAATAATTGTGTTGTACATGTTTTTAATAATTGAGAAGCAAAAGCACCATATGGAGCATTTTGTTGTTGTTGTTCTTTTAGTGTTAAATTTGTTGAATCGAGCATTAATTGATCCAACATTTCTTTTCGTTTTTCCAATTCTGGATTAACTCTATATTTTATCTAAAAATAAAAATCAATTTTAATCGGTCATAAACTCAATTAAAAATTATTATGTAGCTTCACATAAGTGGGTCACGCCCAGGAAAGTCCAAAGCCATAACTAGCTGGAAAATTTGTGGGCCTTATTAATTTTAGTATTAATCTCAAGTGGGTAGGGTTAGCCAGTGGGTAAGGGAGGAACTGGCTGAGCGATACCCTAGCAAGCCTAAACTTCCACGAATAATGGACACACTTGACGTGAACACTCTAGGTCGAACGGTGTATCCCGTATAAAAATTTAAAAAAAATGAAAAAAAAAACAAACCACAAAATCCTCAACATTATGAATATTTTTATAATGATCCCTCAATGCTCGATCAGTCGGGAATAAAGCATTTCCACAAAATTCACATTCGTAAGGTGTGTAGTAAATATGAGAAGTTGCAATGTGTGCCTCCAAAGTGTGAGCCTCACTAAATAATTCGCTGCATAATCTACAACGAATTTTCCCTTCCATTTTTTTCTTTAAATAAAGGCCTAAAAACAAAGTTAAAAAATTGTTAATAGATTAAATATAAAAGTAAAAGCTTTAAAAAAATAATAATTTAAAGAATTTAAAAAAATTTTCCAGCAAAAAATTTATTAAAAATAAAATAAAAATTTTCTAGGAAAAAAAGACTAGAAATATATTAAAAAAAAGTACTTCTGGATAGCCCCCACACAATCTTATCTGATTGTGTGTATAATTAATTCTCTTTCCTTGTTCATTTTTGGTTTTATATTTTATCAAGCAATAAAACATCTATTTCTACTTACATGACTAGGGTTGCCAAAATATAAACTCGGACCGAAAGATCGAGTCGGGCATAAGATATTTGGCCCGAAAAAGACTTGTACGGCCCGACTCGATAAAAACGAGACCCAAAAAAAATGCCTCGACCGTCGCCACGGCTCGGAAACGGCAGCCTTAACATGATACATACATATGCATCGCTCAAGGAAAACTAATAGGCATGAAGAAAAGAAACCTAAGACTCAGACTAGAGCGGAGGGCTATCCAAAAAATACCTGAAAATATACTAATAAATTCTATGCCTTAACAATTGTAATTTTTGAATTTTCTAACAAATGTTGAATTTGTGCCTTTGCCATAATACGTGCATGTTCTGGAAGGCAAAGCAGATCGGCAACAACACTAAAGGAAAAATAAAATTTCTATTTTCAAAAAAATTAAAAAAAAAACCTGTGTGCAAAAGCTCTTTCTCCATCTACCATTGATGGTTGTTGTTGAGGTAAAATTAAATGTTGCTGCTGTTGTTTTTGTAAAGTTGTTGGGTCATTTGGACGTTCACTAACATTGATTGAATTGTTTGTATCAAGTTGAGAAAAATTGTTGTTATTTAAAGGTATTGATTGTTGTTGTTGAAGTGGTATCATTAATTGTTGATTTGAATTATTTTGAACTGATGAGGAGGTTACTAAACCTATTGAATCATTTAATAGTGATGCTGGACGAATTCTTGATAAATTCTGCAAATAAGTTTTTTATGTAAAAAGTTACGAAAAAAAATATGAGGACCAAGGTTAACGAAAACGGGGAAATCGGATCCGGATAATCGGGGAAATCCCTGGATATCATGACTGAAAATTTAGGATACACAGAATCGCCGACCCTAAAAAAAGGACTTATTAAAAATCCAATCCTAATTGTTTTTTTATTCTAAAAAAGGTTTTTTGGTAATAGTAAAGATAAAGAATACGAGGATTGATTAACATATCTAGGAAGATCCCCGGATATCTAGATCCTGTATACGAACCGAAAAGTTAGGATATCCATATCTACCAGGCAAAAAGAGGACTTAAAAGTATCAGCAACTCAATTCTAACAATTTAAGTTTCTTTTTTAGTTAAAGTTCTTTTGCTTCAATAAAAATTCGAAGTGAAGGTCCCCCACTTCCTAGTGGCCCGACTTCCTAGTGCAAAGCGATGTTTCGAAAAAGAAACCTGATGTTGTTGTTGTACTTGGTGTAATCCTGTAAGTGAATGTCCCACAACAATATTTGAATTTGTATTATTTTGCATTGGTGGGTGTTGCTGAAGTCTGACTAATTGTTGTAATTGATGTCCAAAGTTAAAAGAAGGGTGTTGGATTGATTCTAATGGTTGTTGTTGTGGCTGTTGAATTGACATCATTGTATAAGGATTTTGAATTTGCTAAAAAAAATTTTTTGGGAAATCTTGTCAAGAGTGTATGTAAGGGAGATAATGGTCTAAGGCAGAATCGGACCTAGCCAAGTTAAAAATCTAAAAACAACCTTAAGATTCCGATTCTTAGGTAACCCCTAACAAGGGGACATCGGTTACCGTGTTCAAAAAGTTGGTATTTTTCTTGGTACCATTCGACAGAGGTCCCCGACTTCCTAGTGCGAAGCTATTTTCGCCTCATACAAAATGACTAGGGCCGAGTCATTTGAGGTCACTTAGGAAACATCAAGGTGTGACTTCAAATAATCAAAATAATCATAAACCTGTTGCTGCGAATGGTGCGAAGACATTTGTGATGTTCCCAAATCTTCATGTTGTAAAGAATTAATTCCATTAGAAAAATTTATAGCAGTTGTAGACGAAGAAAAGCTATCATTTAAATAAATTTGTTCATCCTCCCCTCCAGACGCTTCACTACTTTCACGTTTACGTTTAACTTGCCTAAAATTAAAAATCTTTCCTAAAAAATTTCAAACAAAACAAACGCTGCTCTTTCATCCAAAAAAGGATCAATCCACATCAAATCACGAAAAAATTCCCAATTAGAAACTTCATTGGTTGCATTGCCAGCCATACGCAATTTTCGTTTTTCACGAACATAACGGTCTCGAACTTTTTTCCACTGTTTGTAAAGGGAACTTATATCGCCTAAAAAATTCTTAAAATTTTTTAAGGTCTCAAAAAAACCTGGAAAAGACAAATTCTTCGCAATTTCTCCCCAAGCCTGATTTCTGTATTCACTGTGTCGATATTTTGGATCCTTAATGTCATAAAGACAAGGCTGCAGTCGAACTTCATCAATCAAATGGAGGGTAAAATTGGGGTCAGTAATTACTATTTGTTGTTGATCCTTAAATTAATTTTTGTGTATTTTTAAAAATAATTAAGAGACAAACATTTTTTCCTTCCTTATTCCGCTCAAAACGAGTTTGCGTCCTGTCAACCATATGAGGATCGAGAAACTCGAAATACTAAAAAAATAGAAATATTAGAATTTATTTGAGTTTTTTGGATGAATTTTTGTTCTAGGGCTCCGGATACTCGAAATGTTCGGTTCTGTCATCGGATTGGATATACGAGAATTTGCAAAAAACCATCAAACTTAATCTCAGTCAGACCTGCTCATGGATACGGATACAGATAACATTAAGATGCCTGCGGATATCCGCCTGTATCCGCAGTAAATATCCGGGTACGGATACCAAAATTAGTATGCATCGGCAGGTCCGATCTCAATTATTCGAAATGATTAAAAATAGAGTTCTTCGGTTCGCCACCAAACCGATTAACTTAAAATTTTTTAATTCTATTCTCCGGTTTGGTTCCTAATACACATTTTCCAAAAACCAATATTATTTATAAAATAAAACCTTAAAATATTGCCATTGTGAGTGCTGTTCTCCACTATACTTCAATTTCTTTTTCTAAAATTAAAATCAAGTTAACAATAAGCCAAAAATTAAAAATATTTACCTCTTTTCCATATTTATCTCTCAACTGTTTCCAACGATTATACAAAGTTCTAGCATCTCCTAAAAAATAAAAAAATATTTTAAACAAGTCAAAACACCTTGAAATCCAAGCATTTGTACAAGACGATTCCATACTTTAATTTTGTAGTCAGCACTTCTATATTGTCTAAAAATAAAAATATTAAGGTTAATTAAAAGGAATTAAGGTGGAAGTATGGAATAAGAAAGGCAAGTCTTTAACAAAACATAAGAAATGCCTGGTAGGCTTTAGTGTTGTTGGCGATCGGTCAATTTTTGCATGTGACAGCTTAACTGCTCATATTCTCCATTTAAGCCGTCACATGGAAAAAGATAACCGACCGCCAACAACCCAAGTAGGTTTCTAGTTCTAGTAGGTTTCTAATTTTCTTGAAGAATTGTCGGTAAAATTGAAGTTCGTACCGTTCGTACCCCTCCCCCTTAAAACCCCAAAACTTTTCATAAAACAAAAAAAAAGAATAAAACCTATCAGACGGGTCATATAAACAATGGCTTTGTTTCACAGCTTCAATAAGTCTCAAATTAAAAGAAGGCTCTTCAGCAGCGGCTTGAACAGCAGCAGATAGTTGTCGTTGAATTGCGCTAACGTTGACACTTGCAGGGCTTAATTCTTGATGGTCGTTGTCTAATTCGTTGTCCTCAGACATTTTTAAAGTGAAAATAACGACAATAAAAGTGCAGGGCCTTAAAAATTTAAGAAAAATTTTTAAAAATTTTAAATTGAAAAACTTTTTCTCTAACAACTCTCCCAAAACACTATACTATTTCTCCTCAAAATCTTTTCTTTGAACGGACGTTTTGCCACAAGCCACTTTGTCGCCACACTTTATTGCACCCATTTTGTCACAAAATTCCAACTTTTCAAGGAAAATCAATAACGAAAAATCTGAAAAAATTTTTCTGGCAATAATTTTTTAATATATTTTTCTTTTTCAGTTTGTGCAAGCTTTTTGCCATGTTTTCCCACTCGGATTATAAATATCCTTACGAACCTCCATTATCTCCAACAATTAGAATTGAACGACCTTTTTGGGTGCCTTGCTATAAAGAATAGTAAGTGTTTTATTTAAGCAGCTAATTTTATTATTTTTAAAGTAATGGCCGTCCAGAATGGTGGGCAGAACTTGGATATAAAGACGAAATGTTGAGAAGGGGCATGTCTCGTGGAATTCGTTTTGATCATCGCGAACGGGATAATTATTGGTATGATCCAAAAGTCCCTGATGGAACTTCGGTTGTTGGACCGTTTGGACTGGATACGCAATATCATAGAAATTTGACTAAAAAGGGGGATCAGCCAATGACGTTTGATGAACATCAAAAGAAGGTTTAATTAATTTTTTAAATCTTCACTGGAGAGGTCGAGGCTTCGCCGAGGTTCTCGGAGCGACCGTTAAGTCTCCGGCCAGGAGCCTCACCGAGGACGCAAGCCCATAAGAAATGCATTTATGACTCATAAGAAATTTATGTTCCATAAGAAATGACTTCATATAACTGATTTTTTTTTTGAAAAAAACTTGAAATCTGGCTTCTTTGCCTTCCAAAATTTTTGCCCACGGGTCATTTTATTGTTCCTTTTCTATGAATAGAATGAGAATAGATACCTTTTTGCTATTTTATGGCCGCTGGTTTATTTTTGCTGGTGTTTAATTTAAAGGCGTAACCAAGGGACTTCTGGAGATATACTTCTGGCCCTCCTGAAATGGGGAAAATAGGTTAAATGGGGGAAAGGAGCTTGTTTAATTTATAACAATAAGCTTCAAACTACTATTAATTTTCTTTTATTTTTTGTAGGTTACTGAAAGCTCTGGTCAATACAAAAATATTATAAACAATTTTGACATAAGCCCTGAACATCCTGGATTTGCCATATCTCCACTTTTGGATAAATATAAAGAAGAATATCGAACACTTGGAACTCATTTTAAATTACACAATTTTATGCAAACACATAGAGGTCCCCGGTTTTGGGATAAACCAATGAATGAAGGTTGTATTGAGAAGGGACTTGCACTTGTTAAATATATTGCTGTTGCATGTTTGTTTATTTTTTATTTTAGATAGTGAATTCTAGGGGTGCGTGCTAGTTGACTTTTTAGTGGTTATGTATTTTTTTTATTGTGTAGAGCACGGTCGATTTCCTATTGCTAGTTTTTTTCTTTTTCGGCCCTACCTCACCCACCCCCCCCCCCGAAAAGTTATAGGGCTTCGAATTTTTTGACTTTTGGACTTAAAACTAGATTGATTGGGAGTAATTAAGTTTGATTATGGGTATAACTTTAGCTATAGAAATTGGACAATTCCGTCTTTCGGAAACTAGCTTTTGAAAAAATCTCTTTTTTGTAATTCCCCTATTTTTCCCCTTTTTTATCTTATTTTTAAATTTAAAGCTTTCGCTGCGGCTTATTTGGATCGTGGAAAAAAAGATTTAAAAGTTTTGGTTAATTGGACGGGTATTTGCAAGGATTGGGCATTTAGATTTTTTCCTGTTCCTGCTGCTTTGGGAATGACTTTTGGTGTTACTGCTTGTACTTCTGCAAAGATTAGACATATTGATGATACTTGGAATTGGACTATTGGTTCGGGGTTTTGAATAATATTTTTAATTAAAATTTCTGTAGTGGTTAAAGGTTAATTTTTTTAATAATATTTTTTTAATTTTTTATTTTTTATTATTTTTTTTATTTTTTTTGGGGAGGGAATAAATAAATTTTAAAAAATTAATCTTTGACATATCACATTTTATTCTTAAAAATCATAGAAAAAAATTAAAAAAAATATTTTTCAATTTAAGCGTCTGTTGTGACTGGTGCACTTCATGCTACGATGCGTAAGTATTCTGAGATTAAATTTTTCTAGTTAAAGTCCGGAGCTTTTTCTAATTTTCTATAAGATTCTGAATTGCCGGAAAATTAAAATACTTGTTTATAACCAAGACGAGACATTTTATCCTCTCGGAACTTTTTTTGATCATTGCTCCGATATATAGCGGTCAGACGTAATTCCCTATGGCATCACTCAGCTCGGCTTTTCAAGCTGATTTGAATAATGCCAACCTTAACATGTTTTCATTTTTCCATGTAAAAAGTTTAACTCTACAAAAAAGGACCACCTTGTTTCTATCCAAATTTTTAATATAAACACAAAAAAATAATAAAAAAAAAATTTTTTTTTCAAGGTGATTTCAAGTTACAACGAGCACTTTTTACTTCAATTCCTTTAATTACTCTATTTTCTTATTATCAACATGTACGTACAATTCAATGGGGAACTCAAGGAATGCCTTTCAGTCGAATGTATAGCGGTCACTTTAGTCCTTATACTGGACCTCTTGGTTGGAAAAACTTTCATCTTACTTCTGTTGATCAGACACGATTGAATTATATGCCAGATGCGTGGAAATATTGTTCAAAATAAAAATTATTTGAGAAGGAAAAAGAAAGGTTTTTTGGGTGGTTTTTAATGTTGTGGATTTTTTGTGGGTGATATCCTCCGAATATCTCCTTTGGAAAATTTTTTTGTCTTTCCTTTTTTGATAATGTTTACACTAGTAATGGGCAAAAGGGCATAACTAGGGTGGATTTCATTGGTGACCTTGGCTATGCCTTTGGAATTGGGTCCTCCTTTCGTCCTCTATTTTTTATTTTCTTACGTTTTCCGCTTTTACTTAGAAATGCGAAAGGGCCTCTCCCTGGTTTACGCCTTGTTTTGTTTTTATTTTGAATTGTCTTTAACTTAATATTTGTTTGACCTTTTTGTACCCTTCGACCAAGTATAATTTTTATTTGGGAGATGAGTTCGAAGAATAAAAAATTTTTTTGAAGAGATAATCGGGATAATGCCTTTATTTTGTTTTATTTTTAGTAATTGTCCAAAACAAAATTTTTGTTCATTTATCAGAAAAAAATCTTCAACATTACAAAATCATTAAAAGATACCTTTTTAATAATTTTAAAAATAGGATAAATTTGTGTTTTCTATTAAATTGTATTTTCGTGGATAAAAATTGCAGAGTTTAAATAAAAATGTTTTTTATTATTTATTTATCAAAGGTTTTTATCCTTTTTATATTTCAAAAATTTTGATCGAAATTTATTTTTCTACGTGAAACCCCTACACATTTAAACCGCTGATCTTACTCCTATCTTTAAAGTCAGCGTCATTTTATGGGATCATGCTAGGGGCTATTTTGGTTCGTAATACCTTCATCTACACATCTCGGCTTAGGGTCAAGTCAAGCTTCTAATTTTGGCCCGAAAACGACTTTGTTCGGGCCGGCCCGATAAAAATGACTCGCGCGTCGGCCAGACTCGGAAACCCCAACCCTACTCATATACTATTTTTCCATCTATCCCCAAAGTTATCTTCCCTGGAATAAAATTTTCCACGTAATTTTTTCACATAATTTCGTTTTGTAGTTTTCCCATTTTTTTAAATTTAATTTTTATTTTTAGTTTTTTTTTAAAAAACAAGAAAAATTATGTCAGATAAAGATGCATTACTTGAATCAAATTTACCAATTTTTTATTCAACTTTAACTAAAAAAGAAGGAATATTTTTCAAATTATATGTAATTGCTGTAACTATTTTTCTGTGGACTGGTTATACTTTAATTGTTTCTTATACAAGGCAAATGACACCTAAAGATGAGGTTTGGAATTTTATATAAATTTTTAAATTTTTAAAAATATTTTTTAATGATATGGGTGATTCAAGAATATTTTCCTGTTTGCAGGGAATATTTATGAACTTTTTTTCTTGACATAAGAAATTTTTGATTCCTTAAGAATGTCTTCTAAATCCCTTAGAATTCTTTTTCCCGAATTTTGTTAATTTTTGAAAATATTTTTCTGTTTATGTGAGGCGACAGAGGAACGTTTCCCTGATTTTCGCTGATCAAATCCCAAAACTTTTATGTTTAACTTTCCGTCGGGCATTGTTTCTAGCATAAGACTTAAAAATACTATTTGTTAAATAATTTTTTCAATTTTTAGTTATATTCTTCATCTACTGGTTCGTCTCTGTTTCGGTTTAAATTTAATTGACATTTCTATTTTTTACCAAAATTTTTTTCATTTTTTAAGTCGTCTTCTCTTCTGAATGTGCAAAGTTTTTAATAACTTTGTTTTATGTTTATGCGGGAAGTGAAACTTTACAAAAAGGCAATGAGGTTTGAATTCTGAATTTGATTTCTGAAAAATTTGAGACTTTTTGGATTATCACGCCTCCCATCTAATTTGAGTATTAGTTATTCTTTCCTTCATTTTTAGTTTTATTTGGCGCGGAGTTGGGTTGGAATTTCGATTTTCAACGTTTTTTCCTTCCGAGTTCCGATTTTTGTGCCAGTTCCGATTTCTGGCTCTTCCGATTTCCGACACCTCTGTTTCGAGCCACCTCTGATTAGCCAGGCAAATTTCCTTAAGGAAAATAAATGAGAGGCAGGAAGATGGGGAATAGCTGAAATGGGACTCAAATTAGTGAGGAGAGGGGGGGGGTATCGAAATGTACCAACAAAAATTTTTTTTTAATTTAGCTTATTAAATTCGAATTTTTTTCAAAACCTTACGAACTTGTAAAAATGGCTGTTCCTTCTTTGGCATATGCACTACAAAATGTTTTTTAGAATTATTTTTAAATTGGAAAATTTTTTTTAAGAATTTGGATTTTGTTGCGCTTTCGAATTTGGATGCTTCGGTTTACCAGGTATCAAATTTTTCTATTTTAGAAATTTAAAAGAGAATATTTACAGGTCTTCAGTCAACTGAAAATTCTGTTTACTGCCATTTTTATGGTATATTTTTTAATTTTTTAAAATTAAATTCTGATTTTATTTTGACTTATAAAATTCTAATTTTCCTAACTGAATTCTGGTCTTGTTTACGATTAAAATTCTGATTTTTTTCAAATAATTCTGGTCTTATTCTGAAAACAATTCTTATTTCATTTCGATTAACAAAAATTAATTTTGGTTTTATTTAAATCGGGCTCTGGTCTTCTGGGAAAAATTCTAATTTTAAAAAATTGATTTTTCTTAACTGAAGTCTGGTCTTATTCTAATTTAAAAAATTCTGGTTTTAAATTCCAATTTTTTTACTTTTATTCTCCCATTTACTATAATTTTACTCTTCCACAGATGCTTTTCCTTCGACGTCAATTTTCTTTGCGTAGATGGTTGGCAATATTTCAACTTTGTGTTGGTCTTGCACTTGTTGAGGTATTTTTTAAAATTTATTTCTTAAAAATTTTTCCCTTAATTTTTTTTCCAGTTAGATATTTCCAAATTTCACAAAAATTTAAAAGAAGAAAATAATTTGGTTAATAAAATTGAAAGAAATTCGTTAACTGGTTTATTTTGTGTTTTTTGTGCTTGTATTACTTCGAGTTTTGCTGGAGTTTATTTTGAAAAAATGTTGAAAGATGGGTCTTCAAATACTTGTTTTTGGATTAGAAATCTACAAATGTGAGGAAAATTCGAATTTTTTATTTTAGAAATTTTCAAAATTATTTTAGGTATTTTTGTGGTGTCATTTCTGCTCTTTTAGGCTGCTTTCTGAAGGATTATGTTAGTTTATATTTTCATTTTCTGATTTTTTTTTTGAAAAATAATTCTGATTTTTTTGATTTTTCTGAAAAAATTTTTATTCTGAAAAATAATTCTGGGTATTTGTTTCCGTAAAATTAATTCTGTTTGTATTTTTTTGAAAAAATTTCTGAAATTAATTCTGATTTTTATTTCTGATAAAAATTCTGATTTTTTAATTTCTGAAAAAAATTGTTCTAATTTTTCTGGAAAGAATTCTATCGGACGGTTTTTTGAAAAATAATTCAAAAATTTTTTTCAGGACCAAATTTTTGAACGAGGATTTTTGTTTGGCTACAATATTAAAGTTGTTTGCATAATTCGTAATTTTTTTTCTTTTTTTTAATTAACTTTATTTAATTTTTTATTTTAAGTTTTTTTGTCATTTGGAGGAATTTACATTTCACTTATTATGAAACATTTGGATAATCTTTATAAAAGGTTTGAAATTTAAAATTTTTTTTAATTTTTTCTGAAAATCTGGACATTCCGAAAAATCTCCATTTTAAAAAAAAATTTTTTTTTTAATTTTATTTCCCCTTTTTTAAGTTTTGCTTCTTCCCTGTCAATTATAATGGTTGTCATCTTTTCCCTAATAATTTTTGATAATTATCATGTAACCTTTTTATTTGGATTTGGTGCCTTGTTGGTTTGTTTATCTGTGATTTTATATAATAGTACTGAAAAATAAAAGGAGAAGAAAAATATTTTTTTGTTAAGTCCTTTACTTGCCCTAACCTTTTTAAAATATTTTTTTTTATTTTTACCTTCAAAAATCCTTTCAAAAAGATTGTTAGAAAATTTTCTTTTTTTTTATTTTTTGTTTTGTATCAATTAACTTTTTTCCTATAATTCAGTCATCGAGCCGACGAAAGAAAAATAAATTTCTGATTTTCGGGAATCCCGACCAGTCTTTGGAATTTTAAATTGGCTCGTACTCGTACTTTCATACAGGCCTTTTTTACCTCGTACTCGTACACAGGTACGGGTTCGAATTTTTTGTTCAACGAGCTTCTACGAGTCTCGGGCTTCCAAACACTGCTCCTGCCCTTAAAGGAACGAGGAATTTTTAATTTTCGGGAATCAAAACGGCTCGTTCCCTTACACTAAAAATGTGCATTCTTTATAAATAAATTATTGTGATAAAAATTTTTTTATTTTTTTAAAAGACAAAATTATAGCCTTTTAATTTTATATCTTTTTAAGTCGTCTTCAATATTATTTCTATAAATTTTATTTTTAAATTTCTTTTAAAAACCTCAATGCTTACTGAATTGGAATTATTTTTAATTGAACAAACAAAGATTACTATTGAAGATACAAATTTGAGGGAGGAAAAAACTAAAGGAATACTGAAGGGATATGATGTTGATATATTGGAGAATTTAATTTGTTCGATTTTGGAATCTAAACAGTTGAGACAAGGTTTTTTTTGAGATTTTTTTATTTGCATTTTTGATTTTTTTAGAATTATTTAAAACAACTTTTCGACCGGCCTTGGGGCATCTACTTTCTTTACTTTTGGATACCTTTGGATGTTTTCAAATCGATATTGAAATACGGTTTCTGATTATTTTTTTAATTTTTAATGGGGCGGTGACGAGATAGACTTGAAAATTGTCGACGACGGTCTAGTTCATGGCTCCTATGAATCCTTAGGAGTCCAATGGCTCCCAATTTTTCTCTGGACTCATAAATCCGTATAGACATAAAAGGTTCCTTGACTGCATAAACTAAACTTGAGCCAAAACTTTTCTATGCTATTCCGATTTTATAGGGTCTTTTCCTGATAATTTACCTAGAAAGTTTCGAAACTTGTTTTTGAAGCTTTTTCGCTGTTTTACTCGCCCTCAGAAATTAATTTTTATTTTTAAAATTTTTAAATTTTAATTTTTTCAGTAAAAAATGTGCTTATTTAATTTGTGAAATTACTAATTTAAAATATAAAGAATTATCATCCAACTTTATTGCTTTTATTCTTCCTGGAATTTTTTTAAGAATAAAAAATGTAATTCTTCAACAAATACATTCTATTGAAATTTTACAATTTTCTTGTAAGGTTTGGATTTATTTTTAAATTTATTGTAAAATTGGGTATCATCCATCTCTCTTTCTACTTGTTCTTATTTTACTCAAGCGTTATAAGATTTTTTGACTTTGAATAGTCAAATATCCTATTTCTTCATAAAGCTTGATGTTTGCCGTTAGACAAAAAGGATCAAATTTAAGCAAAAAGGTCTTACTTGTCTTGATAGCAGGCCCGTAACCAGAGGAGAGGAATGCCCCCCCCCTTCGCGAAATGGGGAAAAGGAAAAAATTTCGGGATGTGATTGAGCAAAAAAGTGAATTTTTTAGCCTACGGCCTTCCAAGTGAATATGAATAAAATACCTAAATTTATTTTTTTACTTTTTTAAAGATTCTTTCAAATATTTTAATTATTTCTTTCCTTCCTTTATTTAAACAACAAAATTTAATTGAAAATAAAATAATTTCAACGTCTTCAATAATTATTTTTGAAAGAAATGATGAATGGATTAAAATGGCAAAAGAAAAAATTTTTCCTCAATTTTGTTCAATTCTAACTAATTTGTCTTCTTCAAAAATTGATTTAATTCGGTTTGAGGCTGTTAAATTAACTTGTACAATTTTTGATTTTAAAGGAGAATTTTGTGAGTTTTATATTTTTTTAAAATAAAATATGTTGGTTTAGATATAGGTTGGGATTAAAAAATTCTGATTTTCTTCTGGTTTTTGAACATTTTTGTTTCTGATTTTTTGTGATTTCTGATTTTTTAATGCATATTCTTGTTTCTGATTTTCTTCTGATTTTCCTGTTCTGATTTTTTAATTCAGATTTTCTGACGACTTTTTTTTCTGATTTTTTTATATTTTTTTCTGATTTTTCATTATTCTGATTTTTTTAATTCTGATTTTTCCGATTTTTTAATTTTCTGTTTTCTTTTAATTTTGATTTTTTTATGATTTTTCTGTTCTGATTTTTAATATTCTGATTTTCTTAAAAATTATTTTTATTAAAAAATTTAAATAATATTTGAATAATTTTTTAAATTTAATTTATAGGTGGAGATGATTTTAACAAAATTTCAATTGATATTTGTTTTTTGTTATATAATGATGAACAAATCAGGTTTAATTTTTTTTAATTTTTAAAAACTTTAAAAAAAGAATTGAAAATAATTTCTGATTTATTTTTAAAAAATTCTAAAAAAAATTTTTTTTCAGAATATCCAACGAATGTAAACATTTATTTAATAAATTACAATCAGAAAATGCAAATTTTGTTGAAACCTGTTTAACAAACAAATTGGTTAATTTATTAAAAAGATTGGAAAATGATGTAATTAATGCAGCTGATGGAGAAATTTCGTTACAAAATGTAAAAAATAAATTCTGAAACTTAAATTCTGATTTTTAGTTTAAGCATCGAAAATTCTGAAAATTTCAGAAATTCTGATTTCTAAATTCTGATTTTTAGTTTAAGCATTGAAAATTCTGAAAATTTCAGAAATTCTGATTTCTAAATTCTGATTTTTTTTATTTTTACAATTACAAATTCTGATTCTGAAATGCAATAATTCTGAAAAAAATTATTATTCTGAAAATAATTCTGAAAAATAATTATTTTTCAGAATCAGAATTTGTATTGTAATTGTAAAAATAAAAGGGAAATCAGAATTTAAATTTCAGAATTTTTATAGAAACAAAAAATAGGCCAAGTAAACAGAGAATTGTAATTTCTTTAAATCAGAATTTGTAAACTTAACAAAAATTCTGAATTAAATTAAATTATTTTTTCAGTTGTTTAATGTTTTACAAATGCTTGGTTCTGATTCTCTCAACAATTTATGTTTTTCTTCTGATTTTAAAGAATTATTATTAAATTCAATATTGTCTGTTTTGGTTGTAGATAAACAAAAACAATTAATTAGTTTAGTTAAAAATAGTCAAAATTTACAAGGTTTTTTTTTAATTTAATTTTTAAATTATTATTTTATTTTTTTAAAGAAAACCTTCTTCCTCCTTTAAAATTTGGAATTAATTCAAAAATTATTTTTAATTTTGCTCTACTTTTAATTGTTTTACCTAATTTTGAGGTACCTTTTTTTTAATTATAAAATTTTCTATAAAAAATTTTAACCAATTTTTTACTTAAAATAGAATGAAAGAAAGGATTCAATATTTATTTTCAGTATTTGTTGTCAAATAGGGTTGCTCAAAAATTCAGGGACACTGGGCTCATACCAGTCTGTTACTGGGCTTGTACTCAGAAAATCAGGATTTTATCAAAATACATAGAACCGGGCTCAGATTCGGACTCTAAGATGGATCTAGAAGCTCTAATAATCTCTCTTAAAATTTTAAGGATTTATTTGATATTTTAATTAATAAATTTATTTCAACATCAACAACAATCACAACAGATATAAAATTAAAAACTTCAGTTTTATATTTAATTTCAACATTAATTTCAACATTTTCTTCTTCTAACAATAATAATTTTGATCAAAATAAATTATCAAATTTCATTAATGATATTATTTCAATTTTAAAATTATTTGATTCTTTATTGGAAGAAGAAATTTTGGACAGTGAAATTGTTGATAATTTACCTTTAAATACTGATGAATCTTGTTTAATTGGGTTTGTTTTTATTTTCTTATTTTGATAGTTTTTTGTGAATTCCATAAGTAACTTAAGAATTTAAATTTTTGTCTGGCCAAAATATTAAAAATCAAATTTCTGAAAATTTTCAAGAAATTCAGAATCATAGGCAGAGTTGCTCGCAATTTGACGCGAATAGGCCTGTGATTTTCATAAAAAGACTGGATTGAAGAAACAGGATTTTATCAAGGTATCCAGTTTCCAGGTCCGGATTAGAGCTCAAAATCTCTAAAAAGACCCAACAGTTTTTCAAAGAAATTTTCTTTAAAAATTCTAGATAATTTTTTTATTTTTTCTTTTTTTATAGGCTCATGTTCAATTGCCTTTCTTCAATCAATTTGGATAAAATTGCTGCAAAGGTATAAATTTAATTTTTAAATAAATTAAAAAAATATTTTTTAAAGAATCGAGGTGATTTGCTTTATGAAACTTTAAAATATTGTTCTTCTTCAAATATTTGTGTTAAAGATGCGGCTGATAATTGTTTAAATAATTTAGTTAAGGTTTGTGAAATTTTTTAAAATTTTCTAATAATTTTCTTTAAAGAATTCTACCCAATATAAAAATGTTTCTGAAATGATTTTTGAAAATGCCCATTTGTTAATGTTCAAAATTCTGCTTGCCGCACAGGTTTTTATATTGTATTTTTTATGTTAACTTGTGGAAAATTCAACCAAGAGTATTTAAGAATGGCAAAAGACTCGGATACGTTTAAAAATTAGAGGTCGGTAAAATCGCATTTCCAGGATTCTTTAACGGGACATTCTTTCAAAAATTTTTGTGGAACAGGGTAATCCAGTTCATCGCGTAGAACACGGGATTTCGAGACAGGATCCCGTAAAATCCTGTACGGGATCCTGCCAAATCCCGTAAAATCCCGTATGGGATCCTGCCCCATGTTGACTTTTATTCAAAATATTAAAATTTCAAAATTTTACGAAATAAAAAATATTTCGTTTTGTCAAAAATCACTAAATGTCAAGGATTTAATTTAAAAATTATTTTTTGAAGGATTTCCCAACAAATCCACGCTTTCCAATGGTTTTATCTGAAATGATTTTAAGATGTTCTAACCCAAAAATTTATTTTAAATTGAAAGGAGCATTGGATGAATTATTATTTTGGTTAGATTATTCAAATCAAAAACAAATTTTACTTTTATTATTTTGTTTAAAAAATTATTGTAAAGCTTTGTATAATTGGTTTTATCCTTTAATACCTTCTAAAATAATAATAGTAGATGAACAACAACCTTCAACTTCTAAAGGTTTTTTTTAATTTTTTAATAAAATATTTGGAAAAAATGAGAGGAACTCCAGAGCATTACCCAAAAAAAATAAAAGACTGTGTTAATTATGGAAAAATAGGCTACTAAAAATACTTGGGGTGGGTCTCCCTTAAAAAATTGATTTTAAATGTTTTTAAAAAAATTATTTTTTTAGTATTTCCCAACAAATCAAAATTTAGTTACAATTTTAAAAAGGTTCCCTTAAAAAATTCTTTTTATTTTGATTAAAAATAAAGGTGAAGAAATAATTTAGATGGGAGGAAGGGGAAATAAACCTGACAATGACTTGGATATCACCCAAGAAAATTTTCATATTTTTAATAAAGAAAAATTTTTGCAGCAAATGAATATTCTGATAACAAAGAGGAAATTGAAGATATTCCAAATAAAAATGTACTTGAAGAAGAAAATGAAAAATATTTAAATGATTTAAATTATCCATTAATTCAAAATTTAGTTACAATTTTAAAAAGGTTTTTTTAAAAATAATTTTTATTTTTAATTCAATTTAAAGAACAAAACACTTCATTTCTTCCCAATATTTACCTGTACAATTAAATATCTTGGATATATTAAAATATTCTTTGGAATTGGTTAAAAATTATGAAAATGAATTGCTTCCAATGATACATCAAAATTGGCATGGATTAATTCAAAAATTTGGGAATGAGTTGGAAGAGGTTTTTTTCTTATTAAAAAATTTCGGATTTTTTTCTGAAAAATTTTTGTAAGCCGTCAGGAAACCAAAAATAAAGCGTGCAAAATTTTTCAAAAAATTTCGGAATTTTTAAAAATTTTTAAAAATGTCCAAAAATCAAATTTAAAAAATTACGTCAAGAAACCAAAGCCTAAATAATTTTTCAGAATTTTTTGAATCCTTTGGTTTCAAAAATTCCAAAAAAAATTCAGAACGTTAAATTTCAGAATGTCAAGTTAACAACCCAAAGCCTACGAAAATTTTCTAAAAAAAATTTCTTTCTTCAAAATTCAAAATGTCAAAATTTTCAACCCTTCAAAAATTTTTCTTAAAAATTAATTTCTTTTTTCAGAGTTCCAACTTTCAAACCGTCATCCAACTATCAAATTCTGAAATGCTTGTTACAATTAAATCTGTTGAAGTAATTAAAACAATAACTTTAATTTCAAAAGACTTTGTTTATTGGAAAATTGTAAAAGAATATTTACCGAGAATTTGTGGTTTATTAGAAGATTTATATAAACAAACTTTAAAGAGTACAAAAATTTTGGTTGTAAAAGAATCTGTAATTAAACATTCTGTTGCTTTTAAATTACAATTTGCTTTGGTTGAGAGGTTTTTAAATTTAATTTTTTAATTTTATTTTTAATAAATTAATGGGAAATTGGGAGATTTATAAGGGGAGATTTAGTTAAAAAATTGACCAATTCTTTGGTATTTTTAAAAAAAATTTTCAATTCATGGAGATTTGGGTTCCTCTAAACAGCAAGATAGTATCTAGGTTTCGACAGACTGACAATGGCTTTGGTTAACATTTTTTCAAGCCTTTGAATTTGAATAATTTTGTTTTCCAAGTTTTTTAAGGCTTGAGAGTTTTTTTATTTTTTAACTGAAAATTCTTGAGGGTTTGAGGGGCTTTTTAATTTTTGTGGGATTTGGCATTTTTAAAATTAAAAAAATTTTTTTTAATTATATAAAAAATTTCGACAAATTTTCTGCCTTCAAAATAAATTAAAAAATATTTTCTTTTTTAAGTATTCCAACAATAATTGAAACTAGCGGTGCTTTTAATAACAAAAATAATTTACAAAGGCTGAAGGAAATTTTAATATTATATTCAAACTTTGAAGATAAAAATTTTCAAGTTTTGACAAATGAAGCAAGGAAATCCTTAAAAAGATTGACAGAATTAGAAGAAATAAAAGAAAATTAAAATTGAAAAAAAGAGATTTGAATTTTTAAAAATTTTTTGTAAATTTTTAAGGATTTTTTAAAAAATTTTCTAATTTTCGATTCCCTTTAATGACTAAATGTCTATGTTTCGACAGACTGACGAAATGTCATTTTTAAATGAAAATATTTTTCTCTCGCATCTTCTTCTCGTTAACGACAAAATGTCTTAATTTTCACGGACTGGCGAAGTGTCTTTTGGTTAACTGAAAATTTAGTTAAAATTAAATTTTTAATGTAAACTTTCATTTAACCAAAAACCATTTTGCCCATTCCTTTAATTTTCGTTCTTTTGTCACACTTACTATTTCAACATGAACACGTTTCTTGAACGTGTTCCTTGTTATCTAATGTTTATTTGTTTTTGTTTAATCATTTATTTTTGCAAATTGCTTACAATTCTAAATTTTTATCCTTTTTAGTTGAATAGAGTATTTTTTAATTAAAAAATGGATTCTGATAAAGCAACCGAAAATTCTTCTTCTGAACAGTTTGACAATAAGGGGCGTATTACTAATGATGAGCGCAACTTAATTGTTTCGTTTGTTCAATTTTTGCGTCATAAAGTTTCGGCAAATCAATGCACGGAAGATCAGGAGGCTCAAATTGAAGGTTTTCTTTTGGCAATTTTTCATTTTTTAAATTAATATTTTTAGTTGCTACGCAATGCTTGGAAGGTGCTTTTGGAGTTTCGGACAAGAATTATGCTTTTCAACCATCAAAGCCTTTAATTGACATTTTTAAAGCGGCTGAGGGATTGCCTGATGGGGTTAATTTTTTGATTATTTGAGTTATTTTAAGAAAATTTATGAGGGATCTTCGAGACGCTTTACGGGATACCCAAAACGACGCAGATCGAAGCGGCGCAGACCTAAAACTGGGAAAAATCTGTCCGATGGTGGGTAAGTTTTTGACAGTTTTCCCCGTTTTAGCCTGCACGAGCCGTTGTGACGTTGACCTGAACCGGTTTCGTGTGATTTATTTTTTAGATGATTTAATACTCATGTTCTTGATTAAATCTCAGACTTATTAATAACTATAATTATTAGGATGATGAATTTCCAACACCAACTGAAGCTGAGATTGCTCAAGCAAACAAACTTAAAGAAGAAGGGAATGATTTGGTTAAACAAAGCAAATTTGATGAGGCTATTTTGAAATATAATGATGCTATTAAATTGAATAGAGATCCTGTCTATTTTTGCAATAGGTTTTATTAAGAATTTTGGTATTAAATAATTTTTAAATTAAAGGGCCGCTGCTTATTGCCGACTTGAACAATATGATTTGGCTATTCAAGATTGCCGTACTGCGTTGGCATTGGATCCAAATTATGCTAAAGCTTATGGACGAATGGGGTAAGGATTTTGAACAGAATTTAATGTCTAAATTTCTATAAGGGGGTCGAATACAAAAAATTTTTCTTAGGGTCTCATAACTTTAGAGATCGGAAATTTTAAAAACCGTGGTTTTTGTAGGAACCTTGCTCAAATTTTTGACTTTGAGTCTAGGAATCTCAAGAACTCTGAAAGATGCTTTGTATTTGGCTCTGGATCTAGAAAAAAGCAAAAGCTGATTCTTGATCCTAGCCGATTTCTATAACTTTATACATTATTTTCTTTAAAAAATTTTTCCATTCTTACAATTAACAAATTTGTTATTTTATAGTGTTGCTCTTTCCTGTCAGAATCGTTATGACCAGGCTGTGGAGGCATACAAAAAAGCATTAGAAATTGATCCATCTAGCGAAAGGTTTTTTCAAAGAATATTTTGTATTAACTAATTTTTTCAGTTATAAGAACAATTTGAGCATTGCAGAAGAAAAATTAAGTAAAGCTCGTGAAACTTTTGCAAATAATCCACAGGTTTTTCGTTTTACCTTCTTTTCAATTTTATTCGATTTTTGTTCATTTCTAGGATCCGTTAGGTGCTTTAGGAGGTTTTGGTGCACTTTTTAACAATCCTGATTTGGCTAGATCTATTGGAGCAATGATGCAGGTTTAAATTATTTTTTATTAAAATTTTTTCAATGAAAATTCTTTTAGGAGCCAGGAGTACGCAATATGATGCAAAATGTTATGCAGAATATGTTTGGAGGAGGTGCAGCTGGTGGAGATGGAAATCAACCAGGAGGAGGTGGAGGTAATCCAATGGCTGATATGCTTCGGGCTGGAGAGGCGGTAAAATTTTTAGGAAAAATTTTTGATTCAAAATAAATTTTTAGATGGCAAGCGTTATCAATCAATCAAATCCTCAATTAGTTGAAATGCTTCGAAGACAATTTGGAGGTGGTGGAGATGGAAATAATGAGAATAATGGTGGTGGTGGAGGAAATAATAACAGTAATGGAGGAGGACAGCCACCACCTTAATTTTGGTTAATCTTTTAAATGAGTAAAAAAGGATATTTATCATTAAAAAGGCTTGTGTAAAATTTAGGTTGGACGTAAATTTTTTATGTTGCTTTTTGGGGGTTATTATTTCTGCGGTTTTTGGGGGCTGAAAAATACTTTTTTTGGAACTTGGTATCAAGACGTTGTCCTTCAAAATTTCCACTATTAATAGAAAAAATTTACGTCTAATTCATATAACTGTGTTGAGTCGATTCTATTTATAACATTTTAATTATATAAATCAAAAATAATTTTTTTTCTTCAATTTCGCGTTATTTTGCTATTTTTGCTTATTTAATACTTATATAAATTTAGTAAAATTATTTCTTTTTATTCTATTTAGAAATAATTATTCTTTAATTCTGCTCTGTACAATAAATTCAAATGGTTGATACGCAGTATATGTGGCAACATACTTGGCCTAGTTCTGAGATTTTATGTAAGAAAATAATTTTTTTTAAAGAAAATACGCTTTGCAAGGTTGTTGAAATTTTAATTTTTTTTGAGGGATTGCATGTTAGAGATCGGCATGTGAGGGTCCTATACGCGATTTTGTGAGATCCCGCCCAGAATTCTGCTCTAATGTGGGTCTTTCACGTTCGATTTTTTAAAACCAACTCGCGATTTTTCGGTCTCTAATTTTATTAGAAAAATTTTTCTGGGAACACTTCTTCTTTGGAGTTTGTTTATTCGATTAGTTTTCTTTTGGAATTACACAAATTCTGATTTTCTCTATTATCTTTTACCTTAAGCTTGACTCATTTCCAGGCGAATTTATTGCTTCAAATCCAAACATTTGGAAAGGATGTACAGTCATGGAAATTGGTTCTGGTGTAGCTGCACTACCTTCAATGACTGCTTTGCGTTGTGGAGCTTCTAAAGTTGTAATTACTGAACAATCACATTTGGACAAAGTCTGTTTAGGTTAAAAAAATTTCTTTTAAAATAGTTCCGAACCTATTTTCTAGTAGAGATAGGCCTGGATATGGATCCAGACCTTGAATTTTATTGGGAACCATAGTCAAGATCGGCCATCTTTCAGTCTCCCTTGATTTCTTCCTTGGACTGTTTTTTCCCTTGACTCATAGGTCAAACGGCTTTGATCTGGATCCAGGTTTTTCCTTGACCATGGGGGTTTTTTTGATTTTCAAGGTTAAGAATCTGGTATCAAGGTCCTCAACCAAAATCCTTAACCAAGGTCCGAATAAAATTTCCTGTCTTTAGTTTCTCGCTGCTTTTTTCTCATTTTTCTAAAATATTTTTGAAGGCATTCACGTCAATCCGAAACAATTTGGAAAAGAATTTTGATGCCTCCCTTATCGAAAATTGTGTCTACTTGCTGGTTAGCTTTAACTTCTTATTTTTTCAAATCCAATTTTTATTTATCCCTTAGGGTTTTGATTGGCAAAATCCAGAAATTGGAATTACTGAGTTACTCGAAAAATCAATTCAAGTTGATTATCTTTTTGGCTCTGATGTATTTTATGATCCCTGTGTTTTTGAAATTTTAATAAAAACGCTGAGACGGCTATTTGATCTTTTCCCTTTAATGGAATTTTATTTTTCCTACCAAATACGAGAGTAAGTTTCTAATTTTTATTGAGAATAACCTTCAATTCTTATCATAATTTTTGTATAATTTTGTGAAAATTTGTTTGTTGACCTCATATCAGTTAATGAAAAAAATCAGAACTTGTGTAATTCCAAAAAAACTAATCGAATAAATAAAAACAAATAATGGGAAATTAGTGTTGTTTTTAGGGTTGTTCTTGGTTGTCAGTTTAGAACTAACAATAAACCGAAGAATCGATGATTTTTCGGTTCCGGATATAAGAAAGTTTTCCATCCGAAGGTTCTCCAAAAACCAATAGCCCTATAATATACTATTTTTCTACATAACTAATAAAAAAATCCAGTTGTTGTTAGTGGCGTTTTTTTAATTAATTTAATTTTTCTGGCGCACACCCCAAATTTTCTCCCTCACATTTTAATATTGATTTAATAATTCTCACATGATAACACATTCACACATTTTTTTCTATTTTTATAGTTCAGATTGGACCATAGAAGAATTATTATTGGAACAAACAACAAATAATTATTCTTTAATTTCTTCACTTATTCGTTGTGTTGATACTTGTAAACATACAATTTGTATAGGCAAAATTATTAGGTCAAACTATTTATTGGACAGCAAAATGATAAGCAATAATGATAAAGAAGAAATGCAAAATAAATATGAGGAAAATGATGGAAAAATATTTGCAGGGATTGAAGGGTATTTAATTAAAATTTAAAAAAATCAGAATTTATTCTGAAATAAATCGCTTTAATCGCTTTTAGCCGTATCTATATTTTAGTGCGTCTATCTTTTGAGGGGATACGAATTTTTCTATTTAAATTTGTTGTCTAACTCACTATTTTCTTTCTTTATTCTTCTCTATCTTTGTAGGTGTCATTTGCTTTAAATTCCGTATTTCGGGTAGAGGGGACGTTTGAGTATCGTCAATGGAATAGCATTTTATGGCCATAACTTTTTATAATATTAATAATGGAGAGAAAGTTTTATATCTTTCGAAAGGTCTCGAGATGCCGCATCTTTTCTGTAATTAGACTAATCGAATCTAAACATCCTACAGAAAGTTATAAGTGATATACCATATTTCATGCAGAAAAAAAGCAATTTTGTGGCTTTAACTTCTTTTTGGATGTACAGATTAGATAGGTCCAGTTATAAAAAAGGTGCAGAATCTTGAGAGCTTTCGAATGATATGAGAATTATTTGAAGAGAATGAAAATTAAGAAAGTTATGACCATATTTTTTGAGCGTGCTGCGCAGCTACAACTTAGGGAGTAATCCCCCCATTCTTCAGAAATTTTAAATTAATTCTGATTTATAATAGAATATATTAAAAACAGAATATATTTATTAAAAAGTTCATTATGATTTATCAATTCTGATTTTTAAATTAATTCTGATTTATTATTCTGATTTCAATCCTGAAAATTGTGTTTCCCCCTTCTGGTACAGTAACCAATTCGCTCTGAACTGGGGGCACTGAAACGGCCGCAATCGCCGGCATTTAATTATGTTCTCTAACCACTATTTTTTCTATTAATTTTGTTGTCTAACTCACTATCTTCTTTCTTTATTCTTCTCTATCTTTGTAGGTGTCAATTACTTAAATTCCATAATTCTGGTAGAGAGGACGTTTGAGTATCGTCAATGGGATAGCATTTTATGGCCATAACTTTTTATAATATTAATAATGGAAAGAAATTTATATATCATTCGGAAGGTCTCGAGATACCGCATCTTTTTTATAATTAGATTAATCCGATATAAAGAATCTACAGAAAGATATAGGTGATAAACCATATTTCAGTCAGAAGAAAAAGCAATTTTATGGCTGTAACCTCTTTTTGGATGTACAGATTAGATAGGTCTAGCCTGATTTATTAATTATGATTTTTTAATTAATTCTGATTTATTATTCTGATTTTAAATTGTAATAATTGTTTTCCCCCTTCTGATACAGTAACCATTTCGCTCTGAACTGAAGCACTGAAACGGTCGCAAACGACCGCATTTAATTATGTTCTCTAACCACTATTTTTTCTATTAATTTTGTTGTCTAACTCACTATTTTTCCCCTAATTCTTCTCTATTTTTATAGACGTTATTTACTTTTATTCTCATAATTCGGGTAGAGGGGACGTTTGAGCATAGTCAACGGAATATCGTTTTATAGCCATAACTTTTTCTAATATAAATAATGGAAAGAATTTTATATATCATTCGAAAGGTCTCATGATTCGGCATCTTTTTCCTAATTGGCCCGAAATGCTCTGATCATCACAAAAAAAGTTACAACCTGAAAACTGATTTTTTCTGCCTGTGACGACGTTTATAAGTGTTTACTTTTTGTATAATGATCAGTCAAATTATGAAGATGCAGCACACCGAAAACTATCAAATCATAGATAAAGATTTCTATAATATTGATTTAACAAAAAGTTTTGGCCAAATACCCGAAATACTGAATCGGTCGATACTGAATCTATCTTTTGAATGAACATCCTATTTTTACTCAAAAAACTGGTAGAGGGGCCGTTTGAGTATCAGAAAAAGAAATTTCCTGCTTCTCCTTTTAAAAACTAGCAATGAAGAAATAGAAAAATATTAAAATTTAATTTTTAAAAATCAGAAAAATTAATTTTTTCCACAAAATAAAAATATTATTTTTAAAATTTTTTAATCTTGTTTATTTTGATGAAGATCTTGTTGTTGGCGTGGCGTTGATGTAGAAGAGATAATTGCGGCATTTCCAGAAGTAATCATTAATTGTGGAGGAGGCAAACTGAAAAACAAAAAATGTCAGAATTAAACAATATAAGCTTCCCATCTGTCAGGCTAACAGTCTGGTACATAAGTCTTATGGCGCGCCCTCAAAACAGCCCACTAAATATAAACCCCCCAAAAAGATCCTTTTAAAATCAAAAATTTTTTAGGTGTTAAAAAATGTTTTGTAAACACAAAGATTATTTAAAAAAAACCTTTAAATTTGGTTTTTGAGGCCATGATGTATCCAAAGCAACGCCAAAAAATTGCCAAAGTCATCAGTTAACCCAAAACTAAAAGAAAATAATCAATTTACGACAAGAAAAAATGAAAGCATCCAGAGGGTATCGAACTAACGCCCTATCCTGTAGGAACCAGAAACACTACCAACTTAACCACATACGCTTTCTCGTTAACACCATGTTTTTCATTATACGATTATTAAAAACCTATTTTTCCTTTACATGCCAATAAAATATGAGAATTTTGAGATCTAATTCTAGCTATTGGATTAGACCTAAAAATCCTTAAAAATAATTAAAAAAAACCTGAATAAATTCTGCAGCTTCTCTTCTATATTTAATTTCAGCAGCCAAATCCATAGACATTCTGGATGGAAGCCAAGCAAGCTCATCGTTCGCAAAATACCATTTTGGTTTTTTTCCAAGTTTGCTAGATGATGGAACTGGTTCTGTCATCTTTCAAATAAGATCTATAAATTAGGATTGTAAAAATGGAGCTGGCGTGGTCAGTGAAATCGGTTCATCAGTTCCATCCCCGGTAGCCTTAAAACCGGCCATATATTCGTTATATATACCAAAAATAAACCCTTATTGATATAATAGCCGGAAGCAGAGTAAGGGAAAATTTGAAAGAAGTTGACCCTTTTCAAAATTCCCCAAAAAATTTTCAAAAAACCTTAATTAAATCCATAATTAAAAAAGCCAAATCCAAGAGTGAGCCAAATCCAAATCATATATCGGCGTTCCATCCTTTAAAAATCGAATCAATTGCTCACTCTGTTGAAATAAAAAATAATTAATTGTTCAAAACTAAAAAAATATTAAACGTAATTAAACGGGTATTGCATAAATAAATTCAAAAAAATTAAAAATTTAATAAATTATAAAGACTTAATTAAAATATAACAATAAAATTTAAAGAATCATAAGTCAATTAAAATAAAAAATTTTGGGTACAAAAAAGAAAAATAGGAAAATTAAAAAAGACAATTTTTGTAGATAAAAAAATGTAATTTAACAAATTTAAAAAAATATTTAAAAAGGGTCAATATTTTCAATAAAATTCTTTAAGAACACAATGCTTCAAAATATCATATATAAACGGCTTAGTCTCCAGATTATTTCCAAAATTTGCTTGAGCAGAACAACATTTTAATTGCAGTGTTGCTTCATATAAGTCAGAATTGTTCTTTAATAATATACCTTTACCTTTAAAAAAATAAATTTCGTAAAAATTTATCAAATATTTACCAATTTGTTTTCCATTTTGTGTATAAAAAATATAAGGAAATTCTTCAGTTGATTTATTAATTGGAGGATATACCAATCCACAACCAAAAGTATCATTATTGTTATAGGAATAGTTCTCAAATTCAAATTCTTCATTTGTCTCGCTTTCATTTATCGTGCCAGAATTTGCAATAAATTGAATATATTGCTTTGTATTTAAATTTTTAAGAACAATTCCCACAAAATTTTTATTCGCTTCTTTTTCAAATATACATTTAACTTCAAAATAATAAAGAGAATAGAAAGAATTTTGTAGTTTTTTGAATAAATTTTTTGCAGAAGCATTAACGAATTTGTCATAGCCTAAAAATATTTGCAAAACAAATCAAAAAAATTCCATAATTTTTACCTCCTTTCCAATCCAAACTATTTGTATATTTTATATTTTCACGCCCAATTACATTTCCATAGCCATTTCCCAAAGTAAAATCCAAATCAACACAAGATGTATTGACATCTTCTTTTTTCCATTCATTTTTAATTTGAATAAATTTCTTTAAAAAATTATTTGATAATTCTAAAAATTAAAATTTTAAACTAACTGCAAAATTCAAATTATTTTTCTCAACTTCAACTGCATTGCTTGTACTTTGAGTTAATTCATTACTTTGAGTCAATTCATTGTCAGAATCATCAGAACTGTCACTTGGTTTTTCGGTAAAATATTGTTTAATATCATCCAAAGTAGCATCAACTCGACAGACTGGACATTGATTTTTCTAAAATAAAAAAAATAACAGAAAATTATTTAATCAAAAAATTGGTATTTATAAATAAATTTCACCTCTTCAGTAATCCAACGAGTAATGCAATAATGATGAAATTTATGTCCACAATTATTCAGAAAGTAAGCATTTTCGTGATTCAATTGAATTGTACAAATAATACAACGACCAAATTTGTAATAAACCATTTTTAGATTCTAAAAAAATAAGATTTCAAGAATATTTTTACAAGGAGACCGTAAATGCTCTAAGTCTATTCTCTTATAAAAGCCCATCTAATATAAGCCCAGTCATAAATATATATTAAAAAATTTAAGCCCGTATACCAAAATTTAATGAGAATAAATACTAATTTTAATTTAATAAACTAACCTCATGTTTAGATTGCATATTGTTCAATTTAATTTCCAATTCATTATTTTTCTTTTTAAGTAATTCATTTTCATTTTTCTATAAATTTAATTTTAATAATAATTTTAAACTTAGGTTTTAAAAAATTTTTAAACAAAATAATCTATTGATACACATAAGGGATGAGTCAAGTTACCTAAAAACTGGGCTTTTTCGAACCAAAAATTGACCCGAGTTTTTCCTTGAATCTTGGAAAAGTTTCGGCCATGGACAGCTCTAATATTTCCCCCAATTTCTCATTAAAGGTTAAGGAATCAGGTGAACCGAAAACTTGATTTAGACACTAAAAAAAGGATCCTCCTATTACCAGAATTTAGGCCGAAGTAAAATTTCCACTGACTGGACCCAAAAACCCGAAACCCGGGGTTTTTTCGACCCAAGGAATCTTTCAAAAACCGACCCGACTTTTTCGACCCGGTCCATCCCTATCATATAAAAAATCAAACTTGACTGACCAAAGAAACTTGAGGATCAACACTTGGTGGAGGTCCATTAGCATTACTTGACATCTTATCCTTCCTCTTCTTTATTCTTTGTTGTCTGTTGAGGTTCTGGAATTTATTAAATTAATTAGCTTGAATTTTTAAAAATTTGCTTACCGGCCCATGACGCTTCCTCTTCTTTTTGGTCGACTGTAATAAAAAAGCAAATGTTAGAAATTTGAAAAATTTTGATATAATGAAAACATTAATTCTCTAATGAAAATTTTACTCGACCCAAGAATACGAAACTCGGGGTTTTTCGGCTCAAGGAGTTGTTCAAGGACCGACCCGACTTTTTTCTACACCCAGATGAATATATGTACAAAAAAATCAAACTTGACTGACCAACGAAACTTGAGGATCAATACATGGTGGAGGTTCATTGGCATTATTTGCCATCTTATTGTTAGCCTCTCTCCTCTTTTTTCTCTGATGCCTGTTGAGGTTAAACAACTTCTTTTTGGCTGGCTGAAATAAAAAATGAACAAAAATTTGAAAAATTTTGATATAATAATTTTTAATTCTTTGGGATGTAGTGCAGTATACCGGAAGCAAAATTCGATACAAAACATCTCACCGACATAGGTTTACGTTGTTTGTTCTTTGAATCCTAACTGCCCAATCTTGTTGAATCACGGAGATTTTGGGGGTCATTCGCCGCAGAACAAGCTCATTCGAATTCAATGTGTTTTGTATCAAAATTTTACCTCAGGTATACTACACTTCAGCAGTTATTTGGAAAATTTTGAAAAAAAAACCTGCTCATCATTTTTTTGAAGATTGTCAACATTGTTTGAAGTTCCTTCTGAAGCCATTTTTATAAAATTTTTTTAAAATTTTTTGATCAAGGCTAAAAAAATAAAAATTTGAAAAAAATTCTTTTCAAATAGAAAAAAGGTCCAAAGGTCAACTGCCCGCCCCCTCCCGAAAAAGAATGGAAAAAAGAAGGAATTTTTATTTAATAAGGAATTAAAATTCTTAAAAATATTCACCGTTTTTAAACGGATCTTACACAAAATTAAATACCAAAAAAAAATTAATTTTAAAAATTTATTCAGAAAAAATTTAATTTTTAAAAATCAAAAAAATTAAACAAACAAATACATTTTTGCACAAAAATAAAAAATATTTTTAAAATTTTTCAATCTTGCTTATTCTGCTGAAGATCTTGTTGTTGTTAAAGTTGACGTGGTGGTGTTGATGTAGAAGAAACAACAGCAGCATTTCCAGAAGTAATCATTAATTGTGGAGGAGGCAAACTGAAAAAAACAAAAATTTTTAGGAACACTTATAAAAATAATGAAAAATAGAGAAATATATTAAAGGCAGCATCTATGACTCGAAAAGCCTCAGAATTTACCAATTGAGAATAAGGGTATCCCGGACATGTTTTATTAAATACCCCCAAAGAAAGGAGAAAAGCCCTCTATGGGGTAGTTGAGAAAATTCAAAGGAAAAAATTTTTCCAAACCTTAGAAAAGAAGGAATACATGTAGAAGTAACAATGGTTGATTGTTGCTGTTGTTGTTCCAAATGTTTTAACGGACTGGAAGTAGTACAAGAGAGGACATTGGAAGAATTAATTATAATTTGTGGTGGAGGTATTAAACTGAAAAATTTAAAAAAAATAAAAAGATTTTTAAAGGGTTCGAAATATTGTTTTGTAATATTTGATAGCAATCCTCTTGCTTTGAGAGTTTACCGGAAAACTCGAAAGCAAAAAAGGTTTTTGCACTTTGGTTAAGTGGGAAAATTTTTAAAAATAGGGGAAAGGTTCGAACCCGCTCAGGGTAAATTTTTTTCAAAATTACAAAAAAATTTAACTAGAAACAACAAATGATTTACGGATAGAAAATATTAAAAAAAATCTTTTATAAACCTAACAAAGAAGGAATAACAGTTGATGTTGTTGTAGTAGAAGCAATACATTTGTATTGATTGTTGTCGCTGTTTTGGCTGTTGTTTATAATTTGTGGTGGTGGAACAAAAAAATGAAGCCAATGTTGATGGAGGAGCAATTTGTGAAAGCCGATTAATTGACAATTCAGGATTTGAAGAAGGCGAGGAATGCGGCCTTGAAACTTCTACTAATAAATTTGGAGGAGGAATTTATGTATCAGGAAGTGAATTGGACTGCAAAATTGGAAAGATTAAAAATTATTTGGAGATTTAAAGAAAAAATGTATAAAAAGATGAAAATCTGGGACGGGCACTGCCTTATTTTAAAAAGCTAATGGGAAAAATGAGTAAACCCCAGAGCTTTCGATTGGTATAATGCTAACTATGAATCATAAAAGTTATGACCCAAAATATGACTTCAAACAGAAACCTCGAAACTGAAATTTCTTAAACGGGATATCCTAATCGAATTTTTGAACCCAAAAATCAGCTTGGCACAAAAACAGTTTTTCCAGCGAAGACTAAAAACCAACAGGCTAAAAGCAACAGGTTATTCTACCGCGAGGTAAATAATAAAAAATTCAATAACAAATTGAATAATAATAAGTTTTGTTATTTATTTGGCAAAACAAGCTTTTTTCCACGGTTTGGCGATTCAACAGCTTTTGGGGGTTTGGCAAAACAAGCTTTTCGTATTTCAAGCTTTGGCGAAACAAGCTTTTGGCGAGATAACACGATACCGAAAATTTGGAGGAGGAGGGAGACTATTGTGTGAGAGTAACAATTTCCAGTTGGCTAAGTGGGTTAATTCCCAGTTCTTCCCCAGGAAGGGTCATGATAGGTTTAAATCCTCTCACAATCAGTGAGCAAAAGCAATTTTAATAAGAAAACAAAAATAGCAAAAAACAAAAACCTGAGCAAAATTATAAAACTTCACTGAGCAAAGCTTTTGACCTTTCTTTACATCGTTTTTCGCCTTCTTGAGAGAGTTGACGCATTTCTGCAAGTAAGCCATTGTGGCAAACCTTGCTTTTTTGTTGAGTCAGTAATGAGTCTGCTGTATTTGCTGTAAATCTAAAAATTGAAATTATAATATTTAAAGGTGTAACTTAATTAAAAAACCTGTTGTAAAGCCTGTTTGTATTCTTTAATTAAAGCAGCTCCGACCTTATTAGCAATTTCCTCTCGGCGTTCTTAATTTTAAAAAGTAGGTTATTCATACTTTTGTTAATCTCTAATGCGAGAATTTAAAAAATAAAAAGAAAAACACAAAGGGAAAAACACACACCTTATCCTTCTAAAATTTAGGCATTTACACTTAAACAGGGAGAAGATTTTCTAAGACTTATTCCCCAGTCCTTAATTTATTTCTTTAAAAATTTTTAAAAACAAACCTCTAGTAATTTTTGGTACCGGTACATACAACATAAATCCATCCGCTTGGATATTCACATGTTCACCAACATTTGATTGGAGGGCATCACGAGCAGATTTCATAGCCTCCAAATTATCAACAAAATTAATAGCTATCGCTGTTGGATTCCGCATAGTTATTCGAGCAAATTTGAAGAGTTTGTGGGTCTAAAATGAGAAGAGAAATTTAAAATATTTTTTTTGAATTTTTATTCGGTTATGAAAACTCCCCCTCCTACCTGCCTTGTTTTTCCTTAAAAACTAAAAAAAATCCCCAAACCTCCCCACTTTGCAAAGTAACAGGAATATCTTCATAAGTCTTCAAATTCACTTCAAGCGTCAAATGCTTTGAAATGTTGTCTTGTAAAATTTGATAACAATCCTTCAATTCTTTACTTGCTTTCTGTGCCAGTCCAATTGTTGAAAGTTTGCTGGAAAAATCAAAGTAAAAAATTTACTGCATTTGGTTAAGTGGGTAAATTTTAAAAATGGAGGAAGGTTCGAACCCGCTCAGGGTAAAATATATTTTTTCTTGAAAAAATGGAAGCTATCTCCACAAATATTTAATAACAAGCAAAAATAGTTAAAATCAAAAATTTTTGCCTCTCAAATTTTGCCCAATTTTTCATAAATTTTCAAAGTAAAATTAATTACCCCTCTTTGCCTAGTTTTTCGTCGTCCATTTCACTAAAATAAAAAAATTAAACATTAAAAATAATTTTGAATTAACCTTGGAGTATACATTTTTTGTTTTGACTTTGAAGACTGATATGATTTGGTTCCATAATTCTTTGTAATAATTAATTGATTTTGCTTAAAATTTTGGGCAAAATTGAAGTATAAAATAGCTCTGCAAGCGAATAATAAATTGTTTGATCGAATAGAACGAAGCATTTTCTATTTCTAGCTGAAATAAAAATTTTTAAATGATGGAGGTAGTGTCCCTCTATTGTGGCCCGTTGCGATTCAAACGTTAGCCATTTCCTAAAAACCAAAATCCTATCTCGACCGAACAAACAGAAAAACCTGAATAAATTCCACAAATATTTATGTTCAGCAGCCGAATCCATTGACATTCTGGATGGAAGCCTCGCAAGCTCATCGTCCGCAAAATACCATTTTGGTTTCTTTCCAAGTTTGCTAGATGATGGAACTGGTTCTGTCATCCTTCAAGTAAGATCTATAAAATTAAAAGATGAAAATAAGTAATCAAAGCTGTAGATTTTAGCGATGAAGGGGTGGGTCTAGCCAAGAACTATACCCAAAAACGCTTGATTGATTTAAATGCTAGAGGTTAAGAGAAAATAGGAAGGAAACTTTTGAATAGCGTTGTCAGTTCTTCGAGAATTTTGGAGTTCCGAAACCAAACCAGAAATCATCGTTTTTTCAGTTCGGTTCCGAATCGATCTTACAAGGTTTTCCAATTATATAACTAAAAATAAACCTTCGCTAGAGGGAGGACAAGGGAAAATAGGAAATAAAACTGTTCAAAATTCCCCAAAAAATTTAAAGAAAACCTTCATTAAATCCGCTATTAAAATAATCGGGATCAGCTCCAGGCTTTTTCCAAGGTTCTCTTCCATTGTTCTCTTCTACCCTTTTAAAATCGATTGTTCCATTAATTGAAAGAAAAAATAAACAGTTAATTTTTCAAAATTTTTAAAAATATTCACCGTCATTAAACGGATAGTATGTACTTAAGGATATATGAAAATATTTATTTAAATAAAATATATATTAAAAAATTTTTTTAATAAATTATAACTATTTAATTAAAAATAAGATTTAAAAATTGTGTCAAAAAATTTCGTCTAATAGTCTTGAAGTTTAATAAAATTCTTTAAGAAGAGAATGTTTTGTAATGTCATAAATAAAAGGTTTTGTCTCCAAATTATTTCCAAAGTTTGCTTCTATTGAACAATGTTCCAATCCAATACATGGTTTATATGAGTCAGAATTATGCGTTAATAATACCGCTTTGCCTTAAAAACAATTTTTGTAAAAATATTTTCTTATCAAATATTTACCAATTTGTTTTCCATTTTGTGTAAAGAAAGCATATGGAAGTTCATTTGATTTATTAGTTGGAGGATAAACTAATCCACACCCAAAAACGTCGTTTATGTTGCAAGAAAAATTACCATTTTTAAACGATTCAGATTTTTCGTTTTTAATTGTTCCATTCTGTGCAAGCATTTTAACAAAGCCAGTTGTCATAAAATCATTGATACAAATCATAATACATTTTTCTTTCTCATCTGTTTGGAATATACATTTAATTTCAAAATAGAACAAAGAATAATTAAAACAATTTTGTGGTTTTTTGAATGAATTTTGAGCCACAACAAAAATGAAGGAATCAACACCTAAAAATATTTACAAAAAATTAAAATTAAATATAATTTTTACGGGACTTGGCTAGAAGGCTAAATTTTTGGCGATAATAACACTCGTATGATCGTCTAAATTCTCTAAAAATTCCAGAATTTTTGAGCAATAATTTCAGAAATTATCGCCAAAAATGTTGATTCTCCGAAAAGCCTAATTATTTGAAATCTATCAAACATAACTTGAAAAATAGTTGACAAAAATTCTGAAATTTCTTGAGGAGATAGTCAAGAGTGTTAAAGAAATTTGAGAAAATTTTCATGAATTTAGATTTCCCCTAAGTGTCAGTTGCTAGTCCAACGGCCCCAACCCATTTTTACCTCCTTTCTCCTCCAAGCAATTCATATATTCAACATTTTCATCATTAATTACTTTTCCTGATCCATTTCCTTCAATACAATTACCAATAGGTTTGTTTGTATTTATACAATTATTTGAACAACATAAAAAAGTATTTTTCCTCCATTTATTTATAGATTGAACAAATTTCTTTAAAAAATTATTTAATAATTCTAATAATTTATTATAAACAAACCACAAAATTCAAATTATTATTCACAACATTAACCAAATTGCTTGTACTTTGAGTCAATTCATTGTCAGAATCATCAGAACTGTCACTTGGTTTTTCGGTAAAATATTGTTTAATATCATCCAAAGTAGCATCAACTCGACAGACTGGACATTGATTTTTCTAAAATAAAAAAAAATAACAGAAAATTATTTAATCAAAAAATTGGTATTTATAAATAAATTTCACCTCTTCAGTAATCCAACGAGTAATGCAATAATGATGAAATTTATGTCCACAATTATTCAGAAAGTAAGCATTTTCGTGATTCAATTGAATTGTACAAATAATACAACGACCAAATTTGTAATAAACCATTTTTAGATTCTAAAAAAATAAGATTTCAAGAATATTTTTACAAGGAGACCGTAAATGCTCTAAGTCTATTCTCTTATAAAAGCCCATCTAATATAAGCCCAGTCATAAATATATATTAAAAAATTTAAGCCCGTATACCAAAATTTAATGAGAATAAATACTAATTTTAATTTAATAAACTAACCTCATGTTTAGATTGCATATTGTTCAATTTAATTTCCAATTCATTATTTTTCTTTTTAAGTAATTCATTTTCATTTTTCTATAAATTTAATTTTAATAATAATTTTAAACTTAGGTTTTAAAAAATTTTTAAACAAAATAATCTATTGATACACATAAGGGATGAGTCAAGTTACCTAAAAACTGGGCTTTTTCGAACCAAAAATTGACCCGAGTTTTTCCTTGAATCTTGGAAAAGTTTCGGCCATGGACAGCTCTAATATTTCCCCCAATTTCTCATTAAAGGTTAAGGAATCAGGTGAACCGAAAACTTGATTTAGACACTAAAAAAAGGATCCTCCTATTACCAGAATTTAGGCCGAAGTAAAATTTCCACTGACTGGACCCAAAAACCCGAAACCCGGGGTTTTTTCGACCCAAGGAATCTTTCAAAAACCGACCCGACTTTTTCGACCCGGTCCATCCCTATCATATAAAAAATCAAACTTGACTGACCAAAGAAACTTGAGGATCAACACTTGGTGGAGGTCCATTAGCATTACTTGACATCTTATCCTTCCTCTTCTTTATTCTTTGTTGTCTGTTGAGGTTCTGGAATTTATTAAATTAATTAGCTTGAATTTTTAAAAATTTGCTTACCGGCCCATGACGCTTCCTCTTCTTTTTGGTCGACTGTAATAAAAAAGCAAATGTTAGAAATTTGAAAAATTTTGATATAATGAAAACATTAATTCTCTAATGAAAATTTTACTCGACCCAAGAATACGAAACTCGGGGTTTTTCGGCTCAAGGAGTTGTTCAAGGACCGACCCGACTTTTTTCTACACCCAGATGAATATATGTACAAAAAAATCAAACTTGACTGACCAACGAAACTTGAGGATCAATACATGGTGGAGGTTCATTGGCATTATTTGCCATCTTATTGTTAGCCTCTCTCCTCTTTTTTCTCTGATGCCTGTTGAGGTTAAACAACTTCTTTTTGGCTGGCTGAAATAAAAAATGAACAAAAATTTGAAAAATTTTGATATAATAATTTTTAATTCTTTGGGATGTAGTGCAGTATACCGGAAGCAAAATTCGATACAAAACATCTCACCGACATAGGTTTACGTTGTTTGTTCTTTGAATCCTAACTGCCCAATCTTGTTGAATCACGGAGATTTTGGGGGTCATTCGCCGCAGAACAAGCTCATTCGAATTCAATGTGTTTTGTATCAAAATTTTACCTCAGGTATACTACACTTCAGCAGTTATTTGGAAAATTTTGAAAAAAAAACCTGCTCATCATTTTTTTGAAGATTGTCAACATTGTTTGAAGTTCCTTCTGAAGCCATTTTTATAAAATTTTTTTAAAATTTTTTGATCAAGGCTAAAAAAATAAAAATTTGAAAAAAAATTCTTTTCAAATAGAAAAAAGGTCCAAAGGTCAACTGCCCGCCCCCTCCCGAAAAAGAATGGAAAAAAGAAGGAATTTTTATTTAATAAGGAATTAAAATTCTTAAAAATATTCACCGTTTTTAAACGGATCTTACACAAAATTAAATACCAAAAAAAAATTAATTTTAAAAATTTATTCAGAAAAAATTTAATTTTTAAAAATCAAAAAAATTAAACAAACAAATACATTTTTGCACAAAAATAAAAAATATTTTTAAAATTTTTCAATCTTGCTTATTCTGCTGAAGATCTTGTTGTTGTTAAAGTTGACGTGGTGGTGTTGATGTAGAAGAAACAACAGCAGCATTTCCAGAAGTAATCATTAATTGTGGAGGAGGCAAACTGAAAAAAACAAAAATTTTTAGGAACACTTATAAAAATAATGAAAAATAGAGAAATATATTAAAGGCAGCATCTATGACTCGAAAAGCCTCAGAATTTACCAATTGAGAATAAGGGTATCCCGGACATGTTTTATTAAATACCCCCAAAGAAAGGAGAAAAGCCCTCTATGGGGTAGTTGAGAAAATTCAAAGGAAAAAATTTTTCCAAACCTTAGAAAAGAAGGAATACATGTAGAAGTAACAATGGTTGATTGTTGCTGTTGTTGTTCCAAATGTTTTAACGGACTGGAAGTAGTACAAGAGAGGACATTGGAAGAATTAATTATAATTTGTGGTGGAGGTATTAAACTGAAAAGTTAAAAAAAAATAAATGAAAATTGTAAATTGAAAAGATTTTTTAAAGGGTTCGAAATATTGTTTTGTAATATTTGATAGCAATCCTCTTGCCTTGAAAGTTTACCGGAAAAATCGAAAGCAAAAAAGGTTTTTGCACTTTGGTTAAGTGGGAAAATTTTTAAAAATAGGGGAAAGGTTCGAACCCGCTCAGGGTAAATTTTTTTCAAAATTACAAAAAAATTTAACTAGGAACAACAAATGATTTACGGATAGAAAATATTAAAAAAAATCTTTTATAAACCTAACAAAGAAGGAATAGCAGTTGATGTTGTTGTAGTAGAAGCAATACATTTGTATTGATTGTTGTCGCTGTTTTGGTTGTTGTTTATAATTTGCGGTGGTGGAACAAAAAAATGAAGCCAATGTTGATGGAGGAGCAATTTGTGAAAGCCGATTAATTGACAATTCAGGATTTGAAGAAGGCGAGGAATTGTGGCCTTGAAACTTTTACTAATAAATTTGGAGGAGGAATTTATGTATCAGGAAGCGAATTGGACTGCAAAATTGGAAAGATTAAAAATTATTTGGAGATTCAAAGAAAAAATGTATAAAAAGATGAAAATCTGGGACGGCCACTGCCTCATCTTAAAAAGCTAATGGGAAAAAGATTAAATAAACCCCAAAGCTTTCAGTTAGTATAATGATAACTTAACTCGGAATCATAAAAGTTATGACCCAAAATATGATCTGAAACAGAAACTGAAAATTCTTAAATGGGATTCCATACCCAGGTTTTTAATAAACCTAATTCAAATAAAAAAACCGTTTTTATCTGTTCCAAATTTGTATTAATTAATGGATTAGCAATAAAGAATTTTGTAAAATACTGCTCTCCACAAGTCTTTATCAATTTTCAAAACACAATCGTCAAACAAAGCTTGTTTAAAATAATAACCAAAAGACGGTGTTTAAATTTTAATTTAAAGAATACACGAAAAATACTAGGCGCATGCCTTTTTTAAGTGAAAATTCAGTTGATAACCCGTCAAACAAATAGAAGATAAAGCATATATTATAAAAGCAGAGAAGCAATTTTGGTCGAATAAAGAGTCTTTTGCACATCAGTATCCTGCTTTCTCCAAGAAATCTGCCAAAGATTCGATAGCCCCACGAACATCAGCACCAGCAGCCGCTTCACCCTCATAAATAGCAATCAACACTGCTGACTTGGTTTTAGCAGCAAAGAACCTAAGTTTGAAAAATGAATAAATTGTAAACTGAAGACAAACCCAGTCTTGTCCTTCTTGCCAAAAATGAGGTTCTCCTCAGTTCTCGGTACAATGTAGTGAACACCTAAAAAGATAAAGTCAAACATCAACAATTAAGAAACCGGTAAAATTCAAGTACGTACCCCCTTTATTCCTCAAAGTATTAAAAACGGTCAGGCTATATAACTGTACGCCAATAGGGACAAAGAGTAAATTAAGGAAACAAGCAACTTCTACCCTCGTTGATACTTTGAAGAAGGGATGGAGTCGAACTAGAATTATACAAAGAAAACCTTCTAGATCTGCGCCAGTTCCTGGAACACTATCAAGATTGTCAAAGAGACCAACAAACTTCTTGAGTTCCGACTCAGTGGCCTATAAAACAAATAGAACTAAAAATATTAAAAAGCAAAAAACCTTAAATTCTTTGTCACCTTCCGTTCTAGCCCAAACACTCCCTCCATCAGTAAGTCCAACAATTGCAGCTCTGGAGATAACATTGCAGCTGTCAGTCAGAGTTTGGATGTATGCAACCCAGCCGCTCATATTGAATCAACGATTGAAGAAAATAAAAAAAATTCAAAATATAAGGAATAGAGAATATCTAAAAAACAAAAAAAAATTCTAATTAAATATTGAAAATAATAAATAAAAAATAACACTAAAAAATCGGGAAACGGACACATAATCGCGAGCCACTTATTCAAAAGCCACTTAATCGCAAGCCACTTATCAACAGAAAATATTCTTGTCTGCTTCAAATTCATTGCGATTATTTGCCTCTGTGAACAAAGGGAAAAAAACAATGGAGAAGGTGATCCGTCAGAAAAGCGACGTCATCTAGAACAAAAATCAATAACCAGAGAAAAAAATAGAATGTTCTAGAAAATTATTAAAAATACAGTAATTTTTCTCGTTTTCTATTATCTCGCAAAAATATGACGTCACTCTTTTCTCTCTTTCTCTAACTCCACATAAAAATACTTTTCGTTTCGAGATTAATGCACATCAATATAATTTTCGCAAAACTAATTTGTTTGAATTAAATAAACTCGACAGGTAACTAGAGTTGAGTTTATTGGAGACATTGGATTAACGGTGAATAAATTAAATAGAAAAAAATAAATAGTTGTAAAGAACAACCTGATTATCAAAATAAACAAGATTATAATTTAAAAAAATTTTTATTTTGTTCAAAAAAAATTCAAAATTAAAATTTAAAATTTTTTTTAGAAATTATTCTTTCTATTGCTTCTTTTTCCGACGTCGAAACAGCACTTCTGTTGCAGGCTTTTCCCGATTGCTATAGGAAGGAGATGATGGTGGTTCGCTCATTTCCATTGCAAAACTCGGCGCCTTTATGTGTGAGACTCCGCAGTCCTAAAAAAAGAAAATTTTTTTAAATTTAGTTCAAATATAAGTCAAGAGCTACCGAAGGGCAATAGCTTGCAGGCTCTCCTGGTTCTCCAGGCGTTCCAACCATTCCATTTTCTCCCATAATTCCATTTGCTCCCGGGGGTCCAGGCGGACCAACAGGGCCCGGCTTTCCAGGCAGACCAGTGTCTCTATAAAAATTTTAAACTCAAGGCTATAAAATAATCTTTAAAAAATGCCTGCTTGCTTTTCCTTGACTTCCAAGAGGTCCTTTAATTCCAGAAGGTCCAGGAGGGCCCTGAGGACCTTTAATGCCGATTCCTGAAAAAATAACTTTTTCAGAACACAAGAAAATTTAAAAGATACCAGAAATAACTTGGTCACCAATTGGCCCTTTCCTTCCACATGGGCCTTTTATTCCCACATTGCCTGGAGGTCCTTCCTTTAAAAAAGTTGATAAGAAAGTTTCTTAACTAGGAAATTCCTACCCTTCCATAAGGGCCATCAATTCCACTTTTGCCCGGTGGACCTTGTTCTCCATAAGTGCCTGGCTCTCCACTCATCCCTCTTTCACCTTGAGGGCCTCTGAAAATTATTTTTAAAAACTATACATAATTCCCTTTTCAACCTTTGCCCAGGTGGTCCAGCCGGACAGATCACACAAGGCATATCTGCTTCTGGTTGTAATTGAACATCAAAACCATCTTCTCCTGTTGGACCTTGTTTTCCTGTCTTTAAAAATATTTAAAAGAATTTTAAAAAATATTTTACATCTCCAGGTGATCCGTCAGTTCCTGCGGGTCCACTCGGTCCCGGCAAGCCTGTCTGACAAGTCAACGAATGGCAGCCTGAAATATATTTGGCGTTTTGTTATTTTCCAAGTTCAGAACCTTGACAACTTTGTTGATGCCGTGGTGATCTAAAGGACCTGCTTGAAGTTTCGTCTTCTTTTTCAGCTTCACTTTGAATCATCATCTTTTCATTTATCATTAGCTTCCAGGCTCGATCCGAATTTTGCTGCAAGAATATTTTTAAATAACCATCTCTTTAAATCATTTTCACTCTCTCACCTTAAATTGAATGGCTCTTCTCTCTATATTTGATCTCAACTGATTAGCCTGGAACAGTATCATCGGAACTATTAGTAGAATACCTACAAGTGTTAATGTACTAGCTAGAATTCCTACTTTAGCTATTAAATTAAGCAGATTTGGAGAAGTAAACGAATACTGCTCTTTATCGTTGTTGTTCATGCTGCTGACTATTGAAGCTTAAAAATTTCAACAAGAAATATTTTTAGCTTCTGAACTCTTTTAAATACAGATCAACTTCAACAAAAACCCTCCAACATCCTTTCACAACCCCCAAAACCCCGCCTTTCTTTTTTTAAAAGAAATTTACTTTTAATTATGCAATTATATCAATCAAATTTAATATCCTTTATTTTCTAAATCTTTGTCTGAATACTTTTGTTTGATAAAAAACAAAGAAATAAAAGTGGAATTTTATATTGACCTAATTGACAGAAAATAACGGAAATGGATTTATTTTTTATTTTATATCCAATGAAAGTGAATAAAAATTACAAAAATCCAATTAAGGATTAATTGAGAAAGGGATAACAAAGGATAAGAGTTAATTTCAATTTCAAAACGTCACTGTTCCAAGATGCCCAATTTATTTAAAAATGGCAATTATTAAACTTTTAATTGTTAGTTTTATTTATTTATTACACAAACCCTTCCCTTTTTACTAATTTAACAATAAGGATCAAAGGATTAGACAGTTGTTCTACACGAGGACTACTTTCACATACTATTGATAGGCGGAAGTAAAACGTTCTTTTGCTCTTTTTTTACGTTTCTCTCCTCAAAATTAATTTTAAAAACTTAATTTCCAACAATTATTAAATCCCTTTAAATGCATGCAAACGGTGGAAGTGCCTATTATTACCAACAACCAAGATTTGGAACACTTCCCCCACTTTCTTCTTCCTCTCCCCAATCCCATCATTATGCCACTAGTACAATTTTGGATGATGAACCAGTGTGGGCTAGAGCAGATACAATAGATCCTAGACAAAGAAGTCCCCCTCCCCATGGATATCAACCTCCTTCAGTCCGTGGGGCAACACCCCAACAAATGACTGTAGTACATTCGAGTGCTAAACCTGTACCAGATTCTGATATTTATAGGTATCTTAACAGAAATCTTTGGAAAAAAATTTTTTTAATTTAAAAGGGTTGGGATTTATGGTTGGAGGAAACGTTGTTTGTATGCATTCATTCTTGCCCTAACCCTTGTTGTTTTTATAAACTTGGCCTTTACATTTTGGATTATGACTGTACTTGACTTTTCGTTGGTATTAAAATTATTCTCAAACCCATCAAGGGAAAACATTTAAAATTATAGGGAGGAATGGGCGCCTTGAAGATTGAAGAGGACCGTATAAGAGGTATTACTAAAAACTCTCTTATTAAATAATATAAAAATTTTACAAAGAAAAGTGGTTGGACGATCGGAGTTTGAAAAGCCTGTACAATTCTCTCAATTGAGTAGCGCTGACGTTAGAGCTTTTTTCTTACTTAAAACATTTTTTTAACTTTAAAGGATCAAGCTCTCTCGATAGATTCAGCTTTAGGAGTTTCCATTAGCGCTCATAACCACACAGGGCATTCAACAGCCGCATTACATTTACAACCCGATGGGAAAGCACAAATGATTTGTGACCGTTTTGAGGTGTTAGATGAACAAAAAAAGTCACTCTTTTTTGTTGACTCGAATGAGATTGGATTGAAGCTCGAAAATCTTCGGATATTAGGTAGGCTATTTGAAGGAGGAGAGGGGACTATTGAGTGAGAGGAACAATTTTTCGTTGGCTAAGTGGGTTAATTCACACTCTTTGCGAGACCCGAAAAGGGTCATGGGATCGAATCCTCTCTTTGAGCAAAAACAATTTTAATAAAAAACAAAAATATCAAAAAACAAAAACCTGACTGAGCAAAAATTATAAAACTTCACTGAGCAAAGCCTTTGACCTTTCTTTACATCGTTTTTCGCCTTCTTGAGAGAGTTTACGCATTTCTGCTAGTAAGCCGTTGTTTAATCGAATAGGTAAGTCTTCTTTTTTTGTTGAGTCGGTAATGAGCCTGCTGTATTTGCTGTAAATCTAAAAATTGGAATTATAATATCTAAAGGTGTAACTTAATTAAAAACCTGTTGTAACGCCTGTTTGTATTCTTTAATTAAGGCAGCTCCAACTTTATTAGCAATTTCCTCTCGGCGTTCTTAAATTTTAAAAATTAGATTGCTCATCCTTTTGTAATCTCTAATACCAAAATTAAAAGAAAAAAACTCAAGGGAGGTCGACCCTATCCTTCTAAAATTTAATTATTTTCATTTATCCAAAAAGAAATCCTTTTTAAAATTCATTCCTCCAGTCCTCAACTTATTCCTTTAAAAATTTTTAAAACAAACCTCTAGTAATCTTTGGCACCGGTACATACAGCATAAATCCATCTGCTTGGATATTCACATTTTGTCCAACAGTTGATTGAAGTGCAGTACGCGCTGACTTCATAGCCTCCAAATTATCGACAAAATTAATGGCAATTGTTGTTGGATTGCGCATAGTAATTCGAGCAAATTTGAAGAGTTTGTGGGTCTAATCGAAAATTGGAAAAGAAATTTAAAAATATTTATTTTGAATTTTTATTCGGGTATGGAAAAAATTCCCTAGATTTTTCCGGCTTTATCTTCCCTTAAAAATATAAAAAATCCAAACCTCCCCATTTTGCAAAGTAACAGGAATATCTTCATATGTTTTCAAATTCACTTCAAGCGTCAAATGCTTCGCAATATTCTCTTGTAAAATTTGATAGCAATCCTTCAGTTCTTTATTTGCCTTTTGTGCCAGTCCAATAGTTGAAAGTTTGCTGAAAAAAGACAAATAAAAAATTTCGTCCACTTTGGTTAAGTGGGATAATTTTTAAAAATAGGGGGAAGGTTCGAACCCGTTCAGCGCAAAATATTTTTCTTTTGTAAAAATCTATGTTATCCCCATAAATACTTAATAACAAACGAAAATAGATTTGAAATCCTCAATTTTCGCCCAATTTTAACAAAATATTAAAAATAAAATTAATTACCCCTCTTTGACTACTTCTTCCACGTCGTCGATCTCTCTAGAAATTAAAATAATAAATTTAAAAATAATTTTGAATTAACTAAACCTTAGAGCATTCATTTTTTGTTTTGATTTTGACGAGTGATGAGACTTGGTTCCATAATAATTTGCAATAATTAATTGATTTTGATTGAAATTTTGGGCAAAATTTAAGTTTAAAATAGCTCTGCAAGCGAATAATAAATTGTTTGATCGAATAGAACGAAGCATCTTTAATTTTTATTTTTATCTGAAATGAAAAAAAATTAATTTTAAGATGATGGAGGCAGCGTTTTTGAAGGTGCAATACAAACAGGTAGATAAAAAACAAACAAAACGCCAGAAAAAAATATTTCTCGTTAAAAAACCGAAAAATAAAAATACAAGAAATAATTAAAGAATAAAAAAAATTAAGCAATTATACGCCCTGAACCTGACAGTCATCTCAGGTATCAGAAATAAAAATTTTTGGAAAAAAATTAAAATTTAAAAAGAATCGAATCTCCAACACGCAGTTTAATTGTTGAAGCAGGTCAAGATATAGAAATGTTAAGCAGTGCTGGAGAAATACACATAAACTCCTTGTTCGATATTCAATTAAGAGCAAAACAGGTCAATTATTTGACCGTTTATTCTTTAAGAACGATATTCTGATACCCCATCCCCTCCCAAATAATTTGTTCGAAAACTTTCTAGGGAAATATCCGCCTAGAATCCAGCAACATATTCATGTCTGGTCTAGAAAAAAGTATGGGAGTTGGAGGTGCTTCACAATACCAATTATGTGTTTGTCAAAATGGGCGCCTATTTCTTGCCAATGAAAGGGCTGATTGTAGGGCAGACAAACAAATATGTTCATGACCAAATGAAATTTTTTCGAATTTTTAAAAATTTTTTGAATAAAAAATTATTTAAAAAAATGTTTAATTTTTTCGAACTCTTTTTGTTGTTTTAGAAACAATTTTTTGTTTACAATTGGGGCAAGTAGGCGCGTTTCGATGTATAAAACTCGGGCAGTGTTGACATTTCTATAGAGAAAAAAAACATTATTTATTTATTTAAACATTTCTAAAACAAATTACCTTCAATTTTTGCATGTTTTGCAAACTTTGTTGTTGCTGTAAATTTAAAGCATTGTGATGTTGGGAAGTTTGTTGTTGTAATTGTTGAAGTCCTTGTTGGAATTGCTATAAATTAGAAACATGTTGCAAATTAAATTGGTTTTAATTTAAAAAAGGGTGGGAAATGTTGAAATGAAAAGAATAGGAAAAACAAGTTTAAAAACAAGTTGGTTAAAACAAGGAAAAACAGGAAAACAAGATGGGAAATGTTTTAATTGGAACGTTGGGAAAACAAGTTGGAACGAAAATGTTTAAAACAAGAAACTTGTTTTTCTGAGAACAAGTTGGAAACAAAATGTTTTTAATAAAACAAACAAGTTGGAAAATGTTTTAACAGAAAATTTATAAAAAGTTGGAAAAAAAGTTCTCCAAACAAACATGTTTTCCCGAAACCACAACTTGTCAAGTTTTAAAAATATAAAAATAAACAAAAACACAAAATTTACTTGTTGTATTGTAGCATTAATAGCTTGTAGCAGAAAAGGCGTTGTTGGAAGCATTGCTGGCGGCCTTATTGTTAGTTGTTGTGTTGTTTGTCTCATTGGAGTTGAGGGAGAATTAAACATTTTTTCTTCAATTTCCCTCAAATTCTTTAAAATTTCATTCTCCTTCTTTTTTAATTCTTTTCTTTGAAGATTACATTTTTGCTGCGAAATTGAAAAACATTTCGCTAATGCTGTTGTATCCTTTAAAATAAAATTTGAAAAAAATTAAAAAATCTGAGTAGACTTAAAGTTTACAAGTCCCTAGAAATCATGAACAGGAAGTGCTTTTCCGATATCTTTTGAGGTTACCAGTAGGTAATCAAGTGTGTGCTGATTGTGAGGCAGACCCGTAACCAGGAGGAAATTGGCCCCCTTACCCCCGGAAAAAATTCTGGCTACGGGCCTATTGTAAGGAGTCAGTGAATCTCCAATTTTTCATCCAAATTCAACCAGCTCGAATTCTGGTCCGATTTTCGAAATTAAATTTGACTGATAAACCTGCTGGCTGGAAACCCTCAAAAATATCTAAAGAGCACTCGCTCATTTTACTAGGGACCAGTAAACTAAAAAATTACCAAAAAACCTCTCCCTCAACTAACCTCTTCAATTAATTTAATTTTTTTCTCATGATTTTCTCTTTCTTCCTTCAATTGCCCATCCAATTCAAAATATTCTTTTGATTCTTCATTTATTAAATTAATTTTATTTTTTGACAAGTCAACTCCTTCTAAATTGTCTTCAATTTCTTTTAATTTTAGCCAAGCTTCTTTAATTAAAAACAAATTATTTGTTATTTTTTGATCCTCATCTTCCTCTTCTTTTTTATAATTTTCCTCTTTTTGATCATTTTCTTGTTGATTTTTACTTATTTCTTCAATTTGAGAATCTTCTCCATTTTCGTTTTTTATGTCTTGTTGAACTACTTCGTCTTCATTCTGCTCCATTTAGAGTCTCTAAAAATCGGAGTCAGATATATCCGGGACAGAGATATCGGGGTATTTTAATGGACGAACAGTTACCCTACTAATCTCGAGATCTACGGCCACTGGATCATGCCAATTGGATATAAAATCAATGGCCCTATTGAAGGAAAAAGTTTTTATGTTGTAGGACCAACGTAAAAAATTAAGAGGTTATTCTTGGCACCGCACTCCCGATTTTTGATCCTCATTCAATTCCAAATATTGTCTGTCCCGATATGTCTCCCCCACCATTAAACCCCGAAAAAATTCAAAAAAATATTTCCCCTTACCTTTTTATTTAAAAACCAAGCTAAATTGATGAGGACGTTTGAAAGAAGCAAAAATAATCAAGAAGGTGAATGAAGAAGAAAAAAACCTTTTTTGTTGTTGAGGATATATTGGAGAATGATTTTCTTTTTTGATGAGCTCATCATTATTTCCTCTTCCTTAAAAAACCAACGGAGCGACAAAAATGGTATTTGTTGTTGAATAAATCGGCTGACACAAAATGCCTGTAATAGGGTAATAATGTATTTATATTTTTATTTATTTTTATGAGGGAAGGCCATTCATTTACATTTTTTATTCACCTCTTATTTTTATATTTTTAATGGATGTTTAGGAAGCGGTTAAAAGAAGGTACAGAAAGGTGAATAAAAAAGTTAAATAAAAAAACCTGGAAGTACAAAAAATATTTAAATTTTCCCAAACATCCACAAACCTTTTTTGCTTCCATAAAGCCATCCAAAACGCCAACAATCGTTCACCCACTCATCTAGAATCTGGAAAAATATAACAAATTGAATTCTAAAGTTAAAAACAATTAAGAAACTAAGCAAACCTTCGTTGTAACAAAAATGAAGCCTCAGAACAGAAACAGGCAACCAAACGTGAAGGGGGCCCGCCAGAAATTTTTGCCCCACCGGCAGAATAACGCAGCTCCACCACCAAAACAACACTTCTTCGTAAAATATAGAGGATTATAAAAACCCTTTTAAATTATTTCAAAAAATTATTTAAAAAATTTGTTTTTCATTTATTCAACTAATTCACACAAATACAAAAAAGTAACTACAAAAAATATTTTAACTAAAAAATACCAAAAAATTTTTTTATTTACAACAAAAATTAATTAATTATTTTTTTCATTTTTTTAAATTTTATATTTCTTTGGCTTTTTCATCAAAATTTAAAAATTTTTTTCAACGTTCTGCCAGCTTTTTTCGTGGTTTCTTTGGGTTTTTTGATCTACTTTTGCATTTACAGTTAGGGCAGACTGGAGCATTTCGATGGATTTGGTCTTGACATGAGGCACAAGTCTAAAACGGGGAAAAATTTTTTTTTAAATAGTCAATATTTAAAAATGTCAAAAACCCCAAGTCGACAAATTTAATAAACTCCCCATAAAAATAAAGAAAACAAACCTTCATTGGAGGTGATTGATGTGTAGTTTCAAGAGCTGCAGCAGCACTTCTTTGAGCAGCATTAGGCACTTTTCTTGCTTGTTGTTCTCGTGCGCGGCTTCTTTTAAAAATTAAATTTTTAAAAAATTTTTAAAATTATTTACAATTCTTCTAATGCCCGCATTGGGAATTGATTTCCTCCTCCAATTTGTTGTTGTTGTTGTTGTCTAATAAAATTATTATGACGAATTGCTTGAGACAAAAGATGATGGTGGTTAGGTTGTTGTGAATTATTAAAATTTAAATGGTTGTTAGTTTGTTGTTGAGTGTTGTTGTTGTTTGCTGCAGCAGCTGCGGCAGCCGTAACAAATTGATGTGTAGTTGCAGCGTGTTGTAACATAAATAGAGCGGCTATTCCATGCTGTAATATAGAGATAGTGTATTTACTATAATAAAGCCTTATGGGGCTCTATATTCAACTAGCCTCCAAGATGGGGCCCACCTCATAGTGGGCCCCTATCTATTTCAGTGTCAACTCGCTCAAAGTGGGACTCTATTCCTGAACGGGTTCTAATTCAGGGGGCACTCTATTTTTCAGCTAGCCTCCAAGGTGGGGCCCTATATCAGGGTGGGGCTTTTAAATAAAAATTATTTTACAAACCAAATTTATTTGTTGCATTGAAGAATCAACATTATTATTATTTGTTTGTGGAAAATTAAGCATTAATGAAGAAGGTGGTGATTGAAGGATTGAGGGTATATTAGCTGTATTTGGTGTTGTGGTTTGTGTCGGAAGTGAAGTTGAATAAATTGAAGGAGAATCGTCTGATAAACGTTGAGAGACTGGATCACGACTAAAAATGTGAGAAAAATTTTTTGGAATTTTTAATAAAAATTTTACGAAAAATACGACATTTTGAGAAATTTTGTAAATGATAAAAAATTTCGAGAATCCGAAATTCCGAAAAATTTCTAAATAACCTATTAAAAGCTGCAGCAGTCACCCCAGAAGGCAACAAATCATCAATTAACGGACATGCCAATTCCAAAAGTTTAGCGCGTTGTTGTAGTTGTGCCAACAGCAAAGGAACGTGAGAACATCTTTCACTTAAATCTGCTTCTGTACGTCGACGTTTTAGGCGCATTTCTTCCAATGCTGGAGATAATTCTTGTCGATCTTCATCAATTTGTCGAATAGCGTCTGTGTGGATACGCTTTTCTGCCGCCAAATCTGCCAGTGTTTGTTTGGCTCTAAAACGAAATTTCTTTTTAATTTCGAGAAAATCCAAAATTTCGCAAAACTTTAAAACGAAATTTCGCAAAATTTCGCAAAAAATTAAAAAACCTCATCAAAAAATTTTCATCTTCCTCAATTTCTTTTAATCCTTCAAGCACTTCACGCTGTTCATTTTCTAATCGTTCAACAGCTTCCCTAAAGAAAGAATTCTTATAAATTAAATTTTTAACCCAATTTTCATTTATTTTCTCTCAACATTTTTGGCAACATTTATTTATATTTTTTATTTTTTTATTTCTTCCCCTTTCAAATGCGCATAAATTAACTTCCCAAAAATATTCACCCATATTTTTTTCTGCGCAATTTTATTCGCTCCCCTATATTTTTTATGTATTGGTCGCTGAATTGTTTGTTTGCTGTCTGGTGCTCATTTAAATAGTTTACTAAATATTTATATTTTTTTGTATTCATTTTTGATATAATTTATTATTTTGATGGGGAAGCAATAACCAAAATAGTCTTTTTTTCTAATTTTTAGAGATTATTTTGAAAAATTCAGGAAAGTTTTTAGAGGTGCCTCCGGGCATCCGAAGCCGAGAAAAGTCCGGTACTGTGGGTATTAGCCTTCATTTTCCCTAATATGATGTGAAAGCCCTATCAGGAGCTGAGAAAGTCCAAAAGCATTGAGAAACATTTACAAAAAATTCCATAAAAGCTCCAAGCCTTTAAAAAATATTCACCTTGCTTCAGCAACACGCAACAACTGTTCAACCACATCTTAAAAAAGAGTTGGTTAGCGTATTTAAATTTTTTTTTGAAAATTTGAAAATCCTTTTATAAAAATCTAAAATTTTCACCATTTTCATTCTCCTCTACCATAGAAGCTGTTTTTGTTTTAGGTGAAGCCAAAAGTGGTGACATTGTAGCTGTTGTCATTATTAATTTTACTGTTGAAGAAACTTAAATTCAATCCTGCTAAATTTATAAAATAAATTTTATAAACATCCAAGAATAATTCATTCATTTATTCCTTATTTGGCAAGCGAAAAGAAAGGCGCAAATAGAAAAGGGCGAGAGATGAGGGAAAATGAAGACTAATACCCCCACAGTAATCTAACAAAATAAAATAAAATGATGATTGGTGTTTCGCGAAAATTTGTTTATATAAAATTAAAGTTTTGAAGACTTCATTCAATTTAAATCTAATTTAAGGTCTCTAGAATTAATTAAACATTTAGAAATTCAATAGGAAAAGATCCCTCTCCTTACTAGGATAATCATAAGGGGGGATCTTTTAGGGTTATCGTAAGTGAAAAAGTTCCCTAGTAAGGAGGAACCTAACCTAAAAATTCTCGGTTCTTCAGTTCGGTTCAGCTCCGAACCGACAACCCTACTCCTTACTAACAATAAGTCCCTCCTTAATTAGAATTACTGGAATTACTGCGTATTCCTTCCCGGAACTAAAATTTTTTAAGTAAAATATTCCACACACAATTAATTCCATACTAAACGGACAACAAAAAGATGCTCAGTTATACAAAATCGTGGAGGCGGAAAAAATTGGCGGGTGACAGAAAAAGATATTTAAAATGCGGTTATAAGCGTCGGAAACGGAAGAAAAATTCATTTTGTTGTTCGGCCGTTGCAAAGAAGGACAACAAAGGTAAAAAGAAGATGATCGGCTGCAAATTGTCCGAAAAAAAATTTTTTGGACAAAAAATAAAAGGAAAATAAATGGGGGGAAGGATGAAGAGGGCAATAAATACAAGGGGATGTGGAGACGGAAAATTGAATTAAAAAAATTTAAAAGAAATTAAAAAAAGGGTGATTCTTCAAATGAAAAAATATTTAAAAAAAATAAAAATTTGTTGAAAAAAAGGACTGTATAGAAAATAATAAGAATATAATGGAAAAATTTAAACTCTTCCGGAAAATTAGGAAAAATCATTTTTCCTCATTTTAAATTGAGGTATATCCAGTATTGTTAGGTGGATCTTAAATTTAATATACAACACTGTATATTATTAAAAGTTTATTTGCATATGATTATGTTTGTTTGATATATTTTCAACAATCCAGATAAAAAGGGGGGAGCACGTATAGACAAAACAGCAATTGATCGGGGGCGGTGGCGGCAAAATGAATTTGATTAATGTGAGAAAAGTGTCGAGGCTTTTACTAAAAATGTGAACAATGATGGGTGAAAGGAAGGAATTGTGTATGAGGGGGTTGAAGGATTGTGACAGAGGGGGGATGATGATGACTGTTGTTTTTGGGGTAAAACTTTTCTGTTTGCAGTTTTTTGGTCGATTGACGCCTTTAACAATGACAAGGAAGGTGTTTGTTGGGAGGAAGGACACCTATATATATTTTGAGGAAGGACACCTATAAGGGCATTTAAAGGCTTTTATTTTTCGAATGAACTTTTTAAAAAGCTTTAAAAACCTGCTCAAAAGGATTTTGAATATTCATAAGATGGTAAAAATGCTAATTTTTAAAGCAAACATAAAATACACACACTTAAGGTGCTTCCAACAGGAACGATTTTTAGGTGGGAAAGGTAAATAGGAAAAATAAAATTTATGGATGGATAGCCTCACCAATATAAAATGAGGTATGGGGGACGACTTTGATTGGGAAATAAAATATTTAAATGTTGGAAGCAAATAAAAAATTTAAAAATGGAAAAAGCCATTGAGATAGGATTGGAAATTTTTTTGCTGATTCAGATCATTATTGGGTTCAATTAAAAATAATATTTAGATTCTGGCCTATAAAGGGGAAGGCTAGAATAAATTTACAAAGATTCGAATAAAGATCCGAATGTAGATATATGCCCAAAAATACCCAAAAATATTCCCAATTTATTTGTTTTAATCATTAATCATTGTCATAAATATTTAAGTCTCCTTTTTCACTGATGCCAACAAAAGATATTAAACTTAAAGGGATATACAAATAAATTGAGTTTGTATATAGTAAAATAGAATTAATAGTTTTCTACTAGCAGATGTCCAAATGAAAGGGGGAAAATTAAATATAAGGAGTAAAAGTGCCAAAATTCTTATTTTTTGCCATAAAAGATTGATGACGGTGGCGGTTAAATTTATTTATTTATTGTTTTGGCACTTTTGTGTGTTTGTGTTTTTATACTGTCCTTTTGGGATAGGCTTTCTTTTAGTTTTATCCAATTTTAGAGAAGAGATATGTAGAAGTATGAGGAGGTTGATGGAGTTTATTGAAATATTAAGGAGGTTGATTTAAAAATTACTTAAAATGTATGGTTCTCAATCTTATTGCCAAAATGGCCCAACTCGGTTTGAAAAATTGAGTAGAGATAGGAAAAAGTTGTAGGCACAAATGAAAAGGATTCGTACTTTTAACCTGAAAAGGAAATGTACGGCCCGACTCGATAAAAATAAGGCTGAAAGTATGCGGCCCGGTCCGAAAAAATTTTCCGACTCGAAAACGGCAACACTAATCTTACAATAAACAAGAAAAAAAATAATGAAAATAAAGAGGTCAAAAAATTAAATTATAAAATCTATGGAAAAATAAAATTTAAAATTTTCTTTAAATAATCTTCAAAAAAGGTCTGTGTATGGAATATTTTAAAAAATTAATTTAAAGTTTAAAAGCACCGGAAATGTTTAAAAAACAAATGAAATATAGGTCTAATAGAAAAATTAAAGATTTAAAATTAATTAATTTAAAACCTATAAAAATATTTTTAAAGGAAAAAATGGTTTTTAATTTGTATTGGAATAAACATATAAAATAAATTGCAACATTTAAGGACGGAAAATGTAATAAAAAAATTTTTTGACTGTGAAAAATGTTTAAAAATAATTCAAAGGGGAAATTGGATAATTAAAAAATGACGAGAAATTGAAAAAACAATTTTTTGGAGGATATAAGGTAAATGATAAGATACCGCCCAATAATATCGAAAAATTTTTTTAAAATATTTTGGCCATATACGGTGAATAAGAATCGTTCCTAGAGGAAAAAATAGAGTGAATGAAATTATGAATGAAAAGATATGACTGAAATATGACTGAGAGTATTAACAACCCCCTCAAGAAACGATTAATTTAAGAGCTGGCATTTGCTCAAAAAACGGTGAAAAAAAATTTAAAAAATAAAAAGTGATCAAAAATAGAAAGAATAAATACTTCCGTTTATTTATTACAAAAAATTTACCCAAAAAATTCATTTATTGTCATCTTTCTATTTTTATTTAATAGTTGATTTCTTGTCAAGGGGCGGAAGGAAAAAATAATAAAAATTAAAGAGTATATCCGGTGCTAAAATGTATGTGAGTATATAGTTTTTATTGGTGTTAAAATAAGTGTAAAAATAAGGTTAGACTAGGGCCTACATAAAATTAATTTTTGTGACCAAAATTTCCGTTTTAATAAGGCTTTAAAGGTTGTGAATTTTATGTTTGTATAATCAAATTTTGTCACCACAAATGAGCTCCTATGGGTTTTCAATTTCCGTGGGGTTCACAAGCATTTCCGATACTAGAGAGTGGTTCCATTTGACTTAGACTTTCAAGAGGATCGAAAAATGTAAATTAAACGGCTTTGGAACCGGCCACTAGCTAAAATAAAGCTAAAAAATTTCGGGGATCTAACGGAAAAGTACCCTTTTTTCAACTAGACTCTCCTCATATCATCCATTCATACCAGCCCTACAAAAAGTAAACGGAAAACCCTAAATACTCATTTTTTTCACAATTCTCAATCCACACTTTTACCGCCACCTTTCCCCCTTCTTTCTCCATTTATCAAATATCGGTGGAGCAACAATATAACAGCCGATATATAAAAAATACTTAAAAAACCCCTCCTTCCTCCTCCATTTCTCCGCCCTTTCTCAACATTAATCACGCATTCATTTTTTGTAAATTGCAACAAAAGACGCCGATTGGACTGCTGCCGATATTGTTGTTGGTTGGTAGAGGGGAAGGAATTGGCGGCTCTCCCCTTTTTACTAAACAAAATTTTGGTGGAAAGGAACCAACAAACGCCTGTAAGTGAAGCGAGACGATGAACAACAACAGAAAAAATGAAGGAGAAACAAATTTTTTAGGGCTATATATTTTTAAAGAGAGGTATAAAATTAATTACTTTTATAGGATAAATGAAAAGTTGTTGTCTGATAGATTAAAGCGTAAAAAATATGTGTGCATGTATTTAAAGAGAAAGGATAAAAAATATATTTTATGTTTATATAAAACATAAATTTTCCGGAAAATGTTTTTTAAAGGTTTAATGACTTAACAGAAATTTTGTGATCAGTGATCGGCCGGAAAAAACGAAGGTGCCGGAAATAGGCACCTTCGTCCAATTAATAGAGCGTCGAAGCTTGAGATTCAGACTTTTCTTGGGGAGTTGTTTCGGTCTTTTCTTAGGGCGAGGTCTTGATGGGGCCTTAGAAGATTTTTCGTTCAGTGGTTGATATTGGAAAATTTTCTAGCCCTGGACAATTTCGAAAATTTGTGAGCCCTCTGAACTATTTCTATTTTTAATATTCGAAAATAATTTTTTATTAAATTTATTTTTAGTATTCCTACCGCTCATCTCCCCCTCATCCCCTTTATGTTGCGTAATAATCCTATTAGAAAAACCCCCAAAACATCCATAAAACCCTTTTCTCTTTTTAAAAAACATTTTCTTTTAGCGCTTTAAAGATAAAAAGGAAGGAAGGAAAGATATATTTTTATAACTCACTTAATAGGATTTATTAATCCCTTTTTAACGCATTTAAGAAAAAGGATATACCGAAAATTGATATCTAGTAGGAATTCTTTGAATGGCAAAAACAATAAAAAAGAACCCTTTTTTAAGAAGAATTTTTATAAAAATTTTTAAAAAATTTTCTGATGTACAAAAAGACGAAAAGGACGAAAACAGTTAAAAAATCAACAAAAATTATCCAAAAGAATATTTTTCAAAAATTTTTTAATCTTCCCAATTCCCCTTTAATTTATGCCTACTTTTTAGACCATAAAGTGCGACTAATGCTGAGACCTTAAGAAAAAAATAAATTCGGGGATCAAAAACTATTCTAACCCTACAAATTAATTAAAAAAATAAAATACCTGTTCGGCCATTCGAATATTTGGTTGTGATATTGGAGAAGAAAATTTTTTATTTGCCACAGAACAAATTGCTGTAAAACGTCCATCTTCTCTTCTTTTTGTCTAAATTATTAAATTTTTTTTAATTTTTAAAATTTTTAATTAAACCGAATTATATAAAGGCTCTGCTAGTAACTTCTCTCGACAATAATTGTGTAGAATGCATTTGGGGGTTGATGCACCTTCAACTCCTCGTTTTAGTCTAGCGCTGAAAATTGAGAGGATTAGTAATTTTATTCATATTAAAAAATTTCTGTAAAAATTTTTTAGGGAGGAGATTAGAGCACGGCACGGGATCCTGACCTGTTCGACTCTAAGAAATATCTTGGAATCCCTGATGCGATTTTGCCGAATTCTAGAGTAAATTTAGAATTCTATCTATAAAAATGACAATTGATCCGAAATAACTGTTAGAATCTTAAAATGTTCATTGTCCCTTTCTCTCATAATTAATCACCCGATTGAAGATCAATTTCCCAATTCTAAATAAGTAAAAGAATCAACTAACGGAGCAAAACTAAGATTTGCCATCCAAACATCATTCAAAAGAACAAAAGTAATTAATCCACCACCAACTTTTTCGATAATTTCGATTTTATTTTCTTGAGGTAATGGTTGTTCACTTATTCTTTTCCTTTGATCAATAACACCCCAAATTGAGCAGATTTCATTTAGGGTTGCTGCATTAACTGTTGCCTTTCCTTTTGGATCAAATTCCTAAAAAAAGTTAGTTTTGTTGAGGGAGAAGTTAGGAGTGTAAATGACAAGGGTTCGGATCAAGGATAGAATGGGATGAGAAAAAGGTAGGTTTCGGGTTTTTTCGAAATTTTATGAAGATCGAGTTTCAGGTCAGTTCGTAAGAAATTTATCGGATAGTTCGGATCGAAAAAAGTACAGTTTCGAGTAACACGTCCCATCCCTGGAACGCTCTCAAGCCAAGGGAAATTATTTCTATGTTTAGCGACCAAAAATCTTTCAATAATTTTCTGCTTAATTTTTTTAGAATTCTTAAAATTTAAATTACTTGTTGGCTGCCCAGTATCCTTTGAACAACATATTTTGCAGCAGTATAATTCTCGTCAAATTGGCTGGCCTAAAACATTCACAAATAAATTTAAAAAAATTAAAATTTAAACAAAAACCTTTTCTAAAAATTTTGAAATTTCAACAGGCATCGAATTCAATCCATTTTTACAAAATATTGAAGGATTTGTAAATGCTGACCTTGCAATCATTACACTTTTTGCTTCTGTTAATTCTTTGAATTCTTCAATATTTTTAAATGTTTGAATATCTGAAGAGCCACCATTTGCAATTATTGGAGTTGAACAATAACGAGAAATATCCCTCAATTCATTATAACGACATTCATGATTTGGGCGTTCATTGCGTTGACGGCCATGAATGGCAATTGCTGAAAGTCCACAACTTTCAAGCATTTTGACAAATTCCATGGTTTTGTCAGGCTTAAAAATAAATAGAAATTAATAGAGATCGAAATTTTTTAAAAAGCTTGAATTTAATTTTAAGTGAGGACCTTAAGAAAGTCAAGGGAAAATCAAGGAGCTCTAAAAAATGCCTCGATCTTGACTTTGGATTCAAAAAAATCAAAGTCAAGATTCAGATCCAGCTCGATCCCTAGTTATTAATCAAAGAAAAAATAATGATAAACTATACCGAATCTAATAGACGAATTTTGCATGTAATAGGTATAGAAGGAGCAGCAGCAACCATTGCAGTTAGAATCTTAAAAAAAGCAAAATTAAATAAAAAATTATTTAAAGCGAATGATCTATGAAAATATTGAAAGAAAAAATTTGGATATTTAGGAAAGTTAAACAATTTTATATTATCTACCGGAAAGATTAATTTTAGAAATTTTGGAATTTAACGGAAAAATCCAAAATGTTTATAGGGCAAAACTATAATTATTAAAACCTCTTTAGCTCTAACAGGATCACTCAACAAAGCAGCACCCATTCCAGAATGAACAGAAAAAGGTTTTGGACATCCCATATTTAAATCAATTGCCATACATTCATTAGAAAATCGACGACAAATTTCAGCAGCATTTTCTGGGGAATTTGAACCCTGAAAGTTTTTTAATTAAAAAATTTAAATAAAAACAATACAATTTGTAAAACACATTTTTCTTTTTCAACCGCAGCAATTCTTAAAACAACATCATCACCATTCATAAAATCAATTGTATCAAGGGAAGCTAAAAATTCAAAAAAAACATTAAACACAAAATTTGCTATTTTCTAACCATTTTCGATCCGTTTGCAGCTTAAAAGTCGTTGATCAACAATTTCCTGAAAAAACAAATCTGAAACAAGTCTTAAAAGTTCAAAAAAATAATTAAAAACGTAGAAAAATTGATTTAAAAAAATATTGACACCCCAACGGGTTCGAACCTACGACCCCTCAAAACAGCAAATTTCCACTTAACTACCCAGATCCAAGCTCTCAAACAGTCTAAGAAATATTGTCTAAAAAATATACCTCAGTATAAACAAGATCAGCTCCATATTCTAATGCAAGAACGCGTAGAGGCGTTCTTCCTGCCTTTACCATTGGTGCCAAAATAGTTTTTGACGTAAATAATTGTTGTTTTTGATTCAAATCCATTTTAAATATCTGAAAAATAAAAATAATCAAGTAAAAATGTACAAGATAAACATCGTCAGATATACTTTAATAAATGCCGGGATTTGATATCCAGGGCAATTATAGGATTTTACGACAATAGGACAGAGGACATTTGGGTCAAAACGACAAAAGACATTTGGGACAAAATGATTTTAAGACAAAAGGACAGACGACATTTGGACACAAAATAAGGGTAATTAAAATTACTTCGCAAAAATTCACCGTAATTAATTTATAATGAACTTTAAATATAAAAATATTTATGAAAATTGCATTTTTATTCTAATTAACATTAAAAAAACTAACAATAAGTACATTTGTGAACACCTTTCGTGACACACTAAACTTACATGATAATTTTCATGCTTAAATGAAAAGCGCCTTTCTTCCCCAATTATTTTTAACTAAATATTAATTAAAATGTATACTTTTAAAACAAAAAAAGGTTTTGTATAAAGGAAGTAAACTTTTTAAAAAAGCATTAATTTTATATGGTTGATTAATCAAATGTCTTATTATTGTTAACGTCTTATCTTATTTATTTCCATAAGTGCAGATTTACAAACGTATTTAAACCTACGAACGCAGAAAAAATTTAAATTTCATTTTAATTTAGTCAAAAAGATCGTATATTAGGTAAAACTATTTCTCTCCTTCAGCTGGTGCAAAAGGTTATTCGGCGGCTGGGAGCAAACCAGCATCTTCAGTTGACCGGACTGCTGTATTATCTCCATTACACCACACCGCTCCCTGCATAGCTTTAGGAATTAAATATGTAGTTATATGCTTTACGATTCTTTTAAATTTTCAAAAATATTTTCAAAAAAAATTTTTTAATTCAAATTTGATTTTTAAATTAAATAGTCAAATTGAATATTTAAATTTAATTTATTTTAAATGCACCTGTTGTTAATGTGTACTTGTCCCATAATTAAATAAAAAAAATAAAAATTATACGCATTTTGTAATTTAATTATCATAGACATTGAAATTAAATTTATTTTAAATGTTACTTTTAAAATTATTAAGCTATGAGCTAAAAAAATTATAATTGTCATTCTTATATAATCTACGAACAGTTTTTAGCCAATTTTAGATTTTATTCTTGTTAAATTATAAAAATTTCTGCAAAAAAAAATTCTAGAAAATTCAAAGAAAATTTAAAAAAATGGGCATATTTGATTGGCTTTCTTCTCTAAGTAAACATTTTCTTTACTTATCCATAGCCGCCAATATTCCATCATTAATACTTTACATTATTGAAATAATTACAATTTTGCGACATAAACAATTTCACAATCCGTTCTACAAACTTGTTTTAATACGTGCGATTCCGGTAAACATTTACAAATTATTATTTTCTGTTCTTTATTCCAGTACGAGTTAAGAAAAATTTCAGCAAGTAGACGGGAAGAGCTGACTGTTTTCGCTTGGAGCTTTGCTAACACCTCGTTTAAATGCTCTACTTACTGAGCTTCTACTTTCTCGAGTAGAATTAAACCCCCAGCGCCTAAGCATTTTCCTTTCACCAAATTAGTTCTCACCTGTTGATTTTTCAGAACATTATTTACTCGTTTGACACCTACTATGCTAATCGACTTACAATCCTTTTTGGATCTTGGCTTTATCCTTTTTACTCCAACTTGCCCGAATGGATGTTTCGCATATCGTTTTTTATAACCTACTATACGATGATGTCTGATTTTTTGGCAACAATTATTATTCTTATAAATCGTTGGACAGCTGTAGAAATGGCATTGAAATATGATAGGGTTAGCATTAAAACCCAGATTTATTAAAAAATTTTTTAAATAATTCCAGCTTTGGAAGAAATTATTACTTCCATCAGCCATAATAATTTATGGGATTCCCACCTTATTGTATGCACAAGTACTCACAATTAAAAGCTATTTAAAAAATGACACAAGTGATCCAACTAAATTTGCTTTTTATCTTGCACAAGGATTTAATGTAAGTTGATCAGAGATGTCACGGGTTGAGAAAAAGCGAGTTGAGTTTTGGGTCTCGGATTTGATCAGTTATGTGGATTAAAAGAGAAAAAAGTAGGGTCGAGTTTTGGAAAATTTTTGGGATTGAGATTCAGGTCGAATGAAGCCGTGTTTCGGGTACCCGTGACATTCCTGCTCCCGAAGGGTAGAAAAAATGAATCCTCCCAAAAAATTTTATTTTATAGCCAATCTACGACGCTTTTCCATTAAACTTTAGCTTTTGTGTTATTTTTATGATAATTTGTTTTATCATAAATATTGGCACCCTAATCTCATATAGACGTCAAAGAATCAGAAGTGTAGCAACTAAAAGTACCCAACAAATTAATCATGAAAGAGTGGAGTTTAAATTGCTACTCTATGCAATTCTTACATTCTTAGGACACGTTGTTTTGGCCCTTAATCAAGTAAGACTTAAAGGGAAAATTGAAAATATTCAAAAAATTTCAGGTTATAATATTCTTAATAGCAAACACACAAGGATTTGATCTTAATGCCATTTATACCCAATCTCGCGGGTCTGTGATAGTGCCAAGTTGGCTTCTTTTCTGGGCTAGTGACAAGCTTAGAAAGAAAATGATCGATGATTTTTGGAGAAAATGGATAAATTTGTTGACTAATGCAGGATCTATAGCGAGTGACACAACATTTGTAATGTCACAAAGTGCTAATAGAATACAACAAAATTCTCAAAAGGGGGCAAGAGTGGCACCTAGTGGAGAGCCGATAACTCCAATAACATGAAGAGGATTTTCCAGAGGATTTCCCAGAACATTTAAATTTCCCAGAAAATTTTAAAAAATTTTTAATAAATAAATATTAAATATTCTATATTATTATAAATTAGTTGAACAGTAGAATCTGATTATAAGATACCCACTGGAGCTGAAAAACTGTCTTGTAAGGAAAGGATATTAAACAGGGAGAGAAGGGAATTGGCCACTGATCTAGATAAAGGATTCTAAAAAAGTATTTAAAATTGAGGATTGTCTAATATTGAGGAATAAAAAATAAACAGAAAGCAGGGCGTAGCCAAGGGGCATCGGCTGAAAAACCGCGTCTTATATTGAGGGGTATATCAACAGGGGGTCGGCCACTGTTGAGATAAAGTCGAGGGTATCTAATACAGAGAGTATCTAATAATGAGATCCGACCATATTTTTATATTTAAACACCTTTTTCTTCTTCCTGTTCATCTCCATTTTCCTCCTCTTCATTTTCTATTCTTCTTTCCAATTCCCTATTTTCTGCACGAATAACCATTAAATCATCTAGTAATCTTTCAAGCTGCCCATCCACTCCTTTTTGAGTTTCCATTTCTATTTTATTTGTCAATTCATCTAATTGGCATTCCATTTCTCCTTGGGTTTGTATTGCACTGGTAATAAGGGCACATTGTTCATGAGTTTTTACTGAAAAAGAAATTTTTATTTAAATTGACGTAGTGATAGACAACATAGAGATAAGCTTCCAAATTGTTGGAGTAATTTTGGGATGAGATATAGGGCTTTTCTTAATGTTAGAACCCTTCCCAGTTATTGAAACAATTTGTCCTCATGGCAAAATATGTATATGCACAATAAAAGAGAACTAAAAAGTTGTGGGGATCTTTTGTTCTTCTGCGTTTATACAAACATCCCTAATTAATTCTTCATTAAATTTTAAAATTACCAAGCAATTTATAAGCTCTTTGTCTTCTAATTATAACCATTTGTTTATTTTCTTTTTGTGTTAAAGTCATTGAAGAGGATATTCCACTACCATAAACATTTCCATTTGCACCAATCCATCTGTCTACAGCAGTAAATGTTCGATCAAGTATTCCATCAAGTTGAACTATTTCTCGACGAATTTGTTGAACAGAAGAGGCCGTCTAAAAAAAGAATTTAAAAAATAGTTTTAAAAACGGTTAATTTCGAATATTCCGCCCCAACCTCTCCAAACTAGTTTGAGTCTAAGAGCTTGTTCAAGATTTACATGATGGTCAGTCTTCCTAAACTTTACTCAAATTTTCACGTGGCATATTCAAATAAGAGGCATTAATAAAAGGAAGGAAGTCCGACCATTATGTACATCTTAAGGAAGACAGACAAACTAACGGAGGGAGAGGGGTATCCAAAAAAAATTTAAAAACCTTTCTTATTTGCTCATTTTGTTTAACAACCATTGCATTAATCTCCAAAATCTTATCTAACATCTTTTTACGATTTTCTGATTTAATTCCATTATTTTCTGATGTTGAGGATTTTTGTAATTCTTTTAACTTAAAAAAAAGAATAATAAATTGTGAAAAAATTTCAAAAAAATCATACCAATTTTGCCTGAATTCTTTTCTTTCTTTCAAATTCTTCCTCAAGTTCATTAATTATATTTTGATCATAGGATTCGGGATAGTTGTCTTTTGTAACACCTTTAGCACTTTCTAATCGCTCAAGAAGTTCAGCTTTTGCTTCCATAAATTTTTCTTCCAATGCTAAACGTCGTTCTTCTGCTGTTGCTATAAAATTCTGAAAAAGGGAAAATTTGCGTTTTTGAAAAGCAAAAGTTTTTGAAAGATACCCCTGAAGTTAAATAGGGACAACTTGAGCGATCCATACTTATTTTAGGATATTAGAGATCGCTGACTCAAGGCCAAGTAACCTAAATCATGAATCATAACCAGGAACTAACAAAAAATATTTATATACCCTCAATTTTTCCAAGTTCTCCTCAGCATCCCCTCCTTCCAAAAGAGCTAAAAGTCGTTTATCGTTTAAGTTCGTAGTTTCTTGTTTATTTTGGATTTGTTCTGCTGTTAGTTGAGCAATTTGTTGTTGAAGCTAAAATTTTTTTAATTGAAAATTTTTTCTTTTCTAAAAAATACCCTCAAAAGAATATTTTGACTTTCCAATAAATTCGAACGTTTAGAAGAAATTTGTTCAGCCAAATCTTCCATACCAGCATGATCAGAAGTTGATGGAGTTGCTGAGGATAATATTTCTTTTTGTTCCTCACTAATAGTAGGTTTGGCGGCTAATTTAGGTTTAGGAGGCAATTTTGGTTTCCCTCTAAAATTTAAAAATAGAACTTTAAAAAATTTCGGATTAAAAAATTTACCCAATTTTCGGGGGTTCCAAATTCTCCAAAACTGATTTTTCTTCTTTTTCTTCATTCCTCCCAAAAGTATCCTCTCCTCGTGTATGCCAAAACCTTCCAATCCTTTTTAGATCATAAAATCGACAAAATTCGGGTGTCCAATGTTCTGATAGTTGTTTAGCAATAACTTCACCAACATTAAATTTTAACTGCTCCAATGGGGCTAAAAAAAGGAAAAAAATGACTTTTTATTTTAAAGGTTCCTTCAAAAACTTACTCCGTTTCATTTCATCAACCACAACCTTCTCTTTTGGTAATCGTTCGAATAATGCAAGAAAAATACGTCTGCTTTCAAAAACATTTGGATATAAAAGTGTTTGATAACCAATTTGTGAATCATTAATTCCAAGTGACTAAAATTTTTAAAGAATATTTTTAAAAAAAATTTTTAAGAAACCTTAATTTCTTGAGCTATTTTTGTAGCAATCTTGAATCGATCTACAGCATTCCCAGGCATCTTATAACTTGGAATAGTTGTTATTGTACTTGGATTGCATTTCCAAAGGCAGCGAATTACTCCTTCAATGATTTGATTTGGCCCCAAATCTGACAAATTTTGAAATTCTTTGGTAGTTGAAAAAGAACTAAAAAATGAATTTAAAAAAATTTAGAAAAATTCATACCAATTTAATTCATTTGCAAACGAATCAATAATCATTTGATCAACATTTTCCATGTCAGAGACTAGTTTATTTTAATAAATATCTAAAATAAAATTATATTTTGCCAACGAAAAAAAATTTTTTTAGGGGTTAGCCTAGACACTTAATCTCGAAGGCCAAGTTTCGTGCCTTCTGTCCAAATTTAACATTAAAGGTTTACGACAAAATGGCCGCGACAAAATGTCGTTCTGTCCAAATGTCACTCCGATAAAATGTCGTTCCGACCAAATGACTTGCGACTAAATGGCACATCGACCAAGTGTCGTCGCGACCAAATGACCCAGTCCGGTTCATTTCTTCCGGGTTTACTTTTCGGTTTTTTAGTTTTTTTTAATTTGTTGAGACGATTAATTTAATTCTTTTGTTTTTAGTGAAATCTTTTAATTGCTTATTCAACGTTTAAATCGTCATGGTTCACGAAAATATTCATTGGTCTCGTCCACGCAAGTATGGTCCAGGCTCTCGCTCTTGCCGAGTTTGTTCAAATCATCATGGGTTTGTTTTTTTATTTTGAAAATTTTTAAAAATTAATTTCTTAAGACTGATCCGCAAGTATTCATTAAACATTTGCCGTCGCTGTTTCCGTGAGTATTCCGCTGATATTGGATTTAAGAAATTGGATTGAGAGGGAAAAAATGGATGGATTTCTGAAGAGAATTTTTCTATGATTGTTAAGAGACAAAATTTTCTTTGAGTATAAATTACTGTTGCTTATTTAAATGAAAAAATAAAAATGTTATTTGTTAAACGTGAATTTTTGTTTAGTATCAAGTTAAATGCAAATTTTATCTCTTATAGGCGATTTCTTTTTAAATTTTCTTCGAGTTTTATAACACTGATGGCCATCAGGACAATAGGTATTAAACGCCCTTCTTCAGATGACACTGAAACTGTGAAGAAACGAAAGCGTGTTTCTTTTTCGAAGAATGTTGATGAATCTTCTGAAAAACAAGCGAAAGATGAAGATTTGTCTGTGAATGGACATTTGGTCCCAAAACCTAAAAAAGGGATTTTGAAGAAAAAAGTGCTTGCAAATGCTAATGGATGTTTACAAATCAAGGAAAGAAGTTCAGATTTTCTGGAAAATGATATTTTGGATAATAAAGATGGACAAGAATTGAATAACTTTGAAGGGAAGAGGAATATGAACATTAGAAAGGTTAGCTTTAAGTTCCTTATACAAGTTCCTTAATATTTTTCCTTTAATTTTAGAGACGTCTTCAACCTTCTAAAACATCTAACAACAAATTCCGTCGTAAAAGAGTTATAAAAGTTAAACAATCCACAAAAGAAATGCTTATGAAGATGACTAAAAAGGAGAGGAAACAATTTATTCGAGAACTTGAAAAGAAAAATAAACCGAATTATGAACTTATGATGAAGGCAAAACTTTTGTGGGAAACAATAAGAAGGTTTTTACTTTATTTTTCTTGATTTTTGTTTTATTTCTTTTCATTTTTTAGTACAAAAGTTTCAAAAGAAAAACGTTCTCATTGCATAGCAGAATTAATGGATTTGTGCACAGGCAAATTTGCAGCTTTAGCATTTTCCCATGCAACTTCCAGAGTGGTTCAATGCCTTTTAAAATTGAAAAAGTCAGATATATGTGATCAAATATTTGAAGAATTGAAGACTCAATTTGTGCAATTGGCAATGTCACAATTTGGAAAATTTCTTATTCTGAAATTGCTTAAATATGGGTAAGTAAATACTAGAGATCGGACTGGATTTGTATCCAGACCTTGATTTTTCCTTAACTTTTGTTTTTGACTCAAGGTCAAGAACCTTGCGTTGATCTAGAATTTTGCTTGAGGTCTAGGTCCTCACTTAAGATCAATAGATGTTTTTTTTAAATTTCCGATTGTAAGTAATAAGATTTATAGGGCATTTTTTCTTTCCGGTTCTTTCATAAATTTCCTTATTTTTAAGCACAAAAGAGCAACGTGTTCATATAATTTCATCTTTAAAAGGAAATTATGTTCGTTTATATAAATCTTTATTTTCTGCTTCTTTGGTTAATGAAATATATTTCGAATGGGGAAATGCTAAACAATATCGACAACTTGTCAGTGAATTTTATGGACCTGAATTTGCTATTTTACAAGTTTTTTTAGAATTTTCGCATTAAAAATTTTTTTATATCAATTTTAGGAGAATTCAGACAATTCTTTACCGCCCTCTATTGACGAAATTGCGACACAAACCCCTGACAAAATGGCTGGGATTTTACAAAATTTGGAAAAATTGTTAGATAGGGCTGTTCTAAAGTATAAATTTTTGTTAAGTTTTCGATATTTTTAATCATTTTTAGAGTGCCAATGTTAAAACTTTCAATAACACACAAATTACTCTATGATTTTCTTAGATATTGTTCTGATGAACAGAGAAATTCTTTAATTGAAAGTCTTAAGGATTTTTTGCCTGAAATTTGTCACACACACGAAGGTTCGTTTTTTATAATTTTGAAGCCCTATTTCGACTCTTATTTTTAACATTTAGGCTCTTTTGCTGCTTTACTTTGTGTTTGGAATTCTACACCTGAACAAAGAACATCTATTGTCAAAAGTTTTACTGGATTGGCAATTTCAGCGTGTAAAGACAATTTTGTTCAAAGAGTTCTTTTTGGAATATTTGATTGTGTTGATGATACGAATTTGGTTAATAAAATTATAATTAATGTAAAAAGGATTTTTTCTTAATATTTATAAAATTAATTTATTTTTAAGGAAGTTGCCAACAATATTGCCGATTTAATTTATGATAAACATGGTTCTTTTAATAATTTTTGACATATTGGCATATCGGGACGCATTTATCGAGTTATTTCAATGTAGTTGTTACCCAATACCTAAGGCCAAAAGGGTCTTGGATAGTACATTGTCCTATTAGAATATTTTTTCTGTTTTAGAACTAACGTAAACCCTCAAGAGGTTATTTTTGTCACAACAATTCCGATAGGTCTATCACGATATGCCCGCTCACTAATTTTTTCATTTCAACTCTATATTTTTTTAATTTAAGGAGTTATTGTTCTTCATTATTTGGTTCATCCACGTGATCCTCATGTAATTGCTAAAAGTCTTCAAAATATTTTACAACAGGTTTTTTTCAAAGAAAATAATTTTTCTAATACTTTACTAAAGGGTGATTCAAATCCTCATACGAAATTGGATAAGGCCTCTCGATATTTAAATTTGTTTGAGTGTGTCAAACCAGCTCTACTTACATTTATGAAGGCAAATATGCGAGAAATGATAACAAATAAAATTTCTGCTGTTTTAATTTTGGATACTTTGGATGTTAATTGTAAGTTTATTTTAATGATAATTAGATATCATATAAATTCATGGGGTGGGTGATGGAATAGAATCATCGGAGGAAGGGACCAAACTATTGCAGGCCACTGTGCCACTATTCAACACGATATTAGAATATTGGGGATAAGTTTTCCTAGTTTATAAAATAATCAGTTGGTAGTATGTGGGCAATGATCCAATAATAAACGTTAACAAAAATTTTCAAAATTTCTTTATAGCTCCTTCATCACCTTTTAAACGTGTTATCGACATTAATGATTTATCCGCTTGCTTCAAAGAAATTGCACAAATTGCTACAGATGAGTTTATTCCACATTGTGTAGATAAAGAACGTCCATTACATATAATAGCTGGTGGTTGTGCTCGTTTTGTTTTTCGAAAACTTTTAAAAAATGATCGATTAAGAGAGAAGGAAGAAGAAAAATTAAGTTTTTATTTAATGTCAATATTGAAAAGAGAAAATTTACAATCTTGGACTGGAATGGATTGTGGATGTTATACTTTAATTGAAATAATTGAAAGTGGCTCTGATTATGCTAGAAAAATGTTAAAGTTGGCTTTGGATGGAAATAATAATTTAAAGGTTTTTTTTTTCAACTTTCTTGTGGGTTTGGTGGGGAGGTTTTTTTAGGTAGCTATTTAACAACGAATCGGGTTTTAATCAATTTTCGGTATGAAGCCTTAATGCCAAACCCGCCAAAGGCTGCCGAAATAACAAACTATGGAAACAACATTGTTCCAGCAAATAAATACCAAAACCAAGCAAATAAATACCAAATTTTTTTAATCATCCAACCTTCCTCTATTGTAAGAACAACATTTCCCAGCGTCCTGTTTAACCACAGTTTGGTATTTCGATAGTTTGTGGGGTTGGTATTTCAGATGGTTAGTATTGCGGCTTCATTTTCCCTCAATTAAAAATTTTTCTGTCTTTATCATTTTTTTATAGAATTCTTCATTGCAAGGCGCTAAGAAATTACTTGTTGAATTAAATAAAATAGAAGAAAATAATTGTGATATATTGCCTTCTGATACTGATGAAATTGAAGAAATAAATGAAGTTCAAATTGAAAATTCAAATGGAAAGAGGAAAAATGTTAGCTTTGAAAAAAAATTCAAAAAAGAGAAGAAAATTAAAATTTGAAGATTAATAGAGGTTAATATTCGTTAAGTATTTTTTTGTTTTTTTATTGTTATTTGATTTTTATTAAATTTTAATTTTAGTAGATGATTCATTTTTACAAAGTTTTTAACTTTTATATTTATTTGCTACTTTGTGGGTTATCCCAAACCAGTAAATTTTGACCATAGAATTTAAAAAGAATGCGTATTTTCCACAAATTCTTGCTTTTTAATAATTTTGTGCCTCACAAACTTCGATTTCATTCAATTGCTCGACCTGCCTTCTTTAAATATTATCAACAACAACAAAATCAATGGAAGTTTTCGAACATTTTTCTGGGATTTGGTGGAACTGGTTTGCTTTCTATTTCTTGGTTTACTTCATCAAAGAAGGATAATGATGAAATTAATGACGCAAATGTTGACAAAATAATTAGGGACGCAGATATACTTTATAATGCTTATTTGATTGATAATGCTTATGGAATATTGAGACGGTTTTTTTTTCAAATTTTTTTTTGTAAATGTGGGGTTTACTGGTCCATAGAGAAAACGAGGAAGAAGTGCTTTTCTATATTTTTGAGGTCTGTCTCTAGGTAATAGAGTATTCTGACAGTGAGTCCGAATATGAGGGGGAAGGACTGAGGGAGAGAAGTAAGATGAGTAAGACTTTATAGGAAGAAGTGCTTGCCCGTAGGTAATAAGTATCCTGGTCTGAGCCTACTGGCAAACCTCAAAAATATAAAAAAGCACTTCTTCATTTTTGGACCAGTAAACTCCACATTTACCAGTTTTTTTATAATTTATTTTAGAGACAAGTCTAATTTTTCAGTTATCGTTCTTCGGAAAATTCTGAATTGTTATGGCGCCTCGCTAGAGTTATTTGTGAACAAGGCAAGCAATCCAAAAATGTTGAGGAGAAGAATCGTTTGTTTCGCGAAGCTTTTGAAATTATAGAAAAGGCGTTAAAATGTGAACCAGCTAAAGGATCTTTTGGTACTCATAAATGGTAAATAATTCTTTAAATTTTTAGTTCAAAAATATTTTCTTGTCCATTAAGGTATGCAATTCTGCTCAATATTGTTTCTGAACTTGATGGTGACAAAGCACAATTGTCCAAAGCTGTGGAAGTTCGCAATCATTTTGAAAGAGCTTTGGAACTCGACCCATTGGTAGGCTTTCATTTTTGAGCATTCTGAATGTTTTAAGACAAAATTTCACGAAGATTCACGATTAGTCTAGTTTTAAATTTTACTCTTCTAATTTTTTTAATATTTACAGGACGCGACTACTTGGCATTCACTTGGTTTCAAATTTATTTTTTTTTAATTTTTTAAACAATTCTTTTTAGGTGTTTGGCATTATTCCTTTGCTAATCTCTCGACAAGTCAACGCTTTCTTGCCGGAATTTTTTATTCAAGACCTCCAAATAGTACTTATGTTGAGGCATTACGCCATTTTGAAAATGCTGAAGCTATTAAGGTTATTTGAATTTTAAAATCAGTTTTGTCATTTTTAGCCTGGTTTTTACTCTGCCAATAATTACTATATGGGATTGACATTAGAACAAATGAATAGACCTGATGAGGCTAAAGTGCAATTTATTTTGGCTTTTATAGCTCCAGTGATTTCAATGGATGATGGAGAAATACATAAAAAGGTTTTTCTTGTTAAAAAATTTTTTTTCTTAATTTTTACAAATTATAGGCATTTGATCATTTACATAAGAAATATAGACTTACAAGAGAACAAATTATGGAAGAACATGGAAAGAATTCTAAAACTTTCAATAAGTGAGGGGTAAGGCATGAACAATAAGCCTCTTGTTGGGGGTGTATTTTATTTTAGAATTTTTTTTAAAAGTTTTCATTTAAACATCTAAAGTTGGGCTTGATAATGATAATTTATAAATATTTGTGTTTAACACTCGTACAAATATTCTGAAAAAAAGATTAATTTAAATATCCTCAACATTCTGAAGTACAACAAAACTTGAGTTAAGGTTGCAGTAGAAACTATGGGGTCCTAAGCTTATGGACAAGTTAGAGTGAAATAGTGCAATAATTTCTTTAGAGGAGCGGAAGTCTCTCTCCAAACTTGTAAAGCTGCAAATAAGAGATTGTCTAAATGTATAATAAAAGGAGATGCTCAAATTGATTCTTAATTTTTGAGAAAGGAAATAGGGAAAGATAACGGGAAAGTGCTTCCAATATTTTTTGGAGAACTGACCGAAGCTGAATAATATAATCTTGTCGGGATCTCCTAGATAAATTCTAATAAATCACCCAAAAACAACAAATATTTTTATTCGCTCTTAAAATAAAACAACTTTTCCTTATCAATCAAATTTTAATTATAACACAACTTAACAATTTTCCACTTTTCTTTTAAATATTACTCGGATACAACATTACACGGATTCGTTTACCCATAGCTTTTGGTGGCAAATTGTGTCGAAACTTTGCACGGACCATTCCAGAATTTCCATGTGTACGAGTAACACGTCCCCAAATTGCACGAATTCGCGTCTTTGGTCCACCACCACGAGCAATTTTCTTGTGGCCTTTGTAGACGTAAACGGCACGCTTTCCAAGATAGAAATTTGCCCCCTCCTACAAAATAAAGAAGCTTAAAATTAAAAGATTCAAGTAGTCTTATCGGTCCTGGGAAAATCATCGGATGTCCGGAACCGACCGAAGAAACGAACCAAGTAGACCACAGCCCGTCGGCTAGCTTCAGAACCGACAGTTCTAGATTCAAGAATTATAAATAACCTTATCATTCACTCCATCCAATTTTAGAAGCGAGGTGTTTTCATATTGATTGCGTTGACCTCGTTTGTAGCCAGTAAAGATTGCCTGAAATTTTTATAAATTTATTTTAAGGCAAGGTTTCATAAAACAATATACCTTAACATAAAGTCGGCGAGCGCGTTTTGGTCCAGGACGACGGCGACCTGTCTTCGTTGCCTCAACGTTTTGAACTGGTTCACTTGTATCCATCATTTTTAAACTGATATTTTTTATAAATTAAAGACCTAAAAATAATATTATTTAAAAGAATCGTGAGTAAATTTAAAAAAATAAATAAAAATTGTAGATCAACAAAATTGAAAAACATGCAAAAGAAAATTTTTAAATTATTTATTTTTCTTCTTTTTTACAATCGAATTTAATAAATTTGCTTGATTTGAGGTTCTTTTTGACGCCAAATCCATTGAAGGTTTAATATTCGATTTTAAATTATTTTCTTCCTTCAAATTATTCAATTTTGTCCCAACAAATTTTTCAACTTCATTTTTTAATAATATTGAAGAACTTGTACTTGGGCCATTTAATAAATCTTCTTCATCTTCCTCTTTTATTCTCTTTGTATATTTTCCCCCAGTTTTTTCTACAAGCCTTTCAACTTCTCTTTCGTCCTCTTCTTCTTGTCGCTTCAACCTTTCAGCAAAAGTAAGAGCATTTTTCTGTTCAAGTTGATTTAAATAACCAATTGTATCAATACTTTCTTGACGTCTATTGATTTCTTGTAATTCCTCAATGTGACCTTAAAAATGATTTTAAAGGTATCTCAAGCATTTCTTAAAAGGGGCCACCCTACACTCTAAATGCCTATTGACTCTGAAGACCTATATGTTTATGAAAGGGAATACCCGAGGGATCTGGGGTGAGTGAAGGGGATAGAGACCCTCTACTCAACCAGAGTAGACACACATACTACGCTAGAACGTTCGGGGTCCAACGACATACAGAACCGAGAACTTATCTCCTTAAAGTTGGGTAACCTCTAAATCCCTCTATATTCCCTTTCAAAAGTTGTATGTCCTAGATTCAAAGGTCTTCAAAATTGATCCACTTAAAACATAAAAGTAACCTAATGCTTCCATTTCCAATTTGCTCATTTTTGTTCGTTTTTCAAGCATTTTCATTGCATCCTCTTTTTCTTCCTTCTCCTTTTCCTCCACCTTTTGTTCCTGTTCTTGCCAAAATTTGTATACATCGAATAAACGTGTTGCTCCATTTTCAGCTTGATAGTCCACATTTTGAATATCTGTTTTGAAGGTGATTTCGGCCAGACAATTTGGACAACTAAAAAAGAAGGAAATTAAGTACATAAAGGTTGGAGGTGTATGGGAGGATAGGAAAACTAACAATAAGGACGGACGGTAGCCAATAATTCCACTAGGAGAACCCCAGCACTAGGCACAGGCCGAGAATCTTTAGTTCTCCCAAGAACTTCGGGTAAGACCCTGCTCTATCCTTAAAACAACTCTCAATTTCAAGTTATATTAGGGTAAGGAGGAGGGGGATTACACAACATACGAGAGAATCTCCTGAGTCTTTTGTAGAGCTAATAATCCCCAAATTAAAAAAGAAAAATACCGAAAATAAAATCTAAAAATCCTCAAGCCAAGATAGCTTTCTCCCTCAGCCGTTTCTCTTCTCATATTAAACTTCTTTCCTTTATAAATATATTCACTACAAGTATTGCATCGCATATTGAATGGAGTCATTACACGTTGGATAAATTGTCTGTTTCGTCCACCAGAAGCTTTTGGTATTTTTGATGGGTCAAAGTCGGGAGGGTAGTATTTCTAAACAAAAAATTTGAGTTATCAAAATCTAGAAAATTAAAAAAAAGTTGAAACCTGGAAAACTTTCCGCTCTGTTCCAGTCATCTTGGAGCTTGATTATTTTTTGAATTTAGAAATCTAGAATAAGCTAAGAGATCTAAAAAATGTATTTTATTTTTAATAATCTTGAAAATGAAAATAAACAGCGAGGATGGCCTGGTTAAGAAAAAAGTCGGGACGGGTTTCAAAATTTTCTTCGCTACAGGTTTCGGATCGAAAAAAGACAAAAAAGACCAGATAACCAGGCCGATCCCTGATAAACAGTGAATTTTATCCGATTTCTCTGATTATCGATTCTTATACTGTAGTAGAAGAACACTGGGACTCTAATAGTCGAATTAAAAAAAAGCTGGACTGAAGTGTCCTGTTCAATAAAGGCCGCTTCAGTGTAGCTGATTCATAGCCTGTTTTTCTAGTGTATTATTGCGAGAGTTTTTTTTCGAAATCCGGTTTAGTAATCTCGTTTATTGTTCGTTAACTATCGTTTATTGTCTATTTCAGAAGCATTTATTAAATATTTACAGCTTTATTTCATCAATGCAAATACAAAATCTCGTTCCTGATGGTACTTTACGCAAAGTACGTAACAACATTGATAGATTATTCGACAAGAATTTAGCTGATTTGATTAGAGGAATTAGAAATAACAAGGAAAATGAGGTTTTTTTATTTTATTTTTAGAAAATTTTAAGTAAAAAATCTATTTTAGTCTAGATACATTGGCGCTTGTATTGAAGATATAAAATCAGAATTGCGGCAAGATTCAAATTTCGTCAAGGCAAATGCGATCGAGAAATTAGCTTATGTATGTATTTTTCTTTTTATTTGAATTTAAATTTTTTTTTGGCTTATTTTAAGTTAATTCGATTAATTTAATTAAACTAGTGTAGTTTCCGTCCCATAGACCCCGCTCCTTTTCCATAAACCTCGCCTCCTTTCCTGAATCAGTATTTTACGTCATTCATTTATTAGAAGGATAAGCGACAGAGAAATGAGAATATTGACCCAAATGGCTATTTTATAAGGCAAAAAAGGGGTGTGGCCTATGGGATGGAAACTACACAATTATCATTTTTTCAGCTCCAAATGCTTGGTTATGATATTTCTTGGGCTTCTTTTAATATTATTGAAGTGATGGCCAGTACCAAATTTAATGAAAAACGGATTGGATATTTTTCTGCAACACAAGCCTTTAATGATGAGACAGATGTTTTAATGCTTACTACAAATTTAATTAGAAAAGATTTGCAAAGTTCAAATATTTACGATGTTGGAGTTGCTTTAAGTGGTCTTTCTTGTTTTGTTACTACAGATTTGGCTCAAGATCTTGAAAAGGATGTTATTAATTTGGTTAGTTTTTATGTCCCAAATATTTTCTTCAAAACGTACAGGCTTTCCTTCCATTCCAAGTCCCCCATTTCCAAGTAATCAAAAAGGATTAATTTTTATTGTGTTTTGGCATGAAGAAAAGAGGCCATTTTGTACATTCATAGGAAAAAACTTGAGCGGAGGTGGGGGCTGTGAGGATAAATGGGGCCCGTAAACGACAATTTTATCAATTTTATAAAAATTTTTTAATTTCAATTTTTAAAGCTCTCTTCAAGTCGTCCCTATGTTCGTAAAAAAGCTCTTTTGCTTCTCTTCAAAATGTTTTTAAAATATCCTGATACTCTAAGGACGATGTTTCCAAAGTTAAAAGAAAGATTGGAGGATCAAGATCCAGGCAACAAAGATTTTTTTGATTTCTTTTAAATCTTTGAATTTAAGGTGTTCAAAGTGCTGCAGTAAACGTTGTTTGTGAACTTGCTCGAAAAAATCCAAGGAATTATTTGCCTCTACAAAATATCTTTTTCAAGTTATTAAATACCTCTTCGAATAATTGGATGCTCATTAAAATAATTAAATTGTTTGGATCCTTGGTAATTTTCGTTGAAAATATTTCAGAATATTTATTAATATTAAGGTACCTTTTGAACCAAAATTAGGAAGAAGATTACTTGAGCCTTTAACAAGCTTGATAAATTCAACATCAGCCATGTCGCTGTTATATGAGGTTTTTTAAATTTTTGTCTCAAAATTATTTTGTGTTTAGTGCATAAATACTGTTATTGCAATTTTAATAAGCATATCATCTGAAGGCCCTGGTGATTACACTCCAAGTATTCAGGCAAGTTCTCTTGCTGAAGAATTGTTTTTTATATTTTATTTTTTAGCTTTGCGTTCAAAAATTGGGTGTTTTAATTGAAGATTCTGATCAGAATTTGGTAAAAAAAATTCTTAATTGAAAAAGAATTTTTAACTTTCAGAAATACTTGGGCCTTTTAGCAATGGGAAGAATACTTCAAACTCATCCAAAAGCAGTACAAGCACATAAAGATATTGTTTTGAGGTGTTTGGACGATAAAGATGAAAGTATACGTTTACGAGCATTGGATTTATTATATGGAATGATTTCAAAAAAGAATATTATGGAAATTGTTCGGAGATTAATGGAACATTTGGAATGTGCTGAGGTTTTTTATTTACCAAAATATGAATTTTATGCCACGTTCACATAAGCGTTCTGTCGCTTTGCGAATTTCATTTAGCGAAAGTCGCAGGTTTTCACAATAAGGACTCTCCGCTGGCGTCTGTTGCAAGACGCGCGAGACTTTTATGTGAACGTAGCATTAGTCGTTTTTTCAAAATAAATTTTAAATATTTCCAAATTTAGGGTTCTTTCTATCGAGATGAGTTACTTCGACAAATTGTAGCAATATGTTCTCATGACAATTACAAATATATTACAAATTTTGAATGGTTAATTTTTAGCTGTTTTCTGTCATGGGAGAATTGTTTTTAGGTATATATCCGTGCTTGTTGAACTAACCAAAGTGGAGGGTACCAAATATGGAGTACTTATTGCAGAGCAACTCCAGGATGTTGCAGTTCGTGTTCAATCTGTCAGACATTTTGCTGTTTCTCAAATGGTTCTTCTAGTTCAAAATGTTCAGCCTTTGTTGCAGGTTTTTAAATTTCGATGTTTTTGCATTTTTCTTCATTTCAGGGGAACAGTTCTACCCAACGTGCAAATATAGCAGAAGTATTATTAGCTGCTGCTTGGATTTGTGGAGAATATGCCCAACATGTAAACAATGTCGATAGTTTATTAGAAGCGATGATTAGAGTCAAATTGTCAATGATACCTGGTGCTTTGCTCAGTGTCTTTATTCAAAATATGCTTAAACTTTATGCTTTACAATTATGCAAATTGGAGGCGGAGGAAGATTGGGATGGTGTTGAGACATTGGACAATTTATTTTGTTCTAAACTACCAGAATTTCAATATATGGATCATTTAGAAGCTCAGGAAAGGGTGAGGGGAATTTATCAGAAATTTTCACGACTTAATTTTACTGTTTTTCAGTCATGTAATTTTCTTGCTTTGCTCAAATATGCTTCAACAAAACACGCTGAAAGAATAAAAATAGGTGCTAGTCTTGCCAGATGTTTCGAGGATGAACTTAATCCAGTTGCACCAAAAGCACAACGACGAGTTCCTTTGCCTGAAGGGTATATTTTTGGGAATATGTTCTGTTTTTTTAATATAATTTTACAGCTTAAACTTGGATGAATGGATAAACGAACCTGATACTTCTGATAATAATGAGGATGAAGAAGAAGAGGTTTCTAGCATTGAGTCTGATAATGAGGTTTGATTTAGAATAGCAAATAGATTTCAATTACTTTGAAATTTTCAGATTAATACCTCGCATTATGAACGTGAAAATCTTCCACAACATGGTCGACAGGCAAAACATTCAACTGCTAAAATATATGAAATAAAACAACAATCTTATGATATTGATATTTCTACTAATGGAATTGCTTCAACCTCCCAAAGTAAAATTCAAAAAGAATCGGACCAAAAACGTCGTCAAGTTGAGCAGTTGAACAACCCATTCTATGTCAAAGATAATCCGAAACAGAAGAGGGTTTCTAAAAATGTTGATTCAGCTAATAATGCTGTACGGACTCAACCGGTTTATTTTCTTTTGGGGTAAGATTAATGTCTATAAATTTTTTTAGGAAACTCGTAAAATACAAAATCCTCTGGAAATTGATGGTGTTGTTGGTCTGGACAAATTTTTAAAGCAAAAAGATTCTACTATTCATTGGAAGAATTTGGATAAGAAGAAAAATGACAAGAAGATAAAGAAAAATACAAAATCAAGTAAAAATCAAAATGGAAAGTTGTTCAAAACAAGCGATGATGAAATAGAAGGAAATACAGCAGAACAAAACCCTGAGGAAAATAAAAATACAATATACAAAGGTGATGGTGAAATGCCAGAAGGAGCACTTTCAAGTTCTGAGGAGAATGAGGTTTTTGATGGAAATTTGGTACTTTTGAGTTATCCCCCCCCCCCCTTTTTTTTTTTTATTTCCTTTTCCTTTCTTCAAAAACTATACTTGGGTCAAAGTGATATCTCCATAATCATTTAACTGTATTTAATTTTGATATGTGTACTTTTTTAGAGAAAGGAAAGGAGAGGGAAAAATCGGGAGATAACCCAAGAGTACCGAAAAATTTTTATTTTTTATTAACCTGTTTTTTGTAGTTAAACGACAATTTTCTAAATATCCAACTAGTCGAAGTTGAAGAAGAGGATGTTGACAACAATAAAAGAAGCAGCATTACAACAATTAAAAGTAATCCTAATAAACGAAGACGAAAAATTAAAGAAGCAACAATTAATAAAGAAGGTTTGGAAGATGATGAAAATATAACAACTGCAACAACGTCAGAAAAGAAGAAAAAATTAAAAAAGAAAAAGGTAAGCAAGAAGAATGTTCAAGAAGATAAACAACGGAATAAATTGACTACAACTAAATTGGATAATGGAGAAGAAAATGGTGCAGGTGTTGGTCAAGATAATGCCACAGATGATGGGGTTGGTTTATTAATTTTTCTAAAAATTTATTTAAAAAACTTGGGGAAATGAGAATTTATTTTTCTTATTTTTAAGCAACTCATTTCACTGGGATGAGTGTGAAATGATCATCCATCCATCACCCACCATCATTTTAGCGGCCATAAGTTTTTTTAAAATGTGATTCTAAAATATTTTTTAAATTTTTTCTTGCTTTTAACTAAGTCTTTTGTAAGCTTTTTTATATTTTTCTATAAGTATTTTTTAAGCCTCATATTCTAAACATTCCAAAGACTAATTTTTTTCTTTTTTTTTAATTTTCCGGTAGTATTATTTTTCTAGATATTTTTGTATTTTTTTTTGATTCTGCTTTTATCTAATTTTGTATCAGAATTTCGTTCTGTGTTAATTTTAGTATTTTCTTTTGGATATTTTAAGTTTTTTTAAATTGTCTACCTGTTATTTTTTTGTTTGTAAAATTTTATATAAATTTAGAAAATTTAAATTAGGAACAAACATATAGTACAAAAACATAAGGGTAATATAAGTAATGTTTTATAACTAGAGTGCGCGGGATCCCTGTCCTGTTCGGGCTCTTTGAATGCAAATTTTCAGCACACTAGTTTTAACTAAAAAAAATTTTTTTATAATCTATACTCGTTCTCATATTCTCTATCTTCATCTTCCTCATTATTATTTCTATTGTTGTTGAAGCAGTTATGTCCATCATTTTCTTTTCTATTTGGTTCCAACAACATTGGTGTTGTACTTCCATTTGTCATAATTTCTGTTTCATTTATTATCTTTGGATGATTTGTTGTCATCGTTTTTGCTTGTCTTTCCCTCCATAGTAAAACTGTTGTTGATGATAAAGAATCTTGTACTACAGCACATTTTTCATTTACTATTGTTGAGTCACTTTTACCATCAGTTTTTGAATTTTTTGCGTGAAGTTTCCAATATGGGGAGTGTACTATTAGAAGAAGGAATTTACGTCTTTTTGTATTGAGCATTTGTTGAACAACCTTTTTTAAAAATTAATAATTAGAAATTAAGTGTGGAAAGTTAAGTTTACTTCTCTAAATTGCGCAGACATTCCACAATAGATTGCGAATCGTAATGGATATGAGATTACAATGAGAACATTTCTGTGTAAAAAATAAGGGGATTAAAATTTTGAGGAAAACAAAGCTACCTAATAATTAAGAGTTTATTAAGTGTTGCATAATGAGTTAAAATGAAGGTTAATTTAAAAACAACTGAGCCAACATGAACAGAAAAAATAAGTGCTGCTGGGATTTCAGTAAGTAGGAAGAGTAAAATAATGGCCAGTAGCATCTAAAAATTTTGTTTTTAGTTTAAAGGTTGGAAATTGGTTGATTTTTTGGTTTTAATTATTGAATTTACCCTCGTATTTTGTCTCAATCCATGAACACGTTTAGTGTCAGAAATGCTGTATCTCGGTGCATTCGATGTTTTAGGAAAATTATTGTTAAAACTATATCCACTTTCATCAAAAGAATAGCGAACATCTTTATTAATAAAAGGCATTGTATTTGAAGATTTTTCTGGTGATTCTGAATATTTTCTCTGAGGTTGTTGTTGTTTTGTTGGTGCTCTTCCAATTAAAATTGCATGTTTTTTGTCTGCTTCTCTTATTGCTGTAAGTAATTTCCACGTAAAAAATACGAGGAGAATGCATGGTAATGTGTGAACAAGTATTGTATGTAGTCCGTATAACAACAAATGATAAAAATTGTTTCCAACTAAATGAATGAGAGCAGTTTGTGACATGACACAAATGGAACGAGTTTCTGAAAAAATTTTTTTGATTGGAAATTTTTAGTTATTTTTACTGTTTGTTTGAGAATTAAAAATGTTGTAGGATTGGTTGTAGTTTGCGAAAAGTTCTGGGGCATAAATCCAAATAGAAGCTATAGAAATGCAAATAACAATCTTAAAAAAATAGACAAGATACTTTTTAAAATCCGTTTTGATTTACCTGTTTGCTTCTTTGCATAGTACATTGTTTTTGAACAAGTTTGGGCATACAGATATAAATAAACCTTTAGAATTAGGTATTTTAAAAATGAAATTTTTAAATAATTCTACCTTTGAATAGCTAAATAGACTGTTAACCAAATCGCAGAGGTATGAAACATTGACGGTAAAATAGTAGCCAAATAGGGAAATAGCCAACACCAAAAAGCTGGGAGGCCTTGATGTTCATCTGTTTCAAACCCTTGGAATGTATAGTAATATAAAAGCCATGGAAGGCATACAAGTGCTGTTAAAAGCTAAAAAAGATTTTAAGATGAGTTTTTATTTGTAAAAAATATTGACTTCACTAATGGCCATAGCGCCAAGTACAAAATTTGTAGGTGTTCGTAGTGAACGGTGTGAAAGCACAATTACAATGAATGAATTTGTAAGTACTGTTATAGCTACAACAAGGGGCATTAAAAAGCCATAAAGTGGAAGAGCCCAGTCCAATGGGACCTGTAAAAAATTTTTTGAAATGGCCTTGAATTTTTGAAAGTTTGCCTTTGCATTAATTTTGATTTCTCGGCATTGTTGAGGATGTTGAAGCAAACATTCGGGCCATCCACTTTGTGTTTGTTCCTTCATTGGTGGTTTGTAGCTAATTTAGTGTTTTTCAATTGTTTTTTTTTGTTGTTCTTGATGTTTTGATTTTTTAATAGAAGGGGTTCGGTTAAAAGAATGGAAATGTTTTTAATGCTAATATTAAATATTGTACTGACAAATCTAAAGATTGAAAAATTGTTTTTATGAAATTTTATAACATTTTTTTCTAAGTAACATTTTTTCGCAATTTTTAGGTTATTAAAAATAAAATATGGCCAAAATTTTAAGTATTTTATAAAAACAAAAGAAACAAGGAAGTCCTTTTTTTGCTAAAATAATAGTAAGGGAACAGACTTGGTAAAGCTTAATTGCTCTTACTCTATTAATTACTTCCCTTTTTTACTCAAAATTACTCAAATCCCAAAGGATTTTGAGTGCTTGGAATTTAAATGTGTACTTTGATTTAAATTGCGTTTTATGAGGTAATATAAAAAATAAGTACGTTAAAACATGTTTTTTTTGTTATAGAGATTAAGTTTCAAATTTTGTAATTAAGGTTGTTAGGAGTAAAAGTTCATTTTTTAAAATAAAAACATTTGAATAAAAATTTGGATAAAAAATGAGGGAAAATTTACAAATAACGAGAATACATTTTTGGAAAAAAATAAGCCTCATCCGTTACAAATCGTAAGGAGAGGTAAAAAAGGGATAAGAATAATAATAAAAAACCTGGTTCCCATTTTTGGCATATTTTTTAAGCCTCGAGGGAGTATGGAGAATAATATTCAAAAAATAATTTTTTGCACATTAATAACAAAATATAAATAGAAAGACCAACGATCGTGGAAGAAAAAAACAAGTCATTTGATAAAATTTAAAATGCGCGAGGAGAGATTAGGCGCATTTTAAAAGGAAAAACAAGGAAAAAATCATGCTCAATTTTGAACTCAATTTCAGTCGAATCTCAATTTCAGTCTAAGGCAAAAACCAAAAAAAATTATTAGAGTAAAGTGCAAAATAAGTTTCCAAATAAAGAAATTTTCTTGGCATTTTTCTGGAAGAATGAACGCCATCGATTCATTAAAAAGCCATATTTTTCCATTATTATAAGTTAATGTTTTTTATGTTCCCGCCAAACACTTTCCAACGAGAGAACTCCTTAAAAAGTTGGTCATTTCCTTCCGCATAATCCAAGGAAATAATATGGAAATATTTAAAAGCAAAAAGCTTTAAGTAAGAAAAAAATGACTTGAGTTTTTTTAAACAATTTTGTGGGAAAAAACAACATAAAATTTTAAAAGCTTTTGAACAAATAGTATATGAGCTTTTGAACAGAAAAAATAAATATTTTTGTTTTTGAGGAAGTTGAATGTTTCGATAAATAAAAAGGTGAAGCTAAACATTTGTAAAGCAATATTGGGGTATTTTTAATTAGCGCGTTTCAAAAAACTGAAAATTGAGGTTACCTGTTAAAATAACCGGTTGTGTTTAATTCTAATTAAACCCTAAGTTATGTAGTAATTGACTGAAGCTTTAGAAGGCATTTTTATCTAATTTTTATAGCTTACTTGAGATATGTTTTAAAATTTTATTTACTAAATTGTAATTAATGTCTATTAATATTATTTGTTTTGAGTGACGTTTATGAGAGGGGAGAAAATGTGAAAATGTGGAAAGTGTTGGTAGTACAAAGTAAGAAGTAAAACGTCTTCCCCCATGGGAACAAGATAAAAAAAATAGCCGCTTAATTTTAAATATGCTTGTTGTCTTTGGCAGCTAAAAAAATTATTTATAAATATTATGCTTCTTTATAGCATATTTTAATAAATTTGTATATATTTATGGAAGGTGATGTTGATTAAAATAAAGGGGGGACTAATAGATATATTTATAAAAACACGCAAATTTTATATATTTATTCAGAGGGTTAATGAAAAAAATTATTAAATAAATATTAAAGAAAAAGCTTTTAACAGTAACATAAGCATATATTTATATACTTTTTTTATATTTTTTGTACTTTTATTTTTGTTTTTGACACGGGAAATGAAATTAAATATAGGCACATTAAAGTATTATTTTCCTTATATTTATTTTTAAATTATTTTATTTTTTTCTCAATTTCCTTTAAAGTATAACTGTTTTAATTTCTAAGAAATGTTTTTTAATATATTTTTTTGTGAGAAAATTGTTTAAAAAGTTAAAAAAATTGTAAACAAAATAAATTAAAAAAATTTTTTGCATTAAAAATAAGTATCAGGTGGTTTAGTCAAGTTTGAGAAGTAAAAAGGAAATTAGTAGTTGGATAATTTAAATGAGATACATATTCAAAAGATTATCCCCTCAGTTACTTAAGCTTCATTAAAAATATTAAAACATTAAAAATACAAAACTTTAAATACATAAGTATTATTGGAAGAGATGTTTAAAAAATTGGTTAAATAATCCTAAAAATATTTTAATTTATTAGTTAATGTGTAAATTAAAGGATTAAAAATATTTTTAAATTATGTTTTAAGTGCCAATTAGGAGGAAATGACATTATTTTTTTATTTTTAAATATTTTAATGCTAATATAACTGTTGATATTTAAAATTTAATGAACAAGTTAATTAGGCATAGGGGAATTATAATTTTTGTGGGATTTTATCACTTTAAATGTGTTCCAATTTTTAGAAATTGTAAAATTTAATCTTTCCTTTGGATTATATTTTTTCTTACCTTTTTAAAAAAACAGCAAAAATAATCAACTAAATTTTATGGAAAGCAAAACGTCACCCTCCCAAAAATAAAGACAAAAAAAGCAAAGTCAAAAACAATTTAGCAGAAAAATAAATTGAAGAATAAAAATAAAAAAATAAATAGAACCGGAAAACTCAAAAAGGAAAAAATCTCTATGTTATTTAAAAGAAGAATTTAAAAAAAGGAAAAAAATATAATCCAAAATACATTGGAATAAATAAATAAAAAAGTGTGTGTGTTACTTTCAAAAATTTAATTGTTTACGGGGATAACTAAATTTAGAAAATATCTTGTAAAGAAAAAATAGGTTTAGAAAAGGAAAAGCAGATGAAATGTAGAAATTTTATTTATAGAAGGATGTTTAGATAAGTTTGCAGAATTTTATTAATAAGTCTTTTTTTCAAAAAATGCTAATTAGCTAAGGAATTATTTTTTAAAAATTGGCTTTGGTCTAGTTTATGAGTCTCAACAAAGGTGCAACTAATTCATAAACTAGACTAGCACCTAAAATTTATTTTTTATTATTTTCCTTATTTTTTAAAGCAAAAAAAATTAAATAACGGACGCTTAGCATTTTTAACGAACAAAAAAATCTTGAAATTCGAGTCATAAAATAATATTTTTTTGTTTATTCCAATAAGGACAAATAATAATGTTTTGAAAAAATGTTAAAAACAGTTATAACACGCAATATAAAAATTAATAGAAAATAATTTTCTATGTAAAAAGCGTTCTTTTAATTTTTACTTTTTTACAATTTTTTAAATTTTATTAATTAAAAGTTAATGCTTAGGAAATAAAAAAATTATTAGAGACTGAATTTCAAAAAATTATTTTATTTTTTTGTAATTGTTTTTTCGTGTGAAATTTTATTAATTTTTTTGAAATGGATTTTTATATGAAATTCTGAAATAAGTTTTATGCTTTTTAAATCTAATGGATTTTTTTGCATTTTTCATTAAACAAAAACTTTTATTTTATTTTTCCACTAGAATATTTTTTTATTATTATTTTTATTGAATAATTTGAAAGAGATTTTTAAGGGGAGATTTTTAAGGAGGGGTTTGAAGAGTTTTGGAGAGTTTTCTAGTGTGTTCTGATGAATTTTAGGATGAAAAAAATTTTTGTGAGTTTTGTGAGTGAATAAAAAATATGGATAGATTAAACTATACAAATTTAGAAAGAATAAGAAGGTGTGTAGACTTTTTAAAGTTTTTTTGTAAATTTAATTTTATAAATATAATTAAGATTAATTTAAATTGGAAGGTGTCTATATAATTTGTCTAGGTTTTGCTAATTGAATTTAATTTTTACTTTTTTAAATTTAATTTTGCAGCAGAATTTTTCTGAGCAAAAATTTTTTAAGCTTCAACGATATTAAAAAATAAATCTAGTAATTACTAGGTCACCAAGTAAAAAAAATTTTTTAAGAACTCATTAACTATGTATTTATAAAATATGCTGCTCTTTGCCTATTAATTTCCGCTGCTACCATTTTTTGTAAAAAAGAAGGAAAAGCAAAAAAAATAACTGGGCATTAAAAAGATGAATAAATGTGCTCATTAAATTTATATACTTGGTAAAGCATTGAAAAAAAATTTTTTTTTAATCGTCACAAAAAATTGATAGCTCCTAGAAACTAAAAAACAATAGGGGGAGGGGGGAGATGCAAATTAAATTGTCAATTTTGTTAATTTTCATTTTTTGTGGAGAACAAGGAAGCAATAATCAAGAATCATTTTGGGAATTGAAAAAAATCCATTTTATCTTTTAATTGGTACTTTAAAAAATACTCCCTTTAATGACGCTAATTTAAAAAATTTTTCTAACTCTGGGTGGCTTAAAAAATTTTTTTCTTTCCATTTAACCCTTGTCCTTTATTCGCTTCATTTAGTCTGGTTATTGTATTCTTCTAGTGGATAAAAAAGTGGATTTTTTTGAATGAGAGAGAGAATGCAGCATAATTTTAAGGAGAAAAGTTAATGAGGAACGTTGTGTGTCTGGGAACGTATTGAGAGAATTTTTTAGTATTTTATTTAGTGAGTAAAATAGGACTTTAAAAAAGGAGGAATATAAAATAAACTTTTTTATCGAGCTTTTTAATTAGTTTTTTAAATGGAGGAAAATGTTAGAAAAATTAAATTTAAAAAATATATACTTTAAATGATATGGATTTTAGTAGTCCTGTGCATGGATACGTATAATATCCGGATATCCGAGGATAGGGAAGGATGTAGGTAGAGTTTTTTCAAAATAGAACGGATACGGACACGGACCTCAAGGATATATCCGAATATAGATTCCAAAATCCATGTCCATGCACAGGTCTGAATTTAGTAAAAAAATATTTTAAAATTTTGGTTTTATCTATTTAACTAAATAAGTAAAAATAAGGAAGCTTTTCTGAATTTTTAAAGTTTAAAGGCAGGAAGCAGGAAATTAAGACCACCCGCACTAAATCAGAGCTTCTCTTCTTTTTCCATTTCCAAATTTTTTCTAATCTTTGGTAAATTAAATTGAAAATGCCATTTCTTAAGGCCTAAAAAGTGTAAGGACAAAAACCATAAAAATACCAAATTTTTTGTTATAAAAGTTCAAAAACTAACAACAATGGGGTGAAAGATTTCTTTTTTAATGAACAGCCCATACCACCAACAGTCTATAAAAAAATCTGTAAAAAACGGAGACATGTCATAGCAAATTAGAACTCCATGGGGATAAAAGTATTTAGAAAAGAGACAATAACATAAATATAAACAAAAATATAGGAGAGGATTGAAGTGGTTTTTAGGGAAAAAATGAAGTATGAAAGATTTAAATATTAAATAAGTACAAGAATATTTTTTTTTGTTTTAGAAAGAAAGTGAAAAAATATTTTTTTAATATTATTAAAATTAGAGTTGTACTCCTTCGAAAAATTGAAAACCCAGTCCCTCAATCCAGAAAAGTTTCGGGGTTTTCGAAGTTATACAAACATACCAAAAATGCCTTTTTTGGTTCCAAGTCTCGGCCCGAACCCGACCATACATATTTTGCTCACTCGACCCAAACCCCGCCTCGAAACAATGTGAAAACCTCGTACCATGACACACCAACTCCCAAGCGTTCGGGGTACAACCCTAATTTTAAAATTAATATTTTCTAAGGGTTATTTCAATTTTGATTTTGTAGTTTTATAAATAAGATTTTAGAAATAAAAAAATAAATGCGTCATAAAAGGGAAAGGCCAAAAGTTTATGTTGTTTAATCGGAAAGAAATTAAATAAATTTGACATATTTTTGCATTCTAAATTTTTTCCGTTAAAAAAACTTTTTTTTTATTTTGTACATTTTTAAAATGCCAACTAAAAACTGGTTTTTAGTTGGCGTGTTTTTTCCTACATTTAATTTATACAAATTTTCACATACTATGGAATAAAAAGAAAAAAATAACAAAGGAATAAAAAAAATTTCTCGGTTCAAAGAAAGTACGCGCTGATGATGACGATGATTAGTAATGATTAGTAAGTCACATAAAGTCATAAGTTAAAAGAAATTCTTTTAATTTTTTAAACAAGTTAGTGAATGAAAGAGACCACCCACTAGCAAAAAACAACACAAATAAAAAAAGGAATTTTTCAGCTGGTTATAGGGAAATACTAATTAAGAAGGCAAAAGAAAACTCTTGAGTTTGCGAAAGTTTTTATGTGGTTAAGGAGGCATATATCGGGATTTCGGTAACAAAAATAACTTGTTGCTTATTTATGTTGGTTCTAGAATACGGAAACTTTTTACATCAATAGGATAATTTTATGAAAGTTTCAGTGGCTATAGGTCTTGGCCATAGCTTTGTACATTGAAATATCCCGTTATTCCCCTCTCGATATGCCTGGCTCCCGTTTCTAATTAGCCTATATTTTTTAAGTTCTAAGATGGATTATTCTAAATTTAATTTTTTTTTGTTCATTAAGTTTTAAATGTTTAAATGTTTGAAAGGATTTATCGGTTTAAAAGTTGGAAAGATTTTAAATAATTTTACCAGGAATATATAAAAATTATTGTAAGGGATTAAATAAAAAAGGGATTAAAATATCCCAGACATTATTAAATATTTCTAGGGATTTGAATATTAAAATTATTTTAATAAATATCAGAAAAAAATTTTTTAGAAAATAAAATTAAGAAAAAAATTAAGGGAGTAGTCAGGAAAAATCAAAAATTAAAAAAAAGTTGAAAGAATAAAAAAAGAAATTCCGGGAAACCTAGACTTAATAAAAAGGGTACTTCATTTTTTTGTTTTTTTATTCAAAAGAAAAATTTTAGACAATGACTGTTTAAAACAAAAGAAAAAATTATGATGATGTCTGAAATAATAATGTAGCTAATTTTAAAAAATAAGGAACTAAAAATATTTTTATTGAAGAAAGAGAAATATTTTTTAAATATTTTTTGGTACTTTTCAATTATTTGCTCACAAATTCTTAATAAATGAGCTTGGGTCTCCCTATGGTTTCCAACTTGGAACTGTTTGTAAGCTTTTTCGGTCTGCTGGCAGTTCCGACTCCGCAGACATTTCCGGTTTTGGAACCGGTCACTAGCCGAAGTAAAACTAAAGAATTTGTAGGCTTATTTTTTGAATTAATATTTTTATTTTTAATATAAATTTTTTTTTTCTCAGCAGAAAAATATTGAAGTATACTAATTTAATTATTTTTTTCCTCATTTTCTATAAAAATATTAATTTAATTTTTTTCCTACTTTGAAATGTAAATGTCAGGGAGAATTTTTGATTGATTGTTTATATTAAAGCCTAGAGATTTTTTTATTTTCTAAAATTAGAATATCCATATATGCCTTATGTTTTAAATAAGCATAATTTAATTAGAGTAGCAAGTAATTATAATTAAGGACAGACAAAAATAAATTTTTTATGGATAAAAAGTCAAGAAGTCCAGACAAGAAAGAGGCTGCCGTATTTTCTCGAATAATTCCCCCCCCCCTTAGATTAATCCCCCTCCCCCTCGAATAATTTTCCTATAATTTTCTTATACCAGGGATGGCTTAAATATTCCCCACCTCCAAATACCCTCTACTTGCACGTTCTAATTTCGAAACTTGAATAAGTCCCCTCCATCAAATAATTAATTCCCCATTTCACAATGGATAGGTAATTCTCCGAGGAACTAATCGAGAAAATACGAGTATATGTTGTGTGATTTTTTGTAAATTTTAAACAATTTTTGTTTATTGCTAAAAACAATCTCAGTATAAATCTTTGTTCTTTAAAAAACATAGCGGAAGAAAATAATCGTAGAAAAATGTTTTGAGGTTTTGTTTGGGAGTGTTTGTAAATAATATATTTATATATCAGTTTATAGAGCTATTAAAGTGCCTAAAGCGTAGGAACTAGAAATATATGTAAGAGACACTCTATTATTGGTAAAAAAGGAAAAAAATTGAAGGGGGTTTCGTAGAATACTTGAAGGGGGAAACTTTTTTTTAGCTTTTTTTAGTCAAGTTAATTTAGTATGAAAAAAATCTGAGGTTAAAAGTAACAAACTTTTTTTGGTAAAAATTCTAAGAAATTATAAATGCAATAAAATTATTTTTTTGGTGATAGACTGATGGGCGAACATATCGGGATTGATGAGAGGAAAATAACCTCTGGCGTGTCTATGTTGGTTAAAAAACCAGGAAAATCCCCTTTTTAAATAGGATAATTTAATTGCCCAAGACCCCCGAAACCAGTAGGGTAGCTCGAAACCATAGAAGCCTATAGTACTTTTTTCAGGCTTTTTAAGGTAATTTTTAGGCAATTTTGCTTTTTAACGCAATTTTTAAAAACCCCACAGATGGACGACAAGTTACACATTTTTATTTTTTATTTATTAAAAATGTAAATGTAACACAAAAGACGTAAATTTTTAAGTAAGAAAAGAGTGTGTGTATGTAAATAAGTGTGCCTTTTTTATTTCAAAATATTAGCAACCATGTGTGATTGACACATTTTTTAATTATTTACTTGTTTTTTTAGAAATATTTTTTTCTGCTTTTTTAAATTTATTTTCTTTCTTTTTTTTAAAGACCACATGTAGAAAAAAATAAAAGTGCGCGAAAAAAATAGGTGGTGTCACATTGCATAGAGGCAGGACAAAACACCGTCTTACCAAAATACTGTCCACCAACTAGAGTTAAAATTACCGTCCATTTCGAGCAGAAAAAATTTTTAAATAAGATTCTTAGGCATAGAAGCCTATAGTACTATCCAAGATTCAATAGCCGTAGGGTCTAAAGATATTGGTGGAAAAGTGAACAAAAGTGGACAACGTTTTTTACTTTTCCGTCCGGACGGTATTTTGTTTAGAGGGTGTTTTGCCCCTTACACCTATTGCACAATGGTAGCACAATTTAAAAAAACGAGACAGGTGCAAAGAAATCCAATTTCCGGATATATTTTCTAAGAGGAGGGGAGGGGTGATATGTACTGTTAAAGCGCAAGAAAATGTGTTTTCTTCTAAAAAAATTTTTTCATTTAATTAAAAAGAAAGTAAACAAGAAAGAAAAGTCCAAATAACATTAGCGCAACATTATTTTTTAAATTAAAAATAATGGGAAAAATGAAGGGGAGAAGAGATGTTAAAAAATTATTTTTTTAAATGCCAAAAGGAAATTGGATAGGGGATAGGGAAGTTAAAAGAAAAAAGTCCAAACACATTTTCCCCATTTTTTTCTTATTTTCTTTTAATCTTGAGAATTTGGTCTCCTTTTAACATTTTCTTAATAAGGGGATAAAAGTATAAATATTTCCTCTTTTTTGATAAAAATATTATTAAAGCCAAGCTTTTTTGGATTGGAAAATACGTAAATTAACGAGAAGAAAGGCAGGGAAATATATTTAAGTATAGATTATTTGGATAAGGAGATGTTGATCCTCTCAAATGGAAACATGAATTGAAATAGGGATGCTATATTTAGAAAATAAGAGAACGTAACGGATAAATATGATTTGAAAAATGTAAAGCTGGGGAGAGAATTTAGAGGCGTAAATAAAAATAGAGAATGTAACGAATGATTTGCAAAAATGTTTAGGCTGAGTGAGAGACTTGGAAAAAGTTAAAAATACACAAGAAATATCCACATTTAACTTGGAAACGTTACGGATAAGCATATAATTTGAAAAATTTGTAAAACGGGGGAATTGGGAAAAAGTAAAAAACACGTGGAAAAATTGTTATTTTAGTCCTATTCCCTTGAAGAAAAAAGCAGTATCAAATAAATTTGGGGGTTTAATTTAGATTTTTGGTTTCTCAAATAATTCTCAAACTGCAATTTTTAATTGTTTGCATTTTTATTTATAAAAATTTAGTCTGGAAAAAATTTTTTACATCCTCTTTCCTGAGAAAATAATTAAAAGAAAAAATGTATTAAAATACGCGCAATATTAATTTCAATATATTTGCTTATTAGAAAGAGATATTTAAAAAATTTGTTTAATGAGTTCAAATGTTGCTTTAGTTTCTAAGAGCAAATATTTAATTTTTCTAAGGAATTTTTAACAAAATTTTTGGAAGTTAAATACATAGAAATAATAATGTGTGTGTTTATCTTTTTTTAAAGAGGCCTTTTCCTCTTTTATTAATTTAATCTCCCTTATTCAAATAAAGAATTTTCGTTTAATTATATACACTTTCTGTCCTTTTTTGCCATTTTGGAAGCCTTAGAAAGCTTTAATAAATATTTTAAAAAATGTCAAAAAAACGAATCTTTTGGTCATGTGCCAGTTAAATGAAAAAAATTTTCTTTGCAACTTTTTCCAGAAAAAAAGAGTTTATTAGGGATTATAAGGAAGGTTTTTAAAGGTTTAAAAGATTAATTAAACATTTTAAGTTATGTCTGTTGTTATAAAAACTTCGAAAATTTTAAGATTTGAATTTGTCTTAAGTTTAATATGCTCGGTGCTGTTTTTATGAAAATGTTATGAAAAGCTTGCTTTATTTATTTTATATGATATTCTTCTGCTTGTTCTTCCTTTTGTTATAGTTTTGTATCGACTTTAAAATTCTCACCCAACCACTAATTAATAATAAAAATAAATTTAAGAAAAATAATAATAGTAGTGGAAACTTTAATTAGAAGAATATTGATTTATCTAAAATTGTGCCTCTAATTTGAAAAATTAAATTTAAAAATTACAAACTTAAATAACCATTTACAAACTTAGGAATTAATTTATATCTTTCCGGAAAATGTTTATATTATTCCGGAAAGTATTTACAAACTTAAAAATTAATTTATATCTTTCCGGAAAATGTTTATATTTTTCCGGAAATTATTTACAAACTTGAAAATTAATTTATATTTTCCGGAAAATGTTTATAGTTTTCCGGAAAGTATTTACAAACTTGAAAATTAATTTATATCTTTCCGGAAAATGTTTATATTATTCCGGAAAGTATTTACAAACTTGAAAATTAATTTAAACTTTCCGGAAAATGTTTATAGTTTTCCGGAAAGTATTTACAAACTTGAAAATTAATTTTTATTTTCCGGAAAATGTTTATAGTTTTCCGGAAATTATTTACAAACTTGAAAATTAATTTATATTTTCCGGAAAATGTTTATATTATTCCGGAAATTATTTACAAACTTGAAAATTAATTTATATTTTCCGGAAAATGTTTATATTATTCCGGAAAGTATTTACAAACTTAAAAATTAATTTATATCTTTCCGGAAAATGTTTATATTTTTCCGGAAATTATTTACAAACTTGAAAATTAATTTATATTTTCCGGAAAATGTTTATATTATTCCGGAAAGTATTTACAAACTTAAAAATTAATTTATATCTTTCCGGAAAATGTTTATATTTTTCCGGAAATTATTTACAAACTTGAAAATTAATTTATATTTTCCGGAAAATGTTTATAATTTTCCGGAAAGTATTTACAAACTTGAAAATTAATTTTTATTTTCCGGAAAATGTTTATAGTTTTCCGGAAAGTATTTACAAACTTGAAAATTAATTTAATCTTTCCGGAAAATGTTTATATTATTCCGGAAAGTATTTACAAACTTGAAAATTAATTTAATCTTTCCGGAAAATGTTTATAGTTTTCCGGAAAGTATTTACAAACTTGAAAATTAATTTATATTTTTCCGGAAAATGTTTATAGTTTTCCGGAAAGTATTTACAAACTTGAAAATTAATTTAATCTTTCCGGAAAATGTTTATATTATTCCGGAAAGTATTTACAAACTTGAAAATTAATTTAATCTTTCCGGAAAATGCTTACAAGCTTAATAATTAACAGTATATTTATTTTCCTCTTACTCTCTTAATAAAAATGCTGGATGTGTTGCTGTAAATAAATTTTTGTAAGGTGACCAAGAAGGAAATGGAGTTGATTATTATTTTATAAAATTTTCAGTTTTTTAGAATCATGAAAAATACTAATAAAGTTTTTTACTTCGTATAAATTTTATTATTCAAAGCCTGATAAACATTTAAAAGCCGTCACAAAAAATCACAAAAAATTGATTTTTTTTTGCGGAACCCTAGAAAAAATTTGTGGGAAATCTGATAAATCCTATTCGTTAATATATGTATTTTTCAAAAGAATCAATGCTGATCGTTAATTTTTTAATTCATGTCGATTTTCTAAAATAAAAAAATATTTATTCAATGGACATTTTACAAATGTATTATTAATTTAATTTAGAAGTCCTTAATTAATTTAAAAGTCCTTAATTAATTTAAAAGTCATTCAGTCAAAGCCATATGTCAGAAGTACAATCTCCGCCAGGATAACGCATTTCGTGTGCCAAGTAAGGTCCGTTAGGAAGATATTCGGATTTGCCAAAATCTATACGGAATGCTGGATTAACACAAAGTCCACCTCCATTGTCAATATCAACATCTAATTGAAGCATAGTAGAGCCTTCACTAAAATTATAAAAATAAAAATTAATTGCCTCCCCTCCTTTCATTAAATCAGAAAAAGGTCAAACACCTCCCCATACACAATTTTATTGAAAAAAGTTTTTTAAACTTCAAACAATTGTTTTTAACTAATTTAAGAGTCCAACTAGTTGGCCCATTATTCTTTAAATTTAAGAGAAAAAATAGTCTTTTTTAAAATGTTTTTTATCAAGCGAGATTGATATGAATGTCATGAGGTTCTCTTTAAATCTTAATTTTTTAAACTAAGTTTTAAAAGAGAAAAATAATAAAGTGGAGAAAGGTTCATTTTTTAATTATTTGTTTTGTTATTAATTAAAATTTGTAATAAAACTAATAAAAAATAGTCATGACTTTATTAAAATTCAGGTTTTTTATTTCCCCAGTTATTTTTTCCAGTTGTTGATGGTTCTCCTTAACTCTAATTTTTTAAATTATCTACTAATCAGAGGTCGGTCGGAAATAACGATAGTGCCGTAAATTGGAACTATTGGGAATCGGAAATAGCTCAAAAGTTGAAAATCGGAATACGACCGAGCACTAAACTAATTAAAAATCCCAATTTTACTGCCAATTACTATAATTACTCGAGTAAATCATCCTTTTCTGTTTAACCTTTTTCTGTTCCTAAACTTTAGCCTAATTTCTTCCTTAAACCTTTTTTATTTTGTTCTTTTTTACGCTCTATTCTTCTTCTTAAACTCTCACCATGTTAAACCCCCTCCTCCATTTAAAAATGTTCTTCAAACTAAAAAATCTGATCTGAAAAAGAAATAAGCCAGCCGCAAAAATAAATGATAGAAGAAAAATGAAAGAGAAAACAAAATCAGAAGATGAGAGCACATGAAAAAACTTTTACCAGTTGTTTAGGACCTTTTACCACCATTTTTCCCAGGCCAAAGTTAGAGGTAAACACTTGATCTCCTTTTTATCCCTCTCTCATTCATTTTACTCCTAAATCTGCCCGCCAACGCTTTTCTCTCTAAAAAGCTTATTTCCCCGTTTACTTATACAAAAATTATTTATAATTTCTTGGAATAAAAAAAACTTAAAAGGAATAAATCCCCCGGAGTTTTGGACATCTAGTATTTCCTACTAACTGATCTCTTATTTCAAAAACACTTAAATTAACTCATGCAGCGATGTTTAATATATTTTCTTGCTTTTTTGGCAACATTTAGTAACGTTAGATGTGTTTTAAAAACGGCAGATTTGCATTGTAGGTTTAAAAAGCACAAGAAAATATTCCCGAATTCAATTTAAAGGCATGTTTCTTGGATACCCAGATCTGGAATATGATGGTTAGTTAATAGAATAATAAAAAAAAGTGTAAGATTATGATAAGATCATGCATGATAAGATTGAGTGAGATAAAAACAGAATGAACAATCCTAATTTAAACCATTTTTAAAGGATTTGATCGAACTGAGGTTGGTCGCAAACTTTAAAAATAAAACGAAAATATATAAGGTATTAACCGAGAAAAACTTTAACAAAACATGTTTTGCCGATGGCGCTAAATCTGTAGTATTTTTTAATGACGTAGAAGAGGATGGTGGGTCAAATAAAATTTTTGAATAAATTTTTTAAAATTATAGACAGTGAGTTTGATCAGTACGAATGTTTTCTTCAGGTAATCAAAAATGTTATTCTAATCAAAAATATTTTCCTTATCTTAGCTGTCTGCCCAGGCATGTTTCAAAGAATTATTCAGCTATTATTTAAAAAATTTTCTCTCATTCTAAACAGATTATGACAAAAAGAGGATATAACTTCTACACTGTAAATACAACAAAAGAGATAAGATTAAGAAATCAGGAAGAGGTCGAGAAAGGCGAGGATACTATTCATGTCTATAAAGATGGCTACAAAATTGAATATAATGGAGTTAGAGGTAGGAGAGATAAATGATTAAAAGAACGGATAATTATAAAATTTCATAATTAAGATCCGGATACATTTGTTTCGTGGCTAATGGATGTAAGTTGTGTTAAGAAAATATTAGAAATATTCCAGAAACCAAAAAGACCTCACAATTCTATTTGTAGGTTCCTGACGACCCCGTTACAATTATAAACGACAAATTCGATCTAGAAGAGTTTGAGGATATGGATGATGAATGCGTGAGAATTATTGGATATTTTGGTTGGTAAAAAATGGAGTTGAAATAAAAAGTTAATTTCTAATAGAGCCTGGCAGTGCAGCTCTTAAGGAATTTGAAGAAGCAGCAGAAGAATTTATGGGAGAAGTAGAATTTTTCGCTGTAGTAACCAGCTATTGGGCAAAGAAAGTTGGCTTAAAACGTGTTGGGGAAGTACAGTTACTTCATCCATTTGAAGATGACCCAATATATGCCCCAGCCTCAGTAGACACTGAAGAAGAATTTGAAGATTGGGTAGAAAAACATAGGGAACCAGTAATGCAAAAACTTCGTTTGGACAATTATTTTAATGTTTGGAGAGATCCAGAGGAAGATGAACGTTTAGTTTTAGCTTTTTGTGACGAAGAAACACGTGAAGGAAGAGCATTGTTTAAATTATTAAGGAAGTTGGCAGATGAAAATCAAGAACATGCAGGGAAACTTGAAATTGTTCTAATTGATCCAGGTCGGAATTTCAAAAAGAAATTTATTTAAATAGATTATAAAAAAATTTTTAGATGAGTTTCCGTTGATGGTTGATGTTTGGGAGGTAATATAAAATAAAATAAATGAAGGGAAGAATTAAATAAAGCGAAAGTTAATAAAAAGCAGGGGGTGTGCCTTTCACCGAATTTTCGTTTTTCCGAAGTTTCGTCTTTCATTCTTTTGCTTTTAAATTCTGTTTCGGCACACCCCTGTTGACAAAAATAACAAGATAATTTATACAGGAAATGTTTGGCATTGACATTGAAGAAAGTCCACAGCTTGGACTTGTTGACATTTCAGAACGCGAGGGTATTTGGTTTGAAATGAGCCAATTAAATTTAGACGACCCTAAAAAACATTGTGACGCAAATCTTGAAGCTTTACAGCTTTGGATAGATCAAATAATGGCGGTTAGATATTCTCAAAATTAAAAAATCAAATAACTTTTCAGGGTACAATCTCATTAGACGGTAAGTTAGCATTTTTAAGAAAATAGACCAATAAAAAATTAGATGATGACGATGATGAACCTCCACCCCCACCGAAAGCTGCAGGAAACTCGAAAAAGATCAAAAAAGAGTTGTGAAAAGAAAAATATATTAATTAAAAAATATACATTTTTAAAAGATATTAAGTAGAAAATAAGATTATTAGAGATAAAATCTAATAGAATGATTTAATGATTAAACCCCAAATTCATATTCCCAAGAACTTAAAAATTCCTAATAAGCGCAAAAAAGAACAAAATAAAATTTCGCACACCCTTCAAAAAATAAAAAAAACTTTTAACCCACCTCAACAATTTTGGATAGAATTGTTTATCCCAAACAGAATACAAAGAATTGGTCACATAAAGACGTCGTCCATCCAAACTCAATTGTAACATTTGAGGTCCTCCTTGCACAATTTTGTTTTTGACAAAAAGAGGTTCAGGTTGTGACTAAAATTGATCAAATTAGAAAAGTCTAGAAAATAAAAATATTAACCGTCAATTCCTTGTCTTCGAGAACTTTCACTCCACTTTCTTTATGTATCGAACCACCAATAAAACACTAAAAGTTGAGAAAATATTTCAAAAATTATTAAATTAAAAAATAAACCTGTCCAACAAGTTTTGGGTTTGCCGGATCTGTAATATCATATTGACGAATATCTCCGTGTAACCAACAAGAAATGTACAAAAAACGATCATCCATTGAGACAAGAATGTCAGTTATAAGTGCTGGCATCCATTCAAGTGCCCATCCTTGTACTTTTTTTGGTGGAATAGCAGCAACCATTGAATGTTCCATCTGACCCTTAAATTGAGAGAAACGTGAATTAAATACAAAATTTAAAATAAATCCATACCGGGCCTTCCTCATTACGCCAAAAATGGAAGATAGCCGAACCTAAAGCAGTTCCCACAAAAGCATGTGCTCGCGATGGTTCATGAAGAAAACGGACTTCCAGAGGAATATTGCCTTCTGGTTGTTGAAGAGAAATTGTCTGAATAAGTTGACGTTTCTGCCAATCCCAGACATGTACAGAATGACCATAGTCTAAATTTTAATTTCAAAAATTTCATAGAAAGAAGAAATTTAGAGCTCACCCTTATCAACATTTGCAGGATTAAAACCTTGCTTAATACTTTTTGGGCTTCCCCACTCTGTGCTGATCATCAATCCACGACGAGGTTGATACCAAAAGTCATAATTATAAGGCAACGCATTTTGACCCTCAGGAATCCAGCGACTTATTGGCTCAAAGGTTTCAGAGTTGACAAGCAGAAAATCGCCTGAAAATGGATTTTTAGGCAAAGAAAAATAAATCGTCCGCAGGCACTGAGTTGCATGAAAAATATCGTAATTTCCCATCATGAAAGTTAAAATAAAACCTTTTGGGGAATCCTTCTCATCACCCAATGTGCTAATCATAATAGTTCCATCAGCAAGGCAATGTGTAGTATGAGGGAAACCAACCCCCAAATCAAAGAGTTGTTTTGGCTCAATTGTCTGAAAACTTAAAACGTAATCCGATCACTTAATTATTATTCAACCTTGGTAAGTTCAGGCTTCTTCGGATCCTTTGTAACGTCAATTATATAAATACGCGAAGAGTTTAAGCACGGCAAAATTAAATGCGAACGTTTACGTCCAGCATCCTCATGGCACGAAGAACAAATATTCCAACCAGTGTGGTGAACCTCATCTGAAGCATTTGGAACCTCTATTTTGCCAATTATCTAAAAGAACCTATTAGTAGTCTTTTAATTATTCTGGATTCGACCCGAGGACAAACTCGAATCCAGGGTTCGACTTACTATTAGATATGGGACTAGAATCCGGAATTCAAAAAAGAAATTTGAACTCATATTCAGACCCTGCACATTCGATTACCTACTGGCAACGCCAAAAATAACGAAAGATCATTTCTAGGGACCGATAAAGCAGGAGATTGCCAATATATCATAAAAAATAGTGTAATTTATATAACCAACCTTGCAATAGTCCTCACTCTTTGGATCAACATCTACAGTCGCCAACATATCAGGTTTAGCTTGGTCAACATTAGGACAGGTCACAAAAATAATCTTCTCACGAGGAGCATTTTTGAAGGCGTCTAAAGGCGATTTATAACCAGGTCCACAAGCACAACATTCTTGTTTTGTTTCTGACATTTTTGTTGTATTATAGAATCTATTCTTTAAATAAAATTTTTTTTAAATAAATGCAACTAAAAAACCAAACCTTTAAATCACACTGTTTAAAAAGTCAAATTCACCGTTAAATAAATTAGTAATTGCTGAGTCAAATACAAAGAATTTTTTGTTGATCACAAGTTTTTAAACTAAGAAATTGTTCAATCTTTTGTAAAAAATAAAAAAATAAATTTAAAAGTTGTAAGAATGTAAATTTTTTTGTTAAATGCTAACATAAGAAAAAATTAAGAATTTTAAATTTTAAAATAACAATTGAATGTTATAATGGAAATTTTTCAATTTGTAAAGTGCAAAATAAAATGGTAAAAAAATGTAGATTAGAGTCTAGTGGAAAAATTGCATTCGCGGGATCCCGCAAAGGGATTTTTTTTCAAAATTTTGTACGGAACAGGATCCCGCGGGATTAATCCAGATAATCCCGTTAGTCGCTTGAAACATGGGATTTCGAAACAGGATCCTGCAAAATTTCGTTCGGGATCCTGTCCCGTCCATACTCTAATGTAGTATGAGATTAGAGTCTGAGAATTCTAAGGTAGTAGATTAGAGTCTTAGATTAAATGACAATTGGAGTCTCTCCTTTCTTTTAATTTTCTTCGAGACAACCGCTGCTGCATTTCAGTCAAAAAAGCTGTTTAATTATCTTTAAGTGAATGTTAAATTGATTAAAATTGATAAGCAATGTCTCTCTGTATTGATTATATTCACAACCAAGGAATTGAGTAATTTATTGTCACATTATAAAGTAAATATTAATTGTTGAATGCCTCTTCCTAATATTTTTTAAATCCCGAATTTTTTGCAATTTTATTTATTTTTTTCAAAAAATCATACATAATTGGACATGCGCGCGACTAATACAAATTTTGTATTGATAAAAAGAAAATTGAGAAAAAAGTTATTATTACCAATTTTGGGTAGAAAGAATAAATTAAAATGGGGGAGAACGAGAAAATTTTTGTTATGTTGGGTTGTTTGTTGATGTCCCCCTCTCCAATTTAAAGTGATTGCGTCGAGAGCAGCGTGAAAAATATATTACTTGATGAAAAGAATTATTGAGTAATTTTAATTTTAACAATGTTTTGATAATCATCCATGCGCATGTTCTAACAATTTTTAAAAAAAAGTCCCGAGTAGTAAATAAATTATTCTTTTGTATTTTGATAATTTAATTCTTTTGAAATTGTATAGACAATTTTTAAGTGGTTTTTTGTAAAAAAAGTTTATTTTTACCCTCAAATATTTTTTTCATGTTTGATAATTTTCTCTCATTTTATTTTCGAATGTTTTTCAGACTAGAAATTCTCATTAATGTCTCTATAAATTGTCTTAATCCATTAGTTTAACCAATCCATTTCTTTTAAAAATCCTCGTCATTTTCAATCTTCCATAATACGCCTTTAATCCTATGTACTTTAATATTTAAGATTTTCCTTCTTGATTTATTTTTTTCCCCTCGCGCATTTTAAAAATTCATATTTTTAAGCAGGAAAATTAATTATTCAATAAGATGCTTCAAAATTAAATCTTCAAAAACAACAAAAAATTCCAACATTTACTCTCTTCTCTTTTACTCTTGAGGAATGTTGTCTACCTCCTCTGCTGCCAACCGCCTTGGCCCTGAATGTTTGGAGAGCAAAAAGGCTTTAACTAGACGACGTAAGGCCAGTCTATTTCGATCATCTAGTGGACAGCCTGATGAACGTAAGGATTTAAAAATTAATTTTCTAAAATATCCTTAAGAATTTTATGACTTGTGCAGTTTACGTCCCATCTCCTTCCCTTCTCTTTTTTGAAAGTGACATTTGGGTCAATACTTTAATTTTTGTTGATTTCAGCCCTTTTTACATCCTTATAAGAAAAATATGAGTGAAAAAAGGAAGAACAATAATAAAAGGGGCGGGGCATATGGGACGTAAACTGCACAATAACCGAATTTTTTCAGATAATTTATTGGCCGATGCTCTTTATTTACCTCAAAGCCTTCACCTTAGCAGTTCATCTGATAGTAAAAATTTTTTTATATTCATTCCCTCAATAATCTTTTTATTTAATGTCCAATCGACAATGTTCGTCGTTTATTGGAAAGAGTTGTTGGAGGGGATGGCTCAACATTATCGCCAGTTTCTGGACAACAACGACAAACACTTTTTTGTGAAATGCTTTACTTGACAACAGCATTTGCTGAACAAGAAGCAGCAGCAGAAATTGGGGATGGAGTAATGGCTTCAAATCTTCAATTGGTACAACAAAGTTTATTTTGGCAACAGACTACAAGGTAAAACTAAATATTTCTTGTCTAACAATAAAATTTTTCCGAAATTAAAGATGGATAAAATATGAGCAATGCATTGAAGGTGGAGGAACGCGCTTTTCACGTCCTTATATTACGCTTCTCGGTATTGCTGCTATTATGCAGGTACCATTTCTCAAAAATTTAAAAATTCTCAATTTAAAGGTAAAAAATTGTTTACGTCGTGGCCTTGTTCTCCTAGATTCAAGTGCAAACACATTTGTTCGCGTTTGTGACCAGCTCATTGAACAATGGGTTATTCACGGCCAACTTGGTTCTGATGAGGCTCTACAAAATTTGGTTAAAGAAATTTTATTTGCACCAAAATTGCATTTGGTTGGAGGGAAAATGCGGAGAGTATATGATGGGGATGGTATTGACTTCTTTTATTTTACTAAATTATTCTTTTTTTGATTTTAATTAGGCAGACTTAGAAGAGCTAGTTTCAATGACTCCAACCATTCAGGCCATCTTTCAAATTCTTCGTATAGTAGTAATTCTTGTGCTGAGGAAACTGGGCGAATTCGAAGCGTAAATTTATAATTGTTTATTATTAAATTAAAATTATCAAAGGCCGATGAACGTTTGTTAAAAAAGCTTGCGCCGAATACGGAGTCTGCGGCTATTTTAGTGAGTTATGACAAATTTTAGCAAATTTCTAACCGATTTTTTAACAGATCGCTAATGTTAATGCCTTAGAAAGACCTCTGAGTGCCTTCATTCGCCTTAAATATCCAACGGTAACATTTCCTCTTTCATTGAAAACATTTTTATATTTTTAGATGCTTTATCCAGAAGTCCCTGATCATCCTGTTCCAGTGCGTTTCCTCTTTGTCCTACTAAACTCTATGGATAACTATCCTGGTGAAACATTTCGAATTGGACGAGCAATAGGAGCGCTTCTTTCTGATGAGGTTTATATTTAAAAAATCCTTTTACAAAAATTAATTCATAAGGTTTTCCAAAAAGTAGCATTGCACTGTGAGGAGAGAAATACTCTTGTGGATGCGATAGATGAATTTCTCTCACAAATTGTTGTTATTCCACCGGCAAAGTGTTCAACAGAGGCCAGATGGACGCGTGATGAAGGTGCTGATGAATCTGTAAGGGAAAACAAATTTTAATTTTTTCTGTTAATTATTTAAAAATTCATTCTAGGCAGTTCGTCATGTAGGAATGCTCTATGCAAATTTTTCTCACGATGATCGTCTTTGTTCGCAAGCATTCTATTCAGAAGAATTTGATTCAAATAAACGCATTTCTATGGCTGGTCAACATACAGGTCTAGAAGCAGGCCAACCAACGAGGACAGGACAATTATTTGGAGGATTAGTGCAAGATATAAGGTTCTAGTTTTCAATTTCTTTATCTAATTTTATTAATCCCCCACAGACAAAAACTTCCTTGGTTCCCATCCGATTTCTTGGACTTTTTTCGCGGTCGTTTATCTCAGTCATTGGCTTGTACATTGGTTCTTTTCCTAGCAAATCTCTCAAATATCATCACATTTGGTGCAGTTATGGAACGTTCTTTGCATCATCAAATGGCTTCAATCGAAAACATCATTTGTGGTGCTCTATCAGGGGTTGTTTTTGGTATGTTTTCTGGTCAACCACTTAATATTCTCTCAGCAACGGGGCCAACACTTATTTTTGAAAGGATTCTCTACGACTTCTGCACGTATAATTTAAATTTTATTAAAGATTTATTGTCTATTTCAGAGCAAAACATTGGGAATTTTTGCCCTTTCGGCTGTATGTTGGTGTTTGGATGGTTGGTTAAAGGATTATAGAAGAATAGACTTTTTTACAATTCTCTCAAATATTAGACATTCTACCTTCTTTTGCTTGTAGCAACTGATGCTTCTGCGTTGGTATTTATTTTGTTTTATTAAAGCAATAAAAATTTCTTTTTTGGTCTCTCTTATCACCCGCTTTACTGAAGAGGCATTTGCGACACTCATCTCCATAGTCTTCATCATTCAGGCATTTGAAAAACTTTTTGAAATAAGTTACGAGGCACCAATAACTCGCCATCCACAAGAAGTACTCCATTCTGCATGTCATTGCATTATACAAACTGAAGAGGTTTAATTTTTTATAATTTTAAATTTTTAAAAATTCTCGAATTTTGAAAAATTTTGGCTATTTTTCTTTCCATTCTATCATTTTTATTTTAGTGGAACTCAACTCTTTTCAAGAATCTTAGTGTTGGCGTTAGCCGATGTGTGGAGCTAGGTAAACTTTAAAAAATAAAAATATGAAAATATTTTGAAGGAGGTGAGCCTCAAGGTTTACAATGCTACTTCAAGCCTGATGTTTATATGTATTTTGACTTTAAAAGTAATTTTTTAATTTAAACTTTAGGTTCTCAATAATACTAACTTGTGGGACGTTTTTGATCGCCTACTCACTTAATGTTTTTCGACATTCCCGCTACTTCTCTTTTAGAGTTCGTAGATTAAAAAGGTTTTCTTTAAATTTCATAAAATCATTCAAGGTTCGAAATCTCATTTCCGACTTTTCTGTTCTAATTGCTATTGTTTCATTAACACTTACAACTTACCTTATTGGATTAGAGGTCCCTAGTTTGAAGATGCCTGCAAGTATTCGTCCAACAATGGATCGAACATGGCTTGTTGATGCAACCAATATTGAAGATTATACTGTGGCATTGGTTTAATTTTATAGATTTAAGCAACTTAAAATTTTAATTTTTTAAATAGATTGCTGCCTTCCCAGCCTTGTTTTATACAATTTTGCTTGTTATGGATCAACAAATTACTGCCGTAATTGTAAATAGGAGAGACAATAAACTTAGGGTTATTTTTTCATTATCAGAAAATATTTTCCTATTGTTTTAAGAAGGGTTGTGGCTATCATCTAGATCTTTTAATTGTTGCCTTTCTTGTGTTAATCTGTTCATTTCTTGGTCTTCCCTTTTATGTTGCTGCTACTGTTCTCTCAGTTATGCATGTTGAGGCATGTTTTTTTTCAAATTTATACTTAACTTTCTATTTTTTATTTTAGTCTCTAAAGCAATATGTTGATTGTATTGTACCTGGCGAACCTCAAAAATTTTTGGGAGTAAAGTTTGTTCATCTTTTTATTAAAGTTTTGTCTTTTCACATTTAAAGAGAGCAAAGGTTAACTGCTGTTTTTGCGCATGCTCTTATTGGGTGCTCTGTTTTTCTCACACCTCTAGTTAAGGTAAGCTTTTTAAATTTATTTTCACTCATTCCCCTAACATTTACATTAGAACGTTCCTGTCCCTGTTTTAACTGGCATTTTTTTCTACATGGGTGTTGTTTCCCTACTTGGTCAACAATTTGTTCAACGACTGGCATTGTTATTTATGCCTGTCAAATATCAACCTGATTATATTTGGTTAAGAAGTGTGCCAATAAAACGTGTACATAATTTTACTTGGTAAAGAAATTTTTTGTTTTTAAATGGTTGTTTTTTAGCATCCAGCTTCTTAGCATTGGTTCACTGCTAGCAATGAAGTATTCGTCCAGTATGTTGTCAATGATGTTCCCGATGATGGTAAGAAACAATTTAAATATTTTTCAGTAGGGTTGACGGTTCTTGGAAAATCTTCGGATATCCAGAACCTAACTGGAAATTTTTGGAACTCCGGAGAACCGGCCCGAATAAACTTGCTTCTCGATTCGGTTCCGAACCAACAATCCTATTCTTCTGTATTTTAATGTGATTTTTTTAAATTTTAGTTAATCCTCACTGTTCTATTGCGAATGTTCCTTCTTCAACGATTATTTACCCGACGTGAACTAAAATCTTTGGATGATGAATTGCCTAGTTTTCGAGATGTTATTCGACCAATAAAAATATTTAGGCCAACAAAATATCAAAAGAAACAAACAAAAATAAAAGGAGCAGCTGAAGATGAAGTTCTTGCAAAGAGGAGAGAGGGCGATGATGAAGAAGAATGTCTTGAAAAGAAGACAACAATACCTCAGAAAGATGAAGAAGTATGATCAAGAATGGGACTGATTATTAATTTTTGATTTTAATATTTTATTATTTTTCAAAATTTCGTATTTCCTTTGTATTTCAAACCCTAACATTTTAAAATTTTTTCTACAAATTTTTAAAATTATCTGGTTGAGTATCTTTGCAAGAAGCATACCTAATTAGGATTATCATAATTTTTTTAACTATAAAAGCCTTCGTTTAATCTTAATCATCACCACAATCAATCTTCCAAATCTACGCAAGTTTGCAATAAGTATATATTGATACTACAATGCCTTCTCTTCGCTGTTCGTCGCTGTTGTTCTTCATGCTTCTTAACATCGTCAGCTATGCTAGGTTTTTTATTTGACCTTTTAAATTTTTAACCTTCTCTTTTTATTTTCAGCGGTGCGGATCTGGAGTCGATTCTTGAAGATGCGACGTCGCAAACTCCTAAACAGTGGGAGAGGATGTTTTTTGGTGTAATGATCTATCTGATTATGTTCGTTTGCCATTTTTTCATTTTAAAAAATAAATTTTTAGATCGTTGATTCTCTTCATCAACACCTTCCTCATCTGCCGGTACAAGAGTAAGCCGAAGCAAACGGCGGTGGGTTCTTTTTGTATTTGAACTCGCTTCTATTTTTAATTTTTAAGAAAGCTGAGCCAACTCTAAAATCTGTTGTAATCAATGTCCATCAACGTCCAGAACCGCGTGTTGTTAACCTCTCACTACGCCAGGCGGTGCCTAGTCCCAGTGATAGACGCTCCAGTTTGGCTGAACCAAGCGAACCTGCGACCCTTGAAAGAATCATCATCACAAAAACTGCACGGCTCAAGGACTCTGAGAGGAGGGCGGCAAAAACGGCACGTGGAGATGGCCTGTCGCAAAGGGATAAAGCTCTTATTCGGGCAGTGGCTGCGTCAACGGCTCGTTCTCTTCGCGAAGTATCTAAGAAAAGCAAAAGGTCGAGTAAGAAATCGAGCAAGAAGTCGTCATCTTCGTGTACGTTCTTAACTTGATGGGATTACCTTTTCAATTTTTCTCATTTCAGCTAGCAGTGAAAGCTCTTCAACATCATCGTCTAGCAGTTCGAGTAGTTCATCTGGCCGCTCTTCGCGAAGCCGCAGCTCTCGACGCACCTCCGGTTCTTCTCGGCGCTCTTCGGATCGTTCTAGCCGCTCAAGTCGCCGCTCTAGCCGCCGCTCATCTCGTTCTGATACAAGCCTTCGCCGTTCGTCTGGCCGTTCCAGTTCAAGCCGTTCATCACGGCGCAGATAAAGGAAAGATGAGAGGAAATTCTAGGATGAAGAACAGTAAGTATATAAAATATATAAAGAGAATATAATTGTGTATCTCGTAAACAAGTTTTGTGTCCCAATGTAAATATTCCCAATAACCTAAATATGTATGTGTGTGGTTGTTAATTGTGTGATTTGTTTGTAAATAAACGGCATATCTTCATTAAATTTCAGAAAGTTTAAGCAAATTCCTCATTTTTCTTCTTTTTAAACTAAAAAAGCGACAATTTAACCCGTTCTTTACACCTGTACCTTTAAGTAAACTCAAGAGCTTTTACAATTTAAGCAAAGAAAAAATGCTTTGTTTGTATAACAGATAAAACAACCTTTTTTCTTAATCGTTTATGTATATTTTGTTTACATTTTAAGCACCTGTTTTTCTTAACTTTTTTCCTCTCAAATTGGAGCGTTTCCATAGCACTAATTATACACTTGGCATGCTTATTGTTATTTTAAATTGGCACTAATTTAATTGCGTGCATCCATTCATTAGTTCTTTTTACTTTAGAAATTTTTTTGAAATTAACCAGCCTTAAATGATAATTATCTCGAGGTTTATTTTATAGGGAGACACATCGGGATTGCGATTTCATAGGGAGACATTGGGACGGACATACCAGTCCATGTTTACTCTTTCATGTTTACCTCTAGAATCTAAAAACTTTTCTTCAGACATTGTTCTATCCAAGACCCAGTGGCCTAGGTCCACAAGGCAGTAGGTTTCCATAAGGCAGTAGTTTCCATAAGGCAGTAGTTCAAATATCCAGATATTTACTTGTCCCGGGATGTCTGGCTCCCGTTTATCATGTTAAGGTTATAAGCTTCAATTTTAATCTATTTGGCTTCTTTATTACGTACATAACATCTTTATAAGTAAACCATAGAAAACATCTCCTACATTCTTTGTGCGAGATTAGTTAGGCTTCTTCATACTTATTGTTAAATTTCAATATTTATTACATTTTTTAGTGTTGCTTTTCGCATTTTTAACTGGGTTCTCTCTCTCATTCATAAATATTTTATTGTCAACTACAATATAACTTCTTAGCTTCTTGTTAGCCATACTAATTGGCAATTTTTTTTAATATGAGAGATAGTTGCTTAGCTTTATTTAATAATAATCAAAACCTTATTTTCTCACCTTATTTTACTGACCAGGCAGAAAGTTCTGCCGTTGCCATGAGGCTTATATAATACACAGTTTTGGCTTTAACATAAAGAAATAATTGACACTCATTTTAATGTTAAAATAAACAATTCTTATTCATTATACTTCTTATACCAGTCAATTATTAATTTTCGTATTGTCTTGGTTTTTTCTTGGGATCAAGCTAGAAGTTCAATCCCCTATTAGTCAAATAACCTAGAAGGTCAAATCCAAAAGGAGATAAAGGACTTGTGCCGGTTAGGACGGATTTCTGGGTATTAAGGGGGATATCGGTGGATTTAGGCGGATTTAGACTTCTTTAGCCAATAAAATCACTTGTTTTAAATTTTAGCTTTCCAAAAATTTTTACTATCATCTTTGACCTCATCCTCCTTTAAACCAAAACTTTAAAAAATGCCACTATTATTGCATAAATGCTGTTCTATTCGTTTACCTTTCCTGTTCAGCGGCACCCAATCATTTTCATTAGCTACAATCATCTTTATCGGTATTCTTCTAGCTGGACAGATTGGTTTCAGTTCAGCTCTAAAATGTTATCAAGTAAACACATTTTGATTAAAAATTTTTAAAGCTTAAACTCATTTTCAGGGAACACAAGGGTATCAATTGGCTGTTAGTTTTTTGTCTTTTAACGTAAAATAAAGTTTTCCTTGAAATTAAAGATTAGTGGCTCCCCTACTGATTGCGGATATACGTCATTTTCGTGCATTAAGGTGGTCGATTATAGCCAGGTAACGAAGAAAACACTCGAAAATAATTTTTAATACAACTCATTTTAAGGGAACAGTAACGCGCTCTTGCCAGTCTGTTAATTGTACAATTGCTGGAACTGTATGCTTTATCTAAATTTAAATATTACTAAGCGACATTGACTTCAATGGAATGCCAAGCATTTGGCAATTGTTTAGCATTCCAATTGTTCCACTAAAGGACATTTAAAGTCAATGTCGCTTCATGGAATATATCCCTGGAATTATCTTCTAAAATATTTATGTATAGATGACAATGACGCCGAACTCAGTATGTCAAAATACTTCGACTTATCCTGTTACACAGACGTTCTGCTGCTGTTACGGTTTGACAAAACCATTTAAAGATTTCACTTTAATTCTTTGTTAAGGTGATGGTTGCAATTCAGCACTGGGAAACAGAATGAAGAATTCATTGGGAAGTATAACAATGTTTATACTAACAATGATATCTTTGACGTTTTTAGGGTTCGGTTTCAACCCTATTTTGAAATATTAATCTTGACCTTTATACATATTTTTATATTGTTTTTAATTTTTCCTTTTCTTGTCTTGTTAGTAGGGATACTTAAGCCTGATACAGATTCAAACTTTAAAGCGAAGTAACTTTGGAATATCCTGAAATATCATGTTAATGAGATTGCGCTACTAACAAGGGTTTCTTCTTAACCAAATGCATACATTTATATATTTTTTCATTAAAATTTATTTTTTCTGTGGACATTTTTTGTTGCATTTTTAAGCATTAATTTTTTAGATTTTTCACCTAAAAACTTAAGACATTGAAAGGGGTCCACCCCAGTTCTCTGAACATTTTTCGAACAGTAATTCAAAATTTTGCTTCTTATTGAATAGCCTTCAGCCATTTTTCCACCTGATTTTTTGTGCCGTAAAGAAGAAAAATGCCAGCGCTAATCTTACATTCCCCAAGCACAGTTTCATAATCACTTACAATGATGGGAAGAAAGGTCAATTTTTTGAAAAATTTGGAATGAGGGGAAGTTACTACATTATCCAAAGAACCTTTTTTGATGAAATTGACATTTTGATCAAAAAGGCGTCGTCAACAAAGAAAGTTTGAGGAGGGAGAATAAAAGCAAGGGTTGCCGGCATGGCATTCCTTCCCTCCCTTCATTACCTCTCCATTCATTAATAGATATTTTAGAATTTTTTAACGTGTAGTTTTTTTATTTTTTACGTGAAAAATTTTATTTCTAAAAAATTCGATTCCCTGGCTAAATGTTTAAAGAAGTCTTTAAATTATTTATCTTAAATTCGTTTTTTAAACAAGAATTTCTTTATCAATCACGTTTTCTTTTTTTTTTCTTCACAAGCTTGACAACTATTTTTTAATCATACAAATCATTAAATCTATTTTTTTACATTTTAGCAAGCATTTTTTATAAATGAATATTAGTAGTATGTCTACAATGGATTTGACTAGTAACTCACACAGTGAAGATAGTGGTGTAACTGATATGAGTACTAGCACAGAAAAGGTGGGAACTTTTAATATTTAAATTCGATTTGTTAAATCAATTATTAAAATCACAAATACATAGGTCACATATCCCCATGTGGAAATTCTCTATTAAATGATACCAAAAAAATCAAAAAGCTTCATGGATGTGATCAATGATCATTTATTTTTATTTTGCAGGTAGAAGCTTCTTTCGATGACTATGAAATGGATGACAATAAAGAAAATGCTTTGCCAAACAACAACACTTTATTGTCTCCAATTATAAATCCAACACCGTTACATCCAATTAAGAGCTATGAGACTTATTGCACTGTTCCAGGTCGATTGACTCTTCTTTCTAATTTGAAGAAATATCGAGTTACAATCGCTGAAGTTCAACGTCGTTTGTCTCCGCCTGAATGCTTAAATGCTTCTGTGCTTGGTGGAATTTTACGAAAGGCTAAGAACAAGGATGGGGGGAAAATTCTTCGTGAACAACTTTTGGTATGATTTTAAAAGCTGGTAATACTTTGGTTTTCCCATTTTTTGTCTTTTATTTTTTCTCTTGGGCAAATATGTAACATTTCGAAAGAGCTCTTAGAACGGAAGTCTCTTACACAAAGATTTTTTGAACTCCATAACTCCAGTATCATCAAATCTAGCCGATGTTGGTATCATTTGACCCTGTTCGAAGAGCTCTTTCGAATGATATATAAATTATTTAGTATATTAAGCAAAAAAGGGCTCAAAATGGTAGAAAAAAAGAGGGTGATAAACCAAAGTTTTACCTTAAAATTTTTAAATATTTTTTTAATTTTAAATATTTTTTAGAGTTATGGTGTTGAATTGACCTCGGGTAATCTCAATTATTGAAAAAATATTTCATTCTAAAGTTTTAAGGCAGACGCCGACAGGTTCAACTAACTTGTTTTTCAAGTCTTGTTGAGGAAGAAGTGGCGCAGGTTTAATTTATTTAAAAATATGTGGTTATAGAGATATTTTTAGATTGCTAGTGACTTTAACTTGGTTAATTCAAAGCATTATCCGTTGAAGGAAGTGGCTAAATATGTTCTTGGTGACATAGGTATTTTATTAAATTAATAAGTGACAAGACAGGGATATCATGGGTTAAACGAAACCCGATCCGAAGATTCTTCAAATTTTTACACTTATTTTTATTGTAGAAGTCCACAACTCACAGGATGCTTCCATGTATCGTCGTATGGGACTTTTTTATGCTAGGTATGATAACTCAAATATTTTAGTATTTTTTATAATTTAGTGCATTACTTCAACGCATTCTCGACCTCCACCGTGCTGACCGTACGCCGCTTGCTGATTCTTTTCTGAAGTTTGATCCACGAACTCCACACTTGGATGAAAAGTTGCAGCAAGAATTATCGAATTATACTTTGGTTAGTTTTATTTTTGTCTAATTTTTGTTCAAAAAAGAAAATTTTTTAAGTTGACTCACGGATTTGGAGGTCGTATGTTTATTGAAGTTTTGGAAACGGTGTTAAGCGTTATTGTGGAAGCGGACAAAATTTTAAAAAGTAAAAATTGATATTTTTTAACTGACTAAGAATTTCATATTTATTTTTTATGAATAAATTCGAATCTTTTTTTTGGAGTTTTGATTGAGCCCCTAGTGAAATAGTAAATTTGTGTTGACCTTGGCCCTTCGCGCACGCATAATAAATTCTACTTACAAAATAATTTCTCGCTTATTTCTTCACCGAAAGTGTGACCATTGCAAGGTAAAGAGGCTAAGAGCAGCCAAGACTGGTTGAGAAGTTAAATATATTTTTGCGGAAAAATATTATGTTTCGCTATAAATACCCTTTGGAGATTTTAGTCTGCAAAATTTTTCTGTCCGCATTTCTATTGTTGCATTTTTTCAATCTAGTTTAAGTGTGCTCATTAGCACTACCCCCACTTTTCAATATCACATCGTTCATTCTATTCCTCTAACCAGCAAACTTCTTTTCCTTCTTTTCATTTTTTTTCAACCATTGGTTTGTATCAGGCAGCACCAGCGGCGGTTCATAGAAAATATATATTATACCAGTTTTATTTCAATTTCTTTAAATTTGTTTGTGCATGCTAATAGACACATTAGATAATATTCATTATTATATGAAAGAATAATATTTCAATAAATATTTTATGCAGAGCACTAAAAGCTTAAGAAGCTGACCATAAGGGTCAGGGCCCTTTATTTGAGGGTCAGGGCCAAAAAAAGCCAAAAATTGACAATAGGTTATCGACCCTGCTCTAACAATAGTGCAAAAAATTAGGAAATTTTCTAGGAGGGAAGGAAACTTTTAGATCCTGAAGAAAGTGCTGTCTATTTTACAATGTTTATTTGACGAATTTAAAAGTTTATTAATGCACTTTTTATAGTTTACATCAATTCAAATAAACAAAAGCTGAAAAAATCCTCTTTTTTAAACTAATTTCCTTTTTTTGATTTTTTAGAAATAAAACAAGGTTTAGTACTTCAAATAATACTGTATTGATTTATTAATTTTGGCTAATTTTTGGCATTTTGTTATTAAATTATAAAAATGTATGTTTTATCCATCTATATTTGCTTTAACATATTTTGCCAATAAAGCTTAAACCCCACATTTTGTCAACAAACTTATTGACAAAAAGTGAATTTTTACACTTATTGGCAAAATATAGTATTGACAAAATATAGTTAGCTTCTAGTGGCCAGAGAAAAAGAAAAGCAAATTGTCTATTAGTAACATTTTTAAAATGAAGTGTACAAAAAAATTTATTCCTCTATTTACATTCCACGAGATTAATTTTACCCTTATATGGATCCAATTTATTCAAATTTACCGAAAAATTAATTAATAACTGAAAAAATTTCTAAAAAAATTTAAAAATTTAAAAAAATGAAACAAAAATGGGTGAAACAGATAATCAAAGCTTTAGCAATTTTTATGTATGTTTTGATTAATTTATACCAAAAATATTAAATTTAATATAAAAATTTTTTCTTTTAGTCTAATGGTTATTCTGTTGAAATTGGCTTTTGTTCTTTTTGCTTATTTGGTAGGTATTTTACCCCAGAAGATCAAAACCAGAAGGTCAAATCCTAATGTTTGGGCGGATAAAGGAGACTAAGCTCCCTTTTGCCTTCTTATCTGAAGTTGCGTGAAAGGTTCTGACTTTCTGGGTTGATCCCATGATTATGGTCAGAATTAATAATCTTTTCTCTTTAGGCGACAATTTTTGCCGAGAAGGAAAAGGACTTGAGAGTTACACAAAAAGGTATATTTTTAATACTTTTAAAGCCAAGTAATAAAATTAAATTTTCAGTATATTTTGATATTTCTGTTGGAGGTGTAAGCAAAGGTCGAGTTGTCATTGGGCTTTTTGGAGAGATTGTACCAAAGACTGCAAAGAATTTTTTGGAACTCTCTAAAGGATCCATGGGTTTTGGCTACAAAGGATCAAAATTTCATCGTGTTATCAGAAACTTTATGATTCAAGGTTCTATTAACTTTTTAAATTTTTTATAAAAATTTAAAGGTGGTGACTTCACTCGAGGAGACGGCACAGGAGGAAAATCAATTTATGGCGAACGGTTCGCTGATGAAAACTTTGAATTACACCATTATGGACCTGGATGGTTAGGATTTTTGGGTACTAATTTAGTTTCCCCCCCCCCCCCAGTCAGTTTTTTCGAAAAATATGTAAAAATGGTCAGTCTGAACAACAATTGTAGAACCCATCGAGCTGAGTCGAATGACACCAAAATCAACAAAATCAGACTTTATTTGACCGAAATACAGACCCCTGAAAATTGAACAACAATGGGGGTGATTTTTCGAAATAAAAAAAGTTTACCCAAATGATAGCTCATTCGAAAGCACTCGTCGAGCTGAGTCGAATGAGACCAAAATCAACGAAATAGGACTTGATTTGACAAAGTTATGACATTATTTAGACTTACTGGAGTCAACGATTTATGTCATAACTTTGACAAATCAAGTCGGATTTCGTTGATTTTGGTCTCATTCGACTCAACTCGACGAGCTCTTTCGAATGAGCTATCATTTGTATAGATTTTCGTCTTTATGATTTTGTGCCCCTGTGGTTTAGGGGTCTGTATTTCGGTCAAATCAAGTCGGATTTTGTTGATTTTGGTGTCATTCGACTCAGCTCGATGGGTTCTACAATTGTTGTTCAGACTGACCATTTTTACATATTTTTCGAAAAAACTGACTGGGGGGGGGGGAAACTAAATTAGTACCGGATTTTTGTGTTATAAAATTTTTAAAATTTTATCTTAAAAGGTTGAGTATGGCAAATGCGGGTCAAGACACTAACGTAAATTTACATTATTTTCAAATACAATTATGAATAAACCTTAATCTTAGGGGTCACAATTCTTCATTACTACTGTACATACACCATGGCTTGATGGGAGGTTTGTTAACAAAATCCTAATTTAAAAATCTTTAAATATTCAGACACGTTGTTTTTGGAAAGATTTTGGAGGGAATGAATATTGTTCATGAGATTGAAGATGGCGAAACTGGTGGTGGGGACCGCCCAAAGTTGGACGTTGTTATCGTGGATTGTGGAGGTTTTTTTTTGAATTTTTGGGTTTTTATTTTGGGAATTACCATCAGTCTTTTGGAATCTTTGGGCTGTCCGAAAAGGCCAATTTATGAAAGGGGAATTTTAATTTTTATGAATATTATTCTAGAACTGCCAGTGGCCGAACCATTCATCGTAACACGTGAAGGTGTTGTTTAAAAGTACATGAGGAAACGTTTTGCTTTGCCAATAAAACTTTGAGGTTTTGCATTAAAAACTTAAAATTGTTGCCTTTTGACTTTTATTAAATTTATTGTGAATAAATTTGAAATTTAGGATTTTTAAAAGGTATCTATAATTTTCTTATATTTTTTAAGTAAAATTTTTCCAAAAGGCATATTAAAGAAAATTCTTTTTACCCGTTATTCGAGTAAAAAATAGAAAAATACTATACAATTATTAGCGACCAATTTTTACATCTTTTAGTAAAAAATAAAAAATATGTAGAATAATAAAAATGAATAATGGGGGGATGTTTCTGGTATGGTTGGGGCATATAAAATAGAGAAATAAAGGAATATAGTGAAGTTTCTGTGTTATAAATAATGGTAATATTCTAACATGGTGTCTCTCGTAAAAGAAAATTCTCTAGTCTATCCATAGCTCTATTTATTCTCTATTCTCTAGCGGTTGTATCGATCTAGTACCGTTGAAAATAACTAAATGTATAGTAGCATAAGCGTCTATTTTCTTTACTAATACAAATATTACTATGACTAAAAATAAAATATCTCCTTAGATTTTTTCTAAAATTTTTGACTTAGAAATCCAATAATTGTGATTTCAGCTTCCTAAATTTCTAGCCATTTATTCAATTCATGCACATGTAGTTTAAATTTTTATTCAAAAACGGCCATTCTGAAGCGTCTGTTATGAAACGTCCCCCACAATAAATCACGGAGCAGTTCGGACGAATCCGCTCAGAAATCCGTTCGTATCTCTCAACTGAACTGCCTTGCTATTCATTCTGATCTTCAATACTTCTTAATCAATTCTAATCCCTTTATATCCCTCCATGGCGACTCGATTGAGGTTTATACAATGGGGACTCAATCGTTCAACCATAAAAGTGTGGCACTGAATCGTCCTCCCTGTGTTCAATGCGGTTAAGGACGATTCAGTATCGCCGATTCAGTATAGCCGATTCAGTATCGCCGATTCAGTATCCGCCGATTCAGTATATGGCCATAACTTTCCTGATATTCGACCGATTCGAATAATTCTCATATCATTCGAAAGGTCTCGTGATTCCACATCTTTTTCATAATTGGCCCGATCTGATCTGATGTTTACAAAAAAAGTTACAGCGTGAAAACCGATTCTTTATGCCTGTGACGTCGTTTATCAGTGATAACTTTTTGTAGAGTGATGAGATCAGGTCAGTCCAATTATGAAAAAGATGCAGCACCCCGAGGCCTATCAAATCATATATAATAATTCCCACAATATTGATCGAGCAAAAAGTTATGGCCAAAAAAGCCAAATACTGAATCGGCCAATACTGAATCGGCGATACTGAATTGGCGATACTGAATCGGCGATACTGAATCGTCCCCTACCCTGTTCAATGCCAATACGCAATTATTTCACATTTGAAAATTTTATTTTTTTGTAAAAATTTCAATTCGCGTTTCAATTTTTCTCATAGGCTTTAATTATTTTTATTTAATTTAGAAAAGTTAAAAATGTCAGCCAAATGTTGTGTATGCACAGATGAATTTTCTGGCATTGATGACCTCGAAGCTCATATTTCTGCTGATCATTACAATTGTTTGCCTTTTGAATGTGAAAAATGCAAATTTGCGAAATTCCCGACTGAATTTGCTATTAAACGGCATTATGAAGAAGATCATGGTCTGGTGGAATATTTTGTATATTTTTTAATTTTATTTTATAAACGTTCTTAACTATTTAGATTCGTTATCGAGTCAGTCGAGAAATTTATGAAAAGAAGCAAAAGATTCGTGAATGTTTAGAACGATGTCTCCGTGTGTCTGATGGTGGTTCTGGACAAGTTGGGTTAGCCAGGTTGTTTTACTAGCTTGGGAAACAATCCTTGTTTCTGGGATTTTGTGGGAGGATCACATTTTTAGAAGCGGTACTTGTGGGTTATCCCAAACCAGTTTTTGCCTACGTCTTCATTATGACTTAATAAAAGGAAAAATCATTCCACCCAACAAAGATTCCCCCAAGCAACTCTTTCAAAACTGTATGAGAGCTCTGACCATTAAATCTGCAAAATATGACAGTAAAAACTGGTTTGGGATAACCCACAAGACCGGAAGGGACTGGATTCTAATTATTTTTTTCATAGCCGAAGCATTGTTGGTGGTGATTATTCTTCCATCACTTCACAACAGTCATCAAATACTTCCAATTCTCACTATCATAATCGACAAATGCATGATGCTGAATTTATGTCACCATCTTCTAAAATAAGAGGACCGAATGAACATTTTCAACAACATGGAGGCCCTCTAATTTCTAGTTCACCTGGAGATATTCGTCATCCGCACCAGCCTGATTTTGGAATTGGAGGAACTGCAACCGATGCAGGTAACTTTGATTTTTTAAATATTTTGCCGAAGCAGTTCATCTGGGTCCCGGCAATATAACTTAAAAAGAAGTGCATAGATTTTAACGGAACTTAAATAAGTGACGAATGATGGACATAAGTTATAAGGTCCAGGAGATAAGGTGTATCCCTATTTTACATCTCTGCGACTTGAATGAAAATTTTTAAAGCCATCAAAGTCATGATAAATCATTTTAGGTTATGAATCAATTGCTGGTACAAATCTAATTGGAAATTTGCTTGAGCAAATGAAGCCTGATGTTGATCAGCCCTCTATCTCCAACTTTGATCAAATTTATTCTCCTGATGTTTCTACTGCAACGAATGATGGACATAGAGTAATTGGTGATTACTAAGATTCTTTTTTTTAATATATTAAAGTTTTTAAGAGAAATTTGTTGCGACCCAGCAATCAAATCAAGAACAGATCGCTCTCTTAAATCAGAAACAATTGACAATTAATTCTGGTGCTGCTAAAAAGCAAAATGTTTCAGTCCAGCCAGCCTCTTCCTCTAGCTCTATTATTGTTAATAATGCTGCAAATGTGAGCCGGTCAGCTAATTGGACTATGAATACGGCTCGTCCAACTCCACCAGAATTACAATGTCAGGCTTGCCAGCGTATGGTCGTTAGCCGAAGGTTTGAATTTTATAACTTTAACTAGTCTGATGATTGTAAACTTATGTTGTTTCTCTTCTCACCCAATTTTTTCTTGATGTTCAGTCATCTTTTCCTTGCATAATTTCACAAAATTACCTGTGGCATCATTCAATTGGTCATTTTTCCTTCATTGAGACATGTTTTTTGGTTACAGATCTCACACAATGCCTGAATGAACATGGAAATTTTGTGAAATTATTCAAGGAAGAAATGACTGTCAATTATTTACATCAAAAAATGGACAGTGAGGGAAACAACGCAAGTACCATAATCATTGCCTATATTTTAGTACCTCTCTCATGTATCACGTAAATGTGAAGCATTTAAAACTTGCAATGTTTAAATGTCGGCACTGCGGCGAGGAATTTCTTTGGAACAAATCTGCGGCAATTCGGCATGCTCAACGTCATGGTTAAATTTTTTGAGTTTTACTTGAAGAAATTAATTTTTAAAAAAATATTTAGGTGGAGATGAGAACATGATTGAAAATAATACAGAACGTCACTTCCCAACATTGAATCGCCATAAACGTGAATATTTTAATTTGGGTCGCAGCACAACTAGTTGGCGTGAAGATTCTCCATCTTCACAATTTTTGGAAGAAGGAAGGATTGATGATGAGGTTAGTGAAAAGCATGCAAAATTGGAATTGGAAACTCCTGAACTTGTCTTGAATATGAAAGAGGAACAAGAGGATCCTGCAACAGGCGAGTCAAATAGTGGTGGGGTTGAAGCATCTGTTAGTGCTGCTGATGAAGGTAAAAATTAAATTATTTTGGAGCTTGAAAAATGAATTTCAAAAATTGGAATCCAAAAACACATTCGGGCAGTTATGTCACGGGATGAGAAAAAATTGAGTCGTGTCTTCAAAGTTTTCTCAGATCGGGTTATTGAAAAGTTTGGGTTTCGGATAACTCGTAACGTCCCTGATACGAGGTTGGAGAACTTTGCTATGTCACATAGGTTTTTCAACTCAAATTTTATATTTAGAAAAGAAAGAACAAACTCCAAATTCAATTCTGGCCCAATTGGTTGACATTACTCGTGGGAAGAAAAATGACGTTGTAAAAGGTTAGATTAATTTTAATAATGTTCTTCATAGTCATTCAATAGCCAAAGAGAGAATGCCATTAGCAAAAGGAATTAATACAACGACTGGGAGTTCTACAAGTACAACTACAGCAGTCTCCAATAATTACAACTCTCCTAGTAGCGAACATGTAAAAGCTCACAAGTCGATTCAGTGTGGTGGTTGCGGTGTAAGTCGTTAAAAATTTATTTAAGTATTATTTTATTCTTTAAGGATATGGTTGTTAATCAGGAATGGATTATGCTCAACCATGTTAATACAAAGTAAATATTATTCAATCTAACCATTTTTGGATCAAGTCAACATCCAGAAAGTCTACACCCATAAGTTAACCATTTTAAGGACTGACCTTCAGGGTCATTTGACCTTAAAGATCATTTTTTCAATAGGGTATTGACTTATGGGGCGGATCCACTATTTTATCCAAATCTGAACATTTTAAGGCATTTACATTTGCCCTTATACAAGTGCGTTAGCTGCAACAAACCGTTTGAGAATTATTTGCGTAGCTATGCAGGTTAATTTTTAAATTTGTAACTCTAGAGTAATTTTAATTTTCTAGTTCGACATGCAAAGTTTTATCATGCCGGTGATGAAAGCCTTTTAATTGATCAACGAGAGATGTTTTGGAACGATTTGCGTGAAGCTTGTACTAGTTTATTCAAGTCTGGTAATGGAGGAGGAAATGGTTCAGTTTGATTATTTTATTGCTAATTTTAGACTTTCTCACATTTAAATTAGAAATAAATCTTTTTTCAACCTCGTTTAAAGTTGGGTGTAGTTAGGGGTTCAATTGTAGTAGATCTACTACAGCCAAAGCCAGATGTAACAGAAAGCTATTAAAAGTCCCTCCTCATTTAGATCCCCTCTCGTTTCATAGATTCCATCCCTTCTATGTTCTGCCTGATATACTCTCGATTTTTAAGATACTTCTCTTATTTAATCCGATTCCTATGCATCCTAACATTTTCTCTAATAATAAGCTTTGAAATAAGAAAAATAAATTACATTCACGATCCACTCCACCGTTTTTTCTTTGGATCATTAATCTTTTTCTGTTTTTCAATTCTTTTGTAAGCAGCCCTCTCTTCTTCTGATTCATAACCCATCCCAATAAAGAAAGGCTCAGGAAATGTTATTTTACAGTGAGGAAGTGAAATTTTCAGTTGTCGCAACATCGCTTCTCGTTTGCTAACATTTGGAAGAAAATACATATGAAGACGTTTAAGTTGTCGAAACTTGGATAATATTAAAGCTGAACGTTCAGTTAACGCTGGGTTAAAACAAATTTCCTTAAAAATTAATTTTTTACCTTAAATATCTTTTTTCATTAATATTTACCATGTTACGCAATGTTCTAGGTATTCGTCCACATGAAAGTTGTAAAAGACCTTCATCGCCAAAATATTCATTAAAGTTTAATTTTAAGGACTCAATGCATTTGCATTCTTGAAGATAATTGAAACCTCTGTCAGTAATTACTGCATCAGATGCGTCAATCTGAAATATAGAAAAATTCAAAGTTCAAAATCCCCTCAAATAGTAGTAGAACCTCTTTAATGTGAATAGGTGAGACATGTTTCCATCTTTCATCATATTTGATATCATTGTTGATTGAGGACTGACGTTTATTTTTTGAGTAAAATTCCTCGACAATTTTGGTTTCAGGGGCCACCTATAGTTTTAAAATTTGTCTTCTTTAACCGTAAAAAATACCATCTGTAGATTGTTTATGTCAAAGCCATGATTCTTCAGAAATAACCTCATTTCTTTTTGCGATTTTATAATCGTTCCATCAGATAAAAGAATTGATGTGGCTCCCGCATTCATTAGCCATTCTGCACAGGAAAAATCAGGTCCCATTGTTATTACACGTTCAGAGTAAAACCTTTAATTTTAGTATTTTTTAAAATTATTTTTAAAAAAGTAAACCGATTTGCCATATTATCAGCTATTCTTTTTCTCCAGAAACCGAGCACTTTGAATTCCAAAATCCTCCTGATTCTACCTTTAAATGAGCTGGTGTAATGCGAAATCTGATGATGAGATTCAATCGTGACCATTTTAGAAGACAATAAATTGATATTGTTGGAGAATATCCTGTCCAAACAGCGCCGACAAGCGAGTGGCGTTAAATGCATTTATTGTACTTAATGTTATAAATAACCCTTAAAAATCAGGAATAAATTAGTTAGGTCCAAGTCAAAATTTCAAAAAGAAATGAAATGTTTAAAAATTTCTGCTAATTACAAATTAGTTTTAAAATAAAAGATGAATCCCTAATTAGTGAACGAGCAAACAAGAAAGTATAGATCAAAAAACTAAAATGTTTTAAAAACTCAACAAAATTTGGAACAATAACAAACCGTCATTTATCAAAGAATTTTAAATTAAATAAAAGAACAATGACGAAAATAACAACATTAACATTAATCCTTTTGTTCGCTTCTTATAAACGACGTCCACGTCGACCTCCCTTACGACGTGTAGTATCCGTCGGTATTGGTGTAACATCCTCAATACGTCCAATCTTCATTCCGGAACGAGCAAGAGCACGAAGCGCGGCCTTAAGAAGAGATGTTGATTTTATAAACAATTTTATTAAACCTGAGCTCCAGGGCCAGGCGTTTTAGTCTTGGTGCCACCCGTTGCTCGAAGTTTGACATGAAGAGCGGTAATTCCAACCTAAATGATTTTATGGATACATCTTCGAATCAATAGAAACCTGTTTGCAACGTTCAGCAACGTCCTGAGCAGCAAGCATAGCTGCGTATGGACTGGCTTCATCCCTGTCAGCTTTTACACGCATACCACCAGTAATTTTCACAATAGTTTCGCGTCCAGAAAGATCAGTGACATGCACAAAAGTATCGTTAAAAGAAGCGAAGATGTGCGCAACACCAAAGACATTCTCACCTTAAACTTGATCGATAAAATAGAAAAGTAAATTAAAGAATAACCTTCGCGAACTTGTGGGCCAAGTGTAACAACAGCTTGTTCTTCCTTTTGTTTACCTTTGCGAGCGGCCATTATTTTGAAGTATTATCAAATGAAATCTATATAAATATGCTGAAGTAGTATAATTTAAGATATGAATATTGAAAATAGACAAGATAAGATGATTAACATATAATTTATAAATTTATTCAAAAATAATTAAACGACAAAACTTAAAATCTTAAAAATCAACGCAAAAAAATCATTCAAGGTCCTCATCATCCAGCATAAAAAATTTCTTTTCCGCACCATCTGATGTAGGTTCTGATTTAACCTCCTCGATTCGAACACTCGATTGACCATAACCCTGACGCTCCAGAGCAGCTTTTTGACGCTAAAAATGTCAAGTTAATTGTTAGCTGAAAATATTAGAATCAACCTCTCTAGCTGCTGGTATAGATTTGCTAAGCAACATATAATGCTCCGCAGGAATTGATTGGCGAAAAATAGTCATTAGCTCAGTAGACTGTCGACAAGTAACAACAGCATTAGAAAGATGAAAGATTCCTTGCACAATGTTTCCTAGTAAATTTAAAGATATTTATTGATGGGGAGAAAAGCAATCCAAACACGATTCAGACAAGACATATACGGACAAAACACGACCCTACCAGAACAAGCAGCGACCAAAAATATGGCCCATATCAACCACAGACCGTGTTTAGTGGTTGCGTGTGTGTCCCGTATTTTAGCCTAGCACGATATTCATTCAAAAATGTAAACCTGATTGCAAAAGTTCTTCACCAAGAGTAATTGACTTGAGAAAAAATTCCTCGCTTTCAAGTGGATTTTTCGGATCAGGAAAATCTGCACTAAAAACATTAGAATTGAGAGCTTCTTGTTTGCGTTTACGATCTAAATCAGAATAAAAAATTAATTTTTTACAACTATACAACAAACTTTGTCTGATTTTCTGCTTGTAACAAGGATCGAGTCGTCGCTTGCGATCAAAATAGATTGCATATCCAATAAAAGCAACACCGCCAGCTAAAATAACCTTTGGCCACGTAGATTGAAGATAATTACTTAATAAAGCCATTCTTCTAGTTACCTTTTAAAGGAAAAAAGAACATGTAGGGTTGTCGGTCGGAATCGAGCAATCTTTGGTTCAGGGTAACTGAAAATTTCATTCGATTCCGGATCTGGGAAGATTTTTCAAGAACCAACAACCCTAAATCAGAAAAATATGTTGTGTAACGAAATGCCACATTTTCCATTAATGACCGAATCGAATAAAAATGAAAAGTTGATTAATAATAAAAATATTACAAAACATCAAATATAACTGAAAAAATTAAAAGGGTCAGTAAAAGAAAAATTATTAAATGGTCAATATGAGATAAATTATCATTAAATTTTGATCATTAGTTAGATATTTCTAGTCAAAATTGATAAGATCCTATATTTTTAGCTAAATGAGACGGCCAACAATTGATCGAACACCGCTTCTCTGGCGTACTCCTGCAAGAACGCTCTCTCACAGCAGGTAAATGTTAAACAATGAATAATGCAACGCATTTTAAAATAGCCTCGATCCAAATGAAGATCCAGCTGCAGGATTGGAACGTGTTTCTTCATCATCTAATCTATACGATCGCCGAAAACGACAAGAACGTCTTAGGGAACAAGAAGGACGCCTTAGAAGGAATAGACGGCGTTCTGTTATTGGGCATGAGCATACTCTTTCAGAGAAATATGAGAGTCTCGATTACGAGATTGTTGAGAATGAGCTTTATCGAGCAGCAGAAATGGATAAGGATCATCAGGTTTTTATTTTAATTAAAAGTCCAAAGAATGTCTTTATATTTTAGAAAAAATTATTTCGGAGAAGTGTTAATAGATGGGTTGTTTGCTTTCTAATTGGTGTATTTACTGCTTTGGTTGCGGCATGTATTGATGTTCTTGTTTATTACAATTCAAAGCTCAAATTCCATGTTGTTATTAATGGATGTAAGTTTTTTATTGGTATGAAAATTTAAATTTTTTTTCGTATTTGAATAATTTAGCGCTATGTCGTTTCCCTCCCCCAGTCACTTTTTTGTTTAGAACGTAAAAAAGGGTCTGAAAAAGGGAAACAAAAAGGAATGCTATCACTTGCTGAATTTTTTACTTCAAAAGTTTTACTTCATCATTTTCCGCCCCTGTAATCTATGGGTATTGACTTTTTGAAATCCTATAACCGAATAATTTTTTAGTTTTGCTCCAGCTATTTAAAAAATTTTATTTTAGTGGTACAAATTTGTGAACATGGTAGGATTGGAGATTCCGGATGTACTTGGATAATTCTTTTTACCTGGGCATTATATAATTGTGCATTAGTTTCTATTGCTGCATCGTTGGTGCTTTTTGTTTCACCCGTTGCTATAGGATCTGGAATTCCGCAAATTAAATGCTTTTTGAATGGTGTACAAATTCCTGGAGTTGTTCGTTTGAAAACACTAATAGCTAAAGTAATTGGTGTATCATGTTCGGTTGGAGGTGGTTTGGCTGCTGGAAAGGTGATTTTCACTGCATTTTCAGATTTATGGTTCTCCGTTTCTTTAAATTTTCCTTTTTTAGGAAGGCCCAATGATCCATTCGGGAGCGGTGGTTGCTGCAGGAATTTCCCAAGGACGTTGTATTTCCATTCCATTTGATTCTGGTCTTTTCAAATATTTTCGTAACGATCACGAGAAGCGTGATTTTGTTAGTGCTGGTGCTGCTGCCGGCGTTTCGGCAGCATTTGCTTCTCCAATAGGTTTTTATCTATAATCAATATTTTTTAAACAAGAAATTTTATAGGTGGTGTTCTTTTCAGTTTGGAAGAGGGTGCTAGTTTTTGGAATCAGGCGTTAACTTGGCGTATGGTTTGTCTTTTTTCAAGAATATATTATTAAAAACGAGTTAATATTTACTTAGGTGTTTACAGCAATGATTTCAACCTTTACGTTAAATTGTTTTATCAGCTTTTTCTATGGACAATTTGGTCAACTCTCATGGAATGGGTTGGCAAATTTTGGGACATTTGATGTTTGTTAATTTAAATTTTTGACGATTAGGTATTTTTGATTATTTTTACATTAGAATCAAAGTAAATCCTATGGAATTTGGGAATTACCACTTTTTGCACTTGTCGGTCTACTTGGTGGGCTCTCTGGAGCTTTTTTCAATTTTTTAAATATGAAACTCTCTCGATTTCGAAAATAGTAATTTTTCTCTTTTCTTCTTTCTTTTAATTTTTTTAAGTTATATTCGAACGAAAAGACAACGTTTTTTGGAATGCATGTTGGTTGCGACAGCTTCCGCCTTTATTGGTTTTATTACTTTATTGTTAATTGATGATTGTCAATCGATTGGTATTAATCCCCAATTGACAGGAGTTATGAAGGTTTTTATTTCCTTATATTAATAATTCGGGGTTAATTCTGAAGACCTATTGACTTTGAGACTTTTGAATGGGAATATCGAGGCAGTTGGAAGGATTAAGAGATATTAGGGGATTTATTGTAGCTCTCTCGATTTCGAAAATAGTCTACTCACTCAGAGTTAGGTTACACAAAAAATTCAATAATTTTTGACAAGAACGCTCAAGAGGTTCTAAAATACAGAACTGGGTACTTATCTCCATAGAGCTGGGCATTTATCAGCTTTCAAAAGTTGTAGGTTTTCAGGGTTCCGGGGTGGTCTCAGTAATTTTTGATTTAATTTTATTCTTTTTAGTTGTGGTGCCCTAAAGGTAAATACAGTGCAATTGCTACTCTTTTCTTTCAAAATCCCGAAGAGAGCGTCAAAAGTCTTTTTCATTCTCCTTTAAGTATTTTATTTTTTCCATAATTATCCACTAATTCCTTATTTCGTAGATTCATTTAAGCCGTTAACTTTGTTTGTTTTTGCCTTTGAATACTACATTTTAACAATGTGGACTTATGGTCTTTCAGTTCCAAGTGGAATTTTCATTCCTTCATTGCTTACTGGCGCTGCTTGGGGAAGGCTATTTGGTGTTGGCGTGCAATATTTTTTTCCTGAGTTGGTTTGTTTCTTCAGTTCCACTAAAATGAATTATTTTGTATATTATGTTAGGAAGCAATTGATTCTGGAAAGTATGCGCTGGCTGGAGCTGCAGCACAACTGGGTGGTATTGTAAGGTGAAAAAATTTTTTTTAGAAATTAATTTTCGATTTTTTTGTTAAAGGATGACAATCTCTTTAACTGCAATAATTGTCGAAGCAACAAAGGATATAACTTTTGGCCTTCCAATTATGCTTGTACTTATGATTGCTAAATGGGTGGGAGACTTTTTTAATGAGGTCAATTTGAATTTAATGTTTTATTAAAAGTAAATTTAATATTAAGGGCATTTATGACGAGCACATTGATTTGGCTGAAGTCCCTATTCTTGGTTGGGAACCTCCAAAATTGTCGAGAAATATTTTAGTGAAGAATGTTATGCGTCGAGATGTTATAGCGCTCGAAAGGTTTTTTTATAATTCTTAGAATTAATCTTCACACAAATTTAGAATCGAGAGTGTTGGACGAATTGTGGAAATTCTTCGTTCTACAAGACATCATGGATTTCCAGTTTTGGATAGAATTGACGCAGCACTTGATGATTCAAAATATCCAAATTATGGACGTCTACTTGGGCTTGTTTTGCGATCACATCTTATTGTTCTTCTCAAAAGAAGGGTTATTTTAAAAATTATAGTACTTTGGTTCAATTCATTTTCTTAAGCATTTTACTCATGATTATGAAGGCAGAAATCCTGTATCCAATTCTAAACCAGTCACGCTTTCCGACTTCAGTGAATTCTATCCACGGTATGTTTTTGTCTTATTTTTTATTTTTCTCGTAATATAAAAAAATTTCAGGATAGAGACAAGGATCTCAGAGTTGGGACTCACTTCCGCAGATGAACGTTGTTGGATTGATTTAAAATCGTTTATGCACCCTTCGCCTCATCGGTCTGAATCATTTACTTTTATATAATAAATTCAATATTTTTAAGTGTTCCGCTTTCTGCATCTTTGGATTCCATTCACCAAATATTCCGTGGACTTGGCTTGAGATTCTTGATTGCAGTTGATAACGAAAACAGGGTTTATATTCAATTTTTATATATTTTTTTAAATTAAAAAAAATTAGTTACGAGGCATTATCACACGAAAAGATATTGCTCGGTTTAAAGAGCGGAGGGTAAAGAATACATTTCTTGTGAATGAACTTTACATCTCGCCATACAACAATTAAATTCTTTTTCTGATGCCTTTGTCAATTAAATTCTTTTTCTCATGCTCATTTTCTTATAAAAATTTCTGTACTTAATATGTATATTCATTTTGTCTATTTCGTTTAAGAGCTTGTACATTTTTTTCACTTTTTTAGATTTTATTTCTATAAATCTTATGATACAACTTCTTTCCATTTAAAAAATCTCTAATAAAAAATTACTCTAAATATCCTTGTAAAGTAAGTTAATCAACATTGAATGCTGAGTTACTGAACTGTTGGCATTGTTTATTCTTTCGTTCTTTCTTCGGCGAAGTTAGTGCACCAAAACAGCCAAGCCCTCTGGTCATCTGCGCCAAATGTTTGCTTGTCTCCCTCTTCCCATTTGGATTTCGTAACCGCGAGTAATAAATGTATTCACCAAGGAGGCACTAAATATTTGAACATTATTTAATCTGATCGGGTTTCTCAAAAAAATTCACCAGCATTGAAATACATATCCCAGCGAGAATTACCTTAAATTTATCAATTGCTTCTGATAAAATAAGAAATTTAAAAGTATACCAGAAATACACCCCCAATATTCTGTACACTAATCCCGTTACTATCGTCGTCCTAAATGTGGAGATTAACAAGCTTAATAAAGCTTTCATACTGTGCTCTCGCATTCCTTAGCATATACATTATGATGCCACCAACGTTCTTTGCATGTCTCAAGCCGTCTTTCATTCTGAAGTCCTAGAATGGCCTGGCTAAGCGGTTGTTTTAGCACATGATCAGTCTGCACAGCGATTGCATAAGGTTTTCGTGAGAATTCAGGACCAATCGGAAACGGGTTGGAGTATTAATAGGTTTCTTAATGATTAAAACCTGTTGAAGTCGACAGTTGGTCAATGTTGCATATTTGATTTCCATTGCATCTCCCTCAAATTTACAAATATTCATTAGCTGAATCATAAAGTGAATTACAATGAAAGCGAAGCCACGTTCCGAATTTAAAACACGATCGATCGCAGCGTCTACAGTTTGTGGAAGGCGCGATTCTGCAATAATGGAGTGTTTTTTAATTAATAAAGTATAACCTTGCATGAAGCGCCACATATTTGTAAATTTGTCAGAAACTGGGTAATCCCACACCGCAAGTTTTGATCGATCACGTGAATCCAATGATTCATTTAGAGACATTTGCTTCCAAATACTGCAAATATGAGTAAAATATAAGAGTAGAAAATAATTGACCAACTTGTAAAATTGCTCTTCAATTTCAGCCATCCGGCGAAAATATGTTTCGGTTGCACCACCTTTTAATGGGGCGTATTCGATTTTATATTGTTTTGCCAAATCGTCTAATCCTCTAAAAATGTAATTATTTTATTTTTATAAATAAAAACCCTATTGTCTGTTCCATTCTTGAAACTGTTAAAAATGCAGCCAAATTCGCTGTGTATGATGCAATAATATAAAATCAAAAAATTAAAAGTCAAAAAACTTGATTTACAATAAAGCCAAAAAGCCACCATGTAGCAGCAACCAATCGCCCAGAAACATTTTTTGGCGCTTCACCCCCGCCTTGATTAAAAATAAAAAATTTACTAAAATAATTCTTTAATTTAACCAACCTTGAGGGGTTAAAGATGTCATACAGAACCATAAACATTCCTAAAATTGTGACATTAAGCCCCTCATCAATCCAGAATTTTTAAACTAACCTTTAAAGTGAATTCCCGCTTTTCTGTTTCACTTGCATATTTGTCCTTGTTATTTGTATATGAATATGGACTGAATCGGTCAAAAAGCCAAAGGAGCACACTAGTGAAAATATAAGCACCTAAAAATCAAATAATTTTTCCCCTTTTAAAATTATAAAACAAACCAAAAATACACGTCCAGACTGGCAATTCCAACACTTTAAGAAATTTGAAAAGCGAGGTCTCCACCTCGGACCGTTTGATTAGGATACTTAAACCAACCAAATCATAAAAAGGAACGGTGAAGTCAATGTCATTCTCGCGTTCAGCCAAAACTATTTTCTGTTTTATAAAATAATTTTTAAAAAATTTCACAAACTACTAATGGGTCCAATAGCCATTTCTGCTCTCCCAATAACCAACTCCCCGACCAGTCCATCCCATCTACCACTTTCATCTACTGAGCCAAATTTACCGTCTTCTACCAAGTACAAGTCGAATGTGAAATTTAGTGCCTGAATTAAAATTTTAATTTTAACCTGCCAAAAATTCCGAACCAATTTAAGCATTTTCAACATATCGATGCAGTAGCCTTCAACGAGTTGACCTAATAAATATTTTTTTAATTTCTGGATAAAATAAAAATATTTAAGCACCAGTAATTAGGCGTACTGGCTCTTCACTAGCACATGGCCTTGGTTTCTCCAAGCTTATTGTAGATGGATGTACAGGGACAAATTGAACGAATGGTTCTTGCTTTAATAAAAGAACCAAATAAATTATAAAAAATCCTAACGATGATTGTAGCAATTCGATAGTGGTTTAATTTGCGTACATCGACGTCTAGCCCGGCAGGATAAAATGGAGCAATGCCTTCCGAGAGGCTCCAATTAGCAATCTTTATATAGGGAAGTAAATTGACTTTAAAATCTATATTACAAATTTAGCATAGTCGATATCTGGCTCCTGTATATGTCGTTCAATTTTAAGAATTATAGTTGTAACAACCTTTTTAATTAAACAAAGTTATGATCGTTAATTAAAAATAATTGACACATACCTGATAATAACAAACGCCAAAATACAATTCATAATACCCAAATTCGCAACATTCTTGTGGAGATTTATCCAAAATGAGCTGCTTTAACCCAATTTTCTCTTTTATCTGAGGATCTGATGTGTTTGGGTACTGAAATTATTCCAGAAAATTTAAAAATTTAAGACATATTCCTACAATGGATGGAAGATTAGTTTTCAAAGTTTTTGAGAAATTCTTATTCTTCGCCTTGTGTATAATATTAGTGAGGTTGAAATAATTATTCTTTAGAAAAAAATCAAAGGCAAGCGAAATAGTATCCAAACATAAGGATGCTCTTATCTTTAAAAGAGGATAAAAACAAATTTATAATAATTTTAAACCTCTTCAAATGAAGGTAAAGGAGAACGATAGTTCCAAAAGGATTCCAGTTCTTCCTTTAAAACTAAATTTTATAATGCATAAATAAAAAGAAACCTGCTTCAGAAAGTCATTAAATGCTCGAAGGGTTTGTACCCGACCATTCGACGTCATTTGAATCCTGTTATATAATAGTTAAAAAGATATAAATGGTACTTATCCGTTATCTCCTCGCATCTTCTTTTCTCATTTCTATAGGTTATAAAATTGTCAAAGGTAAATAATGCCACTATTCTGCCCTCTATGAAAATATGCGTCTCCGCTTTAGTCAATTTTTTAATTTTTAGAAAGGAGAAAAGAAAATGCAGGGAGATAACGGATAAGTACCCGATTTATTAGCAAAAATAATCACCCACAAAAGGTTAAAAAATTTAAAAATACCAGAAAAGATTCGCGCTTAAGCATTGCTCACACTTGAAAGGAGCTGTGTCTCTTGAGAGTACAATAAATCGACGGAAGTTATGTGACTCGAAATGATGAATAGATGCATGTATATACCTAAAAAAGATATTTAGGTTAGCAAAAGTTTAGTATAAATACAAACAGTTCAGATGCTTTAGCAGACGCGACGATAAAGATATTATACTTTGTCTTGTCTGCAAGTTGTTTAATATGCATTGAGGCAGAACTCAAGTTTGACAACATCTTTTCAAAACGAACGGGAAAAGCAGTAAAAGGTTTACGCCAGTCATACATCAAATTTTCAACTTTAAAAAATCAAAATTAATATTTATAAAAGGTAAAAGGTATCTTTCAACTGGGTCACAGACCCTATAACCTGATGGGACTATTTATGTTCCTGGTACAAATGGATGGAGATTAAATACGCTACAATATACGTCAGAGTTTTCTTAAGTTTTTAGATCCTAACTTTTTTTTTATCAATTATAGGAAATTTTGGTTTTCTGGTATCGTGAGTCCATTTAATGTACTATTCATTCGTACCAAGAAAAACAAAACTTATCCACTCTTTTCTTAGTAACAGGGTCAGAAGCCCAATTCTTAAAAATTTAAAAAAAAGTTCCAATGCTTGTTAAAAAAATAAACTTACTGTGTTCATCATAAAGAACAACAAATGGTCCACTCATATTTAACGCATAAGTTAGCTCAGGAATGATATTGTCGAAAACAACAAAGCCTGGAATAAGGTGTAGATAATTATCTTCCTCACACAAATCCAAAGAGCAGTCCATAGTTTCTATATGAAAGATAAGATACAAATTAATGAGGACAGAATCTTGCCATTTTCAACACCATTCCAAGGTGAATGGTGGATTTGTATTGCAGGTAGCATTAATTTATGTGCCAATGTCTTGACCATCTGTCTAGCATGACTACTAAAATTCTACAAATATGGTTAGTTGTTTATAACTATTCGTTCAAACCTGCAAGATAAGTTGATCAAAAATGAACTGTTTCTTTGCTGAAATGTTGAGCCCAATTCTTAAAAATTAAAAAAAAAGTTCGATGAAAGTCAAAACTTGGGTTGCCAAAATAGACCGAAAGATCGAATAGGGAATTTTAGAAATTAGACCCAGACTTGTAAGGCCCGAAAGTGCGTAAGGCTAAAAACGGCCGGAGAGTCCGTTAAACAAGCCCGAAAAATGGCTCGACCGTCGGCCCGACTGAAAAATGCAACCCTAGACGAAAACCTGCTTTATAAAATTAATAAAATAAATTACAACCTGTTGCATTCATTGACAAGTTAGCAACCGCATGAGGCAGCAAAAATGTATCAAAGACCAAGCTATCATCAAGCCCATACAGGTCCCGAAAGAAGAGGAATGATGTATTCAGGTGTCCAATAAGTGAAGAAACAATATCATCTGTTTGTTCATATAAAACTGCTGAAAAACATGAACTTAAGGATAGGTCAAAATGATTGAACAAGGATGAAGGGAAACATTACTTATTTTAATTTGTGGCACAGGTGATTCCTGAAATGAGTGCAGAACCCCAAATATGAAGAGTAGAAAATAAACTCGAAAAATTTCAAAGTAGGTGAACATATTGAATGTTTTAAGAACAAGATAAAAATTTTGCCAATTAAATTTCTTTTTGGAATAAGAAAATCCCGAAATCTAAAAAGATTTACCAATGTATTTGTTCCTAAAAACAAACAGACCAAAAAGAGCTCAAATTTCTATAAATTTTATAAAATAACACTCATATAGAATAACAAAACAATTAAATATACCCATGTATTATTCAAAAATTAAGCAAAAAAAATTTAATAAAATTTTCCTCTTCTCAAATCTTTATCAATTTTAAAAATACAATCGCCAAAATAAAGCTTGTTTAAAATAATAAACAGATGGTTTTTAAATTTAATTTGAAAAATAGACAAAAAACACTAGGCGCATGCCTTTTTTAAGTGAAAATTCAATTGATAACCTGTCAAACAAATAGGGGAGACAAAGCATATATTATAATAAAAGCATAGAGAAGCAATTTTGGCCGAATAAAGAGTTGGGGAATGCAGGTGAATACAAAAATGTTTCATAATCTGAGTAAATTTGTATATAATTGAAAGGAGTCAACCTTAAAGACCTACACCCTAAATGCCTATTGACCTTGAAAACAAACAACTTTTGAAAAGGAATATCGATGGATTTGGTGTGATTGAAGGGAATAGAGATTTCAACTCACCCAGAGTTATGGTAAACCCTCACAATACCCACCAGAGGGTTTAAAATACAGAACTGGGTACTTATCTACATATAGATATATATTTATCCTTCCTAATCCCTCGATATCTCCTTTCAAAAGTTGGAGGTCTTCGTGGTTTAGGGTGTACATATTCATGAATGGACTTACAATGAAAAATTACACCAAATTTAATGTTCGCTAAAAAACCTCGTAGTACTCAGATTATGAATATTTTAGGTCATTCAATCTTTTCTCAAATAAAAATTTCTCTCTGTCAATCTTGCCTCCGATCCCATTTTTCAATTTTGCACATTAATACCCTGCTTTCTCCAAGAAATCTGCCAAAGATTCGATAGCTCCACGAACATCAGCACCAGCAGCCGCTTCACCCTCATAAATAGCAATCAACACTGCTGATTTTGTTTTAGCAGCAAAGAATCTAAGATTTGAAAAATGAATAGTTTGCTCACTTATTAAATCGATGCGAATGCCTTTCAGGCCTGTAATTAAAAATACCCCAGAAAAAAAATTCAAACCCATACAAAAATAGTTCTGTAAAAATTAGGGTAATCTGGTAAATTCAACCCCGAAAGACAAACCCTTTAAGAGAAATTTAGCATCCTATTAAAACCAATAAAAACAAACCCAGTCTTATCCTTCTTGCCAAATATGAGGTTCTCTTCAGTTCTCGGAACAATGTAGTGAACACCTAAAAAAAATAGAGTTGGATATCAAGCAAAGAACAATCAGTAAATTCAATTCGTACACCGTTTCCTTCCCTAATGTTTAAAAATGGACAGAATTTGCATTCATCCTTACAATTAACTTCACTCTATAAGCAAATCTGCCTCTTTTTGATACTGCGAGGGTGGAATAAAAAAGGGAATGGAAACAAATAAAATTTTACTAAAAAACCTTCTAGATCTGCGCCAGTTTCTGGAACACTATCAAGGTTGTCAAAGAGACCAACAAACTTCTTGAGTTCAGACTCAGTAGCCTATATAAAAATCTTAAAAAATATTGAAAAGCAAAAAAACCTTAAATTCTTTGTCGCCTTCCGTTCTTGCCCAAACGCTCCCTCCATCATTAAGTCCAACAATAGCCGCTCTGCAGATAACATTACAACTGTCAGTCAAAGTTTTGATGTATGCAATCCAGCCACTCATATTAAGTAGAACAACGGTTGACGAAAATAAGAAAAAGTGAAAATATAAGGCAGATTAAAAATTATCTAAAAAATAAAATAATTTCAAATTGAAAATCTGTGAAAAAATAGAGTAATGGTGCCCAATTGGGGAGACGCCATGAAAATTAATTTTTTATTCTTAAAATTATTTTATGTCGACAATGCTAATCACAAATCTGATATTAGTCTGCTCTGGGGGAATAGTAAATCGATTCTTAAATTTATTAAAAATATTGCAGAAATGTTAAGATTAAAAACGTCTGAAAACAAACTTTTTCAAGTTATGATATTTTTTCCTACAACTTAAAAAGGCACTGTCATACTAAATGAATCATCAACTCTGAATGTTTGCTACCAGCGGTATGATTAACCATTAAAGCAGATTTTTAGAATTTTTCCTAACAAAAATGTAATAAAGAAACATAAAAACCTAATTACACATTTTTGTCGATAATCTGCCGAAAAACCCAATCTTATACAATGAAAGGTTTTTTACCTGAATAATTCCTAACAAAGTTATGACCTATAGATGAATGAGCCTTGCGTTTATTTGGCGAGTTTCGCGAATAAACGGGTCGTCTTCGCGAATAAACAGGTCGTTTTTGCGAATAAATGGGTTTCTCTGTCTATGTCCTGTCTGTCAACAGAGTTAACCCGCTGTGTCGCCTTCGGGTTTTAAAAATTTTTTGAAATTTTTTTTTTGAAAATTTTTTGGAAATTTTTGGAAATTTTTTAAATTTCCACAAATTTTAGAGATTCTCTAAAAAATTCTATTAATTTCTCCGATGAAACGAAAACAAAACGACAGCGAATCATCCTCAACTTCTCAGCATCCTCAAGGTAAAATGACAAAAAAGGCAGAGATTGTAGACTTTGATGAAGCTTTTGGACTTCTTGAAGATCCATTGGAGGATATTGCGACTGAAACATTACAACCTGAGGTTTATTTATATTTTTTTTTGTTACATTTAAGCAGGACAACGATCGAGTCGTAGGGTTAGGAACGGTTCCACAAAAATAGGATTTAAGAGAATCCTCGGTTCCTCAGTGGTTGTTAATTTCTTTTTTCTTTCTCTCTGGGAGTTTCCCTAACTTATTCTAATTAACTAATGATCTGAGTTGGTCTTAGGAAGGTTAGAGATGTTATGTTTAATCAAAAATTTATTCTTCAGGTCCCCCACCTTCCGACATCCAAATTCACCCACCTCTAGAGCAACAACCAACATCTGTTCATTCAAATGAAGAAGAAAAATCGGCAAAGAAGGACGACGTCGACAATGCAGAAAAATGTGAAGAAATATTAAAGCAATTGATGCCGTCGACAACAAGTAAACAAAGAAAAAGTTTGGAGGAGGAAGATGATTTGTTGCCTCCTAAAAAGATTAATGAAGAGGATGAATTGGCAAGGCTTAAATTGCAGTTTGTTTTTTTTAAATTAGTTTTTAGGAGTCATTCATTTAGGCCTTCACCCTGAAGCTCTAGAAAAGGGAATATTAAGGGGAAATATACTTTTGAAAGGGAATATCGAGAGATTATGGGGAAAAGTTCTCAGCTCTATGGAGATAAGTACCCGTCTTCTGTATTTTTGAACCTATGATCCTGTATTTTGAGTGTACTACATATAACTCTGGGTCATTAGAGATCTCTATCACCCTCAACCCCTCCAAACCCCTCGATATTCCTTTCAAAAGTAAACCAAGAAAAGGTCTTCAGGGTCAATAGGCATTGGGGATGTAAGTCTTCAGAAATTAGGTTTTCAGGGAGGACTCTTTTCTCTCTTAAAATCCTTCCTCCTTTTTTAGAATTTTGCTCGCCAATTTTACCCAAGAACAACTTGAACGTTATGAAACGATGAGACGTGCCAGTTTTCCAAAATCTGCGATTCGACGGGTTTCTTTTATTTTTTAATTTTAAAATTAAATACCTATTTTAGTTGATTAGTCAATTTGCTGGTGTTTCTGTTGGTCAAAATGTTGTTATTGCGATTGCCGGTATGGCGAAAGTGTTTACTGGAGAGTTGATTGAAGAAGGTTATTTTTATTTTTTTCTGATTTTTTTTGGTTTCCCCAATCTCATCGAACCTTTCAAGTGGATTATTGGAAGGGTTGGTACTTTCCAGTGGGTCTTTGGGTTCTGCCAGTCTCGGTGAACTTTTTCATTTTGACATTTTTTCTTCCTTATGCCTGCCTCTGACCTCCCAACGAAGAAAAAAACAAACGGGATATGGTTTTTCTGGGTTCCGTGGAGTAGTGACTTTTTCTTGTTTATTTGGTTCCGCTAATCCATGGAATTTTTTAAGAGAAAATATGATTGGGGATTAGTGGGCCACGTAGATTTATTCTTATGTCTGCCTCCGTTCTTCCAATAAAGAAAACAAACGGACATGGGTTCTTGGATATCTTTCTAGTATTTTTCTGGGAAAAGATCTAGCAGATTTTTTGGGAATGATCTGGAAGAAGAACCTTCTCTAGGGGAAGAATATCCTTGTCTTGGTTATAGGAATTTTTTCAAATAAATTCTCTTTTTTCAGCACTAGATATCCAAAAAGCTGAGCGTGAAACTAACAAAGAAGCTTCAACATCCTCTGAGCCTTTAACACCTCGACATTTGCAATTAGCGCTAGACAAGCTTGACAAACAAGGGAAGTTGTTTCCGGCAAGACCAAGAAGATGTACATTTTTAGAAAGAAGATTCTTTTGAGATAATTTTGATGTTTTTTGAAAAGAATTGTTTTATAAATTTTTATTTTTTAAATAAAATTTTTAAAGAAGCGTTGTAATAAGTTGAGTAAATTCAAGCAAGAAATTTTGTCTAAGTAGGAATTTTTGGGAGGATTTTTTCCTAGTTTGGGTGGGGACTCTCCAAGTCTGAGTGGGAACTTTTGGGAATGTTCCAAATCTAAGTGGGAATTTTTTGGGGAATGTTCCAAGTCTGAGTGGGAACTTTTGGGATTTTCCAAGTTTCCCAAGCATTCTTGATTGGTATATCTTCCGAAAAAATTTATTTCAATCTTTCCAAGCCAAAATCTTCTTAGAATTCCAAAGGCTTCCTAATTTCGATTTTCTTCATTTCTTTCGAGTTATCGACAAAATATCAACTAGTTTACACTTTGACATTTTCCAAATTGAAAATTAACATATTGAAATGCGTTAATTTTCAGTTCAAATTTATTTGGCGTCACTTTTTTCTGAAATCTGGATTTTCACAGATTTTTGTTAATCTCCGGAGATTACGCGTTTACGTTGTTTTTTTTCATTTTTTCATTTATTTCATCTGTTTTTTTTATTTTTTTATTCGTTTATTCGTTGTCCCCAACGCTGCGCGCGCTTAAAATTTGCTAAAAAATAACTTTTAAAAATTTTTAAAAAAATCTAAAATTTTTTCAATTGAAGGCCAGTCCCGACGTCTGGAATGCTTCTTCTGGATGGCTGGCCGGTTAAATTTGTTTTTTTTTGTCTTTTTTTAATTTGAGTTTGAAATTTTTTAATTTAATAGGCGCTGCCGTGCTCTACATGTTGGTCTATGGTGGCCTTGCTGGATGCCTTGCTGGATGGCTTCAACAAAACGGTGGGTTTTTTCCTAGTTTATATGAATTTTTAAATTTAAAAATGAAATTTTTTTATTTTTTATGTTTGTTCTTCATGTGGTGGCCTTTGGAGAATATGCTCATGGTCTTCATGGTGGTGGTCTGGTGGCCTGTTTTTTTTTTAAATAAAAAAAATTTTTTTTTAATTTTTTAAAAAAAGTTTGTGGTGGTGGCTTCGTGGCTCTCTTCATGCTCTTGGTGGCTGGCTTGCTCTTGGTGTTTGGTGGCTCTCTTCATGCTTGTGGTGGTGGTTGGTGGCTCTCAACATGCTTTTGGTGGTTGGTGGCCCTCTTCATGCTCTTGGTGGCCTGCTGATGTGATGTTGGAATATGGTCGGGGTGTGGTTTTTTATTAAAAAATTAAAAAAATTAAAATTTAATAACGGGAGGGGATGATTTTCAGCCAGGTCCTACTCCATGCACTGGTGGTGGTCGTCTGCATGCTCTTCATCGTCTACATGGTCTTCCTCATCAACCCTTGGCCCGGTAAATCTTCAAATTTTCTAAATGAAAAAATCGCTTGCTAAAAATGCGCGCGCGAATGACCCCACCCTTTCTTTAATTTTCTTGTCCTTGTCTTTTTTGTCCTTGTTTTTTTTGTCTTTGTTTTTTTTTCAATTCTCTTCATTTAAAAAAGTCTTCGAGTTTTAGCTCAACCAGTGGCATGGATGGTTTGGACAAAGCAGAATGTGCTCCAATGGATGGAATCCGTTTTTGGAGGTTTTTAATCATTGGGGAAAGGGGGATTTTTACGGGGAAAAGCCTGTAGGAGGCTAGAGGGGTGATTATCGATTTTCGGTACTAATCTCTCTGCCGTGTTTTTATCGATTTTATTTTTGGCGTTCTGTTTAATGACAATTCATCCCATTTAAATTAGGTACAGTTGAGTCTTACACCATTTGAGTCTTGCTTAAATTCATCTTCATTAACTTTTTCTTCCTTTACCTTGACCCATTTTTTAACTTCGATCGAGATCAGTTTACTTTTATTTTCCGCGTATTTCCTTCTTTTTCAATAGCATTTTGATTGATTTTTAACTTTTACCAGTCTAATTACTTACTCTTTCAGATTTTAACTACAAAAATGACTACTCTTCTAATTACTCCAACTTTAAATTCAACTAATCAAGTTGCTACCAGTTTTGCCCTTCATTTACTGAAAACTGGTCGATCTACTAATGAGAACAGACAACTCTTTGCTTTGGTTTCGCCTAAGGATGGAACGAAGATTTCAAAATCGTTGGAACTTTATTTTGAGGGAGGTCAACTCAACATTTTGTATGGTTCTGCTGGTTCTCAAAAGATTGTTAAGAGAGTTGTTGAGGTTAATGAGGTTTGTGATTTACGTTTGGTACTGTCTAGGGTCCATTAAAGCTTCCGGGATTGCCCTGTTTGTCTCTGTTTAGACTTAAAACATAAGATTCAAGACCGGGTACTTCAGGGTCCTAATTGGACCGTTTGTCTTCTCTTGTTTCTCTGTGAGATACGATTCAAGACCGGGCACTTCGGGGACGGCCCGCTTGTCTTCTGTGGTTTATATTTGAGATAGGATTCAAGTCCACGTGAGATTCAAGACCGGGTACTTCAGGGTCCGTGATTGGCCCGTTTGTCTTCTCCGGGTTTCTCTGTGAGATGAAATTCAAAACCGTGTAACTTCAGGGTTCCGGGATTGGTCCGTTTGTCTTCTCTGGTTTCTCTGTGAGGTGAAATTCAAGACCGGGTACTTCAGGTTCCGTGATTAGCCCGTTTGTCTTTTGTGGTTTCTCTGTGAGATAAGATTCAAGACCGTGTACTTTAGGTTCCGGGGACGGCTCGTTAGTCTTTCCTGGTTTCTCTGTGAGATAAGATTCAGTACCGTGTTACTTTATGTTCCGTGTACGGCTTGATTGACTTCTCTGGCTTCTCTGAGATAAGATTTAAGACCAGTTACTTTAGGGGCCCGTTTGGTTTCTGTGGTTTTTCTTTTGGATAATTTCAAGACCGTGTTACTTTAGGTTCCGGGGGCGACTCGTCTATCTTCTGTGGTTTCTCTTTGGATAATTTAAAGACAGTGTTAAGGTTCCGTATTGGCCCGTTTGTCTTCTTTTGGTTTCTCAGTGTGGTGAGATTCCAGACCTTGTACTTTATTTGATTAGCTTCCCTTGTTTCTTTATTCTCAGTCTTTAAAAATATTTTTTACAGATTCGCGCAGTTTTTGTCATTATAGACGATGAGAGCATTGCTGACGAGGAAAACATCCAAGGCCTAAAGTCCCACTTCATCGCCTCAAAGACTCATTCATTCCTAACATCGTTGTGTTCACTACTTGACTGTCTCAGGCAAACAAATGTAATTCCTTCAATTGTTGTTCTCTTCCATTCTTTTGGTACTGTGAAGGAGGAGTTTCTTCTTCCGCATCTTGGTATTTTTTATTATTTTATAAACCTTTGCCTCTGTTTCCCCATCTGTGTTTATGCGTATGGAGAGCACCATCTCTCTATTTCTCCAATTCGTCCAAATTTATTTTTTGCCAAATTTATTTTATGCTGAGACTTTTGGGGAGACTGTAGGGGGAATAGGGTTAATTTTGTTCATTATGCTTTTTTAAGAAAAATTTTAAGTTCAAGTGAAGCCGTTGATTTTAGGGTTAACAGTAGGGTTGCCGTTTTCGAACCGGGCCACGTTTGTGTCATTTTTATCGGGCCGGACCGGTCGTGTCATTTTTTCGGGCTTTATTTTTATCGGGCCGGACATGTCGAGTCTTTTTCGGGCCAAAATTCGAGGTCCGGTTCGATTTTTCGAACCGACCCGGGCCGGCAACTCTAGTTAACATGTTCAGGAACGTTTTTCTTCATGTTTTTGGATGTTGGGTGTTTTTTGGTTTCGTTGGGGAATTTTCCAATTCTCCCCACAACATTTTTTTATGGGTTCAAATCCTTTTGGCGGTGTTATTATTTTTCTTACACTATTTTTATATTCGATTTTTAACTTAAACTTTCCTGCAGATATTTGTCTACCTCTTCATCCAATAGTTCAATGTAAAACTGAAAAATCTGCTCGTTTTTCTTCTCTTCATGCTTTATGTCATGCTTTTGCTGTTAGCTACAAGATGAATATACAAATTGGACTTGTTATGGAGACAACTGAATTAATTTGCAATCAGAATGTATTTTTAGAGTTTGAAGCTTTGGCAAGTCTTAAAAGGGAGGAAAAATCGGAAATAAATTTTTTTGAAATTGGAAGAATTGACGGGGATGATGAGGTTTATTTACTTTTTTTTCCTACTTTACCCGGTTGACGGTTCCAAACTCTTTCGGTTTATTTATCCTTTGTCTCGTCAAATCTGAGTCGACTGGTATCACTCTCTAATGCCCAAATTGTATGTGGGTCAAGATACTTGCCATTTAACGTCGCAAAACTATATGAGGACCAAGCTCATTTTTAGGAGTCAGAAATTCTAATATAAGAGAAAGGCTTATGCCTTGCCTTATGCCCTACCTTATGCCTTATGAGAAAGGCTTATTTCTTAAGGTGAAAGATCTATTTATTTTTTGGACCTGTCCACATTGGCTAAAGTATAGCCGGTCGTCTTTTTTGGACCGTTTAAACAAAAATTTTTTCTTTTTTCAGATTTTTACTTTTACTCGTTTACTTTTATTTTCAAATGTTAAATTGGATGAACAACAAAAACAACAAGCAATTCAATCGTTGTCTTTACTTCAAAATGATTTTTTCGTTTTCAATGAAAATACAAGATTTGCTTGGTCTTCTGAGGAGGAAATTAATGATGACAAAATTGAAAAAGAAATTTTTGATAATTGGCCGAGTCATTTAATATTTTTTCAAAAGGAGAAAGGTTTAGATTTTAAATTAAAAGAGAAAAGGAGTCATTTTTTCAAATTTTTAGAGAAAGAAAACCTTTGGGAAGTTGGTGGCCCTTCAAATTTAAAAAATAATATTTGTACAAATTTGTTTTCCCCTTGGCTTCTTAAACAAGTTTGTAGTGAATTTTGTTTAAATTTTGTCGAGTTTCCTCAACCTAAAAGTCTTGAAGAACTGAAGAAAATTTTGGAAGAATAAAAAAATCGAAAAGAAATTGTAGAATTTTTTGAGAAGAAATTGGAAAATTTGTTGAAGATGGATGAGTGAAGAGAAACTAAAAAAACAAGCAAAAAATAAATGATGATGGGTGAAGACAAAAAAAAATAAATAAATATTTGCTGTGGTGATGGGTTTTGTCTTTATTTCATTGCTGAGTTTTAACAGGTTTATACTTTTTTTGTAATTTATTATTTTTTAATATATAATATTAGGTGAGCAATAAGATAAAAAAATAAAAAAAATTTTAAACTAAAAATTTCTCTATATTTTTTTAAATTCTCTCTATTTTTCTCGAGATTTTTACTCGCTTATTTTTTTTCTCATTATTAATCATTACACTTCCGGAAAGTTTTTCTAAATTTTTTTTGCTCTTTTTGCTTTCCTTAAAGTATTTTCTACTAATATATAAGAGAAATATATTTTCTTTTTTGTCCTATTTCTTCCTTCCAATATATATTTATAAATTCCTTTGTGTGGTAGTGTTTCTGCTGGGAAATGAAAAATGAACGGGAAAGACTATTTTCTTACTCTTCTACCCACAAGTTGTTGACCGATTCACTCGTTTCTTTTTTGTTATTTTCGTTGAAAATAACAAGAATTTTTGTTATTTTTGTTGAAAGTTTAATTGAACTATATTGTTTGTGTGTTTTGGAATTTTTCATATTACTGTTGAGAGAGTTTTGCTCCGTTTTTTCTGAACTACTTCTGATTGACAAATAAAGTAATGCTATTGGTTTTGAATTTTCTTAAAGGTTTTGCTTTGCTTTTCCAGCAAGTTTTGTTTTTCAAAGAAAAATTTTTTTCGTTGTCTTCTTGTTTTTCTGTTGTCTTCTAATTAATTTTCTCTCCTTTTAATCATCCAAGGCATCACTATCTATCTTCAAAAATCAGTTGTTATTTTTTCCACTTTAAAAAATAATTTTTAAAAAATTTTCTTCAATTTACATTAACAAATGAACAGAAGAAAAAACAACTGTGTCCTTGTCCTTGCTTTTCTTTTTAAAAAATATTCTTACTAGAGTAAGCGCAGGCCGGATAGTCGGGGTATTTAGTTCCCAACCATCCGCCTGGTATTCGGAGCGCCGTTAGAGGGGGTGGGGGAGACAAGAGGACGAGAACCAAGTCGGGGAGGCGCAGGGGACCTATGATTAATTAATTAAAATATATTTAAAACATTTATTTCATTTTCAAAATGTAAATTAAATGAGTCTGTCGTTCAATAAAATAAAGTAATGGAAATAGTGAAAATGGGATATAACTGGGATTAATCGGATAAACACATCTGAACTCTAAACTGTCATTTGTTGTTCAGCCCTTTGGTTAAATAGTGGGGAAAGTGGGAGGGATGAAATGGAAAATACAAACTGAACATTCTGGGAAAGTTGGGGAAAAATGATTGGAAAGTGTTGGGAAAGAAATGTGCAAGAGTGTTTACATGGTTGGGAAAGTTCGGGAAGGATAAATAATGGGAACGGAAATATGAATGTACAAATTGAAGATAGGAGGGGAAGATAGTTGTTGGGAAAGGAAATGCAAAATGAACAATTAATTATAAAGTGAAGATAAATGGGAAGGAAAGGATGGGAAAGAATAAGTGTAATAAATATATAAATTGTTATGTGAATAGTCGGGGTCGGGACTTGGATAAAATATAAGTATCGAGTCTCGAGTCCGGGGCTTACATCTCCCTACCGCCAATAAGCGCGACCCTGCGCTTACGTGCGTGGTGTGGTTGGATTTTTGGATGAGGATATGGGGAAAAAAGAGGGGATAGAAATAGGGGGAAAGGGGGATCCGGAGTGAAGGGATATGTGATAGGGGGGATGGAAAAGAGAACGGGATTTTACAAATGGTGACTCAAACTTAATTGGTCCCCGTTTGTGTTAAAATTTTAGGACATAGCGCATTACTCGATCAAATGGTTACCAATTTTTTTGGACCATCTGAAAGACCTTACTCACATGGGAAAGGGATTAGGTGGGGTGGAGGGGTGAAGAGGTGAAGAGGAGGTTTGAAAAATTATTTTTGTTTTTAATAACTTTTTTATTAAAATTTCTAATTGTGTCTGAGGAGTGGAGGGAGAGGGGGGTTGAAAAGTTTATAGAGTTTTTAATCTCTACTAACTTTTCATTGGATTATTAAAAAGTGTTTTTAGGATGAGGAATTTAAATATGGATTCAAATCTGCGTTCCCTTAATTTTGCTAGACTCGATACTTAAATATAAGGGGGAAGGAAAATCAGAACCAATTATATAAAATATAGATGAATGAGGGGAAGGAAAAGAGGAGAATCTGGAATTAAATATTTTGAAGTGGAAATAACTAGAGGGAGAAAGGGAAAAATTTTAAATTACAAATTTGGAAAAATGAAAATTTGAATGAATTTGTTTTCGTTCATCCTTTTTCATTCTTCGGTCAAAATCATTTTGTGGTGAGATCAATTTCGATTTCAGCTTGAATTTCAAAGTAGTTGTGTGTTCAGGGAAGCATATTGAGTTGAGAAAGCAATGGCATATTGTCGTTGAGAAGGGATTGAGAAAGGCATATTGTGTTGAGGAGGCATATTGTGTTGGGAATGGATCGAGTTCAGACTGAATTTTGTATAATTAGTTTTGGAGTGAGGGGTTATTTTATTATTAGAATAATTAACTTATAACATGTTGATTGAACTTAGTGAAATACCTTAAGGATTTCAACTTAGTGCATGGGAATTGAGAAGGGAATTAGGAGATTAATTGTGTATCCAAAATTATTGAAAAGTTGTCCTAGGGATCTTCAATAATTTAAAGAACTTTTTTTTAGTTACCGAAATAAATTTGAAAGGGTTTTTTAGGATTGAAGTGGGTTGGAAGTGGGATTTAATGGCAGTTCTAATTTCTTTGGGATGGTAATTTCATATTGTTTCCTTCAAGGCCTTTTATTGTATATAATTGGTCCTTGAGGTTTTTATTTAAAAATTGGATTAAAGGAGATTGGGATTTCCGAAGTAATGGTTAAATTGTTAAATAGTATAGAACTGGTCCTTGAGGTTTTCCCTAAAATTGGATTACGGGGATGGGATTTTTAAGTTTGATTGAATGATGGGACTATTTATCAATTCTAACTTCCCAGAGGTAAGTAAATAAGGATTATCTTCCCTCAAGGCCTTTTATGTGATAACATTTTGGTCCTTGAGGTTTTGTTACAGTTAATTAGGAGAGGAAAAAGGTATGGGATTTGTTTTTGGTAAACTTATCACGTCCATATTCTTTGAGAATAAGTTGAGTTGATCGAGTTCATGGTTTTCCAATGACATGCGGAGGAGTCAATGTAATAGTTGGATTAATTATTGTTGAATTTGTAGTTAATAATTGAGTAGAAAATATAATATTAAAATTAATTTGAGAAATGCGCGTAAAAATAGAAGTGAGAGAATGGGGGGGTGAATTAGTGGGGATGGAGGAGGGTTGAAGGGGGAAGAGTGTTGAAGTGAAGGAGGGTAGAAGGGGGAATAGTGTAGAAGGGGGGATAGTGTAGAAGGGGGGATAGTGTAGAAGGAGGGATAGGGTTGAAGAGTGTTGGAAGGATTCTTAGAGAATTTATGGGAAGATTTGGAGGTTGTGTTTTACTCATTCTCAATTAGATTAATTCAATATTTAATAATAAATTAATTCTAATGGATTTCTTTACTTGAAGAGAGGGGGAGAGATTGTAAGGATAAGCGCTTGGAATAAAATGTAAAAAATTTAAGTCGGAAAAAGGAGGGAAATATTTCAAAAATATTCATCGATTAAAAATTTCCCAGGATAGTTGATAGATTATATTAAAGGATTTTATTAAAGGATTTATGTATTTTGTCATTGGAAAAAATTAAAACGGAAAAAATTGGATTATTATCGGAAACTGGAAAAAAATTTAAAATAGGAAAGAATTGTGTTCTCGTTGGAAAAAATTTAAAATATTGGATTCTCGTTGGAAAAAACTTTTTTAATGAAAAAATGTAAAAATCGAAAAAATTGATTCTCATTGGAAAAAATTGTAAAAATTGATCTCGTTGAAAAAATTGTAAAAATAGGAAAAAATGTATTCTCATTTGAAAAAAATTTAAAACTTGGAAAAAAATTGATTGTCATTGGGAAAATTTAGTGGGATTTCTTTGAAAATGAGGGAGGTAAAAATGAAAACGGTTAGGTTATAATCTCTCCCTTTCTTCTCTCTCTCTTTTTTTAATTCAGATACTTAATTCTGATTAAAAAACTATTATTTGGAAATGAAAGGAATTGTTGGGAATAATGAGTTAAAGTAAAGGAATGAAGGGAGAAGTGGGAGGGGGATGGGGATATATTTAAAAAATATTTTTAATTCAGAAACTTAATTCTGATTAAAAAATTTTTTTGATAGGAAGGGGGGGAATGTAGTGTAGAATGACTAAACCATTAGATTGAAGAAATAGAAGAAAAATGTATTATTGTAAAAAAATTAAATAAAATGTTTATTTTAATAAAGGGGAGAGAAATTGAAAAGAATGTAAATGGGAAAGTGGGCAAAATCCTTCTTTATTTCTTTTGTAAAAAAATGGACAAAACTATTTTTTGTGATGAAAAAAAAAGTTTTGCCTACTCCTCGGGGAAGGATAAACAAGCCATTTGGAAAGGAAGCGTTCGGAGGAAGAAGAGAAACCTGACTATCGGAAACAATAAATATGAGCAGAAAATTTTCTGTGCATAGGAGAAAGCGAAGCTAAGTGAAGATCAATCAACATTGGCTTGCTTTTCTCCTAGTTAAATTTACATTTTATTGGAAGTGGGGTGAAGAGGGTATTTGACTGTTGGAATGGGAAAGGTTAGATGGGATATAAAAGGAATTACTATTTGATTGAATAAAATTCTTTTTAAAAAAATTGGATTTGGACAAGGGAGGCTAAAGGGGACGAGGGAAGTGTAGGTGGAGGGAAGAGTGTAGGTGGAGGGAAAAGTGTAAGTGGAGGGAAAAGTAGGTGGAGGGAAGGGTGTAGGTGGAGGGAGGGGTGACCAATGCCCTGAGGTGAAACGCCATCCGGTGCTACCAGTAAGCGCAGGCCGGATAGTCGGGGTATTTAGTTCCCAACCATCCGCCTGGTATTCGGAGCGCCGTTAGAGGGGGTGGGGGAGACAAGAGGACGAGAACCAAGTCGGGGAGGCGCAGGGGACCTATGATTAATTAATTAAAATATATTTAAAACATTTATTTCATTTTCAAAATGTAAATTAAATGAGTCTGTCGTTCAATAAAATAAAGTAATGGAAATAGTGAAAATGGGATATAACTGGGATTAATCGGATAAACACATCTGAACTCTAAACTGTCATTTGTTGTTCAGCCCTTTGGTTAAATAGTGGGGAAAGTGGGAGGGATGAAATGGAAAATACAAACTGAACATTCTGGGAAAGTTGGGGAAAAATGATTGGAAAGTGTTGGGAAAGAAATGTGCAAGAGTGTTTACATGGTTGGGAAAGTTCGGGAAGGATAAATAATGGGAACGGAAATATGAATGTACAAATTGAAGATAGGAGGGGAAGATAGTTGTTGGGAAAGGAAATGCAAAATGAACAATTAATTATAAAGTGAAGATAAATGGGAAGGAAAGGATGGGAAAGAATAAGTGTAATAAATATATAAATTGTTATGTGAATAGTCGGGGTCGGGACTTGGATAAAATATAAGTATCGAGTCTCGAGTCCGGGGCTTACACTAGATATTTTTCTACTTGAAAATTTCGCGCACAAGCTTACAATTAAAAAGTCAGCTTTTAAAAGCAAATAATTTTTCTTGTAAAAGGCTAAAAATAAATAATAATTCGCACTCTACTTTGCTCATTTTTTTCTTTCTTCTTTTTCTTTCAGAAAAATTTTTTTCTTTCTTCTTCTTCGAAGAATAACTTTGTGTGTCGTTTGTCGCTTGAAGAGATTGAAAATATTTTAGCTTTTTGAGTGTTTTGTGTATTTGTATTTGTGTGTGAATTTATTTTTTATTTTTGCTACAATTTTTGAAGTGATGGTGAAAAATGAAGAGGGGGGAATGAAGAGATAACAACATCAGCGTTTGGGTATTCTAATTGAAAAAAATCTTGGAAAAAATTTTTTACTTTTTTAAGGATTTATTGTTAGAATCCTTTTAATTTTTATATCTATGCTTCTTTCTAATCAGCTTCTCTTCACTAAAAATTTTCTCATCTTCATAGAAAAAAAACGGAATCTTTTTAAGCCTTCACACAAAATTTGGCTTTTCATAAAAAAATTTTTCTTCATTTACAAAAAATTCTCTCTTTTACGAAACCAAAAAAAATTTTTTTTGTTTATTTGTTTGTCTAAACTTTAATTTAGCCAGTCATCAGTCACCATTAAAAAATTGTCTATTATCTGTTTAATCATTTTTATATAAGAAAAAAATTCTTCTTCATCTGCAAAATTTTTTTTCCTCCTCTCAGATTTTGACTTGCTCCACACTCTTTTCAAACTCTTAAAAGCATAAGCTTTATCTGTCAAGCTTTTTTGTTAGATAAAAAATATGAGGGAAATAGGTGGTGGTGTTAGTGAGGCTTTACACACGACAAATTTTTTTAGAGCGTGTCTGTTGTGTGTGTGTTCATATTTATTTTATTTTTCTATTTATGTAAATATTTTTATTTTTTTTCTTTTTTTTCACAAACCTTTTCACTCTAAAAATGCTTTTTCCTCTCTTACGAAACCAAAAAAATTTTTTTTGTTGATTTGTTTGTCTAACAATAAACTTCAATTTAGCAGCCAGAGTCAATCAGCCAGTCACCATTTTTTAAAAATTGTCTATTAGCTGTTTAATCATTTTTAAAAAGCTATATAAAAAATTTTTTTTATAATTTTGTTTTGTTTTATAATTTTCCATTGTTCTTTGAGTTAATCGATTTCTCAGATCTTTTTTTTATCGATTTTTACTCTTTTCATTTTGAAGTTTGTTTGTGGGTTAGAGACATTCCGTAAAATTGATTGTTCTCTGCTGCAATCAAAATTATTGCAATACTGCAAAACTTAATTTCCTCTTTTTTTGTTAATGTTTAATGTGAGGTTGGGTTGAATGATCGAACGCGTTTAATTATTATTTGTTTTATTTTTTTAAATTATTTTTTTTCTTTTTTATTTGTCGTTTCTAAGCAAACTTTTAATGTCTCATTTTTATCTTAGAAAATTATATGCTTAAATCTTGGTGATCCAACATTGACGGATGTTTACCACCTGCAACAATAAATGCAATTAGGAATGCAGTGGATTCGCACAAATTTAATGGTTATGGGCCTGCTGTTGGAACTCTTTCTGCTTGGGCAGCAATGTTGAGGTATTACTCTAAGCTGATTGGAACTAAAATTAATTTTAATTGTTGTAGAAATTTTCAACACCTGAAGCTCCATTTACTGATGATGATGTAGGACAAAATATTCTCGTTCCGAGGCCTGGCTTTCCTTTGTATTCAACATTGTGCCAACTGAATGGAATTGAATCTAGGCAATATAGACTGGAAATGGATGGTAAAGGATTAATTGATTTGGCCCATTTGGAAAGCTAAATTGACTCACAAACACGTAAGGAATAGATAAAATAATTTTTAGACTAAATTAACTTTTTTAGGAGCTATAATAGTTAACAATCCTTCAAACCCAACAGGAGTGGTTCTTCCAAAGGAGCATTTGGAACAAATTTTGGAATTGGCACAAAAATATAAGGCAAGTTTTAATTAAATTAAAATGAATCTAAAATCTTGAAAAATCTTATTTTTAATTTTCACATTTTCAGGTTCCTATAATTGCTGATGAAATTTATGGTGATTTGGTATATGGTGAAGGCGCCCGTTTTCATCCAATGGCAAGATTAAATCCTCATGTCCCAATAATAACTTGTGATGGAATTGGAAAAAGATATCTTGTCCCGGGTGGAGGCTTGGTTGGCTGATAGTACACGATCGTTAAGGAGGCGTTTTGTCTGAAATAAAGATGTGAATCATTGCTTTAAGTCAGAAGATTGTTGGACCATGTACATTAATTCAAGGAGCTTTGCCAAGCATTTTAAGAGATACACCTTCCGAATTCTTTGACAACACTAAAAAACTTGGCTTCAAATGCTGCTACAGTGTATGAAAAATTAAGTAGAGTTCCTGGATTGAGATCATTGAAGCCACAAGGTTTTAGAATTAAAAATAATTTAAAATAAAGATCGTAGTATTAATGTGCCATGTATATGATGGTTGGATTTGATCCTTCTCTCTTTGGTGATGTGACTAAATTCGTGCGTGGTCTAATTTCTGAAGAAAGGTATTAAAGATGATTAGTCTTATTATAATTAAAATAATATATTTTTTAGTGTATATTGTCTGCCATGCTCCGCCTTCTCTTTACCAAATGGTTCCGTCTTGTATTATCGTTTCCAAATGAAACAACAACTGAAGCTTGTGAGAGGATTGCGGCCTATTGTTCTCGACATTTACGCCCATGTGTAGAAAGATTGGAAGCAACAAGATAGCCGTATGGGTGTTAGCTGTTCTAATAATAAAACACTGGAACTTTTTGATATTACACAGGTTTTTTTAAATTAGATTGAATTTTTTCTAATTTATTTTTAAGGGAAAATTGATCAAAACGTTCCGTGGCCATCAAAATTATGTTTTTTGGTGTAATTTTAATCCGCGATCAACTCTTCTTGTTTCTGGCTCGTTTGATGGAACGGTTTGAAAAATTTTTTAAATAAATTCCACTATATAATCCCACTATTTTTTGAGTTTTCCACCTTTCGAGCTATCCCGCTCATTGACCTTCGATTGATTTTGTTGACAAAATACCCCAGTAATTACTTGGAATTTAAAAAAAACTTGTTTTGTTTCTCCTGGGAAATCTTTGTATAACCGAAGCCATTATTTTAACAGAAAATTCCGGACAGGTTGTTACTTGAAGACCAACTTTTGCGGATAGATCGCAACAAGTTTTGGTTACAGATACCCAGAACCACCAGCACAAATCGTTTTTTAGTTGTCTGCAGATTTTGTCCGCAAAAAATTGTCTGCAGACAACTTTTTTAGTTTTCTCAGATTTTGTCCGCAAAAACTTTCTTCAGTTTATGTTTTTTTAAATCTATAGGTCCGAATTTGAATGTTTGTTCAAGCACCTGTGTCCGTTTATTGCCTGCCATTCTGACCCTAGTAAATTTTATTTTTTGTTCAAAAAAGATTTTAATTTTTTCTTTCAAGTCAGCGCTGTAGGTTTCAATAGAGACGGTTCTCTAATTGCTACACGCAGTTATGATGGCCTTGTTCGAATTTGGGAAGCGGGCAGTGGTCAATATGTAACTACACTTGTTGGTTTGTTTTTTTTAGATTTTGGAGAGTTTGAAGGGGGAGTTTGCGTATTTGACTTAACTGCCCACGTTGTTGGTCTCTTCATATTTCATCTGGGGATTTCTATGGTTTAAGATAAGGAAGGATATCGCGGGTTTTGGTGAGTTATACGGGTTTTGAAGGATATCGCGGGGTTAGGGGGATATAGACGGTTTAAATTTGGCCCTCATACTAATTCCTTTAAATTTTGCATTTTTAATTTTAAAGGTATGATGTAGATGTGGGCCTCAACAACAATCACTCTTCGTACAAGTGTGGCAGATGGCTCTGAACCAAGACAGATTATTGTGAGGTGTTCTTAATGAGCATTGGACTGCAACAAATTGCTGATGAATTACAAGGATGAGAGAAGCTAAAAAATGTGGCAAAGATGCTTCCGCCACATTTTGAGGTCTAAAAGATATTTGAATGAAATGTTTTTTTATTATTTTTCAGTGCTTTTCCGTTTGCGTCGAATTTTTTTTTGTTTTATTTTTTTCAAGTACAAATTGTTTCAAAACAGCAGGATTCTTAGATGGAAAAACGGAAAAGCACAATTAAGCCACTTGTAAAAAAAGGATTTTTGCGGATTCGTTTAGAAGAAAGCAAAAAGGCCTTTTCTTTACAAGTGGTATTTTTTATCACATTATTTTTTTGTTTTAAAAATGGGTTTGGGTGGGGCCTTCTCTCCCGACCCCGGGTTTACCCAACTCTTCCAAGCTCCGAGAGCTTCAGATACTCCTAAACTACAAAACAATCCAACAAGACAACCTCTTTTTTCTAAAAATCTGAACTTTTTTTAGAACGAAACTCCCAGATGAATTCCAGACCAGGCTTTCATACCTGCCAGTTATATCCAAAGGCACGGGTTGTTATTCAATAGGTGTAGACAGTAGGGCACTTAGACCTTAGATTTGATTAGAACACCCCCCCCCCCCCCCACTTCCCGCACTTCAACGGTCCTTCTACAACTTCAATGGCTCCTGCCAGGCTTCTACAACTTCAATGGCTCCTGCCAGGCTTCTACAACTTCAACTGCTCCTGCCAAACGTCTACAACTTCAACTGTGCCTGCCACTCGTCTACAACTTCTCCTGGACCGACTCTACGGGTTCCCTCGGCCCCGACTCGGTACTCTACTGCTCCCCCGGGTCCAACATGGTGCTCTACTGTCCATACCTATTTTATAAGACCCACCTTTCTTCCCCATATCCAAGTCTGACCCAAATGTATCCCCCAAAACGCCCCGGACAAAACGTCACTCCCCAAAATGCCCCAGACAAAACGTCACTCCCTAAAACGCCCCGACAAAACGTCACTCCCCAAAACGCCCCAGACAAAACATCACTCCCCAAAACGCCCCGGACAAAACATCACTCCCAAAATGCCCCACACTGAAAATAACCCGCACTGAAAATCCCGCACTGAACTGACCGACCCCCCTTCTCAAAAAATATTCTCTCCATAGGTTCAGGCTTTCATACCTCCGAGTTATATCCAAAGGCACGGGTTCTTATTCAATAGGTGTAGACAGTAGGGCACTTAGACCTTAGATTTGATTAGAACACCCCCCCCCCCCCACTTCCCGCACTTCAACGGTCCTTCTACAACTTCAATGGCTCCTGCCAGGCTTCTACAACTTCAATGGCTCCTGCCAGGCTTCTACAACTTCAACTGCTCCTGCCAAACGTCTACAACTTCAACTGTGCCTGCCACTCGTCTACAACTTCTCCTGGACCGACTCTACGGGTTCCCTCGGCCCCGACTCGGTACTCTACTGCTCCCCCGGGTCCAACATGGTGCTCTACTGTCCATACCTATTTTATAAGACCCACCTTTCTTCCCCATATCCAAGTCTGACCCAAATGTATCCCCCAAAACGCCCCGGACAAAACGTCACTCCCCAAAATGCCCCAGACAAAACGTCACTCCCTAAAACGCCCCGACAAAACGTCACTCCCCAAAACGCCCCAGACAAAACATCACTCCCCAAAACGCCCCGGACAAAACATCACTCCCAAAATGCCCCACACTGAAAATAACCCGCACTGAAAATCCCGCACTGAACTGACCGACCCCCCTTCTCAAAAAATATTCTCTCCATAGGTTCAGGCTTTCATACCTCCGAGTTATATCCAAAGGCACGGGTTCTTATTCAATAGGTGTAGACAGTAGGGCACTTAGACCTTAGATTTGATTAGAACACCCCCCCCCCCCCCCCACTTCCCGCACTTCAACGGTCCTTCTACAACTTCAATGGCTCCTGCCAGGCTTCTACAACTTCAATGGCTCCTGCCAGGCTTCTACAACTTCAACTGCTCCTGCCAAACGTCTACAACTTCAACTGTGCCTGCCACTCGTCTACAACTTCTCCTGGACCGACTCTACGGGTTCCCTCGGCCCCGACTCGGTACTCTACTGCTCCCCCGGGTCCAACATGGTGCTCTACTGTCCATACCTATTTTATAAGACCCACCTTTCTTCCCCATATCCAAGTCTGACCCAAATGTATCCCCCAAAACGCCCCGGACAAAACGTCACTCCCCAAAATGCCCCAGACAAAACGTCACTCCCTAAAACGCCCCGACAAAACGTCACTCCCCAAAACGCCCCAGACAAAACATCACTCCCCAAAACGCCCCGGACAAAACATCACTCCCAAAATGCCCCACACTGAAAATAACCCGCACTGAAAATCCCGCACTGAACTGACCGACCCCCCTTCTCAAAAAATATTCTCTCCATAGGTTCAGGCTTTCATACCTCCGAGTTATATCCAAAGGCACGGGTTCTTATTCAATAGGTGTAGACAGTAGGGCACTTAGACCTTAGATTTGATTAGAACACCCCCCCCCCCCCCCCACTTCCCGCACTTCAACGGTCCTTCTACAACTTCAATGGCTCCTGCCAGGCTTCTACAACTTCAATGGCTCCTGCCAGGCTTCTACAACTTCAACTGCTCCTGCCAAACGTCTACAACTTCAACTGTGCCTGCCACTCGTCTACAACTTCTCCTGGACCGACTCTACGGGTTCCCTCGGCCCCGACTCGGTACTCTACTGCTCCCCCGGGTCCAACATGGTGCTCTACTGTCCATACCTATTTTATAAGACCCACCTTTCTTCCCCACATCCAAGTCTGACCCAAATGTACTTCCCAAATCGTCCCAGACAAAACGTCACTCCCCAATTCGTCCCAGACAAAACGTCACTCCCCAATTCGTCCCAAAGACAAAATGTCACTCACCAGTTCGTCCCACAGACAAAACATCACTCCCCAATTCGTCCCAAACAAAATGTCACTCCCCAATTCGTCCCACAGACAAAATGTCACTTCCAAAAATGGCCCACACTGAAAATCCCGCAATGAACTGACCGACCCCCCTTCTAAAAAATATTCTCTCCATAGGTTCAGGCTTTCATACCTCCGAGTTATATCCAAAGGCACGGGTTCTTATTCAATAGGTGTAGACAGTAGGGCACTTAGACCTTAGATTTGATTAGAACACCCCCCCCCCCCCCCACTTCCCGCACTTCAACGGTCCTTCTACAACTTCAATGGCTCCTGCCAGGCTTCTACAACTTCAATGGCTCCTGCCAGGCTTCTACAACTTCAACTGCTCCTGCCAAACGTCTACAACTTCAACTGTGCCTGCCACTCGTCTACAACTTCTCCTGGACCGACTCTACGGGTTCCCTCGGCCCCGACTCGGTACTCTACTGCTCCCCCGGGTCCAACATGGTGCTCTACTGTCCATACCTATTTTATAAGACCCACCTTTCTTCCCCATATCCAAGTCTGACCCAAATGTATCCCCCAAAACGCCCCGGACAAAACGTCACTCCCCAAAATGCCCCAGACAAAACGTCACTCCCTAAAACGCCCCGACAAAACGTCACTCCCCAAAACGCCCCAGACAAAACATCACTCCCCAAAACGCCCCGGACAAAACATCACTCCCAAAATGCCCCACACTGAAAATAACCCGCACTGAAAATCCCGCACTGAACTGACCGACCCCCCTTCTCAAAAAATATTCTCTCCATAGGTTCAGGCTTTCATACCTCCGAGTTATATCCAAAGGCACGGGTTCTTATTCAATAGGTGTAGACAGTAGGGCACTTAGACCTTAGATTTGATTAGAACACCCCCCCCCCCCCCCCACTTCCCGCACTTCAACGGTCCTTCTACAACTTCAATGGCTCCTGCCAGGCTTCTACAACTTCAATGGCTCCTGCCAGGCTTCTACAACTTCAACTGCTCCTGCCAAACGTCTACAACTTCAACTGTGCCTGCCACTCGTCTACAACTTCTCCTGGACCGACTCTACGGGTTCCCTCGGCCCCGACTCGGTACTCTACTGCTCCCCCGGGTCCAACATGGTGCTCTACTGTCCATACCTATTTTATAAGACCCACCTTTCTTCCCCACATCCAAGTCTGACCCAAATGTACTTCCCAAATCGTCCCAGACAAAACGTCACTCCCCAATTCGTCCCAGACAAAACGTCACTCCCCAATTCGTCCCAAAGACAAAATGTCACTCACCAGTTCGTCCCACAGACAAAACATCACTCCCCAATTCGTCCCAAACAAAATGTCACTCCCCAATTCGTCCCACAGACAAAATGTCACTTCCAAAAATG